GATGCCACCACTGAAGGACCTCCTGAGGTCTCAGCCAAGGTGCAGTCGACTGGGGATGCCACCACTGAAGGACCTAATGAGGTCTCAACCAAGGTGCAGTCGACTGGGGATACCACCAATGAAGGACCTAATGAGGTCTCAACCAAGGTGCCGTCGACTGGGGAGATACCTGCCTCTTCCCCCACTTCTAAACACGATAAGGTGTTTAATGGCGTACTTATTGTAGCCGGGATCCTGGCCTTCCTGCTCATGCTGGTGGTGATTTACGCGTTGTATGTCTGTTGGTCTGACTATCTGCTGCGTCGACGAACCGCCAAGGTGAGTTTCACAATAATCAGTAAAACATGCAAATTTTTCATGAAAACAAACACCACATAGTTTAGAGAATAGGCCCTACCCACTTTACAGTTCTTTAAATTTAATCTTTAATTGCGTGTGTAGGCACAAACTCCAGACACTAGAAGAAAACAAACAAACAAAAATGGAAGAAATTGAGATAAGAAAACAGCGGGAAAAGAGAGCAGCTGCTAAAATTGAATTCATTTATTTTGTATTCTCTGTTATAGGTTTGCCCTTTCTGAAAAGGGAGACATGTATAATCATCTTCGATAATCCTGTTTTCTTTCTTTCTCATCGCTTATGGTATTTGCATGGTATCAACTCAAGAGACTCAGATTTGAATTGAAATCAGACAAAAAAATCACATCCGTTTGGAATACTAATCATAATGTCTATAGTATAGCACATATTGATATCATAAAATGAGTTTTCGCAACGATATCATCTTCATTAGTTCCAAGCTGCTTTTACGAAAGACTTACTGTCGAATCTCCATGGATGCAAGGTCCATTAAAAGATTGATTGCTTCTGATAAGACTTAAATTGCGGTCGTTTGTGTCACTGATATAACGATACGATTTAATTCAACAGTTTTGAAGTAGGCCTACTGATCACTAAAAAATGATTGCCCGGAAAAAATGTCTTCCTCGAAGATCTATACAAGTAAACATTTTTTTTAAGTGCCTCTTTATAATTAATCACTTTTTTGTTATTGACATCCATGTCTAATGGTTTTATTGGAATAAAAATCCGTTTTAATCCTGGGAATTTGTGTTATCCCTCCCCGCCCACACCCTCCTCCCATAACTTCCTGCATAGTTTTTTTTTGTCCTATTGCGAGTTTGATGTTTTCTGACAGTTATGTATTCCTTTGTCCTTTTTTTAGTTTGTGTACATCAATTGTTTTAAGCCTAGAAACTTTTAATCCATAAACCTTTTATCATTCTCTCTCATCCATTTGTATGTAATGTAGTCCAAATCTTTTTATGTGTAGTCTTGAAATGATTTTATTGAATTCCATGTTTATCCAGTCGTTGGTCTTGAAATGCTGTAATTCTATGCTTGTCCATATTCCTTGTCTTACCCCTCCCCTCTCATCCTCTCCCCTTCCCAGCTGACCTTCCACATACCCTCTCCATTTCATGTTTTTTTTAAATATATATATACGATTTTAGTCTTTCGCTGCTCTTGTTAAGTAAAGTTTTTGTTTTTAATGATTAAACATTGTAAATGTTCTTTACAATTCCGCTGCTGGCGGCGAAAAAGACATAATAATAAACCAATTAATGAATAATAATCTATAACCCGTGCAATTTTTGAGTTGACCCTCAAAAATAGTTTTTATTTTCAATTACTATTTTGTGCAATTTAAATCTGATCAGAAGCAATCTTTCTTTTGGAGGAACTTGCATCACTAAATAATACAAACGTTATTCAGTTTGGGAAGAGACATTGAACAAAACATCCACCGCCGTTTAATTATTAAATTGGGGGCGAAAAAAATACATCATTTTTTTTGGGAAGAGCATGGGGTATATGCATTTGTAAATACGAGTTTTCAAAGGAACATGTGCGACTGAAACCACGACCGGCACCCACACAACTCGATTTCTTTTTGATTCAAACCTCTGACCCCAAAATGCGTTCCTTCAACAATTACACAAATTGAATAATAGCCAATTTTCAAAGTATGGTTGTGTGAATGTTTATATTCTACTGTTAAATGAAGGCCAGTTGTGCTCAGTTCGCGAGGCACTTTGTCATTCTTGAATGTTTGTTTTGCATTTGTGTCAGTGTATTCTAGTATAATGTTATGGTATTTTCTTCTGCTAATGTCACTACGAACATACATACAAAAAGTGTCTCTTATAATGTAGCCATCCCTTTTTTCCTTCTCATTCACAGCCCTATGATGGAGATTCTCTTCCTTTTGTCTACGTAAGTCTGAGAACATTTAAGCCAATATTAAGGGAAACTAAGAATTTTCATTGAAATTATTATTAACAAAGAGGCCTGATTTTTTTTTTAAAGATCAAGTCTATTCTTTGATTACTTTTTCTTGGTCATGTCGTAGATTAGGCAATTCATTCGTGAAGTGGACTGCTATACACTGCAAACAATTCAATAACTGAACATACATCGTAGTGGACTTGAATATTGCATCAATTATCGTTGCAACACAAGGTTCAGTTAAATACATGCAAGTCTACCTCTGTTTACTTGGGTTGCTTGTGTAAAGATATATCATGCAACCCTTATAATAGTACAACAATAACTGCATTATGATGACAAGTTTGCCTGAAGGGCGCGTAAATAGCGTCACCTTGACACACTTGGTAAATTGTATGAAGTTTATAGTTAATGTATGAAGATTGAATTTCTGCAGAGGGTACTTGTGTCACAGCACATTCTTTACATAACTATAAACACTGTGTTTTTGCCGCTTGATTGCATCCACTCTTGTTCACGTTTGAATCTACATGTTTATGGATGACTGTGATATGTTAAGGTACGCCATCAGCCTTGGGGTTTGGTCAATATCTCATCGGGGCATCAATGATTATAGTGCGCATGCGTAAGGTATAGCGCCCCTAGAGTGGTAAAAAGCATTTTGCTGGACATCTTAAAAAAAAGGGTGATTTCACTGATAACACCCAAAAAGCTGCAACTGTTGCTTTGCTATCATATGTTCTAAGTAAGGAGGTGAAAACAAATCGGGGCATTAATGATTAGTCTATAGTGCGCATGCGTAAGGTATACGGCCCCTAGTCTGGTTCCAAGACCTGACAATTATTCCCGACGCTCAAATTGTAGGTCAGGCAGCCTCCGTGGCTAAAAGTAAGCATGACGACATTGATGGCCCTTTTTCAAAGCTCGGCTTCGTTTCCGACTTTGCTTTATCGCTTGTGGCTTTTAATGTTCATATCATTTTTTTTTAATAAAACACTCTCTTCGTAATGTCATACAGTTATGATAATACAGTTTGGAGTTTCTGTAAGATAACATTGACTAATGTTGATCTGGAATCTTCAAAATTAGGCACCCAAATAGCACTGTTGGCAGGCGGAGCCGAACAAAGACCGAGTTTTGGCAAATCTCGGTCGTCAAATTCAAAATTGTACATGACGCAGCAAAAAGTTTGCCCATACTATCCGAGTATATTTGATGCACAAAATCGATGTTGAATTTCAAGTTCTCTAAATGAAAGCAATGAATATTAATTATCAACTCATTTTAAATCAAATTAATAAGCAATTAGCAGTTAATCAAACCTATAGGCTATTATATACTCGGAAATACTCGGGCCCTATCCGATTGTCGACCTAACGACTTCGGCAAACTTCGGAAATGTTCGGAAAAAGGAGGAATTCCTCCCGTTTTAGTCACGTGAGTGACATAAATTGTAATACAATGTATAACCGGAGGCTACCGGACCTAAGATTAATCAGGAGTAGTCAGAATCTTTTGGTCTGGGAACCAGACTAGACGGCCCCTAGAGTGGTAAAAAAAAACATTTTGATGGACATCTCGAAAAAGGGTGATTTCACTGATAACACCCAGAAAGCTGCAACTGTTGTATTGCTATCAAATATTTTCCAAGTAAGGAGGTGAAAACCGCCTTAGTTCCCTATGATCGCTTTGACGATTATTCCCCTTATTTGATACCGGTGGCTAAAATGTTTGACCGAGGCTGATGGCCTAAGGTATACTGAGCAATAACCCTGTAAATACCATCAAGTATAAATCCATTAGATTACGTGTTAAGTCCCCCCCCCCCCCGAAAAAAACCCACATACACAAGTGTCTATTTTCCTGCAATCGGGGGCCCCATATCCCTCCGTTGTTTGTACCCTATTCTTTTTAGGACCTCTCGTTTGTTTTGTACACGAATCCAAATTGGGGAGATCTCGAATTAGGGACCCTATTATCCTCTATTGTTCAACGTCCCTTATTGCACGCAGAAACAAACTCAAAAACTCAAAAATCACAGGAGAAATACACACCAAAAAAAACCAACTAACTAACACAAATTAACCCCCAAAACCCCAGAAATGTATGTCTGATTCGTGGCAAACGTAGGGTGATTGTGCGCAATACTTTTCCAAAGTACTTAATTTCAGTTTCGGTTATGAATGGCACTGTTTTAAAATGGCAGAATTGATGAAAATGTATTTCTTATTTAATAAGCATTTTGGCTAAAGACGATACAGATTGTATCTTTTCTATAATTGTTTTGCCTCTGAAGAAGAACTTGTTAATTAATTTCGCAACATCAGGCTGTTTTTTTTTTAAATAAGAAATGATTAAGAGATAATGTTTTGATGGCGTCACAAGGGTGTCAGCAATTGGGCCACAGTGTCGCCATTGTGTACTAAATGGTGGATTTCAATGAACAAAATAAACACGAGATCATTTTCAAATTGTCCCTATTATTACTTCCGGTATGACGTCATCATAATTTAGAACTTCGCCAATTCATTTGTTACTGTTAAAACAACGTTCATGGACAATCTAGGCGAATTTTTTGAAAATGGTTTTCAAATGAGAATGGTTGAGATTGTCTCGATATTTTTTCTTGGAGTGTTTACATATTCACTCAGTTAAGGAATTTCGTCTAAAAATAGCTATTTTCTCATGTGTTTTATTTCATACAGGTTCCGACTGATTTGGACATTGTAAGTGTACAACTCATTTTCTTATCCTTTGGTGTACTCAAGTTTGGTTGTCTTTTTAATGTAGCGGGGAAGCCAAAAATCATACGGTCAACTCGTCGGCAGGCCTCGCCAGTTAATTTAAACACGGATGATAAAGCATCTCCAAAATTGCTTCTTAAAATTCTTTTTTGTGCAGGGCCGGCCCTCACAAAAGGCGTTTAAGGCGTTAAATCAGTGATGATTCAGAAAAATAAGAACCCTAAAATTACAATAAGTAAACAACTTAACGAGCTAGGGCATATTAGTACACAATTGAATTGTATATAACTAAAGTTTCCATTTTAAGAATTAGATTTCTAAAATAATGTAGTACAGATACATACCCCAGAAGCAGGTTCAGAAAAAGGTTATTTCTTGATTGGTTCACAGCTCAGTTCCAAACTAGTGATCTGGGCTCATCAAAAGGTTGGAAAACGTGCATGTAGCCTGACAATGAGAAAAGGCCAATATTACGGTCTGCAGTCGTTAACGTGGTGGTTGTTTTTTGCGTGCGCGTCCCAAATGTATACATTTTGTGGCAAATGTATACATTTCGTGGGGCTGAAGAAGTATGGAGCGCATATGATAAAAAAATTAGTATGGAGCGCCACGATGATTTTCGCTGATTCCCCACATTAATATTTCGCCCATAATTGCTGGAAATATTTTTACAACATTCATAAGAAGTTCTGGAAGCTTATCTCTACCTGGAACTGTTTGTTGCTATTAAACTTGCTTAACTAAACATTTGGAATTTTTATACAGCTCCATTTCCTTCTTCAAGTAAAAGTGCTGCCGTTGGTCATTTCAAACTGTTGTCCATCTTGCTTTTAATTTTAACGCTAGCGTCGGGGAAGTTTCTTTTGTCTCCTAAGTGGCCAAGCAGCATAACATTGTGTTAAACGCCCTTACCATTCAATTAAAATAAGTCTTTACATTACAAAACTCGCAAATGCAGAACATTACCATTTTCCATATTGCTGTCCTTTTCACGCAGGATTACATAAGAATAATGTTTTTTTTTCCTTCAAAAATAATGTTATTCCCTCACTTGTTTCATTTCCTTACATGGGGACGTTTAAAAAGATACGGCCGTCGAGTACGGTAAGTGTACTATTCGCATTCTTCGTTAACACTGGTGTCGCTATAATACAACGTCATTTCATTCAATGTCATTGGATTCAAAAATTGTAAAATCCAATGACCTTGTTTTTCCGTATTGCTGTATTTGGGAAAGCGATTGATTAAACATGCTGTTTCAATAAGGGAATACATATGTGGTTATGCATAAGTTGCTTGGCAGGTTTTAAGCATGTACGTTTAAAACTGGATATCGTCCTGCATGGTCGCCGAACATTCATCACTATATTGCGGTCAAAAAGTCAACTTTTTACAAAATTTTGCAGTATAAAATTATCAGGGGTTTAAAATCGCCCAGTGACGGGCTCTCGACCAATGGGAATAGCTAGCTTAAACTGTCTCAGGAATTGATGAATAACTATTGTTCTCTCGTCTATTTGATCTCCATTCAGGTTAACGAATGGATTTCGCCAAAACGGGTGAGTGTGCAATTCACATTCAAAGTTCTAAAGTATTCATTTCTCGTCATTGATACTTTGTTTTGTTTTCGAAGAGGCTCAGCTATAGATTCAACGCAACGTGTGATTGAGTTCAAAGATCCATTTCCATTCTTACCAAAGTTAAATCAAATAACATTTTCCCGGCATTGCCGTTCTTCAGAACGCCATGGTCCAGTGGTTACGGTGTTTGGCTCGTGTACGAAGGTGCGTGGGTTTAAATCCTGTCAGGAACATGGGTGTTTGTGCCCTTGGGCAAGACACGTAACTACAATTGCCTCTCTCCACCCAGGAGTATGAATGGGTAACTGCATGTGAGGGTCGAGGACCGATTGAGCCCTGATATCGGCTGCCGCGCGGTCCCATGGCCTGATAAACGGGTTAATATTTGTAAAGCACTTTGAGATTGCTGATACGATGGAAAGGGATATATAAGCACAGTTATTATTTGTTATTATTGAGAAAATCGATGATATACATTAGAATACCGTTTTAATAATTATTTTTTTTTTTTTTATTTCCTTACATGGAACGTTTCAAAAGCTACTGTCACCGTCAAAGGTTAGTGTGGGGTTCGCTTTATTTGGTAATTTTGGCTGTTTTAACGTTTCTTATTGCTGTTGGTGGATATTATCTCTTAATCAGTACCTTTTACATGCGTTCAAAATGCAACACACTTTCTCTCTATAGGGTGAGTAAAAAAAGGAACCCAAATGGCAGGACCAATTTTTTAATAAAGTTTTGCTTGTATCACTTTCAAAATCTAGGATATGAAAACCCAGTTAATGAGTTTTCTTTTAGAACACGAATTATTCAAATTATTTATGTACTTTTCAGGTTACGGAATATTCAAGACAAACACTGTTTTAAAGTTCTGTCCACAGATCACAAAAGAAAGTAAGTGTTATTTCAGCAAAACAAAAACAATTCACATGCATCCCTGCGAGAATTGTTTTCGTTTTGCTGAAAGAACGCTTACTTTTTTGGTGATCCGTGGACAGATTTACAAACCACTGTTTGTGTTTAAATTCCGTAACTTGTAAAGTGCGAGAGTGATTTGAATGACTTTTGTACTAAAAGAAAGCTTAATGATTGGACTTTTATATCCTAGATTGAAAGAGCTATACAGGCAAAAAGTCATTCAAAAATTGGTCCTGCAATTTTTTTTTTTTTTTTTTACTCACCCTGTATTCCGAAATGGCATTGGCAATATTTTTCACGGGTCAATGAATGATATATTTCGCAGATGTCAGAGAGGCCTACTGCCTTGTTTCCTGTCTGTTGGGTCAAGTACTGAATGAATAAACTAATTGTCATATTTCACTTGCAAGCGCCACGACAGAATAATCATGGGCTGCGGTCCCAAAACAAGTTTCTGGGTTTTTTTTTTTGGTAATTGAAATGAGAAGTGAAGTAAAGGCGGCTGTTTTTCAATCGATGCAACCCATTGCCCTTTTTCCCGGATTTGGGAAATGTAAACATATTTGTATCAAATAGATACGGCTTTAAGATGATTAGACTATTCCGTTGGGGGTCTGCTCGCCGACAATTTGGGTCATGCCGCACATTTCTCAGATTCACCGGCGTGCGTATTTTCATTTCAGTAAAGGCTGAACTCTAAAGGGCTTTTGTGCTAAAGTTGTACGTTTATTGTAAACTACGTTCAGAATTTCCGAACCATTAGTTCTCTCGAAATGTCACATTTTCCAAACACATTTCCTCTAACACAAAGTGACTGTCACTTTATCACACATGAATTTGTATCGACCGGCGTCTTTGAATGACAGTTATTTTCTTATACTGGGCGCTTCATAAATGCTTTGTATTATTATAATGTGCCTTATACTAAATTGCTGTACCGAAGTTGGCATTTGCCGATTGAATTTGTATTTGCTGATCCATAATTATAGCACGTGTGATCATTAATCGTACAGATCTGGTTTCTATTAAATCAACATAAACAACAAACGCAGTCCCTAATTTTTCATCTTCTAAACTTCTTCAGGAATCCAGCTTTATCTTTCCACAAGTGGAGACACCAATAGTTGTACACACATCTCCAGATGGAGCAGGAAATGTCCCAGGTGCGTAAACATAAATCAGCCATGAACGATGCTCACTCAGCAGAATTAATTAATATTAGTCGAATTTGGTGGAATCTGCAGTCTGCTTTTCAGGTTGCAATAACACTGTCTATGCGTTATGAATTAAAGACAGGTGAACTCGGTCCCAAGACAACTCGGCCCGAATCAACTCGGTCCAGGTCAACTCGGCCCAAAGTCAACCCGGTCCATTCGGGCAAAATAAATAAATAAATAAATAAATAAACGTAGGTTAACAAAGGTCCGATAGGTCTCTGTTATTGTTGATGTCCCCTAACGTTGATGGCTCCTAATATTTCGCCCCTTGTGCCTTGCTCGAGCAGTCCTTCCTAAAAGGTCACAGTTGACGTGGGACCGAGTTGACGTGGGACCAAGTTGACTCGGACCGAGTGGACTCGAAACCGAAACGAATGTATACAATCGAGTAGCAAACACACATTCATTTTGTGAACTGCCATGCAGTGTATATGTAGGCAGCAAACTTTTATGTAAACCCATGATCTGAACACCACTCACACACTCATTCAAAGTCACTTGTTGATTGTTTGCATCGTTTATAACAAACTTTTTTACAGTGTAACGTGCATCCTGATTTTGTTGGTTTACAGGCAGTCCGTCCACTCCGCCAACACATCTGAAAAGGGTCCTTGAGAAACACGACAAATTCGCCAAAGACTGCAGTGAAGACACACTGAAGGATAACACCTTTCAGTTGCCGTACATTGCAATCGGTTACTTCGACCATGATGGTGGAAGCCTGTCCTTGGGCAAGTACAATGTCCACCTGTACATCCCTCGTGGCGCACTTCCCAAAGGTCGACTACAGCAGGTGTACATCTATGTCAACCCTAATGCGCCACCTGTTGACGGGATCGATCCGTCAGATTGTGTCTTGTCACCGATGATCCAGTGCGGCCCAACAGGTCTGAAGTTTCTGGCGAGCGTTGTGCTGTCCTTCCCTCACTTTGCAAAGGAGGGAAGCGGATGGGAGCTGCGTGCACAGTTGTGCAATGACGAAGAAGGCTCGCTCAAAACCTGGAATAATCTTCATGCAAACGACGACGGCGTGCTGGTGTCGACTAAAGACAAGACCGTCGTTCTCCTGATGAAGCATTTCACAGGGGCAGCTCTAGTTGGCCAACCGTCCGCAACGAGCACCAAGATAATGATGGCTGGGGTATTTGGGACCCCCTTTGATCAGTCTAAGGATCTTTACAGTTTCCGGTTTCACCTCTGGAACAATGAACCAGTTGTCAAACAGGTAAAACACCTGGTTGTTTGTTTGTAATGGTTGACACTTTATTTTTTGTACACAATGCAAGGAGCGGAATATTTTGGTATGGGTGAAAAATATCGTTAAAAAATATGTAACTAATTAAACCGAGTTAAATATTATCATGGTCGATTTCTCCACGAATCTCGATGGTTCATCGTGATTGAATGACTCTACAAACCGTAGCTATTCGTAGTTCAAACCGTAAATGTGTGACTAGGGCTTTACGTTAACAAGTAATGTGTATACAGACGGCGAAATGATTTAGCATGAGCCTTTAAAATACAACTTGCAAATCCATGCTTTATTCACGTCGCACAGAAAGTTGTGGAATCGGAAAACGAAATGGGCTCCAAGCAGCTGGACGCTTACAGATCACTGATTGTCCGCAGATCGGGAGACGTGGACGCTGAAATCGAGAACATGAAGCCTGGCTGGGAAATGGCCACTCCTACTTTACAGGTAGTAGCGTTTTTTTCCTGATTGTCTATGTGATTGCCTGTATCTTTACCTGCAGACCAGAGCCTTTTTTAGTTGGAACAACTTCTATTGTCAAAAGTTGGCCTATGGCGTCAAGTGAAAATAACTGGCTTATATACAAAAATCAGACAGTTACTTTCAAACATAAAAACAGCATCCTTTTTAGAGGTTTGGCCTGGAGCAACAAAGTCAGAAGAGGAAACAAAGACAAAAGGCCATACCAGGGCTGACGTGGGTCTTTCTTGGAACAATGGATTCGGGTGATGTAGCAAGTGATATGCAAGATTGAAATGAACTCGTGATTGAAACCACCATTGAATTGCAACTCCCTAACACTGGTAATCGGCATTTTTTGTTTGTTGAAACAAAACTCACAATGCAGTGCTCCACCAAGAGTTTGCCAAGGAGAGTCAATTTTTCAAGTTTACGGTCTGCAAAACACGGCCCATTTGGATGAGTGTCAGTAGACAACTTGAGCTGATTTGCTATCGATTGGGGCATAGCGTTCTGCCGCCTTACACAAAAAAAACCCATACCATATTGGTAAAAAGAAAAGGAAATGGCAAACAAATGTCCATAACAGATAATCTTACGCTTAGGAAACTAATGACCCCCCCAAAAAAAACCAAAATGTGCCGAGCTAATAATTTGTCGACCATCTCACCACAGTGCACTAGGAAAAAAAATAACTTTCCGTGGCGAACTCCTGGTGGCGCACTGCATTGTGAATCGCCCAAATTGCATTTCCAATTATTGTTTTTTTTTCTTCAAATGAAATCAAAAGAGGCCCTTGATAACATTTAAAAGTATTTTTGACAATTTTCTGGCTGTTAGAAACAGACGATATCAGTCGAAAGAATCTGGGAGTTACCAACGGACTCTGTGACCTTTGACCTCGAGCGCCACAATTTGAACGAGGCTCCTCATTGCGACGCTTTCATTTCTCAGGAAGCTTCGACTGGAGGCAGGGTACGCTTCTCCATTAAACCAGAAAAGGTAAGACTTGAGGAAAAATGTACATAAACCATGTTAGCTGGAGAGTTTTTATATACATGTAACTTGTTTCAAAGTGTTCCGAGTGCGTCCAATCTGTTCCCACATCTATTTAGAGACCACTTTGCTTATTAAAAACAATAGCCAATTGCTAATGCACACCTGGGTTGATTTTCTGCTGATTTATTTCTCAAAAACCCAGTCTTTGAAGAAATAAAATGGCACGTTTATAGCTCTTAAGTAACTCAAGTCAGGGCTAATACTCTGGTGTGGTATACCTACATATTGTGTACATGTATATCAAATACCAACACATCGATTTCTGGCTGTGCTTCATGGTCACATGGGTCGCATGGCGGCGACCAAAGGAACCTTAACATGCCTTCGATTTGACCACGTTGTAGCCGCGTCCTGCACAATTTAGCTTCTCAGCTGCGAGGACGCTAATCGTTCCTCTCCCCAACAACAAAATGGGTTTAGTCCACATGACACCGATGAGCAATACAATTACCGATGTTTATACCTCCTCTGGCCTATGCAAGGGCGGATCCAGAACACAATTTTGGGGGGTGCCAAAAAAAATTGTGTCTCCCAAAAAGTGGGTCAAAAAATTACGGCGTGGGGTTCGGGGAAATTGTTTTGGATTCTCGATGCTCTGTGGTGCGATTCGAGGCAATTTCTGACCACTTTAGCCAATGTTTTTTTGAGGAAAGATGGTGGTGCACTCATTGCCTGCCTTTATTGCGACGTCACATAAAAAAACCCAATTGGTTTCGGTTGGGTTTTTTTTGGCGGGGGGGGGGAGCATGGCCCCCTTTGGCCCCCCTCCCGGATCCGCCCTTGTACCTATGAACAAATACAGATGCCCCTCACGGTAACAGAAAAGCTTGCATGTTCGTTTTCTCGTATTCGTCTTAAAATAGAGGGAGTCGAGACCAGAGACAGACAAGCCGCGTCCGTGCTACAAATGCCGACACGTAAGTTGAAAAGTATTACATTAGATATTTGGTAGTTTTGAAAGTCGTACTGATTTTCGTAATAAGTTTAGTTAAATTAGCCGTTTTCGAACTATTAACAAGCGATTTATTATATTTTAAGTTATTGTGAAGATATTTTCATACGCTTACATGGAAAACGTTTGTTGTCGATTGCAATTTGCTTTTGGGTGGGGAGAGATAAGGTCAAAATGGGGTTCAAACGACATTTATTTTGCGTTAAAAATATTTGTAAGTTTTATTTGAACGCTGGACCCTTCTAATCTTTGCGATGCATGCCTTTCATTGTCATGTCTTAACCTTCACATGGGAATATATGAAAAAAAAGTTTAATACAACTGGGCTCCTTGAATACTGAAATTAATTATGTGGTTTTGTTTTAGGATGCAGCCCGCGAAATCTGCCCTTCCTGTGAGGTGAGTTTGTGTAAAACAGTTTGTTTTCTTTTATGGAGACAGTTTGGTGAGAGACTATTCCAAGTAAAACTGCATCAAGTCTTTTCCTAGTTTTTTCTTCTATGTAATATTGTGCTGAGGACCGCCCCCGGTCACGACCTGAGAGCTGAAACATATAGGGTAAATGTTCTTGAACACTTTTTAAAGAACACATTCTAGTTAAATATAGTTTTTGAAAGATAGAAAAGCCGCAAATACTGTAAAGGTACATACACCTACTAAAATTTGTATCTTTGTGGAGTCATGTCTTTGTTCTCGTGTACTAACATCTTAGAATGTGGAAATCTAGTTTCAAAATGCTCCTATTTTACCAGAATTAATCTCCTGGGCTGAAATTCAGACTTAATATCCCTTACATAGGATACTTCAATTTTCGGCCGATCAAAGCACCTTGGAAATTCCTATTTTTTTTATAGTAAAGTCCATATATCTATTTCGTGATAGCCTTGTGGAGACGTATTCACCTATAAAATATTGCCCTGTGGAGAGGAATCCAATCTTTTGTTCCCTATATGATACACATGTCTCCACAGGGTACCGTGTATCGGACCACTGTACATAATTCGGGCCCTTTAAATGCGTCACAATGTTTACAAGCAGTTCGAATAAATAAATGTGTTTTAAAGTTAAACACCAGGTTTTATAGTATATGGACTGATTTTGTTTCAAACGTGTGAGTTTATCGATTGTCTTTTTAGGAGGCCATGGAATGTGTTCCAGTTCTCAAGAATCGAGACTTGTCGGACGGTGATTATGGAGGCTTGTCAGAGGAGATGGTATGCGCCGTGTATGGAGAACCAGACTTGGCCAGATTGCTGGTGGGAGCGGGGCAAGCAGATGTCGGCCAAAGCTCGATGGAATCACAGGATTCATTAACGGTCTTCTTTGGACGTCAGAGGGCGCGTGGCGTCCAAGACAGGACGGCTGTGAAGCGTCTGCTGGAATCGCTTGATGAGCACATTGTGAAGAGAGTTAGGAAGGAACTACGGGTGGCAGGTAAAGACAACTGAGTATCCCCTGAAATCCTGAATCGCTTACAATGTTATCACTCGACCAAAAACAAAATGATATCCGAAGCCTGAGCCCAAACTTGGTGCATGGAGACCCTTGTTATAGAAAAATGAGGGTTCCTGTATTTCTTTAACCATCTCATGAAAGATTCATACTGGACCCCTTTTAATAACTCCAGTAAAAATTGCAGTAAATTTAATACAAATTCAGGGCTACCGAATTCAATTGGCCGCTCACTTTTTTTAACAAAATGCAGTAAACCTTAGTTACAACTATTTAAAATTGTTGGTCTCCTTCGTAGCTAAAATTATTACATTTGCTCCTAGCCCCCGAAAACTCGCCAAAAGATGGTTCCACGTCGACGGGAAACCCTGAAGATAGTTCTCGGCTTGCCGTGAGTATTATGCTTGACAGTCTCTATCGATCGATGCAAAGTAATAGAATAGAATACTCCGTTATGAATTAGTGGATCTCGACGGAGGAAATTTAACTTTTCGTCCGCTGTTTTGATCAGCTCGGATGTTTCATTTTGTTTTATCTTTCCTCTATTAACTCAGGCACTATGGACTCCGCGCCCCAACAATCAGCGCTCGTTTAAACTTTTGAGAGCCCCGTAGACAGGACACACAGCTTGTGCGTACTGTGCTGTAGCATAGATATAGAACTTAAAGTACTATATGCGATGGTAGCCCAGACCAATCTCAACCCCCGGTAACTTTTGGGTATTCGAAATATGCAGTGGATGGACCGGAAACCAGTCTAGGTCTCGCCCAACTCTCCTTTTCTGGCCGTTGTGCATGGCGCCCATGGTGGAGTTTCCTTGTTTTTTTTATTGTTTCTTAGACGGTTTATGATTTTGTTTAACAGTTGGAAATTGCCGTCGAGCAACGCTTCCGTTGGCTTGCCACGAGGTTGGGATCAGAATGGGAGGCACTTGCCACTTGGTTGGGATTGACTAACGCGGACCTGTCCAAGATTAAAGACGAATACAGATATGAAGTCAGTAATCAGATGTTTGCTATGCTTGTGGAGTGGAAGCGGCAGTCTGGAAGATGGGATGAAAGCATCTTAGCCGGGGCCTTGGAGAAGGCTGGACGACTTGACCTGGCACAGCAGTTCCAAGGTGAGGAGAGATTGCAAGGTATCGTATCACATGTGTTTTAATATGATAGAGACATGGCTGGCCGGGTTTTTAAAACTATCCAGTGTAACATGAAATTTGGACTCTTATGAAAACCAGTGCCTTTTACCGTTTTATTGGTTGAACGTTCACAATCCTCACGTAGGCATGCACAATACTACCAGTGAGACAGTCTTTCGTAGTCTTGAATTCACAACGCACCGCCACAGCTGCATTCTCTGCCACGCGCACGCCAATCTCCATATACGGAGTTGTTCTACTCGCGAGGTGGACACTGCATTAGTTGCCTTGAGGGGAGTTTCGAAAAACATGGAGTGAAATTGTTGATAAAAAAAATCGTTGGACTAGTTTTCAATATTTGACACATTATGACTTTTTGACCGAAATTTTTTGAATTTCTACCGAAAAGGTATTTATTAATGGGAAGTAATTATCAGCGTCCAGTCTCCAGCCGGTTTTAAACAGAGTGTTTCAAACCGCCCAAGCACACATTTATTTCCTTAGTTAGAAACAGTGTTGCAGTTAATTTCTTGTCATCTAATCACTTGGAAGGTAATCAAAAATCCTCCTGTCCCACATCAATTTACAAGTTTTTTTTAAATGAAAAGTGAAAATCATATGTATTTCTTTCCGTCACTTTTGACCTTATTGTGATTAGTTTGTGATTGCATTGATTACAGCTTTGTGTTGTAAAATAAAACGGTTTGTTGAAACGAAAAATCCTCTTATACTTGCAAGGTGCTGATCGTGAACAATTAAGTCTGACATTTCATTATTCGTTGGTCACAGAGGACCGGCAAATTGCTTTCTTGTGTCTTCCACAATGACTTACTGACTGACTGTCACTTGTGACTTAGACTGGTTAACACTAGTGACGATAGCCGGGCAGTGCTGTTGTATAGGATTACCCCGCAACACCGATGAGTGGGCTAGAAATCAGTCCCACGGTGTGGATAGATTGAAGCACGCAAAGACTTTGTAAAGTTAATCTTCTGACGAGCAGCCACAAACAGAAAAAAATAAAAGAACTCAGGCGATCAAGACACGCGACACCTTGTCTTTCGAGAACAAAAGAGTGACCCCCGAAAGGTCCACTTTAATGTAAGCAACAGAGGGCGGTATCCTCTTTTACTAATTCGTCACAGACTTCCAGTGAATTGCTATTTTGAACCAAGTGAATATAATTATGTGCGCTCTGGATCGGCTTTAATGTGCTTCCCTTTGTCTTGTGTAATTGACATCCGCAAGACGTGATAATTCCATCTGTCTTCAGAAAACCAGAGGAGGGCTTCTATATCAGATTTATTATGAGCAAAAATCCTGCCTACCTTGGAGTTTTATACATGTAGTTGCAAGATCTGTTATACAGCGAGGTTTGTTAAACGACGTCCTATATACAGGGTGAGTAAAAAAAAAACCGAAACCCAAATGTTGGAACCATTGTTTAAGTCAAGTTTTGCACGTAGCACCTGCAAAATCTAGAAGCCCAATTCACAAGCTCTGTTTTAGTACAAGAATCATTCAAATAACTTATGTACTTCTTAAGTTACTGAGTTTTAAAAACAACCATCGCTTTAAAGTTATGTCCACGGATCACAAAAAAGGTGTGCGTTCTTTCAGCAAAACGAAAACAATTCACACACATCCTTATGTGATTTGTTTTCATTTTGCTGAAAGAACACTGAACTTTTTGTGATCCGTGGACAGAACCTTAAAACGGCGGTTGTGTTAAAAATTCCGTAACTTGAAAAGTATATAAATGATTTGAATGATTTTTGTACTAAAAAAAAATTTTGAATTGAGCTTCCATATCCTAGATTTTGAAAGTGCTACATGCACAACTTGACTAAACCAATGGTCCCGACATTGGGTTTCTTGTTTTTTTACCAACCCTGTACTGTCTCTAAACAGCCTGAAAATTTTTAGCTTTGTTTCGTATGATTAGTATTATAAAAAAGCATAGCAAATAGTTATTGCATCAATTTTAATTACTTATTTCGTTCTTATTTTCCCCCAGAAATACGTACGACATCAGGGTGTGAAGTAATTGAGAACATTAAGTAGTCAAAAGGGAGCATTTTTTGAGTGAGTACTTTTTTCAAGGTAAGCACAATAAAAGAACAGTCTTCCCAAATCTACCGATGTATGATTCGCGCGGCTTTGTTCCAATTTGCTTCGAGTGAGGTAATCTAGTTACACTGTTAATCTACTATGCGTGTAATAACAATCATGGCGTTTGTAAGTTATATGATAATTCCTTTTCAAGATTGAATTTGAATGATATGCCGCCACTTTTGAAGCCACGTGGGATCATTTGCAATTACCCGGAAGGGCCAGAAATATAATCCAATTGATTTAGTGACGAAACATTGTTCAAAATACAACTACTACTAATGCTACAGGGGACTTATATAGCGCACGCATCTACCAACAACTGCTCAAGGCGCTGGAAATAGTCGACAGCGAGGGAATGATATTGTCTATTTTAAATGGAGAAACTAAGTTCAGTTTTAAGGGCCCATACAATGTATTTTTTTTAAGTTGGCAGAATTTTCGATCTTTTTCTGTTGTTTTGTTTTCTTTGGTGTTTCGATGTTTTATTCAGTACATAGCAGTAAGCCTATGAACACAGGGTTCACAATTTGGACAGAATATCCCAAAAACTGAACAGTTTCTTCCTGAAATGATTTCACAGCAACAGCGCCCTCAGTTGTCCGGAAAATGCATGGGAAATTGTAAAATGTTTGTGCACTTTTCACTAAACTTAAACAAAAAGGAATGTCAAATAGTTTTCATATTTTAAGAGAAGTAAAAGGTTGCAGAAAATGTGCTCGGAAGAAAAATTCATCTCAGTGACCCTTTTTGGAGAAATGTGTTTGGTTTTTTTTGCTAAAAATTCATGTAAAAGCAAGGTGCATTAATACAGGCTGATGGTATTTCAAGAATATTTCTTTACGTTCCTTACCGTGTTTTATTTCTAAAACAAAACAGCTATGCTGTACGAACTAATGTCCAATTCTGCAATACCTTATAATAGGCCTTATGTGATACGTTAAAACGAAGTAAATTGAAGTAAAAGTGTAATAAGTATATTTCTTTTTAAATGTAAAGAAAACGCTCAATTACATGTTTTTAAAATTGCATTATTCGTTTAGTACTAACATTTTCTGTATTTCTAGAATTGACGGATTTTTTTCTACATTTTATGTATGCTAAATTACACGTTTAGCTTTTTTTATAAATCATCTGATTAAGTATTTTTTTTACATTTCAAGCAAAACAAATATGCTTAGAAGAGAACGATTTTTATGATGTAAATGAAAACATTACCAAGTTTAAAAGTCTGCCGTCTGTAAGCCCAGTGAATATATAAATTAGATGCTGCAACTATTTTGGTTCATAATTATCATGGCAGCCATCTTAAGTATATTGAGTTATAATTGTACAGCTCAATGCCTCGCCTTTCCCAAACAGCGCGCTCTCCTTGTTGTTTATCAAAGTTATCTTAGGAGTAGCGCCTAGGTGTAGTACAGCAAAGAGGTTTAATTGCTCCAACAAAATCCTACTGTCCATTGGTTTTTTTTTTAACGACATTCACATTTTGGATTCACCGGTGATCGAACCCATAACCGAATTCAGCATCATTTAGCCCTTTGAACTCTAACCTGACTGGAGATCGATATTAAACATGGCATATCTAATAATGTTGTTGTAATTGCTATTTACACATTCATATTCCAAGAGAAAAGTTTCTACGCGACTGTTTAACAACTCTAGCCGGTGTACCATTTGCGAAAAAAATATCACCAAACGAATATTGTGCTTAAGAGACAAAACATCCCGAAGAATGATTATTTTAAAGGTACAGGTTAGGATTGTGCAATTATCACGTTTCTGTATAATACTGTTAGTGATATCAACTGTTTGTATACCGACTGTGACATTGTTCGCATCGAATGCTAAGTTTTGAAAACATTCACCGATTAACCATTAACCAGTTTGAGAACTAATGCATGGAAAGAATGCGGTATCGTGACATCACCATTTTATGATATCATTACATTCGAACTGAAGAATGGTTCATCGGCTTTATTCAGTTTATTTTTGTATTTTCTTTTGGTGGGGGGATATAGACGTCTACATGGTGTATAAAAAAGAGTAACCCAAATGTGAATGTAAATTATCTATACTATTCGTATAGCTTTGTGTGTGGCCATGTGGTGGTCACGTCGAAGGCATTAACTGGGCCATGAGGGTTTAACTTCAACAATGGAGGTGGCTAAATCACTGTGTCAAAACTGAATAAGTTGTTTTAAGGAAAATGATTAATGAAAGGTTTGCGGAAACACCATGTGCGAATGATTTCTCAACTAAGAGAATGGTTCTGAAAAGAACCAGAGGTATAAACTCGACGTTCCGGTCAGTATGCTTTGACCGTCTTCAGGAGAAAGAGAGAGAAAAGGAAAATGACGTCTTCTTTCTTCAAATTAAACCGTTCCACATGCTCAGAATACCAGATGCCCCTTTGCACAAACTTGGCCTAGTACAGGCTTTGACTCTTGACAGAATAACAACGAATGCTCAGTCATCCGTGGCCACAGACACTGGCACAATCAAGGTATCAATGGAAAGAGGACGCGTTGGCGTTTCACACTGATTTTTGAACTTATTTGAAAATATGTATTATATTATTGATAATTTACATCTGGGTTTCCTTTTTTATCGATACATCCTTAGGCGGCTGAATATTGCTCTTTTTCTTTTGCCTCGCAATAATATTTGTATGATTACAAGCTTCTGCAGTTGTATAAAAATAAAACCATACAGAAAGCTCGTTTCAATTTCATTGGACTTCTTTCTTTAATGGGGGTGAAAACGTATATTTAAAAAAAAATATCGATTGCATTCATTTCAGCAGCAAACCTTATTAAAGGTGTGTTTTGTTATATTAATTCTGTATCAACGAGGGCACAATAAACCTACTCGTGTGTATCGTTGCACAATAGACCTTTATCATGCTGCCACCATTTCAGTCATGTTCCCTGTATCCAATAACAGTACTGAATAATAATATTTTTTTGTGCAAAAAGGAACCAGACTATTTTGCCTTCCAGCCTCGCCTTTGTTACCTTGATTTGAATGGGAAAGAATCAACATCATGGCCGCAACATGATAATGGTCTATTGCACAAACAGCAAAGATGGCCGCAAGGCCATGCGCTTATGTATACTCACCGGGTGTTAATACTAGCATTGTCGAAGCCAGTCCATTGGAGTAACGAACAATTTCCAATTCTGATATCATTCAAGCTTTTTCATTTCGTATTGCAATCGGGATTTAGCTCTGGCAGGAGCTTCTACGAAGCACTTTGGTGTCAGTCGGTCGGTCCCCGGAAAATTTACCAAAAACCAACCCCCTAGGTTCCTATAAATTAGCAAATTTTACTTAAACCCACCCCCCCCCCAAAAAAATTGAAACACTTCGCAAAAATTGTTTGTAACAATTCGTGAAGCTGTTTATAAAAATGTTGTCAATGGAGGCAAGATATGTGCGGTGATGTTATAGTCACGTGGTGTGTACCGTAGGTTGATGCGTGATCTTGAGATCTCATACACTGTTTTTGTTTTTGAAATTGGAATAAACTGACGCAATATCAACAACATTTTTGGTCTGTAGTACTCAAAAGTGCAGAACCGACAAGAGCTTAATTGTCGCCGACTCTAGTGTCCCCACAATGGCCGTTCCCATTTTTTGCAAAGCAAAGCCGAAAGGTACCAAAAAACCCAGAGACATAAAAAAGATTAAATTCACACGAACTGATTTTGTTGCACTTGACAGAAAGAAGAACTTGCCTTTATTTTCCAACCGTACATGACTCAAGACTAAACTAAAAGTCAAATTGGAGCTCGGGGTTTCGTAGTGAGTTTCAGTATGACAAAATGGCTCCCATGGATAAAACGTGTGGAGTACAGTGCACAACTTAAGCTTTACGTGTTGTTACTACATTCAGTCGCCTTATTGGACCGATCCGTTTAGTCCCGCCCACTGCGCACAAGTGGCCACTGCGCACGTAGGGAAACAACCCGTGCGCGTCTTCCATGCCACACTGCACGTTCTAGCCACGCCCACCACAGGCGCGTGCAAGCATGTCAGACTTTTGTGCACGCATGTCGGACATTAATCAAGACTGTGATTGGTCAAACCACACTGGGCGGGGCTTAATCGATCGGATACAATGATTTATTGGTTGTTATATTTCCTCCAGATTTTACTGCGCTCAAGTTAAATAACATGATGACAAGGATCCCGTATACCTCCGTGTACATGGATCCATATTATGCCTAATTTATTCAACAAATTCAAATAAGGTACATGGTATTAGTAGCACTAAGTTGTATGTGGGTATACTTTGTTACTGTTGAAGGTAGATTAAAAGCTAAACAGAATATGAACACTCCGGTTCCGTAATCGAATATTCTCCCAACACCAACACTGCATAATTAATGTTAACTCAAAACTTTAACAGTTATTTAGAGTATTGAAGGCTTATAAACACCAAGCTCACGTCAATAACAACGAAAGCCAAACAGTAGAAATCGGGTTCTGATGTCTGAAGAAAAAAAAATCCATTCTTAGCGTCAACTTTGTGGATTATAATTCTTTCGATACTTTAAATACCATTAGTTCTTATGACGAGGGTTTATATCGCTATCTAAACTCTAAATGTTGATGAAGGATACCGAAAAGTATTTGTTATTTAAAATTACACAATTATCGAATTTAGTGACGTATTGGAACATCCAGCGAATACAGCCTCTGTGAGCATCCTTGTCTGTAGCTCCATCGAGCGACCAAGGGTGAAGTCTGAGCCGGTTTATTACCTGCACACCACTGGGTCGGCTCCGGGGCCAAGCCTCCTGTCGCAGACACAACCTGAGTTGCCGAACGCGTCAGGGCAACCTATAGCAAAGTGGAGAAACGGGACAACAAAATTATATTTAATACAACGGGATTTGCCCTTTACCAGCGTGTTTTTTTTTTTTTTATAAACTCAGTGTTGTACCTAGTAATGATGTAAAAACCCGACCCAAAACCGACTTCGGGTCGGGTCGGGTCGGTTTGTCCATCTTTTCAGTCGTGTCGGGTTAGGGTTTGCATTTACATTTACAGGTCGGGTCGGTGATGTCGGTTTTGAGAAGAAAAAAAAACCGAAATAAACCGACAAAAAAAACGAAACAGTTGAGATATTCAGGTGATGCAATATCATTGACAGTCACTGTGACCGCAGCTCATTGTGGTGTGGCCAAATAAAGTCCGCACTATCAAGTTCCCACGGTATTTATATCTCCGGTCGATCAGGACTGACAGTGAAAGAGATACATTGTAACAGTTTTCATGATACCGCGTAGTGATACCAGGCGTTTGTTCAATAAGCGGAGTTACTCCCGATCGTGAGATAGAGAGAGAGACGATGGTTTTGCAAAAGAATTCATGCCAAGTGGGTAGGAGCAGGCACAACAAAAAAAGTGATCACTGTGTACAAGCCAGCTATTGGGGTTTTTGGGGTCGGTTCAGGTTAGGATCGGTTCGGGTTGGTTTTACCTTATTTTTTTGTCGGGTCGGTTCGGGTCGGTTTGAGGGAATTAAGATCGGTTTCGGTTCGGATACGGTTTATATCTCTAATGTTTCGGGTCGGTTTGGCCTGGTAAACCGGACTCGATGTACATCATTAGTCCCTAGTGATTGTGAAAAAAATATTAGCACTCGGTTGGCCTCGAGCCCAGTCCTGCTTGCTAGTGCAGACGTCTTACCACTCGACCACCGAGCTTGCCGGGGTCGGCTGTCTGATTCGAATCTGAATCAATTTACAGACAACCGGAATTGTAAACAATCAGAATAAAGCCAATTTGCTGGGTGTTTGATCGAATATCTTAATGGTCAAAATAATGGTCAAAATGTAAATCGTCCAAGACGTCTGACTCCTTCCGTTCATTCCTCCACAGTTCCTTGTATTTTCAGTGAATACTTACTGAAGTAAGCGCTGCCTCTGCTCTTCCTGCCCTTTTTCCCCCTCTTCACCATCTCGTACAAAGCGTCATCAGCAAAGTCGTCCTCTTCGCTGGCCATGACGAAGGCGGTCAGTACGGCCAAAGCAAGGATCACGAAGAACATCTTGGCAGCCATTTTGTTTTTAGTTCTAGTGCAAATATACAATTCATTTTTGTTAGAATACAACAGTGAGATACACAATGGTTAAGATATTAGTTTCACTATTATTAATTTGTTGTTAAAGTAATGTAATGGACAGTTTATGTAGCACTTTTGTTGTGGCTTTTGTTCCTAGCCGCCGCCGGAGAGCTCTGATGGCGCATTGTTGGCGCGTTGCACCACAGGTGCGCTTACCTTGTTTCGGGTCTGGCGAGCGCGCGCTCCGGAAATAGGTTAATTAAGAGGGTTCTATTTTGTTTATTCTTCAATGGCACTTCTACACTCTATTCGCAATCGGTGCAATCATATTAACAGTAATCGTAGCGGGCATGGTTTATATATGTATATATAACTATTAATTGTTTTCTTCTGTTATTGGTATACAATTTCAGCATTTAAATGTAATATTAAAGTTTTAAAAAATGGCTTGTTTGGGTAAGCTTATAACTTTGTTATGTTGTATGTTCCTGTATTATGTGATTGTCAAGTTACTTATTTCCTTTTTGTCTGAATTAGAACGCGCCATTTTGACTTCTTGCCCCATCATTAATGTTTAGGGCTACTGAGTGAATAAGTTAAAGTGATATTTCCACAAAGCGATCATACCAATCAACAGACTGGTCAATTTGGTGTTCACAGAATAATCAAGTTGTTCTACCCAGTATTTTATCGGCAAGTGACCAACATTTATTTCCTTCTATCCCTTTGAAATTTTACCTATTTAAGCTCTTCTAGGAGCTTCTACAAGTCACTTTGGTGTCGGTCGGTCGGTCGGTCCCCGAAAATTTACTTAAAATATTACAATGTATACCCAAATTGAGCAAGTGCCATGCTGTCGTCAGTAAATGCAAAAAACTGTTTGCAACCATTCATAAAGTTGTTTATGAAAATGTTGTAAACGGAGGCAAGATATGTGCAGTAATGTTATAGTCACGTGGTATTTTCAGTAGTGGTTGGACGGTATCCAGAAGGAGGAAATGAAAATATACTAAAGGTATGGTGTTCCGTATGTGCCATCGGCGTCGCATTTTTCGCCAGGGCTTATTGCGCACTCGCATTTGTTTAAAGTGTACTCTCTAAATTCTAAAGAGTGAAAATCACTCAATTCGAGTGTAGATTCACTCCCACAGTCTAAAACTAGGGACTAAACGTTTTAGAGTGAAATTTCGTCAATCGTAAAGATCGAGTTTCACTCGAGCTTCGCCTGAAGTGGTTCATTTTTCAGACAATGTCAATCGAAATGAGAGTGATTTTCACTCTAAAACGTCTAGTCCCTAATTTCACTCTTTGGAATTTAGAGAGTATCGGTTCTCCCGTCCAATTTCACTTCTTGGTCATTCGATCCTAAAAAAAAAACAATGTTCATGCCATTTCAGGAGGCTTTAGAGAGTCGGGAACGAATGCGGTTTCTAAATCAAAGTTAAGAGTATTCAATTTCGTTTAAGTGTGTTCAAAAGCGTAAATGTGGTCCAAAGTTGTCGTGCAAGAAAATTCCATTTCGTTTGTTGGCTTTCGATTTGCACCAAGTAGGCAAATTCGATAGAAGAAGTATTAATTTTCAATGAAATATATTGGTATAAATTTTCTAGTCAGAATTAACAATGGAGCCCAACGACTGTGTTAATTGAAATTAAAGTATCTATCCGTGGAATTTGAATGATACAAGTGTCAATGTAACCGGGAAAGGTATACTGAATTGTAATACTTATGACAAACAGATTGTAAGGCCAAAAAAAAAGTCTCCGGTTTCTGGTATGGAGCTTGCCCAAAAAGTGGTGCGGCGACGCGGTTTTTTTTTTTTTTTACCTGTTTTTTTTTGCTTCAAATGTCGGCGGATGACTGCAAAATGGTGCCCGACTAAACTAAGCGCAAATATATGGGAGTCCAGAGAGGCCACATGAAACTTATTCTCGATCATAACCCCATCTAAAAACACGTTAAAATTGTGCAGCAGCAGGATTCCAGTCAAACCAGTGAGTTTGGTGGTTTTGAGACATCATCTTTCATTGAAAAAAAAAACTGTTTCATTTTGCCGACGCGCATGGCTACGGCGACGCGCACGCATACCAGAAACCGGAGACTTATGTTTTTTTGGCCTAATGGGAAAATGTGACCAAAATCACACGCCAAATGACTTTCTTAAAAGAAAGTCAGACGGAAGGAACAGGCAGCGACATTTAGCTTCACAAAGGTGCGTCGGTTAAAAAAAAAGAAAAAAGAAAAAAGCACTAACAGCCGACTACTAATTAGCCAACTGCATTTTTATCAACTGAAGATAATGACTGAGGGGAAATATCCAGCACCACATCAGAAGTCTGTTCAAGAATGTCGTTGTGTATCAGTTCATGTGCTCAATAATGAAGACATAACAAGTGTGAACATTTCAGGTGTCTCATGACAAAGTTCTCTAGGCCTACATTAGTTGTGAACAGCTCAAACGATCATAATGATTTGCGAGAGTATTTCTTTTCTTAGGACGGCGATGATTTTCAGTGCTGCAAAGATTACCACATCCCGTCTGTGAAAACAAGGAATCAAGACAACTTACCGTTGCAGGTTCGGCGTGGAGACAAGATTTGAGCTAGTTGGTAAAATCGTCCGGTGGATAAGAGAGCTCCGCTGTCCCCCTTTTATAGCTTCTCGAGTACGTTAGCCCACCTGGCATTCCCGACGAAGCGCAATGTTCCGCGTCGTATCCTTAATGGAGATATCAATCAAAAGCCGTCTTAATTGGTAATAACCGCAGGTCCTCACTTAACCAAGCCCGTCGAAGCGTTTCATTTGACCTAAAGACTCGATCAGGCGTAATCATGCTCCCACATGGTACGGAGTAATTTCCTGATGAAAAATAATAAGTGGAGTGAAGGGGGACGGTGCGTATCCACAGGCATTCGAGGGTATAATCACTGTAACAAATGTAAGACTATTTCGAGAAACATCGAGTGATTTTCAATTACAAGTTCTTGATACTATTATGATCCACGGAGAGTTTAGCCCTTTGGGATATGGTGCACACAATATGGGGGCGCTATTTTGAGTGAGTCAATTTGTGTCATTACAAAACAATTATACCACTAGTGTCCTATATCTCATATAGTGCCTGCTGTCTTATATTAAAATATCCTATTATACGCTGCCTGTCTGATGTCTGTGTGCCATGTTTTGTGCGTGTGTGTGTATAAAAGGCATAAGGAGTGTGCGGAAAATGCAAGGGTTAATGAAGAGGCATCTAGCATATGCAGGTCCCATGCTCCGATTTCAACGTCCTCTAAAGTCACGGTTAGCACTTGGAAAAAATGATGAAATTGTTGTGCTTTTTTTTTGGCAAATTGTTTGTTTTGTTTTGTTTTAGACTTTCTTTAGTTAATATAACTTTATCTCTATATGAAAACACTCCAAAACGTATCACTATTACACAAAACATAACGTTGACGATGACAAATGTGGCCAAATTGCTTCACCAAGTTTACCATGCCCACTTGGGGTCAACATGCAAATTGAGTTCAAAGTAATATATGACACCACCCAGCTAGTGGGTGCCTCGCAAAGCGCGGCATCCCGCTGGTATCTCAAAAAAATGGGCTAATTAGGTGCTTTATGGGCATGCATTGACTAGAGAAGGCGCCCTGCGGTCTACTCATGGGAGTCAGTGAAGGGCCATGCAACATGTCGCTTGCCTCGTTTTTAGTGTATGTTTTGCATTGTTACCACCATGTGACCAAGGGTGAAATTATTGCCCGGGCTATACTTAATTCAGGCGCCTTACGGTGGCCTTGTAAATTTAGTACATGATTGGGTTGGGTTGAGTGGGATATGGAGTGGGAGGGGTGCAAGAGAACAGCATAACTTTCATGTATTTGGTGGTGAACTATATTGCCAAAACCCATTATTAATTTTAATACGCCTCACCTGGGATCTACCTGATGTTCCCCAATACCGATGTTCGCCACTCTCGATGTTCCCCAAAATTCTTAGGATTAGGGTAAGGGTTAGGGTTAGGGTTAGTGTTAGGGCTAGGGTTAGGGCTAGGGTTAGGGTTAGGGTTAGAGTTATAGGCTAGGGATTTCGGGGAACATCGGTATTAGGGAACATCGATGTTGGGGGCCTAGGTATACACCCCCTATCAACTCTTGTATGTTGACTGTTTTGAAGTTGGCCGTGGATAACGGATGCTAAGAAGGCTTGCATTTACAGCAACTATAATCGAAGACTTTTGAGACACTCGATGGCGGCATACCATCGGTTCTGTTGTTTACATCATTTAAGCAACCGATTTCGGTCGAGGACTATGGTTAACAGCAGTTCGACTAAACTCTCTCGAATGATACTACAAAAGTTCTTCACATTTCGTCCAGCAGTTTTTTGACAATTTGACTCGAAAAAGCGAACTATTTGGCCATTGTGGACGTTCAAAAACGTACCCGCGCCTACGTTGAAAAAATCCGCCGCGTATGACGCATCGTACCACATGACGTGAACTGTCCAATTAGACACCAGATATGAGGTCGCAGGTCATGACTCTTAACAAACATGGCGGCGTCCATTGCCGAAAGTGCGTCAACGTAAACATCAACCGGTGCAAAAAAAAGTGTTTGCACACATAATCTGTCACGTTTGAGGGGGGGGGGGGGGAAATGCGAAGGATCTGATGTCCGGTGATAGTAAGTTCACTTCCTGTGCCAAAGAGTGGCTGAATTTCACAATATGGCATCGCCGAATATACCCACGATGTGTGGGCAGTGGATCTGCTATGTCTGTATGTACAGTAGGCTACATGTACATCACTACATGCACTACCGGCGCATGTAAACAAGGCAGTCCAGCCGGCCGACCTCACCTGTGGCGGTTTTTATAGATAGTAAACGTCTCAATGCTGCAAGAAAACGCAAACCAGACACTTCAGCTGAGACCCAGATTTCTTCACCGAAAAAGCTCCGGGCAAAGTTCAAGTTTCTTTTAATTGCCTATCCACATAAATTGTGTCATGCTGCACACAAACTCAACCAGGATTTTGATTTCGATGAAAAGCTCAGTTCAAGGACAAGCTGCAACAGAACAACAAGCAGAACTTCCGTTGGAGGTAGGCCTACATGTCATTATAATGAAGGCGATTGTGTATTTATGTGCCCAAAAAGGGAACAAAAAAAATCCATGTTTGGGTTAAATTGTCTTGAATTGTAAGGTTTTAATTTCTTTGAGGGAAACTGGGGGTGACACAACGATAAAAACGCAATGCGAAAACAAGGCCGGTGGTCACCAAGATGCACCGTGAATGTACAGAACCGCATCGATTTGGATGGCGTCAACTGAAAATGCATAGGAAAATTTTCTTGCAAAAGATACCATTCAAAATGATAACAGATAGGCCTACCTGGTTATAAAAAAACACCTTTTTTTCTCTACAGCAGTCGACTGTTGGGTACGTCACTTGTCTACCGAATGGTTCTCGGACTGTACTTTCCTTTTAAGGAAATTCTCTAAAGTCAATGAAGAAAAATGTCTTCAATGACAAATAGATCTAATTTGAAAAACCCAGTAAAAAATGTTTGTTTTTTTTAGTTCCATAATTCAAACCGAGTACCTCTGGCGCTGAAAATAAATGTCTAACATTAAGATGCTAAAGTACAACGGGTACTGCACAAAATCCCATAATAAAATGTTGTGCAGTCTCTTTCTCCATTGTTGAAGGATACTTTTATGGAGGTATGAGGGTAGTCTTTTCGTTTGTTTAAAATAGTAAATTAGCTTTTTATAGAATTTACTATTTGATTCTATATATGTAAAGGATGAACGTCGGGAAAAGGGAGATGTTCTGCGACTGACCACGATCAACAACTATAGTTTCATGAGAATGTCCCAGCTTGCTGAACTGTTGGAATCATGAGATGATTTAGAAGCCGAAGGAACTGGCCTTGGATCTTTATATCGGTAAGATGTTTTGATTGTTATTCAGAGTGCAAACAAAAATAAAGTTTAATAGAATATTCAAAATAAAAACTTCTTGATATTGCTTTGGAAGCTGAAAAGGTTGGTTTTCAATAGCTACCAGTGTTTACATATTTACAGTGGAAGGCAAAACGATCGAGCACATGATCTTTCTAGTAATTTAACTCTAGATTGAACAAGTTGTTTTCTTTCTTCTAAAGCACGTCCACAGTAATCATTGTTTTTGATCATCAGATACTAAACCTGTCTATATTTTACTATTTTTTTTTTTACAGAACTGATAAGTTGACATATCGGCTTAGAAGAGAATATCCACAGGTCTCTTTCCTTGAATATATGCGACATCATCTACACCGCTACTTTATCTGCTGGAGGTGTGGTTGAATCTCTGGCGACTTCAGAGGAGGATTCAAAACTGCAACTTTGGCTTAGAAAGCAAGACATACGCTCCATCCTGTTGTTATGCCGTTACTGCACAAGATTTGATGAGAACTTTGATGTAGTGATAACATTTACTTGAAGTTGTATCAGCACGACTAGTTAGCATTTGACATTTTAATGAAAATAATGAGTAACTTCTAGATTTCAAAACTACATGATTGTATCCTTCTGTTTATTAGTGTTGGTTTTATTCATTTTTATTCTTTTCATTAATTAAAAATTAGTACCAGTAGAAAAGCAAATTCTGTGAATTTTAACAGTGAGACTAGCCACATATGACAAGCCAAATCACTCTCTTTAATGTGTTAGCATACAAAATAGCATGAGTTATGGTTTTGTTTTCTTTTTATTGATATACATGCAAACATTTTTCGGTGCTAATCAATGTATCAATAAATAAATAGCTGAAATTTTCTTTAGCAAAAGACTGATCTTAAGGCTTTTCTCCAAACCAAGATGGCCAGGGCTGTTTCGATCAGATAGCAAATAAATGTACAATGGTTGATTTCTGAAATTATTAAACCAGACTCTGACTTCTGATGGTCCTTCGATTTGTAATTGTATTTAAAGCCTGTTTCATTCGTACAAGTAGAAGTTTCTTTAAGTGACGTACCTGGTTCACCACAGCAGATCCAGAGGGTTTGGGGGGCATAGCACCCATTTTTTTTTTTTTTTTTACATGTGTTAGTTTGCTTTGTTTAAAGGGGCATGTCTTGTCTGCATTCCTGTTTTTCCTGCTGGTTACATGTACCGGTATTTATTTACTCTAAAGACACCTCCATTTTGAGCACCCCCCTCGCTTTCATTAATGATGAGCTGGTTCCACTACTGCATTATAAACCTTCAAAATAATTGCATTATTGTATTCTGCCAAATAAGTTAGATTACAGTGAAATATTTTTGGGAGAGGGACTGTGGTGATGTCTACCAGATGAGAAAACAAAGGGTCATGTGCTGTGTTACCCAATTGCCAATATACATAAAACATATTCTTTAACTCTAAATCTCCTGGGTCAGATTGACCCAGAATCTGAATCCAAATTTGCTCAGTCCTTTTCTGGTTAAAAAAAATACATATTTCGGTCAAATAACCGAGAAACCTGTCTTTTTTTTTACTCCAAATGGGTCATTTATGACCGAGAAACATGTCTTTTTTCACTCCAAAGAGGTCATTTATGACTCAAAAAGGGGTCATTTTTTGACCCGGAAAAGGACTGAGCAGATTTGGATTCAGATTGCGTGTCAGTCAGACCCAGGAGTTTCTAGAGTGTAGGATGTGACAAGCTATAGTGCTGTAGTTTTGAAATTGGAAGTGCCAACGCAAGGCCTCAAACCGGATAATGTGGGTTTTTAGCATACATACATGTACATAACATTAGCAAACTTTGACGAAGTGTAACAAAAAAACTGCAGCAGATTTGATGGAGAACTTCTAACATAGTGTTTGTGATGTACTGAACACCACATATGTGCATTAAAAAAGTAGACCCAGTGTTGCTGGAACGTAACTCATTTTACAGCCGGTTTTTGAGTTTCAGCTGATGGCCTAAGGGAGCCAAGACCCAGAAGTCAAACATTTTGTGATGACGTTTTGACCAGTGTTTGCGCCTTCGCACGTTGCTATTAGTGCGCCAGCTTAAGTTAAGTCCCGAATCAACCACTATTTGACTGATGGTCCTCGCCCGAACTTGTTCATAGATTTAACCCCCTCAACATGAAGGCAACAATTGACCTATCACCGTTTGTGACTTTGGCCACGCCCCTTAGACAACCCTATGGAATGTTTCGTTAAGTTTTGTTTGTCTCAGATTTTGCGCGTTCAGCAGCGTCCATTTGTATGATGTGATTGGACAATATTTCACAAGCTACGTTGACGCGATTCTACCGCGATAGGTTAATTGAAAAGGACCGGTGTGTTAGCTACCACCAATCACCTGGAAAGTCGTCCATTGATACAGCCGATGCAGTAGTCAACATATTGAGAAGCAAGATCGTAAGTGCAAGTTGACATTCCCTTGTCCCTCTGTCATCAGTTTCATCTCTGCTTTGCCGTGAACTGAGCTTCGAAACTCTTCTGGATGCTCCCTACAACACGGATGATCATATTCACATTTTGGCAGAGAACATTTCCGCGTCCCATCTTTATAGTCAAGTGCTTAGATCCAATTTTAGACAAGATCGTGACCGACTGGTCCAAAGCACCAAACTTGGCAGATAGATTCTTACAGCCACAGAGAAGAAGGGGTGACACCTGAAATTCTGTTGGGAAGGGTGCTTTTAATTTGCATAAATCGTAAATAGCTGCTGTGCAATATATTTACTCTCATACTTTTGTATACTGTATCTTCCAAGTTTGGTGCTTTGGACCAGTCGCTCACGATTCCGACCGTAAGCTACGTCGGCCAGTACTCACGATCACCGAGTATGGGGAACAGAATAAACTACCCAAAACACCTGGTTCGCTTTATATTGCTGCCGACACTAATAAACGGCTTTATTTCAAGATAAATGACTTATGTCAAATCGATTTAAGCTTTGGTACATTCATGATATGTTTGCTAAAGGAGAACATCCGATAAAGACGGAAAGTCGAGGGACAGTATAAAATTTCACAGGCGTACGACAGCTCACGATGTAAGGCCTATCATGAAATAGGTTGCAACTGCTCATTGCAAATGCTCATACAGCCGTTATAACTTGCACACAAAACCCCCCTCTTCTTTGGTGTATACCTGGGACTTTACAAATTGGTAATAATTGTCTTGAAAAATGAACAAAACTCTATTACGGCAAACTGAAGTTATTTAGAACTTGCCAAATGACACTCAGTACAATTTCATCTTGTTTACGACATGAGTATTCATGATAATTTATCCTTTTTTTTTAAATACAATAATAGGACATAGGCTAGTTGCCTTGTTGTAAGGTTAAACAAAATCTTTGGTCTTAAAAATACATTCGACCGAGTTTACGGTAGCTTCGGAACATCCTGCGGTGGTATCTGACTAGGCCAGATGTGAGCAGATCCGGGCCGGGGTAGTGCATGTACTTAGCCGCAGGTGACGGCGACTCCACCCTTCCTTCTGTCGCAGACGCAACCGGGGTTACCGAACTCGTCTTCACAGTCTAAAAGGAACACGAAAACAAGGCAACATAATAGAACTCACACTCGGAACAGCAATTGCCCTTTTTCACGAGAAAGCCATTTTGGTCGGGTTCCCTGAATGCATTGTTTACTGTTGAATCAGATGGTACCAGACTATTTATACATTCTAGCCTCCCTTTCATTTTTTGGTGGCGTAAAACACTAAGGTATGTTTAATCAGAAATTAAAAATCTAAAAATTAATGTGGCCTGACGTTGCGAACTTAGCAAGTTCTTCTTCAGAGGCTAAAACAGAAATGACAGAGGTACATACATGTACATTAACATGGGGGTGCACACAAACATGCAGGGATTTGTTTCATTAGAGCAGACTGGTATTATTGTGTAATTAACTTTATGTCATTGCTTTGATTTCTCTTCGCAATAAGGCCCATGCTGGGTTCTCAAATATTCTTTATTTCTGCAACGTGGACCTTCAATAGTTGGCTAACCCGTGGTTGATAAAAAGGTCTTTAGAGCGTGCAAGTCTCACCAGTCCACGTTCACATTTCATGTGAACGTCTTGTTGCCAAACACTGACTAGTCTATCGTCACAGACTCCCGTTTTGAATTTACCATTTTATAGGGGCCTAATAGTAATCGATTCGCAATAGTTTCAATATATATTGTAAATTGTAATGCTTAGTTTCCTTTCCAACCCATTCATTGCCCTTGATTGGATGGGCCCAGTCAGGACACAGAGAAAACTAGAAAGCACTCTGAGAGCGCAAACCCCGGCCAAGGCCAAAAAAATCCCCGCCATATTGTCAGTACACCCAAAAGAAATACTCGCATAAATGGTGAAGAATCCTTTAAAAAAAAAAAAACCAGAGATCCGGATCAGTTCCAAAATCTAATCAATTTGTACTAATTTGTTCTTGTAAATCCGTCCATAACTGTTTGAGTTATCTTGTTAAACAACAGACAAACCAACCAACCAACCAACCAACCAAATCCGCTAAAAACATAACCTCCTTGGCGCCCTAACTTTTAAGTACAAGACTTAGTGTAGCAACTTACTGAAGAAAGGATTGCCCCTGGCACCCTTCCTGCCCTTTCTTCCTCTCTTCACCATCTCGTACAAAGCTTCATGATCAGCAAAGTCTTCATCTTCTTCGCTGGCCATGACGAAGGCGGTCAGCACGGCCAAAGCAAGAATCACGAAGAACATCTTGGCAGCCATTTCGGATGTTTTTTTCTATTGAAAAGAAAAAGTTGGGTTTGTAGTGACTAGTGGGGTGAATGAGTCTTCTCGATCAAGAAAAATTAATGGCTCAGTATCCAAAGCTTTGTTGGATAAAAATGTATGTTGATTGTCGGGATGTGTCTAAAAGATGGCATCCAATCCACGACCCTGTTACCCATAGCGTGGAATAGACAGAATTGTAACGAGTCACTGATTTTTTTTAATTTTTTTTTTTTTGGACTCGAGTCGAGTCGAGTCGAGCCATTTCAAGTGAAGTCAGGTCATAAGGTGAAGAAGGTCAAGGCGCGTCACATTGTGTTGTCGAGTCAAGTCGAGTCGAGTCTAATGATGAGGGACTCGAGTCGAGTCATTTTCTCTCACTGACTCGAGTCGAGTCGAGTCGAGTCACTTACCCGTCGTGACTCAAGTCGAATCATCAGAAATGATTAGACTCGAGTCCGAATCGAGTTGAGTCATTGCCTCGAGTCATTACAACTCTGGAAATAAATTGACTTAAAAAAAAAGTTGCAAGTTTCTCTGACAATTCAACTTAAGATAAAAAATTAAACACAAATTCGTGTATAAAGTTAAACATGGCAATTAAATTACAATGCATTTTATTCAAAGCAGGTTACACTAGTCTGCCTAACATTGGAAAAGTATATGCCTATTATAGCTGTATGGCTCAAGTTGACCCCTCAGTCATTTTAGCATCCGATCAGCCCTATCATGCTCCCTGTTTTTAATTATTCGTCAACGAATAACCACAATGTAAAACAATGTATAGTAATGGGTTAATTTGTGGTTGGAGACTTCATTTTGAACATCAAGACTTAGTCAGCTACAGGGTGAGTCAAAAAGCGGAACCCAAAACCCGCAAAATTATATTTCATATTTAACACAAAAATATGTAGCACTAAACATAATAATGACTGGAAAGCCAATTTCACAAGCTTCTTTTAGATGGAAAAAAATACTGAAATTGCTCAATCCGTTCAAAGAATATCATCATTTAAACACAATGACACTTTAAACCTCCTCCGTCCAAAAATGCAATTTCACGAATCGTCGTCACAATTGTCTTCAAACATCACCAGCGATAAAATCTCAAATGAATTTAATAGTTTAAAATATTCCACAACGTTCTTTTGAAGGCCCGTCTTTAAAAAGTGGAATTTATAAATCATATTGTTTGCCTAACCAGGGTTGTTAATAAAATTATTGTGTACTACAGTTGTTGAAACACGTATTCTGTGTCATTTTCTTTATTGTTCCAAACAGACAGAATACACAATAAACTACCTTTTTTTTGGGGGGGGACGAAACAGGTTTTAGGGTCATTGCGTTTAAATGGTGATATTCTTTGAACGGATTGAGCAATTTCAGTACTTTTTTCATCTAAAAGTAGCTTTTGAAATTGGATTTCGAGGCATTATTACGTTTGGTGCTACATATTTTTTTTAAATATGAAATATATTTTTTGGGGTTTGGGTTCCGCTTTTTTTTTTTACTCACACTGTATCTTTTATACAGTGAATACTGAGAGAAGTCTTCTCCAACTAAAAGGCACATCTAAATTGCTGTATATTGTTAGATTTGTTTAAAGGTTTCAGTCTTTTAGTTCTGTTGATGCACCAGGCTTATGTGTTCACGCGCAAATAGTATTTGGGGAAAAAAGAATAAAAGATAATCCAATCGTTTCAGTAGTAGGCCTAGTAATTAGGGTAAAAAGATGGGGTGTGTTTTTGGCGAAGATATTTCATTTTGTTACAACTTCAAGAAGAAAAAAAAACTGTACAAGAATACTCTGCACATCAGAAGTATGATGAATTATTATTATTTATTTTTTTTTACTTCGAAATCACATTCAGGTTATTGCAAAACGCAATAAGTGTTTGCTCCTTTGGTTAGCTATAGGCCCGGCTGTGTACATGCCTACATGGAAAGGTCTTGTTAATAGTGTCACGTGCGGTCATCTTGTGCTTCAATCTTAAATCGCTTTGGCTCCACTCTCCCATGCATCAAGTTGAAGAAACTTTTGTTTCGAGATTGATTTCAAGCTTATAAGATGTGGCTGTAGTAATAGAAAGTTTCTCGTCTTGTCTTATTCTCTCAGTTAAAGGAAGAGTAGATTTAGTCTATTTTTGTTGTCGCGCGTGTATAGTTTTGGTCTGGTTAACCATGCTGGCTTTGCCTGTGGACTCTATGCACAAACAAAATGTACTAGATGAGGTTTTGTGGTCGAAGCTAGACTGTCCCCCCACTAGAAAATATGGGGACCGGTACCTAGCTCCCATTTATGGAGGATACTTGTTCACAATGGTTATAAACAAACTGACTCTTGTCTTACTACGAAAAGTACCCAAAATCGCAAGTGTCTCAATGAAGGCAACCTTCAAGCATTTCAACTGCTCTGGTAGGAGCTTCTACATGTCACTTGGTGGTCGGTCGGTCGGTCTGTTTGTCCGTATGTCCCAAAAAATTGACCAAAAATATTTGACCAAATATTGACCAAATGACATGCCGCGGTCATAAATGCACTCTTGCCGAAAGTTTTCGGAAGACCGACTTTGTTTCAATCGAGGCGCATGCGCGTCTGTTTTGCATATCATGAAGCGAGACATTCCCAAACCGGGCCAGAGCTTATTGTACACTCGCGCTTGTCTGTATGTACAGCAAACTAAAAACCCTTATCTGCATATATCCCTAAAGCCACTTTCACCTGCCAGGATTTCAATTAAGACACAAGACAGGTGCAAAGATCATCACCATCAATTCACAGAGGGCAAGAGATAATAATTGCAATGGTGTGGCCGTTACAAATACGGCAACTATATATAAATGCCCGAGTTGGTTCTAAGAGTGCAGTTTTAAGTACTTGTCAGTTCCGGGTGGTCAGTGAAGTCGTGATGCAGCACATCTCTCAAGGATGGGGTGCAAATGAAATTGTTAGGCAGGCTGGCTTGCCTCAGCTGTAAGGTGATTACCCGCTCTGAAGACTACACAACTCAATCATTCTCAGAAGACGAAGCTGTTCAGATTCTTGGTCAAGTTTGTGCCTTTTCTCCATGTTCAAACAAAATTGAATAAGAGAAGTCAAAATTGTTGGACTTACCGTTAGGCTTTAGCGAAGAGGCGAGTTGTTGGCGGGATGAGATGGTATAATGTGTGGGGCATTTAAATCTGGACGTTTCTTATATAGGATTTGGAGTATAGAAGGACATATGGCCTCAGTGATTAAACGCAGCCAAGCGTGTCCCGATCTCCGACGGCGAAATCCATTAATGTCTCCATCTCTCTAAATTGCCCAATAACCGCCACATCCACTGATCCACCACATCCTCCGCGTCTTTATTAGAACATGACGCTTGAAATTCCCCGAGAGCTCCTGATGTACATACGGTGCGTGGGATGCCGTAACTTTGAAATGTGATCTGTCGCGGCAAAGATACATTCTTACCCTGTTGAAATCTGAGGGTTTTTTAATTATTACTATAGGTTTTCCCGGCGAATTTCCTATTTTTTCTAATCAGTTTCATTATCAGCCATTCAATTTCGCGTGAGTTTTGCACATGTGGTCGAATTGGGGATTCTTTTTCATTTCGGGTTCATTCAATTTAATTTTTGGGCAGCCAAGATTTTGCTGTGAATGTTCGTATTCATTTTCGGGCAGCCTATTTCGTTTTGGTGCATTCACGACTTAACTTGTAGCAGTCTTAAATTAAGTCTTTGCAACCTTTTGACGGTTGAGACATTCAAATTAGCAAACATCTGTGCGCTTATAACGTATAACCATGCTTTTCGTTTCTTATTCGTTTATGGGCAATCGCTTTCATCGTTTGGTCATTTAAATTAGTAACCTTTTTTAATCGATATATTTTTCTATTTTCCTCCGAGGTTCATTTCCCCCCCCCAAAAAAAAAAGTCTTGATGACTGTAAAATTTACAATGTTACAAATTAACTGATATGAGGGAAACAAGATGTAACGAAATAATTAACTGAAAAGGACTAAGATAATTTCTTTTTCACTGTCTATCTTTTCTACTTGTTTAAACGTTTGAGCAAGACGTGCAAGACATCGGGACACGTGATATGTTTGGCAATAGTTGTACCATCGGGAACACTTCTCTTGTGTTATTTCTTAAATGTAGCGTATGTCTGACCGAACGCTTACTGTATTCAAAGGGCCCATGCAAAGTAAGTTTTCAATTCAAACATTGAAAATACATCTTTGTGTCACATTTAACCTTATTTGCAAGTTTTATTTTCCATTTTGAGGGGTGTTTTGGTGCCTTCTCTGTTTTTATGATAATGCAAAGTTCCATATTCAATACAAAAAAATTGTGATGGCATATCGGGCATGATTAATGTTACATAGCTATTTCAGCACAAAAAGTTGCTAGAATTTTGGATATTTTGCTGTCAGAATTTTTTTCATTTTTGGTGATTCTATGATGTGTCAGTACATGGCAGTAAGCCAATGAGCAACCCTTTCTCACAAATGTTTTCAATTAGCAAATTTTGGATGAATAATTTAAAAGACAAACCTCTCAACTGAACATTGTCTTCCTGAAATGACATCACAGTAACAACGCGCTCATACGTAGTCCGGAAAAGCATGGAAACTTTTAAATGTTTAAAGAAGTGCACTTTTGCAATGAGATTAAACAACAAAATGTTGTCACTAAATGTGTAGTTTCCTTACTTTTCACAGTAGTAAAGAGTTGCACAAAAAAATCCTGAGAAAAATTCATTGCACATACCCTTTAATTAAGAAAGAAAGGTATCTATGGATTGAAGACATCAAATATGATTTTAATACGCTCAGGAATACGGACACGTACATGAAGTCTTAAAAGACGTTTGACAAAATGTGAAATATGTTTGCCCATTAATGAAAACGACTGCCCGATCAACCCCTTACTGCTGGTTTAAACGAAATTGAATGAACAACGCGATACTTTTAATATGAATGCATCTTTTACAGGGAGGAGTGAAGCTAAAAGGCGATAGATTGCTCGGATAGTGAAATTGAATGATTCTTTTTGATTGTCGAATGCCGATCTGCGTGTTCTTTCAATTTAAATCTAAATCGAATGAGCCAGGCGTTAAATTGAATGAAAACTTGGTGAAAGTGGCCGGGAAAACCTATATTAATTTTTTGAAATAATTATACTCACAAACAATACATAGCTCCTGCTCTGGAAAAGATATCAGTGAAAAAGTAAAAGCTACATAGACAGGAATGTGAACTAATTGATTTTCCACCAAGAGGTAATAATATGAATAATTTCATTCTTATATTATAAGAATGATTTGTTTTTATCAAAAAAGGGACTTCAAAATATCAGGCCATTATGTAACAAAAAAAGGAGATCTATCAGTGCAAGTTTTTCGAGTCCTTACTGGTTAAATATATATTTTTTATCCACTGTCAGTACCTAATGTCAACATTTAAAGATAGGTTATCACAACAGAGCAAAATAGAGCAAAACACATATACTTTGGGGGTATTAAGGTGCATCTTAATAAGTGGCCGATCATGTGTTGTCCTTAGCGCTCTTTTCGTTGATTAAAAAGTGACATTATAATTTCTGAGGTTTCGTTAAATTCTACTTAAAGGTCATCGTCTTGTTGAAAGGATTTCAATGCCTTAAACTGGGGGGAATTTATTATTAAAAAAAAGGTATCCATATAACAATAAACACTTACATTCCTGGAATTAAATATGACGCACATTGTTTTTCTCTGTCTCTAATTTTATCCGAGTTGATCAAATTATTTTGATCTAACTCTCTTTCGTAAAATGTCCTCCAAAGTTTATAGCAACAGGTTACCACGCTCACCCTCCCCTGTTCCCCGCCAGCGTTGTTCAATCATTTACCGAAGTTAATCAGACCAGAAACACTAAAGGAAGAAGCAAAACAAATCACTTAAACTGTCAAAACTCCCCCCGACCGCAGCTCCCGATGAAAGAATTACCAGCCCCGCAGATCAATCCGGGAGATTTAATTACCGCTCGTTGCTCATTCGCGCGAACCCAAGACGCTCAAAAAATAATTTTGTTGGACACGGCTCGACGCACCGTTGGTTTGCTTCCCGCTCGGATTTTAATAAATGAAAAAGATCCGAGGGATGCGTCTGCACGTTATTAGCTACCATATATCGGCATCCACATGACTTCTTGTACAGTGACGCAAAGAGCTTAAAGGGAATATACAACTATTGCAAACGTAAAAAAAAACCTACCAAATTATTATGAAATTCCTTACTGGACTGTTAGTGAATAACAGTCTAACGTATGGCACTTGGTGAGCTGTCATTTTCAAGAATTTCTGCCCTTTTTTGTCAAATACTGTCCCCAATTTACCATATTTAGGCCTAGTTAGTCCGCATATTATTTGCAATCAATTACACAACTATGAACGGGTACAAGCCAGCTAGACTTGTTCCCTGACCTTATAAATCCCCGACGTCTATAAATTGCTCCGTTTCATCTTAATAAGTGGGGTCAGGCCGGGAACCAGACTACAGGAACGTGATTGTTTTCTTGTTTTTTTCCAGTATTTACGAACACAAAACTTAAAACAAGTCAGAGTAACTATATTTGCTATAAATTACTACCCCTCCCTCCCCCCCAAAAATCCATCCATTTCTGAAAATTACAGCAAAAGCAAATGATGTATATTCCCTTTAAGGGGGTGAGAGTGGGGGACCGGTGAAGGCATCAGCATGCAATGGCGACATGATAAAATATTACTAAATCCCGTGGCTTTGGATGCGACGCCGGAACTAAATTTCTCACGCGATTTATATCATATCAGCGGGTGTGGAGTGAGGCAAGTTGGCAATGTATCAACTTGGAGATTTAATTAAAGAAAGCCCTGGAAGTATTGCTGCAAGGATGCGACCTACATTTTGTTAACCGTGATACAAACAGTCCCATACCGAGAAACTGTGGTAGTATGTTTCGTAATTTTACATCATCGGTATTGCAGATGCAAAAAAAGGGTTTTGGAGGACGATGACAGGCTGATACATCTGATAATGTAGTAAACAACGGATCACCAACCGATAATGACACATAAAATGACCGATACTGTTTCACTTACTGATAATACAACACGAAATTGACCGATAGTGTAGTAAAAAATAATGTACTGCACTATCAGCCAATTGTTGTTACATTATCAGTCCTAACCGATAACGCAACACAAATGGACTGATAGTGTGGTTACATTTACTACAGTATCCGTCCTTTTTGTTACATAATCGGTTTAATACTGATACAATATCGGTCATTTTGTGATACATTATCGGTTGGTGATACGTTATCAGTTGGTTACTACATTATCAGTTGTAACACAGGCTACCATCATCACATCCAGATTGGATGAAGTATACAGCTCGGCATAACTTCTAATTTCGTTCTTCTATAGATTGGGTGAAAAAAAATACATTTGGGGCGGGGACTAATACATTGAGGGGGGAGAGAATCAGAGAAGAGATTTGTTGTCCAGGTTGGTGCATCATTGACGCTTGAAGTGGATCTAATCAGCTCCACGATTCACCGATTCCATGTGTCAAAATAATGCCGATTCTTCCCAATATGTTTACCACACGAATGACACGGACGTCATAACATAGTCCGCAAGATTGTCATATTCCGCAAAGCGAAACATCAAAGCATCAATAAATATCAGTTGGTGTTGCTTAAGATTTTTTTTTTCCCGTATGTGTCATGTATTAATTTGTTTTAAAAAAAAATTAGGTTTATGGCGATACATGGAATTCAGACTGCGGGTGTATGCACACGGTTGATGATGTATAAATTAATTAAGTCGCAGGGGCGGATCCAGGAATTTTTGCAGGGCGCGGTGTTTCATCAGCAAATCAATGCTGAAATGTAGACAGGGATTTTTGGCCGGACACTTGGCTCCGCAAAATCATTAAGAGTTGGGGGGGGGGGGGGAGGGGCATTCATACCATTCTTTCAATGGGGGCGCTGTTCAAATCCTACGATTATTAACACTATATTACAGGATAGTGTACGAATACCCCCGTAACCAAGCAGGCTCTGTCGGTATTTGGGCACAGGCGTATTGCTTAATACCACTATATTTATTTGTGAGTGTCAGCGCCTGAGGGGAGGGGGTTTATACCAATATTTTTATATGAATTTCTATGGGAAAAAAAAATTGACAGAGCTGAGGTTTTTTTGACACCCTCACCCCCCCCCCCCCGATCCGCGCCTGCTACAAGTACCCGATGGGCAGGGTCAGGATGCTATAGCACAAGGCTGAAAACGTGTGCAATGTACGTGACAATTCAGACAGGGGTGTCGCCAGTCCAATTTGAATGGGGGAGGCGACAACAATTTTGCAGAGACATACCTCCGTGTTAGAAGCTAGCCCGAGATTGTTTTCCCCAAAGTCGTATTTGGCCACCGCAATTTCAAAATGGTGGCGTTAAAAGCGGGCGATCTTTGGCACTATACTGGACAGGTGGCACTATATTCGATAACCCCATATTTGCCGAGGGCGACTGACACGATTATTTGCCAATTGTTTTATTTTTTTTATGGAGGGAATGGGTATTGCACCCGACCCCTAGCGATACCAACCTGGGTCAAGGTTCGATGACTGAATTATTTCACTCTGGAGCTCTCACTCGGTATTTTGACCCCGTGATTCATTTGCACAGTGATCAATATCTAAATGCCAACTGAGAGATTTTATAAGGGGGGGGGGGGGGTTCACCTGTCCCCGTTCGCTACAGACCAATTAAGGTCACCTTCATTGACGAAAGAATTGTACTAGCTATTTTTTAGATAATCCGTCACGAACCCAAGTGGCTTTGCACAATAACTGGTATAAAACTGTCGCCATCGCAGGGGGCCTCATGACTGTTCAATGATCTCCTGCTCAGATTAGTCTATACCGCCCCTGCGGTTAGCCCAACTCTAATTCAGTTGAAGTTGTATTAGGCCAAAGGCGAAATGAGGCCTGTGTTGGGCGCTGGGTGGCGCCCTTCACCACGGGGTTACTATACGTGTCGGGAAGAAAATCAGCACCAGATGGCACAGCGGAAATAGTCGAGGCAGTAATTATGTTATCACATGAAGCGATGATATATCGTTTGACATACTCTAATAGGCACTTAATCACTGCGGCTCCACGACAAAATTAATTTGGGTTTGCTTGGCACTTGTTTTTGCGGGAACCCACATATCATGAATAGGCCTTCTGTTGAAAGTAATTCAATGTCATGTGCTAACAATTTATTAACACATTGTTCTTTCAACAGTTCTCATTATTTCGCGATTTATGTTTTTTTTGCTTTACGAGTCGGCCATATTGGATTAAGAGTGAGGTAAAATCTTCATTTTTTGGAATTAGTTCAGAGAAATGAAAGCAATGACGTTAGGCCTATAAATTATTGAAATAATACCAGTCTGCTCAGAATCATTTAAAATTTGAGAATAAACAAACTCTAATGTTATAAGCCACGTTTAAAAAAAAGGCAAGCGAGGCTAGAATGAATAAATAATCTGGCACTTTCCGATTCAACAGTTCACAATTTATGAAATACATTCAGGGAACACGACAAAAATGGCCAACTCGTGCATAAGGCCCATTATTTCTGTATTGTTTTGTACCCAAACTAGATCGAAAAATAATTTTGAATCTGCCCCTTTTAAACGACTGGCAGATTCGAACCAGCCAACCGATCCCGTAAGCTTGGTGGACGAGTGGTAAAGACGTCTGCACTAGTAAGCAGGAGGTCGTAGGTTGAGTTCCAACCGCGTAAGCTTGAGAAAAGTCATGGGAGAACACGGTGTCTGTCCACAGGAAAAAAAATACGACGGCGAAGCAGACGCCAAAACATGCAAACATTTTAAAATTTCGCAGCGACTTTTTAATAGTTACAGGATTGCAACATAGTGCTAATTTATGCTTCGACAGCTCTTGGGGCGTCCCAGCATTACGCCAGCGGTGCATTAACATCGCTTCATAATAAGCCTTTTCGGAGTTCCAACTGCGCGCATTCGTAAACTGTGACAACGCACATTGTTTGTCTCAAATGCCCTTTGACAGTACCCACAATGCGCAAACAGCCTTTATGTAAAGTCAGTGGCGCGATGATGTCAAAGGCCATTTGAGACAAACAATGCGCGTTGTCACAGGTTATGAATGCACAGTTGGAACTCCGAAAAGGCTTATAGCATAGAGCTAGGACTCGAGGAGTTCGAACTCATCACTTCAAAAGTAAAAGGATGGTCGCCGCGCTCGAAATCAACAATAGAAGCACCTGGACCCAGCTTGCTCAGTTGCCCACCAAGCTAATCTCTACACAATAGAGATCCGCCCTCAAATGCTACAAGAAAGAGTCTGCCTTGCTTTGTCGACAGTACCATGGTAAATACGCGTGCTCGGTTGTCATACATCGCCAAAAATGAATGATTTTGAAGTTTTTGTTCGCAGTTGGATCATACTGTATATCAGTGTGGTTAACATCACCGAAACAATCATTTCATGACGAACAAAATGCTCTATACCGTTAGTATGAAAACTTGTGAAATTTCCCCCCAAAAAATCACATTTTATAAATGATATATTGCCAATTAAAATGTCCGAAAAGACATGATAACTTATCTGAACAAAATTCAATTTATCTTCAAATTACAGGGACAGATAGCGCTTTCAAGGACCAACAACTTGAAATCATAACTCGCATCTAACAACTGCGCAGTTGTTAAAACCTATTTTGTTGTAAAATATATTTTTCAAAAAAGAGCAGCGACGTGACGTTGAATTGTTATGCAGCATATAGGGAGGTTGTTGGCCACCAACTAAAAAGGCGGCGGCGATCATCGTGCTTAAAGGCCGCTTGCAGCCACGCAATGAAGGTCCGGGCTTGCGGTCACAGTGCTGTAGCTATGGACATTACTGATGGATTGGAATGTTAATGGTCAAAATGTAAATCGCCCAACAGTTCTGACTCCTTGGGTCCTAGCTCTATAATAAAAGCAAATGCGTCTTCATTGGGTGCCATGTGTAACCATTCAGCACTTATGGACCATTCAGTTTTATGGAAATGGTCAAGGAACGAGATGAGGATCAGATATACATGAATGTTTTCATAGTTATGTTTTAAAGGGAATGTACATCATTGGCTTTTGCTGTAATTTTCAGAAATGAACTATTTAAGGGGTTAGTATAACAGATCAAATATTGTTTAAGTGACATGTTTGAAGTTTTGTGCTTGAAAATACTTGAAAAACCAAGAAAAACAAAAATTGTTTAAGTAGTCTGGTTCCCTGACTCCACTTAAGATAAAATGGATCAATTTATAGATGTCGAAAAATTGTAAGGTAAGGCACCCATTCATGAACATGTAACCAATAGCAAACAAAATTTGGACAGAAAAAAAAATTGTAAATTTGGAGCAGTAGTTGAAAAATAGTTAGGTTTTTCCAACGGTGGTCGGCCGACCACTGTTGGAAATGTATACAAAAATACCATTTTCTTGAAAATGACTTGACACCAGGTGCCATAATTTTGCAGGATGCTTTAGACTGTCATTTACCAACATCCTAGTAGGGTATTTTGTACAAACTTGGTAGTTTTATTTTTTGATGTTTGCAAATGTTGTATATTCCCTTTAAATAAAATCCAACTATTTATTGAAGCACTTTTAATTTCTGATTTCTTTCGTTAAAGGGAATTAAAGTCCCAGAACCGTTCGGTTGACACTGACGCATGTCCGCAACAGTCGACTTCCGTAAAGAAAAAAACAACCAGCAGCTTTTAGAATGTTCTGAACCAATTCATTTTCATAAATATCACCCATGGGTTTGATTCAGTAAACAACTATAGTTTGTTCGATTTTCAGTAGGACCAATCATCAGTTTGGTTTGAAATAAAAATCACAAATGTTATCTACTTTTTGAAAACTGGATTAAAGTACTAAAAAACTAAAGTTCATAAAACTTTCCCGGGTTTTAAGGGAAAAAAAATCAAGTTCATAAAATCTTTCCCATGTTTTTAAGGCAGTAAGAGATAGTGAATAGCAATGTGTCTTTATAAAGCACTTTTAACAAAGATCTGAGCCTTTTATATTTTTATCACCCTGATCAGCTCGTTGGGCCCATAAAACCGTCCTCAGACCGTCTCAGCTTGATGCTGCAATCTTGGCGCAAATGGCTAATTCAAATAGAATCTCGGATGATCTGCACCCTCAGAGATACCAATTCATTCCTAGGTGCGGAGAAGCAATTCGTGATAAGGTTTCAAAGCACTACACAATTATTACCCCTGTTCATCAGGCCATGAGACCAGTTTTTGCAGCAGCTCGAGATCAGCGCATTCTGGTCTCTACCTGGGTGGAGAGAGGCAATTGTAGTAAAGTGTCTTGCCCTAGAACACAAGCACCTCATTCCCCGTCAGGGTTAGAACCCAAGTACCACGGCATGTGAGTCGAGCACCGTAACCACTGGACCACTAGTACAAGGCCACAGCACTCCACAAGATAAATAATGAAGATGACGAACAATTAAAAAAGAAAAGTATTGAAGTGATGCAGCAATAGTAAGATCACACTTTCCCTGAGTATCTGTAGTATTTTTGGAAGTCGGAGTAGAACGTCTTGAAGATTTCCCTGAGATTGTTGGGCAGGGTGGCATTGAGGAAATCAATAGCCCTCTCATCACAGGCATCCAGAAGATTGTAGATACCGGTTACCAAGGCTTTCTGTGTGGAAGAGAAATGGAACAGAATGAAAACAAAATATATTATTGTGTTATTTTATTTCTTTCTGGTAATGAAACCAAGGAATCCTTAAAAGTGCCCTAGGCACTGTACATGTAGCTCACAAGCCTGAAGAAACCTGTACAGAGGAAACAATGAGTTGATTTTACAGTTTTGGAGGTGGGAGGAAAACCCCGGAAGAATATTCTGGGCCAAACCCACGGAATCAGGAAGGGACTGAAAACCCAAGCCACACTTGGTCCGGGCAGGAATTGAACCCGGGCCATAGTGGTGGAAGGCGAGGAAAGTAACCCACTACGCCAACCTGACTCCCCAATGAAAATTTCTCACAATATGCGACAGAACACGGAAATAGTGCATCTGCCAGAAACCAGAGTACAATGTATTAGTTTGCGATTGCACCATGTGATCTCAAAAAATCTCTTTCTGTAACTTTGCGTGGTTCTGAAAAGAACCGGTGGAAACTCAATTTTTCGGAGAGTGATTCTCCTTAGGGACCGTGACCATTCAGCCCTGGTATGAAAAGGGCGCCCCGGTACCTCGTCTGGTCCAGAGCCAGTCCGGTCTTCAGCCCAGTCTCGTCCAGTACATGGTCCTGTCTGACCAGAAGTTTTGAAGTCAGTCAGGCCCATCAATTTATTGCCCTTCAGAGAACGTCCAGAGCAGAACAATAGCAGACTTACCGGATTAAAGATAAAATCCTTTCATAAGGCCTAGGTAATTTACGGTCCCATTGTGCGCGAAACCGCATGGCAGGGGTTTTGATCTGTGCCGACGAAAGTGTTCTATTGTTTCGCGCTGAGAGATGAAAACCACAAGCGGGTTTCTTCTGGGATATATTACAAGTGTCAATACTTGCAAACAATAGACCCCAGGATAAAGGAGTTCCTGATTAGCAACCGGATCAGCTCCTGGGCTGGTAGCTGGGATGGTACGAGAGGACTTCTTGGGAGGGGACGAGCTTACTGGGGGGCCCTTTTCATACCGGGGCTGAATGGTCACGGGCCCTTACGACGAAGCCACACGACGAAGGGCTGATGTATCCTAGCATGCGCCAGCCAATAGGAGTCAACTTTAGAAATTGTGAAGTCATTTCTGTATTTTTTGTAATACAACGGAAGACCCGACAGAAGGCTCCCGCTGAATGGTCAGAATGTAGAGCTCAAGATGCAGTCTTGTTTGGCATAATTAATTGTAGAATCCGCTCGCATATCATAGACCCTTGATTCTTTTAAAAATCATATGTACAATAATAATAATAATTACACATTTATACCGCGCAACATATCTGTCCAGAAACAGGACACCCAAGGCGCACATCAGGGAAAAAAAATTGAAGGAAAAAAGGTTCGAATCAATGAATGAAGTATTAATCAAATCACGAGAAGGTTTTGGTGTATAAGAAAGTCTTCAAATTTGACTTAAGACACTGTAGGGATGAAGATTCGTGGATGTCTCTTGGGAGAGTGTTCCAGACCCCTGGTGCAGCTACTACGAGTGACCTGTCTCCCCACGACCGTCTCGATCTGATCTCCGACAACCTGTGGATGTTGCTGGAGCGAAGACCTTAACGGCGGGGAACATTAGTTTGAAAAAAGCTCTGAGATGTACAGTGGAGATTGACCGGTAATTGCCTTAAAGGTTGTCAAGGCAATATTGTATTGAAGTCGCTGGTTGATGGGGAGCCAGTGTAGTTGCTTGAGGATTGGTGTGATGTGTGATGAAGACCGGGAACCGGAGATAAGACGCGCAGCTGTATTCTGCACCTTTTGCAGTCGGTAAATGTGGAATTGTACAAGTCTAGACGTGAGGATACCAGTGCATACTAGTACAAACTCACTGAAGTTTACGTTACATACCAAGTGTGGACTTTCCATTGCTTTCGTGTAGTTAAGAAAAACCAGTGGAAAAAAATCATTTTTCTCAAACTGTGAAAACTCTTTCAACCCAATTTTTTTCTATAATTCCCTTTAGTGTTTCTCTTCATTCTGCTACAGATAAACCTAACCCAAAAATGCCTCTAAACCTGTTTTCCAGAAATGGGGAAACACTGTGTGGACTTGCCCAAGTCCACACAGCGTCTCCTCTACCTGGTTTATGTGGACCTCTTTTGTTCGGAAGTCCACACAGTGAATGTAATGCCTGTACACAAAAGACAATTCATGCCACTCAGTGCAACTGCTGACTTACTCACACATCTGATATCACCGTGTACAGTTTCAAATCGTATTTACCAAGAGCCCCACAATGAGTTAAGCAAATGTTTGTCTTTTACTTGTTTGTTGTGATCAGATATTAATGTACCTGCAGTACTTTGTTCTGTACCTACCTTGAAAAGTGGAAGCAGTGTTCCCTTTTGCAGCTCAGCGATGTAATCCGAGACCAGAAAGACGGCAAGTTTGTTGATATCCTTCTTGTAGGTGGCCAACATTGTCAGCAGTCTACCGGGGGTAAGACGATAATTCACCTTCATATTAAACCTCACTGTATCAAATATATACATGTACTTTGACACTCTTTGGAACCATTTTATAGCAGTATGGAATACGTGCAAAAGTACCACCTCAATGGTTTCAAGGGGCGAGTTGGAGAAAACCACTCGGAGGGGCATTGATGCTATGGGTCTGCACACATTCTGAAAATAAGTCATGCATAATTTACGCACGAGTTGCCAAAATTACAACTCTACTTATCGACGTCTTTACTGTCTTAAAGGGAACACAATGTATGCATCATTTGCGTTTGCTGTACTTTTCAGAAATGGATGGATTTGGGGGGTTGGTAATATATAGCAAATATTGTTACACTAACTTTGTTGACGTTTTGGGTTCGTAGATGCTATAAAAACCAAGAAAAACAATCATTTTTCCTGTAGTCTGGTTCCCTGACTCCATTTAAGATGAAACAGAGCAATTTATAGACATTGGGGAATTGTAAGATCAGGGAACCAGTATAGCTGGCTTGTACCCGTTCATAGGTGTGTAATCGATTGCAAACAAAAGCGGACTAAGTAAATATGGTCAATTGGGTCCAGTATTTTTTTTAAAAAAGCCATTTTTTTTCCAATGCTGGTCGGCCGACTTCACCACTTTTCTTGAAAATGACAGCACACCAGGTGCGCTGCCATGATTTTACAGGATGCTTTAGACTGTCATTCACTAACAGTCCAGCAAGGTATTTCAAAATAATTTGTGGTAGTTTTATTTTTTGATGTTTGCAAATGTATTTTCCCTTTAAAACTGTCTTTAAAAAAACAAAATGCCGCCAGGCAAGTTGCCCCACTCCCCAACGGGATACGCCACCAACTCCTTGAATTAAGGTTAAATAGACCAAAACAAAACAGCCCCAAACAAGCTTATAAGATGGAATTTTTTGCGCCGGGGTGATATAAATCAAATTAGGTTTTGCCCTTCACTGACATTTTAAACACTGTATACTCAGTGTGTTACCTCCCGAGTGAAAGTTGGAAAAAATCACTCGGGTGAGACTCGAACCCACGACCTCCTGCTTTCTAGTGCAGATGTCTTACCACTCGACCACTGAGCTAACGGGATCGGTTGGCCGGTTCGAATCTGATGTACATAGCAGCGGGTACCTCATAAACTATTATAAGATGGAATTTTTGCGCCGGGGTGATATAAATCAAATTAGATTTTGCCCTTCATCAGATTCGAACCGGCCAACCGATCCCGTTAGCTCGGTGGTGGAGTGGTAAGACATCTGCACTAGAAAGCAGGAGGTCGTGGGTTCGAGTCCCAAGCTTTGCATTACCTTTCCATATTCTCTGCACATATGTACAAGTCATGATCGCTTAGTTTCTCATCGCCATCCCTGCTCTGCTGGCCTCTGTGCATCACCGCCTTCAGAAGATGTGAACATTTGCATTAAGGACAAACAAATTCCAAAACAAAGTTTGATACTTTTTCGTCCCAGTCAGGATTTATGAAAAATTGTAACACCATGAAACATGCAGCATGCATTTTGACAGAAGCGTTTTGGACTTGCGCAAACACTTTTCACACTGATTTTTTTTTACATTTCTAATTAGTGAATGCAAATAAAAAATAAATAAATCATGAGTTTTAGTTGCCCTAAACAATAACAGCAGGACAAGTGGCACAGAGCAATATATGATAATATGATGATATGAGCTTGATAATAATGTACATTCATTTTACAGCAGCATAATTTACAAATGTACAACTGTACATGATTTGAAGATACACATGATTTGAAGATAAAAAATGTGAAGTGTACTGTTTTGGCACAATGAGGCGGAATTGGGAACAGGCCAGAGTGGAGAAAAATGGGGAAAAATGAATGGGGGTGATTTCTTTGGATTGTCCGATTTAATGATATTGGTAATCTTTGAAATGTCCACTAAACATGATTTGAAGATATACTATAAAAACGTGAGAAAAAGTTAAAAAAAAAAAAACAATTGTCCTCTTTCATTTTCACGGACACAAAGCTTGTAACTTTAAAGGCCTTTTTGTCAGTATTTTACTTTTTTAACATGTTGATAAATGCAAACTTAAAACAGTCCTGACTTGTCAACGGAATGTCCGATTGAAGTGCAACAAACAGTATAGTAAGGAGAATTTGATTCTCTTTCCTAATACCCGCAAACCCTTATTTAGATCTCCGCCCGGTTCTGTCTCTTTTTGCCAGAACGCCTCACATACTTTGTACAAATTATTTTGAACAAATTTGTACATCTGCAAAATGTACAATGTTCAATTGTACTTTGTGCACTGTTTAAAGAGGTTGTGGAATGCTCAAAGACATTTCCGTCATTTTTTGGGTACATGTAGCCTAAGGTGTGATGAAATAAAAACGACTATTGTTTCTGTCATGAAATGAGTACAAAAGGTACTTTTGAGAGCTGTTTTTCAGGTCCTGTTTCGACCCGAACATGCAATTTGTGTAAAAGTCGTCGTTGCGGGCAGCAAACAAAACACAGTAAATCGTGTCGTAATAAACAGGACTCCTATATGCTACTCTGCATCGGGAGTCCTGTTTATTACGTCACGATTTACTGTGTTTTGTTTGCTGCCCGCTACGACGACTTTTACACAAATTGCACGTTTGGGTCGAAACAGGCATGACAGGACTTGAAAAACAGCTCTCAAAAGTACCTTTTGTACTCATTTTATGACAGAAACAATAGTCGTTTTTATTTCATCACACCTTAGGCTACATATACCCGAAAAATGACAGAAATGTCTTCGAGCATTCCACAACCTCTTTAAAAAAAAATTTCAAATTCCCTAATGCACATGTTGGGCTTAAAAATTTACGTGCATCAGTATTTTAGTGCATAATTTCATATGACGCGCATCGGCTGCGCCATATTACAACGAAATTTTGAGCAACATGTGCACGGGTTTAGAACATTTTGCACACTGCGCGTACCCACACCTGATGGCGTTGAACACGCAGTTGTAATTTTGCTACAAATATGGCTGTCTATGAGAGGGGTCTATATGGATAAACAAATGTAAGGATATGTTGTAGACAGGCGAAGAAGCTGGCCAATGATTTCATCACAGTCCTGGGATAGCCAATCAGAAGGCTTCTGAGAATCTGGCACAAGGTGTTGAAGACCAATGGGAAGTCAGCAGCAGTCACCATAGCAACAGGCACCATCAGGCCAAAATGCTGGGCTTGCATGGCTTCATTTGGTGCAACAAGAGACTATTAAAATAGAAAATATGGGTATGGTGTTCAGCATACATGTAGCTTCCAGAGGGCCGAGTCAAAACTAGATGGTCTTTTTTATTTGGGGGCTATAATAATTGGAAAGATTTCCATGTACGAAGTTCACTAATTTTCCTCTGTATTGACTAACAAGCCCCCAGATAGCAATTTCATGTCATCAAAGTCAATTTGAGCAGTGAGAAAATACAAGCATTTTCTTAGAAAACACTTAGAATTTTTCAGTCCAATCTCATAGGGTTTGTACACAGGGTGTTGAGTGAACTTCGTATATGGAAATCTTTCCATATCATCTTTAAATCAGGCTTAAGTCAGGCTTAATTAATGCCGTGTTGTCTAACACTTAACCATGTGCATATTCCTTTGTCTAAGGCATCTTGCGAGTGTGCGGGTGCGTGACCTGTATGCACACACCTTCTTGTTGCGTAGTTGTGGGGACATAAACTCGTATATGTACGAGGTATTTGTGGGGACCGAAAATGCTGCGGGGACAGCAGAAAGTCCCCATAACTCGGTCCTAATTTGCATAACAGTAATAAACTTCCCCATAACGCAGTGTAGGCCTACCCATTCATGGCTTTACGATAGAGGACAGACACACAAAAGGGAGAGCAAAAAGATCCTTTCTGTCCTCGAGCATTGGGTCTTTTGTTGAAAACAGTCCTCGATCGTACGGTTATGTGACAAGTCTATGGGAGAGCATTCCAGGGACAAAGGGAAACACAAAGCATTGTTTCGGGTGGATAGAAATTCACGACTATATGTACTCCAGTGCGTGTATTGAAATGGAGTCTCGTACAGAGGGCGCTGTATCATGTGACCATTCACTCTTGTTACGGGGGGAGGGACGGGGGTTAGGGTGACAGATCAGATCCTTAGTTTGAGGAAGGGGGGTTCCTGCATGGATCCCACTGCAACCTTAACACACTTCCTTCCCGTTAGAATCTAATAGGATGTGAGAAATTGGAGATTTTCAAATCCGGTTATCCAATTTCACTGGAGGTTCCCATTCAGCTCACAGTCATGCCAACAGTGTCGAGTGAGGGGCCACATGCAATGCCCTCCCAATGACTGGGTATAGTTTACAGGATTCAGTGACCACTGGGCCCGCACAAAAACACTCCAGAGTTGGAATGGTGAAGTAATGGTTGGAAACTCTCTGATAAGTCAAATGGGAAGGCTATTCGTGAACTAAAAAGACCACTCTCCTGAAGACGGTCAGAGCATACTGACCGGAACGTCGAGTTTATACCTCTGGTTCTTTTCAGAACCATTCTCTTAGTTGAGAAATTATTCGCACATGGTGTTTCCGCAAACCTTTCATTATTTAGTATCTCCACCATGCAAAGCCTCAAATCTTACTTAAAAAGACCACTAACAAGCGAATACAGTTACAATTAGAGGCCAAGGAGCAAATTGGGAGATTTTCCAGTTGTTTTCTTCAGTTTGGGTCACAACAAAATGGAAGGCTAAAATTCTTTTAAGGTTGGTTTTGAATAGTCCGTTTCAAAATTCAAAACTGAATAGTGAAATGGTAGATCTAATACCAAAGTTAACCCTACTTTTTTAAGAGGTTGTTTTTTGAACATTCAGAAGGAAAAAAATCAGTTCTGCCTCTATGATGCTCTGAAAGTCTGAAAATGCAAACTGGAGCCCGGTACAATAAATTATGCCAGTTCAGTTGCGAGAGTGGTTTGCAATTTCTCTTCTAAATCATGTCCTTTACCTTTCCTTGTCCTATGATACTGCTCACAGCTTGCAGAACGGAAACAGCAACAGCCCCACCAAGAGTCCAGTTGCTTGCAGCACCTTTTAGAATTTCTAGTAAGTTCAAAATCACCTATGGGGAGAACGTATTCCAATATCACGGTGTTAGCATTTCTACTGTACAGGGCGAGTCAAAACGAAAGTGACCTGGATTAATGAGTTTTTTTCTTAAAAAAAAACATCAAATTTTATACACCAATGAAGTATGTCCGAAAGAGCATGTTCTTCCACTCATCTGAGAAAAAAAAAAACGAATTTACTGAAACTGATCCATGCCATCAGAAGTTATGCATGTTTTACTTAAAGGGAAGATACAACATTTGCAAACATCACAAAACGAAATGATCAAATTATCACGGAATACCTTACTGGATTGTTAGGGAATGACAGTCTATAGCATCCTGTAAAATCGTGGCTCCTGGTGTGCTATCATTTTCAAGAAAAATGGTATTTTTCCAACTCTGGTCGGCCGACCAGCGTCGGAGAAAACTGGCTTTTTTTTCAAAACCTGCTCCTAATTTTTCATAATTAGTCATTCATTGTTTTCTTTGCAATTGATTACACACCTGTGAAGGGGTACTAACCTGCTAGACTGATTCTTTGACCTTACAATTCCCAAAAGTCTATAAATTGCTCCGTTTCATCTTAAGTGGGGTCGGGGAACCAGACTACAAGAACATGATTGGTTTTCTTGTTTTTTCCAACATCTACAAGCCCATGGAGTGCCACAGGAAGCTATAGAGCTGAGAGAGAATTACATATTATACGCAGCCATCCAATGAGGTTTTAATCTGAAAAACTGACAAACTGCAAACTGACAAAATCAACAAACTTTTTAATATACCAGAAATGACATTCAATGACAAAGGTGTTACAACGAACCTGAGGGATGACATCACCGAGCACCCCCTGGATCTCCTCTGATGCAGCACAGCTGGTTGGTAACAGTTGCCAAGCAACCAAGGCAGCGCGAAGATGCGGGCAGTCCTCAGCATCCGGTTCTCTCTTGAGTGCCTGCAATTGATGAGATGGTCAGAGAGGGTGCACTGATCAGAGTTGTCACATCTTCACAAGTCCTCGCAAGACAAATCACAAGTCATCCAGTCCCAACTTTAGAGACTGGATGACTGAACTTTTAATAATAATAATAATAATGGTTTCTTGTATAGCTCTCATGTCTTTCACAAAGTGTCCTGGCGCTCTAATATTACCCTGGCTTTAGCACGACTGCCATTACAAGCATTTTGAAGGAATTTCTTCCTACCAGGTACCCATTTACTACACCTGGGTGGAGAGAGGCAATCGTAGTAAAGTGCCTTGCCCAAGCGCACAAGCACCATGTTTCCCGTCAGGATTCGAACCCACGTATCAGGGCACACGAGTCAAACACGGTAACCATTGGACCAAAGCACCCCACATTTTTGGAAACGACATTTTAGTGAATTTTTTTTTAACAGGCATTCCATTGTCACTGGTCATCCCTATAACTGTTTGAGTTAACTAGTGAGTGGACTTGTGCTTAAAAGATGGAGTAAATCATTTGCAGCTATCCAAAAAGTAACTGACCAAATTATTATTAAAAAGCTTACTTGGTTTAAAGATAGTAATGGCACTGAATTTCCTGTGAAATTCCTGTGAAATCATGTAGAACGCCATGGTCCAGTGGTTACAGTGTTTGACTCATGTACGAAGGTGCGTGGCTTTGAACCCTGCCAGGAACATGGTGTTTGTGCCCTTGGGCAAGACACTTAACTACAGTTGCCTCTCTCCACCCAGGAGTATAAATGGGTACCTGTGAGGGTCGAGGACCGATTGAGCGCTGATATCGGTTGCCGCGTGGTCACATGACCTGATGAACGGGGTAATAATTGTGAAGCGCTTTGAGATCGTTGATACGATGGAAAGCGCTATATAAGCACAATTATTATTATTACTTTTATGATTCCTTCTGGCATGCTGTCATTTTGAAGGAACAAAAATCAATAGAATGTTGTTTCCAAAGATGAGTCAAGTAAGGCATTATGGGAAATTTCTGTTAGTAGTTTGTCATTGGGTGAGTCTGTGCTTGGGTAAGCGCAAGCATTGAAACGACGCACACCCACGCAGTTGCTATTATCCATCCTTTCAGTGCGTTACAATGCTTAGCTGCAATCGGCGGAATAAGAACGTGTCCCGGATGCTGATTTTGGGTGCAATTCAAAATATGACTTGGCAACTTTTGAATTGAGATCGAGATCCTAGAAAACTGTTTTCTCGGAATATACAGCATTCACTGAGCTAAAACTTTATCAGGCTACTTGTTAAGCACCCGTGTTTAGATTGTGAGCACTTTTGTTGCTTCAAACGAAACAAATGCACAAATGACAACTGATCTACTGTAGGAATCTGAGTATTGAGACAAACTGAAATATTTGTGCCGAGTATGACAAAAATATGTAAGTCCTTAAATAAGGGAATAAATGTGTGCTCGAGAGGTTTTTATCACTCTGTTTAATACCGCTTAGAGTCTGGGTGTTGATAATTACCCGAGCCGGAGGCGAGGGTAATTATCAGCACCCAGACTCTAAGCGGTATTAAACAGAGTGATAAATACCGACCGAGCACATATTTATTCCCATTCATAAATAAAAAAAAAATTAAAAAATATCAACTAATTCGTTCAAAAAATCCCGATTTTGTTCAACAAGTTCACTTCATGCTTTTTTAAACATCCCACTTAGCAAAATAATGGAGTGTTCAGCTGGCGAGTAAGATGTAAACAACCCTTTTATGGAGATTGACGCGCGCGTAGCATGTTCTGCGCGATGTCACGCAGAACACACCTGGGGCGTTGCGTTTTGAATTTAGAACTATAAAATTCTGACTCGCATGTAGTGTTGCGCATGCCTACGTGAGGATTGTGCACTTTCAACCAATGAAACGGTAAGAGGCACTGGATTTTTAGGAGTCCACATTTTATTGTGACACTGGAAAAGTGTTTAAGACCAGCTAGCCATGTCTTTATCATCCGTTTAAGACCGGCCACGTGACGGGCTCTCGACCAATAGGAATAGCTAAACTGTCTGAGGTATTTATGAATAACTATTTATACATTGTATACCGCAGGAAAGCTGTGTGTCCAGCACTCATCTTTCTGTTAATTCAGAGTACCTAGTAAACAAAGCCTTCACGCTAGGACGTACTTCCTAATGCACCACTATATTTTTCAGGATATTTGGGAACTTGGGAAAAAGTCTCAAATACAACAACTGGCTTTGTTACACATACAGTGTCTCGTAGGAGATCAGTCAGCAATGTCCGGAACTGCACCAAGTCCATGGTTTGAATGATTCCTGACAGGGTGCTTGTCAAGTCTGCAAATGATGAGAAGAATAAGATTATATGAAATATCTTTTTTTCATCTTTCAAATTATGTCATGAATTTCAGTGTATGCTTCAGTGTCCTGTAAGCGATTTTTCCCCCCATACTACATGCTCACTACCATATATAGAATTATGCTGGAGGGCCCTTTATATGCAATAGTATAATGTTCAAAACTACCACATCGATCGAATCACTGCTATAGTGTCATGGATACTACATTGGATTACAAATCCGATGGTGTGAGTTCGATTCCCATTGGATGCCCATTTTTTAATTTCTTCTTCTTTACTTCTTTTTTGCTCTTAGAAAAGGTTTGTTAGTCACTTGGAACATTTTTCTTTTACCAATATGTTGTTTGGAGGATTATTTTTCAAGGGAAAATAAAGTCCGAGAACCTGACTTGCAACTCAACCTACTTCGAAATATGCCCATCGAGTACGGAAAAAGATATCGCATCCTGTAACCCTTTCCTCCCCAAGAAGGACCTCCCCCCTCTCTTAAAAAAAAATTAAAAATGCAAAACAAATGAATGAACCTGTTAACAAAGTAAAGGAACAACAAACACTGTAACATTCAAACTAATACTGAAAAAAAACCAGCTACTGAGAAGCACACCGAACTGACAAAGATTTCTTGCTGAAAAGAATTACCGTTCATAACACTTTCATCCAAATGAACACCGGTCCCCATCAGTGATAACGCTGCCTGCCACATGTCACTGGTAGCCATGCCTATTGTGCCCACGTCACAGCACCGACCAATGAAAAGACAGCTTGTCTGCATGTACGTCAGGCACGGGCCAATCACAGGGCAGCTCTTCTCGCCAGTCGGCTCAAAGTAAGTACAGATCTCCTGCAAGACGGGGTTCAGAACCTCCGTCCACTGTTCCGTAGCAACAGATACCGTGGAAAGGTTTGTTTCCATGACATCAGCCTCATCAGAATCCAACTCGGCATCTGATTTAACAGTTGAGATTCGATTTTCAGAGTCGGTTCTGACCGTCCGGAGAGCAAACTTCATGAGAAGTGTCCCAGCTTTCGCAAGCCAGATTAGCAGCCTTGGACATGCGCTCGCACCTTGCCCGTGCCGCATCAGACTGCTAAGCGCCTCCGTGATTCGTCGACCGAGGTCACACGACAGTTCGCTCCCCAGGGAGCCGAGCGCGCCCCGGCTGACAAACAGGGAGCCCAGAAGGGCGGTGGCCGCCGTTAGAAGCGGGACATTTGCGGAGAGGATTAGCTGGGCATTCTTGGAGCGAGAAAGATGCCTGTCGAGTTCATCAAGCTTAGATTCAACCTGAAAAAAAAATGCAAAAAAAAAATCCAAGCATAAAAGAAATGAAAGTATACAGTTTACAGTTGCAAAGTGCAAATGTATGCATGGCAGTTGCAAGTCAGTAGGTAAGTTCCCTGAGATTGAGTGTATTTATATTTCTCTACTGATATCCTTCCATGTTGATTAACACTATCCTGATATGCCATATTGCATTGTGAAACTCTTATATTTTCTATACTGTAAAAAAAAAATTTACCTTCCTCCCATCCAAAATTAGTATTTATACAGATTTCACTTACTTCAGTTAAACATTTAATATTGCAAACTTTAATTTTCCACAACAAACTCTTTGTACCACTCAGAAAACTAGTGGAGAGACAAACTTGTTTCGAAAAGAGTTTTTTATTTTAAAGCCAATCACATTACTTTATAAAAGAAAATTAGAATACCATATGAGAATAATCCTTGAAACCAGCCTCCTGATTGGGCAGCTGCCTCAGTCGTTTCAGCCAATAGGTGAGCAGCTCCTCTGTGACATCATTCAGTGAGGAGTCCAAATCTACAACGGTTTTCTTGGTCACCTGAAACATACCAAGTGTGTATTACATGTTGGCAGAGAAACCAAATTGGCAATAACTTAACATTTTCCTTGTCTGATGGTTATTGTCAACTTTTCATACCTTCTAGCCCCTTAAGCATTAAGAACCCTAACCCTCCCCAATCCTCCAAAATCCTCCTGCAGGATTTGGATGATTTTAGAGGATTGAGGATGAATGGCAAAGATGTATCGCTTTTTTTGTGGAGGATGCATTACGTCAAGCCAGTAGGCCATATCCTGCATTGGTTATGTTCAGCCATGCATAATAATCAGCCTTGTGTTTTTCTCGTATTTCATCCGCACTGCTTCTAAACGCCATTCGCACTGCCTCAAACCATAGCAGTAATTGGCAGAGGATTTTGGAGGATAGAGGCAGTGGTCACCCTCCACAGACTAAACTCAGAAAATAGCGGATGATTTTGGTGGATTGAGGCTGAATCCAATTTTTTCTTGGTGGCAATTGGAGGATTTTGCAGGGTTGAGGTTGCATCTTAGCCAGAGGGCCTAGGGGGTTTTAAGGCCGGTTCGTACTTGGAACAAAAGCGAGTGTGAACACAAATCTGTGACGACATGGCAGGCATTCACACTGCAAAATCACCAAATTGAACACATTTGAACTCCAGCGAATTGCAAAGTTAATGTGTTTCCTGACGACATATTCCGGCCTTTGTTATGTGCTTATTTTATATATATTACAATGTTCGATTGAAAAAAAAAACCAAACTGTTTTTTAATCCTTCTACGTTTATGGTATAACACAATACGATGAAGTTTGGAAGAGTTTCTTGTCACATGTAATTTGGGCCAACCCCACCCCCTAGTCCAACCCCCTAAACCACATTACACTAACCGCCCTGAATCCTCAAAAACCTTTTTTGCAAATTGGAGGAATTTGCAGGATTGAGGTTACATTATTATTATTTTTATTATTTATTCGACCATCACAAAAACAAAACAAAATAAAATTGAGTAAAACGAGCATAAAACAACAAGTACAGTAAGACGGTAGCGGGGACCTGGAACGAAAATCCGAATACATGACAAGACAAATGACAGTTATGTGGGTCAGGGGCCGCAAAAGTAAAATGAACTACTATTACCCATGGGTATGCAGCCCCACACATGGCAAAAGTGCGTTACTGATTTCGGAGTATGCACTGTGTCAAGGTCTTGGGCCGGACCTTGTGTTGTTTATGCTCAGCCGTGCATAAATTTAGTCCTTGATTATACTTGAAATCCTCCGCACTGCTCCAAGATGTCACTGCCTCTGCCTCAACCTATTGACAGTCATAGCCGGAGGATTTTGCAGGATTCAGGCAGTGGTCACCCCTCCATGGACCATATTCAAGAAATAACGGAGGAATTTGCATGATTGAGGCTATATGCTATTTTTCCATGAGGCTAATTGGAGGATTTTGCAGGATTGAGGCTACATCCTAGCAAAAAGGCCTAGGGAGTTAGGGTTAAGGGAGAGACATATACTGCGTGCGCGCCATGGTTTGCACAAGTATGCGCGAAGTACGCTCGACTACAACGTCCTATTCTGAATCTGCACAAATTGTCTTCACGTGCGAGTCAGACGCCTTCGGCAATTCGCTCAAGGGATCTTCCTGTAATCTCCCCAAACTCTCCCATTTTGAACTGTTGAGGGGGTACTTGTGCACCGAGTCTGTAGAGTTTGCAAAGGGCATGCGCACCTCGAATTAAGAACGTGTGTGTAACGCCTCCATAATGTTGAACTCTGGACTAGCCTATAGGGTAGCAGACCAGTAAATAAACTTCCATGGTCCCCAATGGTAATGCCCCCACTTCAAAAATTCGGGAAAAATACTCACAACTCTCCAAGGTGTTCGAGACACACATCAAATTAAAGCTTATTTCATCATCTTTCATTTTCTTTTCAATTTTCGGGGGGTCAACAGATGACTTTTAGGAGAAATTTCCATCTGAAGATGATCACCCCTGAAAATAATCCTGAAGCCCATCGCCATTTTGAAAAACGATGCCTACACTCCATTGCAAAATAGAGCGCTTTTAGGGTCCAAATTACACAGAACTGCAAGCTCCCAGTCCTGTGCTGGGCTTCCACCCATATTTTTTACAAACCCTCAAGTTCATGGCCCACAGCATGCTCAAAAACTGAAGATTTTGAGGGCATGCAAATCGTGATTTAGCCGGCGTAGGCAATTTCGGACCATTTACTGGTCTACACCCATAGGCTGCATTTTCTGTCCCCCGTTATCTGTTTGCAAACACATACCTTCTGTTTTGCATCAACGGATGCTTTTGTCATGACAGTAAGAATCCGCCAGGCGTCGATGTTACTGAGAAATTTGGCCTTGCTGCTGCCGACACTCCTCAAAATGGCTGCCTGTAGCTGTCGGCATAGCAACAGTGCAGAAAAGTAGGGAGCGCCCGGGGCGTTCTTTGGGGAGATGCTGTTGAGGGCGGTGTCGACGACGAGCAGTCCCAGCATGCATCTGGCCTTGTTGCTAGGCAACAGGTGCTGGAGTGGTAGGTGATGTAAGACCTGCAAGGTAGGAATACAAGTTTTGGATAAGGCCAAAAAAAAAAAAATATTCGGTCTATGGTCAGACCAAAGTTCCGGAATTGACGCGGGGACGCAGCTTTTTTTTTTTTTTTTTTTTTTTTTTTTTTTTCTTCAAGCTTGGATTGTACATACAAGGTGGGGTACTATTTTGCTTTTTTTGTGTCCTCATGTACATTGGTGTCCTCCATAATTTGCCTTGGTGCTCTTGATCATTTGCCTTGGTGCAATTTCTCATTCCTTGGTGCTCTTTGGTAAAAACAATTGAGGAGGTGCGGCAATAGAGGGCGCTGTTGGAGCTATCGCGGAACATTTTGGAAAAAATAAAAAGATTGACGCGCATGATTAAAATCGACGCGCGCGCTGACCAGAGACCGACTTATTTTTTTTTTGGCCTAAGATTGGTGGTGATAAAAAAATAGGGAAGAAATACTTCAGTCCATTAACCAGACATGCAACTGGGAATTTAGAAAAAACAAGGAAACTCCAAACCACACATGACTTTGTACAGTGTTTATCAATTTGTAATGGCATTCATGAGAAGTAAAAAACGAGGAAATCAGCAGATCCGAGGAAAAGTTGCATGCCTGATTAACGGCGGCCAACCCCAACCTGGTCATTACCACGCATGGAGGCTGGGTCCTAGCTCACACTGTTATTCCCTACCTGGTTTTCTGCACTATGATGGAATTTGGTGGATCCAGGAATGTTTCTACAATGCCTAAGGGTTTGCAATGTAAATGTATGATCTCTTCTTTTCTTATACCTTCAGCACTCCCTCCACAGATCTATAAACATCTGGGCTGACATGAGAAGCCGGCTTGACCATCTCAGCTCCGGCAAGTAACTTGTTGACGTCCAAGGCGATTTCTTGTAATTTCATCGTGTTTGAATCTCCGTCACTGGTGCACTTCACGTCTGTGTCACTCAGGCTATGGAGAGTGTCTGCATTAGAGCCAGCACTAAAGTTATCAATGGAAGAAAAAAGAATAAATCTGTGTTACCCCTTTGCAACATATGTGTTCATTAGAAACAAAGAAATTAAGCAAAGTTTTTATGAAAATCCACTCTAAAGCAACAAAAAAACTGTGCATGGCTTGGAAATGGATGTTCACTCTGTTTTAGTGGCCAAAAATCGATTTAACATGTTTCTTGAAATCTTTGTCCGGTCACATTTTCTAAGTGATGTCCACACATAGTAAGGGAAACGTGGAACAGGGTTTTATGACACTGCTAGACTTGAAATCAAGTCTGTAATGAGTGGTTTTAATCGCGTCCGCCGCGCGCGACTGCCAAGCTCTGTGCCGGGGGTACGACATACCGCATGCTGTCCTAGTAGCGGGGACGCTACGTACATTTCCGACCCCATGCGTGTGCGATCCCATGCGTGTACTGCATTACAGACTTGAATAACTCGTTGTCAGTTTGTGCACAGGCAATGAGACTTGCTACCAAAATTGGACGGAGCAGTCTGATTGGTTAAGAATCAAGAAAATATGAATATTCAACAGGCATCTTTTAGCCGATGCGTTTTGGCTTGCACGACGCGACGACACACACACGTACACTGTACGTACAATGTACGTACATGTTGTACATGTACACACAACGCCTGATTATCGCGGCGTCTTCACAAAATATTCTCAATCGCTTCGGATTTCCTATCGCCCAACGTTAAAATGGAGGAGTTGGAAGCTGGCACCGAAAAGTATAGAGGTTCCATTGACCATGGGTTGCGAAAACTGGGGATTACCAGTGCTCTGAAACCCCAACAAACTGAGGCAATCACAAGTTTTCTTGTGGGCAACGACACCTTCGTGAATCTACCCACCGGGTACGGGAAATCCCTGATATACCACATGGGCCAAAAGGAGCTTACGTTTACAGTCGGTGCGCACTTCATTTTTTGAAGGGGATTTACAATTATTCGTAACAGTTTCAAGTTCCATAATTACACTAAATGTTACTCCTTTTTTTTCAAAGACAATTGCAAAAGTACTAATAATACCTACAATGTTATACTCTTTTTTACCGTAATTTTAAAACTAGGACTGCCAAATCATATGGAAACTTCAAATGATCGTGAATAGTTACCCCTATATTTATAATGGATGTTTCTTCGTAAGCCAGATGGGCTACCATTGGCCAGCGCTATGAAAATACATGCATATGCATTGCAGTGGCTGCATATATGAATATTCGCTTGAAAACGTGTTAGTCAAGTCGTTAGACACGGACTGACCATTCCGCGCGGTGTACGTGTATGTACATCGTACATGTACATGTACTGTACATGACTTTTGCATGACTGGTTGTAGCGCTCATGTTGCGTGAACGGCGGTGGCATGGCCGGTATGCGGATTCTTGCGCTGATGACGGACATAAACCACTATAGTCTAACGACTTGCCATCAAGTCTATGACACTGCCAGATTGAGTGAGTTTAAAGTAATCTGAAACTAAAACAAAAATGACATTTTTTCTGTGGAAAACAAGTGTTGCTTTCCTACAAATACAAGACATGGAACTGAAAATTCACAATAAAAATTAGTAAATTCACATTTACGTGAGTCTTTCTAGTTTTTTTGGTTCCAAGTTTTCATTGGCACTTTAAATGGGAAGTTAAAAAACAAAATGCAGGCATGCAACTGGGAAATCACAAAAAGGAAATTCAAATTTTTCCCAGACTTTGTACAGTGTTTTTCTATTTTCAATGGCACACATGGGAAGTAAAAAAAGAGGAAATCAGCTGATCCGAGGAAAAGTTGTATGCCTGAAAATGTACAACGTCTGTCCTCACAGAATCTAAAAAGTTAGACTAGTGGACATCACTTTAATATCGCACATCAAGTTTCATGAAGCTTTACCTCAATGACCCCATAACCTCTGACATTTGACCCAACACTGAGGTCACCAAGGCAATCTGCAGCTGCCTAGACTCCACACAGAACTCGCTTCTGACGAACTCCTCGCAGATTCTGTGCACTGACGCATCTCCGCACTTGTCGCTGTGACTGTCTGGCTGAACTTGCTTCTGGTTTTGGAGACTACCGGATGATTTTAAGTCAGTGTGGGAAGACATCAGAGTCTTGCAGAGGAGACTAGCGAGGGTGGTGATTTGGTGGGCGGGGAGAAAGGGCAATAGGAAAGGGATGTTGTCGAGCAGAATTGAGACGAGGGATTTTCCTGATGAGTCCCGATTCTAAAGGAGAAAGTAGGAAGTAAACGAATGTAAAAATCATTTTAAAGTTGAACAAAGAAATTGACTGGAGCCAGGTTTGAACCTGCGACCTACCAACTGAGCTATCGTGCCCGCGACTTTTTTTCCCCCAAATGCGATCGGACAATATCAAAAGAGGCGCTCACTCTGCGTTTTGCATATTCATGATATCTATGGCTTTAGAGAATAAGTTATATAATAAGGAATAATGGTGTTTAAATCACCCACAATTGGCAATGATTCGTGGACTGGTTGGAAGTAGTCCCGACTTCTAATCAGGTGATCTGAGTTTCGAATCTCAGTGAGCGTTTTTTCATTTCTTCTTATTTTACTTTTAAATAATTAAAGTGAGGAAGGAACATTTCTCACAAGACGTAAAGCCTATCTTGGGTTTGAGTTGTGGAGAACAAGGCATTAGATATGCATGTAATGGACCAATCAGAAGATGGGAAACGGATGTCGTTTGGGAAGAAAGATTCGCATCCTGCCCTATGTTGACAGTTCCCCATTTTTGTAAAGGTCTTTGTTTTAGGGGTGCTAGCTACATGTTGTAGGGATCATGCCCAAAACCGATCATGCCAAAAACCACATTAGCAATGTTGCAAACCCTGGAAATAGCAAACAGGGATCAATCAAAGAGGATACAGCTTTTCATTAAAAAGTTAAAAGTCGTTAAAAACAAATCACTTCCAATGCAACGATTGATGGGGAACGCTTAGGGAAGCTCAACGATTGATGTCACAATGATGATAATGACAAAGCCAATGAAATTAAAATAATTTTATAATTGTGTAAGTTATATTAACATAATTTTGGCAAATAAGAGTAACAACAACAAGAAGGAATCAAATAACCCTTGATATTTGATCGAGGGTTTATTTGTTGCCTTTTCAAATTTAATTTCTGATAGAAAAACGAATCGATTTTGGACAAATTCTCACATTTACCTTTGTTGCTTTGTCGCATACTGCAGTTGCTATGTTGACTAGACTTTGCCGCACCACATCTGATGTAATCTCTCCAAACAGCAGCAAGGCTCGTATCTGCTGCACAGCAAGAGAAACCTATTGAAAAAAAAATAGAAACCAATTCAAGTGAGGTCATGATATGATGTCATCACATGACATGTGACGACACATTAAAGGTGCATTTTTCTAAGGCCTATATCTACACACAGATCCTTTATGTGGATAAACGAATCATCTGAGCTGGTGTACAAAATGCACAGAAAGGTTTGTCTATGGGCTTGATATGCCGCGTCTGCTCTTAAAACAACGCATAGAACATGTAAAACAATGTGTGCATGCCATTATCGCCGAATGCTGGCGTCCTGACAGAAATTTCACCAATGAAAGACTGCAGTCGCACGCCGAGTCTTGCGCACGCACAACGTGCAAGTGCCATATCATGCTTCTAACCAAAAATTTGTCGTTTATCCTTGTGTAGAGGATCCGTGATCTACACTTACAGAACTATAGGTTTGATTTGTTGTAACTTGGTGCATGTTTGTACCTGAACCGGGATGTATTATACATGTAGATGAAAATGGAAGTGTTGTCATCATGACACTATCATGTGTCATGTGACGTCACATTAACCCCAACTCCCCAGCATAATTTACTAGGAACCATACCCATCCAGGCAAATTCCAACACCCACATGGGAAATTGTACACACACACTGTTGGACTAAGTTTCTGGAAGTATGCCAACCCAATGTAAAAGACCATCTGTTTAGGGGTACTGTACCTATCCCAACAGATTTAAACAAAACCTGCTGTTGAACTTTGATGGGTTGAGTTCGGTTAGGGTTAAAGGTTCTCTTTCAAATGCCTTCATTTTAACTGACTGTCCAATTTGGTTGTAACTTGGTATTGAAAGTGGCGCCATGATATTACGTCATCCCATGCCATGTGACGTCACATTAACCAGTTCATGTCGGATGACGTGTATACATGCAAAGGTTTTGCGGTATTCGGAACGGATGATGGGTAAACACGCAACGAGAGAGGCCGGAAATATCTGTCAGCGACCCGCTCGCAGCGAGCAAGGCCGGAAATATCAGGGTGTGCTACCCGCAGATGACGGCCTGAACCCGTCTGTCATCGAGGTTTGTGAAAACAATCCTGTGTCTGGGTCCAGTCAATGTCAAAACAATGCCGGTGCGAACTGATTAAACGTACGTTTTCAAAGGCCTTTATCTACAGAACTCTGTGTGTAATTTGTTTCTAACAGGCATTATTTTAATGCCTTGTGACACTGACGCAACATTGATGTTGCATTTCAACAGCGTGCTTTACGCAACATTGATGTTGCATTTCAACAGCTTGCTATCTTCAGAACTACACATCTGATCACTCTGCAACCTTCTATTATACATGTATGTCCTGTCAGTCCATAACATGACATAAACATGCATTATTAAAGACAATAAACAACATTGGCTTTTACTGTAATTTTCAGAAAAAGATGGATTTTGGGTTAGGATTTTGTAGTAAAACTTGTTAGACTGACTTGTTTTTTGAAGTTTTAAGTTCGTAGATGCTGGAAAAACGAAGAAAACCAACCACGTTTGTGTAGTCTGGTTCCCTGACCCCACATAAGATGAAACGGAGCAATTTATAAACGTCGGGGAATTGTAAGGTCCGGGAACCAGTCTAGCTGGCTTGCACCCCGTTCATAGGTGTGTAATCGATTGCAAATAAAATGCGGACTAACTAAATATGGTAAATTTGGGGCAGTATTTGAAAAATGCCAGGTTTTTCCAACGCTGAATCAGACGACCAGCGTTGGAAATTGATACAAAATTACCAATTCTCTCAAAAATGACAGCACGCCAGGTGTAACAATTTTACAGGATGCTTTGGACTGTCATTCACTAACAGTCCAGTAAGGAATATCATAATAATTTGGTAGTTTTGTTTATTGATGTTTGCAAATGTTGAATATAGTCCCTTTGACAAAATGCCTTAGAAACAGCCACAAACATAATATCATCCCAATACCTGCAAAAAGCTTGTCACGAGAGGGAAAACAAAGATACTCCATATGTGATCAGTACCTCACCTGCAATAATTGTATCCTTTCCTTTTCAGCAAACATTGTACACAGGCGCGACCATTCGTTGGATGTCCCATACGTGTGCACGAAAGAGAAGTCCCCAAAATTCAACACTGTTTCTTCCGAATTTGAAAACGGGTGCCTGTCGCGGTAGTTTGTGTGCTGACACAGGAGAAGATGTAATTCTCCCCATACATAACACAGGAGAAGTGTAGAGTACACTTGTCCAACTGAAGGCTAGAAAAATGAAATAATAACTTAAATTAAATATCATCTTTTCGGTGAAAAAAAATTAAACGCCATTTCTTCTATGTTTGGAAACGGGTGCCTGTTGCGGTAGTTTGTGTGTTGACACAGGAGAAGATGTAATTCTCCCCATACATAACACAGGAGAAGTGTAGAGTAGACCTGTCAAACTGACGGCTAGAAAAATGAAATAATAATTTAAATTAAATGTTATCTTTTTGGTGAAAAAAAAATTAAACGCCGTTTCTTCCATGTTTGGAAACGGGTGCCTGTCACAGTAGTTTGTGTGTTGACACAAAAGAAGATGTAATTCTCCCCATACATAACACAGGAGAAGTGTAGAGTAGACCTGTCAAACTGAAGGCTAGAAAAATGAAATAATAACTTAAATTAAATGTTATCTTTTTGGTGAAAAATACAGATACCCTACTCTCCAGTTTTTCTGACATTGGATTTTTTTTCTTACTATTTTATTCAAAGATTCAATCAACAAATCAATAATAACAATATGTACAGTTAATCCTCTGCTCTATATGTACTACTGATTTTATACACAACAAAAAATTATAAATCGGTTTACTTCATATGACGAAGTTGGAGTTTCTGCTCAAAAAGGATGATAGGGTAAGAGTACTGGCCATATTTAAAACTGCTCACTGTCTGTTTACCTATATTGATCAGAGTATTTAAAAACCGGTAGCTATTATGTGTTTCACCTACCCCGAAAAGAATATTTTCCACGGATAGATTGATCGATTTACCATATTTCAAGGCAGCAATCTTTTTGATTTCTTTTCTTAGAGCTGGGCCACACGTAGAGCTGTGCATCGGAACCCGTTACCCATATAACCCACCACTGATGTCAGGGAGCGGGTCCAGAATGTGCAATCGGTTCTAAACCAACTTTACAAATTACTTATTAACTTCTCAGACAACGAGCAAGACAAGTTTTGAATGTCAGCGGGGAAATTTCAAAATGAAAACCAGGCCACATGGAAAAACCAAAACTGAATTTCCAATTATGACGCTCGCGAACGCGTCAGTTTTCACCATAAAAAAAGTTATTATGCTCGCTGTGCACACTTGTATCTTACTGTATTGATGCACTGTTATGGTACATGTAGTATTATCATATGGACCGTTAAGCACAATCTGAACAGCAAATTCCGAGATTTGAATTTTAGGTAGGGATTCTTTAACGGGTACCCTTTTTTTAACGGGGATACATGCTTTTTATAAAAATACACATACATGTATTACAACTTAATTGTTGGCCACTGGAGTCCGAGTCCATAACTCATATTGCCAACTACTTACGTCATCAGTCCAATGACATTATGGACCTTATTCACGGGTAGCCATTTTTTGTCTTGTTCCATGAATGTATTTCACAAATTGTTAACTGTTGAATGAGATGGCGCCAGACTATTTACGCAGCCTTATTTACTGTCAGTTTTTTTTTTTAAACTGGATTAAAACATTGGGGAATGTTTAATTTCAAACTTTAAAGCAGACTTGAATTATTCAGTAATGTACTTTATTTCTCTTCGCAAGTTCCAGAAATGAAGATTTTACCTCACTTTCAATTCAACATGGCCGACTCGTGAATACGGCCCATATATGTGACCTACATGCATGTAACAGGCTCGATGCATCACCAATAAGGCCAAAAAAAAAAAGTCTCCGGTTTCTGGTATGCGCGCGCGTCGCCGTAGCCATGCGCGTCGGCAAAATGAAAAAGTTTTTTTTTCAATAAAAGATGATGTCTTAAAACCGCCAAACTCACTGGTTTGACTGGAATCCTGCTGCTGCACAATTTTAACGTGTCTTTAGATGGGGTTATGATCGAGAATAAGCTTTATGTGGCCTCTCCGGACTCCCACATATTTGCACTAAGTTTAGTCGGGCACCATTTGCGGTCATCAGCCGACATTTGAAGCAAAAAAGACAGGTAAAAAAAGAAAAAAAGAAGCCGCGTCGCCGCACCACTTTTTGGGCAAGCTCCATACCAGAAACCGGAGACTTTTTTTTTTTGGCCTAAAGGCAGTACATATCAGATATATTGTCCAAACTGTACAAGTGCACATAACACGTACCTCTGATTCACTGCACAAATGTAACAAAGGTGCGAGCACTCCGTCTTTGGTTTCCGTCATCAGCTCCTCCACCCTCCTCAACAATGGAACGGTCATCAGGCTGCCGTCCACCAATCGCATGCTCCGCAGGAAAAGGTCAAAGGTCACGGCAATGACAGTCAGGTCAATAGTTGACCTCTTGTTGCTGCCGGGCTTGGACTTCTTGCGGGGAGGCGGAGAGGGGAGAGTCGTGGCATTCTGAGTGCCCTCTGGGAGGTATCTCGTCAGGAATTGGTCCAAGAACTGCTTCCAGATGTCTAGAGTGAGGCCAGGTGGTAACTGCTGGACGCTCTCTGAAAAACTGCAGCCCAGACGCACATAGAGAACGTAATTAGTAGAGCTGTCTCGAATACACCAAATAATAATATAATATCGGAGTCTTATATAGCGCACGTATCTACCAACAACTTGGTACTGAAGGCGCTGGTAATTATGTCTAATTTTTTAAAGACAGGTAAATGAAGTTCATGAGAAATATGAGACCCATTATGTAGCACCTTTATAAAGGCACATATTACAGCCACTGCCAGAAATACCGGGGCAAAACACTCCAGCAGTGGCCCATAACAGCTGTCGCCGCATGCCACTTTTAACCAGCGCGAATACACTCTGTGCAACAAGGTCGTATCTCGACGTCCATTGACTTTGGCTGTACATCCGGGTTATTTCAAGTGAGATACGACCTTTTGACATTCTGAAACTCGCGTTTCACGTACGGCCCATTTTAAGAGATACGACATTGTTGCACGGACGCGATGAAATGACCTACACAAACAAAGGAAGAAACAAAAAAAAACCAAAAGAAAAGAAAAAGGGGTGTGAAGTCGACTATTCATTTAATACACATTTAACAAAATGGGCGTCTGCAAAGGGGTGGCGGGTAAATGTCCCCCCCCCCCCTCCCACCCACCCACCCTAAAAATGATAAATTGAGAATATGCAAGAGAAAGTACAAGGATTTTGGAGGAAAATGTGCTTTGCCCTTCCCCCCCTAAAAAAATAATGGCGACGCCCATGTCCCAACCTAGTGTGTACTGTTGCATCAGAGAGATTGGGAAAGTGAATACACTACATCAATGTTACCTTGTGCAGAACTGTGTTGGGTAAGCAAAGTGCTCTCCATCTGCTGAGGCTGACTTGCACAGTTCCAGCATGGCAGAGACAACGCGATCAAACTATCGAGAATAAGGAAAGACTCTTGGTAAACTTGACCACCAAATACTATTTGAAGAGTATAATTACATGAGTCGCATTCTGCTGGTCAGTTTTTTTTTGTGGGTTCAAATCTTGAATTACAGAAAATCTTAACAACTTGAGAGCAAATGAAGCTGTTAAAAGATATAATACAATATAAACAAAATATAAAGTAGAGGTCTAAGTCTGTCCCAGGAACATTGGGCTTTTCCCATATTATAACTTTTTATGAGCAATCTTTTTTTTAGCACCATATAGTGCCCTTGTACAGCGATGATTGAATTGGTATGCTATATGCAGTCAATACGGTAAATGGTAGAAGTTTGCGGTAACACCATGTGGGATAATCTCTTTTGAGAAGGAGTGTTGATCTGAAAAGAACCGGCTGGTTGTGAAACTCGACGTTCCGATCAGTATGCTCTGATCGTCTGCAGGAGAGAGGATCAGAGCATACTGATCGCATCGTACTGGCAATTCTAAATAAGAATTATGATATGACGTTCAAGACGTCATATCCCACATCACAGCAGTCAACAATAATATTAAGTGGCTCAGCGTGGAATGGGAGGAATATTATCGCAAGGTAAAATCTGGACTTTTCTATTTCACGAGGCGAAGCCAAGTGAACTGGAAAAGTCCAGAGTTTACCGAGCGATAATATTCCTCCCATTTCACAATTTAAAGCCACTCAATATATGTTTTATATAACTGACATACAGATCCTTGTCATTTGATATATTTGAACTTTTTTTCAATACAAAACTGGAGGAAAATGTTTTTCTCTCTTCCAAACCAACCCTTCATGCAAATGTTTGAACCAACGCTGTAGAGCTGGCTCTTTGAAACAATACGCGCTACGCGCAACGCTGAATGCACACCAGCATGCATTTTGCACACAAATACCGCGTCATGATCCTAACTGTTGAATAGTATTTCCCATTCCCCATGGGTGGATAGTACTTTTGGAGCCGCGGCGTGAATGGGAGCAATAACGAATGTCACGTGATGTGAGTTCCACCAATCAAATGACAAGGATCTGTATGTTGGTTATATAATTGTTAATTATTCCACATGGTGTTACGGCAAACCTCACTAGTATACACCACCACCATGCAAACGTTTGAATCTTATTTATATGGTAGAAGTTTATAATGCACATCATAAAAAAGATGTAAAAGAAAAAGAACAGTTCTTCAACCTGTCTCAGTTTTGTGTAGGTGCCCAGCAACTTCTTCAGAAACTCATCCCGCTCACGCTGAGTGTTCTGAGTGAGACATGCCTTATCTGAACAATAGAGGGCCTCCTTCAAAATCGGTGTGAGTTGATCTTCCAACAGGAGGTGGTTCATGTCCAACGCTGTGCTTAGACTGGCATACCAGGCTGACTGAGAACTGCACGAGAAGAAAAAATGGTTGAGATTCAACACATTTGACAGGTTTTTTTGTATGAGGAACATGTAAACTTTAAAGGCACATGTGAACATTGGTTATTGCGGCTGAAAGTGTAGCGTGCGTTTGAACGTGCTACTCGTGTTAATTCGAGTATACTCCTGAGCGCCCGAACGGCAGGAATGCGACCCGTAGGTTAGCAAGAGTATACTCTCTGTCATACCGGGAGTATACTCCTGCACTGAGAGTAATGCGCACTCAACATTTTCCTGCACTCGGGAGTAGCAAGAGTTACACGCTCTAACGCGCCTGTATTGTTCAGTCGAGAAAACAATCATATAAGTTGCAGTGAAAATGTGCCCATGGGCACACTTTATTTAATTTGAGTTAGCAACGTATGCCAGTAACGAGACCAAAATATTGTACATGTGTTTTGTCTGTCTGTTTTTTTTTCTTCAAAGTTTATAGTATCCACTGAGCTAAAACTTCAACGGGTAGGTTGTTATGTACCTTACTTCAGATTTTGAGCAACTTTGTTGTTTCAAACAAAACAAGTCAGGTGTGTTTACAAACACAAATGCCCCGCAACGGTGACAGTTCCCATGACATAACACCACTCTTTTAACATCAACTTACATGTACCTTGGTCACATGGAACATTCATTGACAGCATTAGTGTCTTCTGTAGGTTTTATATGAATTAATCCCTAATCCCTATAATCTCAGAATAAATACATGATTTCTATTGTTTTAGCCACTGTGAACTTGACCCTTGACCTTTTGGCCCCAAATTCAATAGGCTTCTTAGGATTACCAAGAACAATCCACAAACCAAATTTGAAGTTCATATGTTAAGTATTTCTCAAGTTATCGCGCTGACAAGATTTCTATTGTTTTAGCCACTGTGAACTTGACCCTTGACCTTTTGGCCCCAAATGCAATAGGCTTCTTAGGATTGCCAAGAACAATCCACAAACCAAATTTGAAGTTCACATGTAAAGTATTTCTCAAGTTATCGCGCTGACAAGATTTCTATTGTTTTAGCCACTGTGAACTTGACCTTAGGCCTTTTGGCCCCAAATGCAAAAGGCTTCTTAGGATTGCCAAAAACAATCCACAAACCAAATTTGAAGTTCATATGTTAAGTATTTCTCAAGTTATCGCGCTGACAAGATTTCTATTGTTTTAGCCACTGTGAACTTGACCTTTGGCCTTTTGGCCCCAAATGCAAAAGGCTTCTTAGGATTACCAAGAACAATCCACAAACCAAATTTGAAGTTCATATGTTAAGTATTTCTCAAGTTATCGCGCTGACAAGATTTGTCCGGACACACACACACACCCACCCACCCACCCACCCACCCACCCACCCACCCACCCACACACCCACCCACGGAAGGACAAGGCGGAAACAGTATGCCCCTTCGGCTTCGCCGCGGGGCATAAAAATATACATGGAGTATACAGTGCTTATACAATTACGTTGGTATTAAGGACAAATCCCAGTATTAAAATACCATCGTGCCAATGGGAAAAAAAATCATCATACAAGTCATTGATTTGCAGTACCTGCTCCTACAGGGTGAGTCAAAGAAAGTGGAACCCAAACCCCCCAAAAATATATTCCATATTTTAAAAAAAAATGTAGCACCAAACATAATAATGACTGGAAAGCCATATTTCATAGGCTACTTTTAGATGAAAAATACTGAAATTGCTCAATTCTTTCAAAGAATATCGGCATTTAAACGCAATGACCAAAAAAACCTGTTTCGTCCAAAAAGAGCAGTTTATTGTGTATTCTGTTTGGAACAACAACGAAAATGACACAATATTCTTTGAACGCATTGAGCAATTGCAGTAATTGTTTTCAACTAAAAGTGGCTTATAAAATTGGCTTTCCAGTCATTATTATGTTTGGTGCTACATATTTTTTTAAATATGAAATATAATTTTGGGGGTTTGGGTTCTGCTTTTTTTTTTACTCACCCTGTACATCAGATTCGAACCCGGCCAGCTGATCACAAGAAGCTTGGTGGTCGAGCGGTATCAGACTTGCACTAGCAGGCAGGAGGTTGTGGGTTCGAGTCCCACCCGAGCGAGCTTTCTGAATTACTTTTATCATGAGCCCTCAAGACAGCACTAAGCATACAGTTCATGCAAAATTACATAGTGAACGGCAAAACCAAATGTTTAAAGCTACAGTCCATCATTTGTATTTAGTGCATTTTGTTCGTTTGAATCAACAAAAGTGTTCAAAATCTAATGAAGGATACTGAACAACTTACCTGATGAAGTTTCAGCTCAGCTTCAGCTTCATATTCCGAGAAAAACAGCATTCTAGGATCTCAATTTAAAATCAAAAGTTGCTAAATCATGTTTCGAATTGTTTTGAATTGCAGCTTGACACGATGTCGCGCACTGATCCGACGAATTATAGCAACCGCGCGCGCCTGTGCGTCGTTCCAATGCTTGTGCGCGCTGCGCCGAATAACAAAACGAACAACTAATTTAAATTTTGGAAATGCCTTCTTTCGTTGATTTCTTCAAAATGAGAGCTTGCCAGAAAGGATAATTTCACAGGGAGTTTAGTCCCCTTACTATCTTTCAATGAGTATGTTTTTCAACAATAATTACGCCAGTTATTTTTTTGGATAGCTGCAAATGATGGACTATAGCTTTAAAAAAAGGAAACATTTTGTTGATATGATCACTTACCTGTCGGCATTGCTGATAAGTCCGCCAATGAGGTCATGAAGCCAGCTGAACTGGGTTTTACCAGACATGTTATCACTGGCAACCTGCAGGGAAGGAAACAGTTGATATCACACCACGCCGTTATTTCGCAAATTTAATCTTCTCACTCTTGCCAATATCAATTGCCTCCAACAAAATATTTTCATGTTCAAATTCTTCAATAGTATACTTCCTCCGACTCTGCATAATCTTTTTCAGTTAAACAGATCTGTTCACAGTCATAATACCCGGTCTTCTTCTACAGTTCACATTCCACTGGTTAAAACCACTCTCTCTCAACATTTCATTACGTTCTCAGGCCCTAAAAACTGGAATAGTCTTCCCTTACCACTTTCTGAATGTAAATCACTCGCTCTTTTCAAACACAAACTGAAGTCTTTGTTAATCCACCAGTCACCTCAGTAAGCCCCACTTACTTTACTTTTCTGATCTTGGTTTACTATTTCTATTTTTTTCTTATTGAATCACATCTTTTCTTATCTTAGTCGTCGTACACGTATACACACTGTTTGTGTTCTTGTTATAGGTGTTGTTATGTTTATTCGTTTATTGTGAAGCTGTTACTTTGTTTTGTTTTTTTGTAAACAGGCTATTCCTTGACAAGCCCCGCTTTTTTGGAACGTGCCTCCACATCTGTTTATATTTATTGTACTTTTCTTTATGATCATGTGGAAATAAATGTTACTTTGAATTGAATTGAATATACTCAAGTTAATTAAAAAAATTCAGGCTTATTTACTACTAAAATCTGTATTACCTCACTTTACAACTGTTGTGATAAACTTCACTGGGGTGGGGGGTTGGTGGGAAATAGTTACTTTTAGGATCCCATTCCTAATGAGAACGAAAAACCCATTCTTATGTTTCAAACTCACATAAAAAGCTTGCAGAATGCCACACATGTTTTCTGGCAATGAAAGGTTTGAGGGTGGACAGTTGATATTCGCTCCCCGAGGTATTGGAAGTTGACAAACTAGTTCCCGAGGCGAAGCCGAGGGAACTAGTTTGTCAACTTCCAATACTGAGGGGAACTAATATCGACTGTCCACCCGAAATAAACCATGTTATATTTGTTTTACTATACCTCATACATAATCAGTTGCCGAATTTTGTTTTATTATTATGCACCTAAAACAAAATTCGGGGAAACTTGTACAGCTCACCAAAAGATTCAACTTCAATTACTAGTTCTGTTTGTTTGCAATATAATACAGTTACTACAGTTGTAAATACATTTGTTTGCAATATGTACAACTTTCTTTTGTACAGGAGACATCTTTACACGGTCTATACATTTTCTCCAGTACGGCATCATTGAGCTCTGGAAATCAACATTTACGCGAACCGTGCAACCATGCATCTCTCCTGTGCGATGTTCGCGCGTGCGTACTGCACCCGTGCGACAGTTCCTCGATTGCTCTGTAAAGCGCATGCGTAGTAGACTGTCGCACGGGTAACCCATGCGACAGTCTACTACGCATGCGTATTTACAATGTGCGTGAATCCTCGCGCGCGCGTTTGGTAAACAGCAAGAATAACATCTGGCACGTGATGGTGAATTGACCAGTGAACGTTCGGCTCTCGATCATGAATATGTATGAGGTATAGTAATGTTGAATGTCAACCGGATTAATTTTGTGGTAAGAGGGCAGGGTTTTGATTTATGAGGGAAATTACAGGGTTAAAAACACAATGACGGCGACAAAACACACAAATTGAAAACGATGATGGTGACAATGCCGAACAAGTATAAAAGCACATCACTGATTGACTGGTGTTTTAGCAACATGATCTCTGATTGGTTGAGAATGAAAAGGGGGTGTCGGGGTAAATGGAAAGAAAAAGCCACAACCATGGGCTGGCAAGCAGGACAGTGTAACAGTTCACACTGAAGCCTACATTTACACCACCATTTTACGCCAAAAAAGTTACACCAAAATTTTACACCAAAAATGTACATCAACAATTTTCCGAACCTCATAAATCTGTTTTTCGGATAAGACTTTCAGGAGTTTGCTCAGGGCAGGAAGACCCGCGGTCCAGTTGCCCAATACACTCTTCTGTTCCGGAATCTGTAACAAGGGCTTCTCTGCGACGCTTGTTTGTTGGTTCTCGACTCCAGTCATGGCCTTCCCATCATGCTCCTGGGCCGGCATAAGACCCATGGCGCAGCACAGCTTGCGGAGCATTGCGAACGAGACGTCATTGGGGTATCTTTGAAAGGGAAAACAAAGAGTAAAGGTAACTGACCCTATCATAAGACAAAGGTAACTTTGGATTTTCTTTTTTACAATTAATACTACGGTTATTCCAGACTGTCATTATTATTTTTATTATTTCTGGTAATGAACCAAGGATTCCTCAAATCGCCATAGGCACTGTAGCTCGAAAGCCTGAAGAAACCCGTAGAGAGAAGACAATGAGAAGAAATTACAGTTTTACATGTGGGAGGAAAACCCCAGAAGAATATTATGAGGAAAACCCACGGATTCAGGTAGGGACTGAAAACCCAATCCACGTATTGGCCCAGGTGGGATTCAAATCCTGGTCACAGCGGTGGAAGACGAAGAAAGAACTGCAACGCCAACCTGGCTTGGCGTAGCGGTTCTTTCCTCGCCAACTGCTGCGCCAACCTGACTCCCCGTTACTGTTCTACTGTTTACAGCTGCACCTTCCTGTAATGGACTGTACAGTCACGGGGAAAACATCACACATGCGCGCACAACTTCTTTTTATCTGGATGTGCACAGACCTGTGGCACGTAAGTATCAGGCGCAGACAGAAATGCGTTTGAATGTCACTGCCAGTGGCAGTACCTGTGCACAGAGTCTACAGGGGTTAGTTCTCGGGGTATAAACCTTCCTGTTGTCTGAACAGTCACAGACAGTCAAAAATCAATCCCCCCTTCCCTGTGATGCCTTTTAAGTTTTACACAGGCTAGTCACAAACAGTCGGATCATATTTCATGCGCAAGCACTGTGACTAGTGAAATTCAGTCAACAGACAAAAGCAGGCAAGTGGTAGGCACAGCTGGCTTATCAATCACCTACAGTCAAAGCATAGCTGTGTCAAGTTACATAAACAGTCACAGCCAATCAATCCTGCTTTCTGTAGGCCGCGAGCTCTCAACTGTTGAAAACAGTCACTTGACTGATTTCGACTGAAAGGACAACTTTGCACAGAATGTATGTTTGCGTAGGAGGGTCACTGTAATGTTAACCCTCCGACGCAGAAAGCCCATTTAGTAACACACTTACAGTAAGGGGTCCCCCGGGGACCCAAATATTTAGCGCCACGGTTTGAGGCTACACAACACTGTATCCACATGAACACAATCTTGCCATGTCTGTAGACTAAGGAGGTGTATTTGTATACATAGTCTGTGGTCAAGCCGTGCACTGTCTACTCGCAAGTGACCTTGTTTTGTGCGCGTGTATATGGTGGGTCCCCGGATGGGCAGAAATTGCGTCGGTCCTTAGCCCAGGTTGTCATGCTCAGATATACCTGACCCGGGGTCACACACTAAAGGTGACTGCATATATCCGTAGAGGGTGTCTCTTGCTAGGATTAGATGGAAGATCACCAGAATTGGTTTGAAATTTCTTTTTTTAATTAAGGTAATTAACCAAATTGGGTCCCCAAAAGGGCTAGATTCTGCGCCGGAGGGTTAATACAGACACATTTATACTTACTTATGAAGGCTTAGAAATGCTCTGAACACTACAGGCATGCCGGCAATGTAGCACAAGGAAACGTTGACCTAAAACGAGGTGGCAAAAAAACAACAACAAAAAACACATAAAATAGCCGATATCTTCTGAAAATTCCCAACCCCAAAAATGTATACGTTCGGCAAAACATTTCCATGTACAGATTAACAAAAGTTAAAGTTTACCTCATCAATGTTGCTTGTTCTTTCAGCCATGTTTTTCCAGAGGGCGGAAATGCTCTCTTGTAACAGCCGCACTTCCCTCTGTTTCTCGGTGGTGACCTGGCCTGGGACTGACCTCAGATATTTGGAGTGACCCTCAGCTAGGTCTCTGTAACGTTATTACACGATCAAAAATACTAAGCTTGGCAGTGTCTCCACTAGTTTTTGGCCGACTTCGCTCACTGCAAGCTAGTCAACAGCAGGGAGGGTACATGTACTTCGGTTGAATATTTCAGATACAGCCCATCATGGATTGATTGTTTTACTGGTCATCAATTTACTATCTGTATCTGTATCTGTATTAGTATAGTCGGTAAAGCATCCAAGGGGAAATATCACACCAACATAGAGAGATGACGATGTGAAGAAGTTACAGTTTAAGATGTGGGAGGAAAAACCCAGAAGATATTCTGGGGAAAAGCCAAGGAATCAGGTAGAGACTGAAAACCCAAGCCACATGTTGGCCCATGCGGGATTCAAACCCGGGTCACAGCGGTGGAAGGCAAGGAAACTACCGCTACGCCAACCTGACTCCACCGTGCACCTCATACATATTTATGAGTCATGTGCTCTTCTTTCATTGGTCGATGTTCCAACGTGCCAGGGCAGAAATAGCTAGTTTTAACTACCTCATTTCCTTAAATTTTAACCAACGCTCTCCCCTTTACGTTAGTACCTTCTTTTTTTTCATTCGGCGAAGCGCGCACAAGTGTTGACACGACGCACATGCACGCGCAGTTGCTATAATTCGTTGGATCGGTGCGTGACATCGCGTAGCTGCAATCGGCTCAGAGACAACGTGTTTCGGATGCTAAATTCAGGCCCAATTCAAAACGTGATTCAGCAACTTTTGATTTGAAATCGGGATGCTAGAGTATTGTTTTCTCGGAAAATACAGCATTCACTGAGCTGAAACTTCATCAGGTTAGTTGTTCAGCACCCTTTAGATTTTGAGCACTTTTGTTGCTTCAAACGATCATAATGCACAAATTACAAATGATGGACTATACCTTTAAATCCCCAAATTAGCCTCAATTCAAAACTGACAGCAATATGTCTACCATGTACAATTCCAACAATAAACTTTTCTTTGTTTTTTTTGAGAAAAAGTTTTGGTCATTGCAGAAAATGTGACTTTAAAAACCCAATGACACATTGAGACAATAATATACCATTTTTGGGAAATATTTGTGGTCCTGAGAAGAGAACGGAGCACTCTTTTCATCCTGAGGTTTGTTCTTTTTACATTCAAAATTTGAAAAGTTGTACCATAAATCCAAAATTAAAGTTTTTCTTTTTCAACAATCTAAATCAGCACTTAAATACACATGCTGAAAAAATGACAGCTTTGGTTTTTTTTTACATTCAAAATTTGAAAAGTTGTACCGTAAATCCAAAATGAAAGTTTTTCTTTTTCAACATTCTAAATCAGCACTGAAATACACATGCTGACAAAAATAACAGTAGTGTCAGGATACTGAATTCTTACACTGTAGGCCGAGTAAAAAGTTGAAGGCAAACTTACCTGTTGAAGAGTCCACTTGCTATTAAATCCTGAATACATTTGAGTGTGTCACTGAAAGACTCGTCCATTACTTCATTCAGATCAGAGATAGTGTGATGCAGTGCCAATAATGGCCCCAGTAGTTTCTCGTAGACAATCGTGAACACCTATTTGATTTTGAAAGAAAAATAGTATCAAAAAGTCGCCGAGAAAAGAAAAACAGAAAGCAATGTCTTGTTTTGTTTCATCCAAACTGATAAAAGAATAAACAAAAAGACAACAAAAACCTTGTTGTGTTGAGGCAGAAGCATACGCCTACATTTATTAACAGATGTTGACATTTATTTGTTGGTGATCTTTTTTAATGTTCTTGCAATAACCTTTTAAAGACGTATTCCCCGTGCACCATTTTTCATCCTGAAAAATAGATTCCTTTTCTAAATCGCTACTTTTGTAGCAATACAAAGGCGTTTCACTTTTGAAAGTGACACTGACCCCAAAGATCCGCCCATGTTTAGTTACTGAATTGTTTCCTTTACAAATTTTGAATAACTTACGGCCGACAATAATTTCGTTCTTGCGAGGTAGGCTGGTTCCTACCCCACAATCAGTATCCACAGTGTATGGACCCTGAATCAGTTTGCTCATTAGGCAGCTTTTGTTGTGGAAAAAATAAAATCTTTTTTTTTTCTAGAGGTGCAGAAGCAAACATTTTTTTTTTTTAATTAAAGGGAATATACATCATTTGCTTTTGCTGTAATTTTCAGAAACGGATGAATTTGGGGGGTTGGTAATATATAGCAAATACTGTTACACTGACTTTTTTGACGTTTTGGGTTCGTAGATGCTATAAAAACCAAGAAAAACAATCATTTTTCTGTGTCTGGTTCCCTGACTCCATTTAAACTGAAACGGAGCAATTTGTAGACGTTGGGAAATTGTAAGGTCAGGGAACCAGTCTAGCTGGCTTTTACCCGTTCAGAGGTGTGTAATCGATCGCAAACAACAAACTAAAATGGTTAACTGGGACCAGCATTTGAAATAAGCGAGTTTTTTCCAACGTTGATCGGCCGACCATTGTTGGAAATTGATACGAAAATACCACTTTTCTTGAAAATGACAGTATACCAGGTGCCATGATTTTACAGGATGCTTTACACTGTCATTCACTAACAGTCCAGCAAGGTATTTCAACATGATTTGGTAGTTTTATTTTTTGATGTTTGCAAATGTTGTATTTTCCCTTTAAATGGTAGTTTTGGGGTTTGGAATACAAAATGCAAGTTGAAAATTTATTAAGAGACAAAAATTGAATTTGTTCAAAAGCATGGACGATGCAACTCTTCAGTTTGTTTTTAATACTACTTGCAACCATCCTGTTCAAATGTTTAAAGGGAATATACAACATTTGCTTTTGCTGTAATTTCAGAAATGGATGGATTTGGGTGGGGGGGGGGGGTTATTTCATAAGAAATATTGTTACACTGACTTGTTTGAAGTTTTGCGTTCATAGATGCTGGAAAACCAAGAAAAACAATCATGATCCTGTAGTGTGGTTCACTGACCCCACGCAATATGAAACACAGCAATTTATAGAAGTCGGGGAACTGTAATTTGTAAGGTCAGGGAACCAGTCTAGCTGGCCTGTACCCGTTCATAGGTGTGTAATCGATTGCAAACAAAATGTGAACTAACTAAATATGGTAAATTTGGGGCAGTATTTGAAAAAAAAGCCATTTTTGGAAATTGATACAAAAAATACAATTTTTCTTGAAAATGACTGCACACCAGGTGCCATGATTTTACAGGATGCTTTAGACTGTCATTCACTAACAGTCCAAATAGGTACATGTATATCATAATAATTTGGTAGTTTTTTGGTGTTTGCAAATGTTGTATATTGCCTTTAAACATTCACAAATTAAAGGGTTTCAATTTTCAAAAATTCTAATTACAATCGCAGGTACCTTTCTAGGGTTGGGCTGCTGTCTCTGCAGTGAGGCGAAACTGGCAAAGGCCCTCTGGACCAGAGAATTTAACAGGACGGGAGTCCTGCCGCAGCGGGTCCTCAGGAAGTCAGTCAACAGACAGACCACGGTAGACAGAAACTGCACCTGTCGAAAATAGGAAAAAGGTGGGGAAATAAGAGCCACTCAGCACAGTCACACACTTTGTTTTCCTTGTACACGGCAGAGAACTGTAAGGAATCCAACCTGGACATTGTGCCGTTGCCTCGTGGTCTTGAGTTTAGACCAGTTTAAAATATCAAAAATCATCAATTGTTTTTTTTTCTTTTCTTGTAGATTTGTCTCGTGATATCAACAAGGAGACAGGTTCGTACATAAATTGCGTCAAGACCTGGGCCCCAGAGGAACGAGTCGAAGCACTGAAGAGGATCGACAGAGCCTTCGCTAAGAGCCGAGAATTCAACGATGACAAGGTCCAACTGGCTATGCAGACCTATGAAATGGTAGGCTATCAGCGATCGGCAAGTGAGCCCTCTAGAGGCGAAAATGGGAAAGTGGCTATTGGCAACTGAGCCCTCTAGAGGCAAAATTTGAAGGTCCTGATTGGCAACTGTGCCCTCTAGGAGCAAGGCCCAGTCCGAATTATTTGGCTGTAGTTGGAAAACATGCACGTGCCTATGGAAGCGGCTGCAGCATCTTTCCATTGACATGTGTTATTTCCTGTGTCGATTTACTTGTCTGCAACCCAAAACTGAGCCCTCTAGAGGCAGAAGTGGGATAGTGGCGATTGGCAACTGAGCCCACGAGAGGCAAAAGTGGGGAGCTAGAAATTAAGGCACTAGAAGTGCCAAGTTGCCCTTTCTGTTCAAATTTCAATTTCCAGTGAAAATTTCCCAAATTACTAAAGCTGGATGCTCAAAAGTACTGAAATTGTAATGAATCTGTGGTCTGCGGGTAATTTTGCAGCCTGGGGTAGGGTGTGTACTGTGTTCCCTTGGCTTGGGCAAGACGCTCATTGCTTCTCCCCATCCAGGAGTAAATGGGTATCTGTGAGGGCAGAGATGGTGACTGATTTGAGCTGCTTTCTGCCCAATTGGCAGCATCGCGCCGTATACTCCCCAGGGAGCTGAGATTGTCTTGGGAAAGTTTCACTGGCCCAATGAACAGGGTAATAATGATGTAGCGCCTTGAGCACCAATACTGGTGGATACGTGCGCTTTATAAATACATATTATTATTATTTTTTTCTACTATTATTTACCACACTGAGCAACTAAGCCAACTATGAATCAAACAGTTTTGAGAGCAACTCAGGTCAATCCAAATAGATTGTGTAACAGTCTATGTTTTGCAAGTGCACCATAATTTTTGTCCCAATATTGGGAGTAATTGCAGAATACCCTGCCACTCGGAAATACACCCCTAACTTCTCTGGCTACGAGGTTGGAATCACTGGAAAAGAAACAATTCAAGTCCATGCCAGCTACGCGGATACTGAGTGGGGGTCCATTATTTGAGAACGAAGCAACACAAAAGGAATGGGAGTTGCTGAAAAATATTCTAAGTCCAAACCAACCACCCTGTTGGTGGCTACGCGGATATGGAGTGGGAGTCCCCTTGAATATGCTTGAAAACGAAGCAACACAAAAGGAATGGGAGTTGCTGAAAAAATTCCAAGTCCAAACCAACTACCCTGTTGGCGGCTATGCAGTTACGAAGTGGGAGTGCAATGGAGCATGACGCATAGTACATACAAGTAGCGCTGAGAATGTTTATTGAGGTCAACCAACCCTGACCTCGTAGCTGGCTACGAGGTGGATAGATCGAGTGGCGGGGTATTCTGCAATTGTGCCAATATTGCACACCTGTGCAAAGATCTAACAAGTCAATGGATGTATATTCTTAGAATCAATCAGAACCAAATTAAACCCGGGGTTGGAATTGGGCAGATAAGTTAGGGTCAATGCATTGACTACCTGTACCTACGTACCTGGTGGTCCAATGTACCAGTGATGATACTACCCAAGGATGGGTACTCAAGAAGAGAGTGGCAGCATCCAATGACCAGCTCAACGTTGGCAGTTCCAATGCAGAGGGACTTCAGAATCACCTGAGACAGATATTTCAATCAATACATTTGTGTTTGTTAATTAAAAGTCAGGCTCTGCTTCATATTAAGAAATCTATTAGGCTATGTACTCTGCACAGGTACCCCCTACTGATCTCTATATAAAGACTGGATAGCGGATATGCATACAACATTCACACAGTAGACTTTGCATATTGACCAATTCGCCCCCGGTCTCACGAAGATGGCCGCGTATAATACGAACGTTCTACGCGTAAATACGCGCGCGTTGTATCAACAGTTGACGCGCATTTTGGTCACGTACACATATTATGATGTTCTAAAAGGGTCACATTTCCGTAGTGATTATTATTTCAAAAATGCCGAAAAAGTGATTTGCGGCATTATAAAAGTAACCACAACGTTAGAAAAATTGAAGTAAACCTTGGTCAGTTGGTCAGTGGCGGTGGCCAAAACTTAAGTCAAGTGAACCACGGCGTTACAAAAGAAATTATGCTGTCTATAAAGACGGCAACTTGTCCTTCGTAGATCACCAGCCAGTCTCACCAATATGGCGTCAAATTAATTCATTGTGCGGCTCTTTATTAGCTATCCAGTCTTTATATAGAGATCAGTGGTACCCCCTCAACAGTTGCAGAGACAAACTGACAAAGTTGGAGGACCAGACGGACATTGGAACACACACACAGGGTTCGATTTTAGCGGTAGCCTGCTAGCTAAATGCTAAATCTGTTTATTAAAACCACTGACAACATTGTCTCAGGATACACGTTTTACATGCAGCACATTGTTGTTTATGAGACACTCTATAAAAGAAAAAAAAATGCGGCTAGTGAAAGTGCCCGCGGGCTAGTTAAGAGTCTGTTTCGAAGGTCGAACCCTGCACACATTTTGCACAGCAGTCACCTTGTGATCTGCTCGGAAGGAATGAGATTTTATTCACTGTAACTGTAACTGAAATATCACCATGCTAAATGTAGATGTACGTAGCCTACTAACCCTAACCCTGCCAGACGCAACACAGTGCATCAGGTGGAAAAGTCTGGTGCACTTTCATGCAGTCAGCTAACAACACCAGTGCAGGAACGGCCGCTTCTGAGACAATGAGAGCTAGTCCCATTCAACAATGCCACAGTTGTATCCTGCTGCGTTTGGGGACCACAGACTCTGAGGCAGTTTGGCCTTGCGACTTTTGACCCGATAGATCTTGCTACACTGAGCAGGCTTGTCAGTTAGGCAAGTGTTGCGTGTTGCTGCATTTGGCTGGGTTTCTAGCCAAAATACCCTGGAGGGTAAGGGTCAGGCATGCAACTGGGAAGTCACACAAAAAAGAGGAAACTCAGATCTTTCCAAGACTTTGTACAGTGTTTTTCTATTTTCAATGGCACACATGGGAAGTAAAAAAAGAGGAAATCAGCTGATCCGAGGAAAAGTTGCATGCCCGAAGGGTTAATATGAGAATTACTCAGAACTTTTTATGTAAACTCTGGCAAACACTTTAGAACCAACGTTAATATTCAACAAAATCAAACCCCACAAACAAAATGACAAAGGACTGCTTAACGATTTAGACCTTTTTAGAATGAAACTCATCAAACAGTATATGGTAAAACCTTGACATTTTCTCCACATAAAACTCCCTTTACCATGCCTCACTTACAGGGAACAAACTTAGCCTAAGCGACAAGGCCTCGGCACGACTGCCCATAGTCTTCAGTCTTTGACTCCGTAGAGCATCCAGGAGAAACTGCCAGAGTCTGGGAACAGCGAGGTCAGGAACGCTGAGCCTGGGTACGAGATAACGCCAATAAATTAATTCACTTCTTTGACATGTATTTTCACATTGACATCCTCAATGACAGTACGACAGTTTCATAACAAAGATTAAAGGGAATATACATCATTTGCTTTTGCTGTAATTTTCAGAAATGGATGGAATTGGGGGGTTGGAAATATAGTTACACTGACTTTTTTGAGGTTTTGGGTTCGAAAATGCTATAAAAACCAAGAAAAACAATCATTTTCCTGTAGTCTGGTTCCCTGACTCCATATAAGAATATAAGAAGAAACAGAGCAGTTTACATACATTGGGGAATTGTAAGGTCAGGGAACCAGTCTAGCTGGCTCGTACCCGTTCATAGGTTTGTAATCGATTGCAAACAAGTGCGATGGTCAATTGGGGCCAGTATTTGAAAAAAAAAACCCAGTTTTTTTCCAACGTTGATCGGCCGATCAGCGTTGGAAATTGATACAAAAATACCACTTTTCTTGAAAATGACAGTATACCAGGTGCCATGATTTTACAGGATGCTTTACACTGTCATTCACGATTAAACAGTCCAGCAAGGTATTTCAAAATGATTTGGTAGTTTTATTTTTGATGTTTGCAAATGTTGTATTTTCCCTTTAATATAAACATACAAAATGTTATTCGCAGAAGGTACAGTATGTAACTTAATTAACAAAAGAACCAGAATTAAATGTCAACATTAAATGATTATTCATAATGTTATAATTTTGTTGTTGATATGTCGCACTTTTGTTTTTGTAACATAAACATGTAACACATGACTTTTAACTATGATCTTCCTTTCGTGGCTAAATTGTTCAGGTAAACCAGTGTCCATGTTCATTAACAGTTGGAACATGTCTCAAAAAGAACGTCAATCACAAGTCAAAGTCATAAGTCAAATCACAAGTCAAATCACAAAGCAAGTCACAAGTCGAATGAAAAATCAAAGCACAAGTCAAATCACAAGTCAGGTCACAAGGCAGGTCACAAGTCAGGTCACAAGGCAGGTCACAAGTCAAATCACAAAGCAAGTCACAAGTCAAATCATAAGTATTAAGTAGGTCAGAAGTCAAATCGTAAGTAAAGTCACAAGACACGTCACAAGTCAAATCATACATGTAAGTAGGTCAGAAGTCAAATCGCAAGTCAAATCGCAAGTCAAATCACAAGACACGTCACAAGTCAAATCACAAGTCAGGTCACAAGGCAGGTCACAAGTCAAATCACAAAGCAAGTCACAAGTCAAATCATAGGTAGGTCACAAGTCAAATCGTAAGTCAAGTCACAAGTCAGGTCACAAGTCAAATCACAAATCAAATCACAAGTCAAATCATAAGTAGGTTACAAGTCAAATCGCAAGTCAAATCACAAGACACGTCACAAGTCAAATCACAAGTCAAGTCACAAGACACGTCACAAGTCAATTCACAAGTCAAATCACAAGTCAAGTCACAAGATACGTTACAAGTCAAATCACAAGTCAGGTCACAATTCAAATCACAAGTCAAATCACAAGTCAATTCATAAGTAGGTCACAAGTCAAATCGCAAGTCAAATCACAAGACACGTCACAAGTCAATTCACAAGTCAGATTACAAGTTCATTCACAAGTCAGGTGACAAGCCAAATCGCAAGTCAGGTCACAAGTCAAATCACAAGTCAAATCACAAGTCAAATCACAAGTCAAATCACAAGTCCAATCACAAGTCAAGTCATAAGCAACAGGGGACGAACAATGATCTTTAATTAACACAGTGCATTTGAATAGCTTGTCACAAGTTCACCTACTTGTGTGCGTTGGCCAGCGAGTTGGCTGCCCAATCCATCAGCACCTGTTCTTTATTGGGCAGGAAGCACCTGGGCGAGACCCAGGCAAAGCGGGCAAGGCCCACCTTCTTCTCCCACGGCGTGTCCGCATCTTTCAATTTCCGATGAACTCCTGGAAGATTTTAGAGGAGCAAAACACAACAGTTCTAATGCTCAGCAGGGCTTTTTGAAAAAAGGAGGCGGGCAATGTTGTTTTCTTATCTCGACGTCGAATTTTTCCAAGATGGCTGATGGACTCTTAAAGGGAATATACATCATTTGCTTTTGCTGTAATTTTCAGAAATGGATGAAATTGAGTATGCCCGCGCCGCGCCCGGGACCGGTCCTGCCTCAGATTTTTGCAACTTTTTCCGCTTCACTTGTATTTCCATTAAGTCAAGCTGTCTCAATGGTCGAGTTGTCCCGAGTCGAGTTGTCTCAACGGTCGACTTGTCTCAACGGTCGACTTGTCTCAACGGTCGAGTTGTCTCAACGGTCGACTTGTCTGACATTCCCCAGATAGATGTCTTACCATAATTTTTGCAATGACTGACCTTCATTAAGATGACAGGCCTATATGAACTTGAAGAACTGCGTGCAGTGTTCAGCCCCGTCCAAACAAGATGGCGGCCAACACAAATCGACAAACTCGTCGTACATTTCACGTTCATAAAACAAGTTTTTAAATAATTTTGAGTTTAATTGATGCGCAGCCGCAGAACCAGGCCTACATTTTTATGTAGAAGATGTCCTTTACTGCTTTTTTTCTACCATATAAAGATACTTTTAATGTTCAAAAGCAAATACAAAATTTGTTGATGCTTGCATGTTGACGACCGTTGACGCTTGTTGATGGTTGTTGACGTTTATTGACGCTTGTTGACGTAGTTTAGTAGGACCCAATTATTATGTACAATATTATTATTGTCCGGAAACTGGGCATACAATGATCGCCGGCCGGCATTTGATGTGATCGTGCTTTTGCTGGGGAATTTCTGTCGAATTTTAGGGACAACTTCATTAATACCCTATTGCAGACATATTAATTGAAATGTGAACCTACTTCAGAAAAAAAAAATCACCCCAAAAAATAAACCCACGTGTGAAATACAAACCTGCATACGGGATCGCCATGTTCTTGAACTGATATTTGACCTAAGTCTATATGAATATTCAAGAGGTCACATACATCTACATGGCGCGCGCATAGTTCTGGTTGATCAACCTCGTTCCCAGGTTGTCGAGCAGTACGCGCCCACCACCACCTGCTTTACTATTGGAAACGCGGTTGGAAATAAAGTAAGCACCGGGGACGAGGTTGCTGGTTGATGTTTTAAAGATTAATATCAATGCGCACAAGGAAAATAGTGCCTTAATCTGAGATGGCTGACTATCTGCAATAAAAATCTATGTATAAAATGCTGGCATTCGTTTATTTAGTGACCCTTGAATGTTATTTGCTTGTAAAAACCTGTAAGCAATGCAATAAAACACATGGAGACGATAACTCAAGAAAAACACATTGCACTGTGAATTGAAATTTAGTCCAATATTTGTTCGGGATAAAGGACACAAAACTTTGGAAAATCGACGAAAACCCTTGAAGAATAAGTTTAATATGATTCAAAGAAATACAGTGTACTAATCGCGAAAAATTCAATTCAAATTCAAATCACTTTGAATTGAACAAACAATAAAGCACTCGTTGTGGAGACGATAATTCAAGAAAAACACATTGAAATTGCATCCAGTAATTGGTTGTGATGTACGACACAATAAATTTGAAATTCGATAGAAACCGTTGAAGAACAAAATTGATACAACAAAAACAAAATCTAGTGTGTAGTAAAGGACACTCCCGTACATTTTACCAACATCAATTTCATCCCAAAGAGGGCGCGCTTCACAAATACTGGTCACAGGTGAGCAAAAAAGAAAACGCACTTTGTGGAGACGATAACTCAAGAAAAACACATTGCATTGAATTGAAATTGCGTCCAATGATTAGTTGTGATATACGACACGATCCATTGAAAATTCGACGGAAACCGTTGAAGAACAAAATTAATACAACAAAAACAAAAACTACAGTGTGTAAGGACACTCCCGTACATTTTACCAACCTCAATTTCCTCCAAGAGAGGGCGCACTTCACAAATACTGGTCACAAGTGAGCAAAAAAAAAACACACACTTTGTGGAGACGATAACTCAAGAAAAACACATTGCATTGAATTGAAATTGTGTCCAATAATTGCGCGTAATATACGACACAATCCATTTGGAATTCGACAGAGAAACCGTTGAAGAACAAGATTAATACAACAAAAACAAGGGCACCACCGTAGTACCAACATCAATTTCTTCCAAAAGAGGGCGCGCTACACAAATACTGGTCACCACCATTGATCTCATATACACAGCGGGAAAAAGGAAATGAGGGTTTTTGAATTTCGAAAATGCATAATAAGAAAGTGTATATCAAGAAAGTGTGGAAAAGCTGTTCGGAGGGATTGAGGATAACTCTTCACCGTTCAGTTATTTTTTTTAAAGATTTGTTTTGGAGGAGCGCTTGAACTCCCTCCTGTGAGAAAATTTTACCTCGATATCCATTTTCCAAAGTAAACAAAGTAAAAGCACAATGCGCGTTTACCCGTCTGACAGTAAACAAGCACTGGTCACAATTGGTCCAGGGAGTGAACCTAGTTCACTTGTTGACTTAAAATTGCGTCCAATACTTGGTCGTGATATACGACACAATCCATTGAAAATTTGACGGAAACCGTTGAAGAACAAAATTAATACAACAAAAACAAAAACCACAGTGTGTATAAGGACACTCCCGTACATTTTACCAACATCAATTTCTTCCAAAAGAGGGCGCGCTTCACAATTACTGGTCACCAACGTGAGGGTGCATGCCAGTAAGTAGGTCCGAAATTGCCTACGCTGGTCAAATCACAAATATACATGACCTTCAAATTCTTCAGCATTAAAGCATTTTGAAACAAAGAAGGTTGGAAGCCGTGCAGAGGACTGCGAGCTCGTATTTCTGTGAAATGTGGATGAAACTAGGCCCTAAAATGGCTCTATTTTGCAATGGAGCGTTTGCGTCTATTTTGAAAATGGCGATCGGGGCTTCGTTTTTGTATATCAGGACTGCTTTTAGGGGTGATCATAATTGGATGGAATTTTCTCCCAAAAGTCATTGGTTAACCCCCAGAAAATTGAACAGAAAATGAAAGATGGTGAAATAAGCTTTAATTTGATGTACCTCTTGAACACTTCAGAGAGTTGTGAGTATTTTCCCTGAATTTCTGAAGTGGGAGCATTTATCATTGGGTCTATAGACATATATTTTCTGGTCTTTAACCGTAAGGCCAACAAAAAAAGTCTCCGGTTTCTGGTATGCGCGCGCGTCGCCGTAGCCATTCGCGTCGGCAAAATGAAAACGTTTTTTTTTTCAATAAAAAATTATGTCTCAAAACCGCCAAACTCACTGGTTTGACTGGAATCCTGCTGCTGCACAATTTGAACGTGTTTTATATGAGGTTATGATCGAGAATAAGCTTTATGTGGCCTCTCTGGACTCCCATATATTTGAAGTTTAGTCGGGCACCATTTGCAGTCATCAGCTGACATTTGAAGCAAAAAAAAAAAAAAACAGGTATAAAAAAAAAAAGCCCCGTCGCCGCACCACTTTTTGGGCAAGCTCCAAACCAGAAACTGGAGACTTTTTGTTTTGGCCTAAATAAATGGGGAAGAGAAGGAGTTAACAAGAAACACGCGTCGGAATGCTGGCGCATATAGTTCCGGTGTCATATGAAAATCGGACTGGTATAAAATTCAGACTCTTTTTCCCTTTTATTGGTTGAACCCTCTCACGTGACCGGTCCCTCTCCTAATTATCTATGCATGAGCATGCGCAATACTACCAATGAGTCTGTATTTCATAAAACCTAAATTCACGCTACACCGGCATGTCACAAGTTCTCACTTTTTTGGCTTTTTTCTATGAAAGTGAATTTTTATTTTCAATTATTTACCTTGATCCACCCACCCACAATTTCGAAAAAAAATTCGAAATTTACCAACATTGAAAATTTTGAATGACCCCCAAATATGAAGTTTTGAGGTTTTTAAAAATTTATTTTACTTTTATTTTATTTGTTTATATACTTTTGAATAGTAGGCTACTTTAGACAAAATGCGCCTTTGATCGCCCGTTTTAGATTGAAAACAAAATGTTGGGGATGCATTCTAAAAAAAAAAGTTGACATGTTCTCATATTAAAGAAAGAAATTCTTGGTTACTCAACCCCAATGTTAAGCAAATGCAATTTTTTTTTTAAATGAACACAATAACTCTGTCTTTAGAAATGCTTGATTTAAACAGTATTGAAAATATTCATCGCTGCTCATGTTTATTCATTTTACCCCTCCAAAAGTAAAGTAGTTCCGTGACAAATTTAAATGACAAGTCTAAAGGTCAAAATGACATAATGCATTTGGCATGTAAATTAAAGAAGTCGTTTATTTTTGTGCGCTATTTTTTCTGAGGAGGAATGTGCAAGTTTCGTTCCGTTTTGATCACCTTTTGATGTGACACATGATTCGAAAATTATGTTTCCGTGGAAATTAGTACTCCTACTTGCATATGCTGTTGGATTTTCAGGTAAATTGTGGTTGTTTATACTGTGATAAACATGTGAAATTATCTGTTCAATTTTTTTTTCAGTTCCGTCAACACAACATGGCGGCCTTAAGCATTGTGTTGTGGTGTGTGCCACACGGGGTCCAGTTTCCGGACAGATGTCACAAAATCTTTCAGAGCTAATTTTTTTCCCTACAGAATTTCCAGGGATTGCATGTTGTACCTTGACGTCAGCATTGCCCCATAATATCATGAATATAGCCTTGGCTTAATCATGTTAATGGTCATGATCTAGCCGTAGCCTAGACCCGTGAACGTGGCTTGTTGTAAACTACGCCACGTTCTTATGTCATTTCGAACCTGGCGAACGTGTCCCTCTGACTCCCTCCGTTACACACACTGGACGCTATTTTGCCCATGTAATAAGTACTCACATATGAAGCTGTCTTGAATTCTATTTGTATGTCAAAACTTGCATTTGACGAAAATTGAGGAAAATTCTGGCCCCGGTTAATGAAGTCCGTCCGCTACTGCTAGCTGCCATTTTCTCCCAACTGACGCATGCGCATTGCGTTTTATTTTTGTATGATTCGACGGCTGTTTACTGTCGCAGCTAAAACAGACATCGTTTTAGACAAGTTTCAAGTCCTTTCCTCTCTCACCGCACCGTACCGCACGCGGTCGCACGTGCGCCCGCTTGTGTGTGCACACACGTACATGTACTGTACACGAGATGAGCCAAGCAGCCAATCGTCTGCGGGTTTTTTTTTTTCGGGGTTGCGACATGAAACAGCCGTCAATCTGTCCAAGCGACTCAGACGCGTCCGGGGTTATTTGTCAGGGTCAGGTTAAAATCTAATTTCTACACGATCGTATGGGTCTTTACTGATGGGCAAATTTCGTCGAAATTACACAGCCGAAACAATCGGACGGGCAAATTTAGATTTCTAGGTGAGTACTCAACACCCATACGGAATTACGTATGTCGGATCGATTTCGCCAGGTTAGAAATGAAACAAGAACGTGGCGTTGTATACAACGCCACGTTCACGGGTCTAGCCGTAGCCATGGTAGCTTGAGTAACTCCAGCTGAGTGACATGCTCGTCATATTCATTCACTTGTTGATGTACCCTAAGTAACGTGGCGCGGCCCCTAACGTGGCGCACTTTGATTTTTCGCCTGTACTCGCCTAGCCCCATAAATGTGGCCTATTTACTGGACTGCCTCCGTAAACATAGGCCACACGTCCACATGCAGATGTGCAAAAATCGTGTCGACTTTGCCAAATTTTGATTTTCACATTTAGGCTTAGTTTGTAGGATTTTTTTGCTTTAGAAGCATACTCACCCACTTTATAGGCTAGTCAGAAAGTGCTGCCTTTTTCAGATGTCTAATTTTTGTGAAATTTCATGTTGAAATTTTGATACGCAAACGTGTAAAAATGAATCTGGAAATTTCACGAAAAATATACATCTGAAAAAAGCAGCACTTTCTGATTAGCCTATAAAAAGGGTGAGTATGCTTCAAGAGCAAAAAATACCTACAAACTAAGCCTTAATGTGAAAATCAAAATTTGGCAAAGTCGAAACGTTTTTTGTACATGTGGATGTGTGGCCTATGTTTACGGACGCAGTCCAGTAAATAGGCCACATTTATGGGGCTAGTACTCGCCTAGCTAGAGCAAAAGTTTTTACTGAAATTTTAGGCTACAGAAAGTGAAATTTCATCAAGATCTAAAGATCTCCCGTTCATAAATCGCGAGTTTATTTACCCGTTAAAAGTTAAAAGAAAAAATTATTTTGGCGTGATTTTCCGATTTTATTTTCAAGTGCAAAGTGAACCCTTTGAAAATGCCCCGAAAAATAAGAAAATAATTTTCTGACAAACATCTGGCTGGGTATGTAAGTAAAGATAAAAATGATTTATCAGAATTTATCAAGTTTACAGAAATTCTTAAATGTTAATTTGGAATTTTCTGAGATTTATTCAAGTGCGCCACGTTAGGGAACACCCAATTTCCGGACGCGACCGTTTTTGTATTTCGGATAAAATTTTATGAAACCGAAATTGTTCACAGAGGTTAAATAGCAAGCATTAAAAAGGTAAAAGTACCAGTATTTCACTGCATGAATTTGAGGTTTATCAACAAAGAGGTTTGGCAACACTACACGAGGAAAGTCGGGTAAGCTTCGAAGTGCGCCACGTCAGGGAACACGACTATACTAGCGCTGGAGGAATAACCTGTTCGTTACTCGTTAGAATGTGGTAGCAAGAGACCCTAAAAAAAAGGCCTCCCAAAAATTGTTCATTTTCACCTCTAATATCCCACCCCAGAGTTCATTTACATACCTCATACATTCAGCAGTCATTTACGAAGCCTAATGATCGACTTGAGTTGAAACAGACCACCAAAAAAATAAGTGAAAAATCTTGACGATTTCGGTGGCTTGTCCGTAAAAATACGCCAGTTCCAACGGCGTCTTCCATTTTGTTTTGCTATTTATGTAAATTTATGCATCACGTGATAACATCAAAAAAATCTGCGCGCGCGATGTATGAGGGTACCACACCGCTTTCAGGCCCTGCAAGTGAGTTCAATTTTCGTCTGCTGCGTTCCCGTGGAGAGCATTCTTGTTGTCTTGCTTTCCAGAAAAAGTTTTGAAATCGGCAATTGTGCAGGTGGTGTTACTTAAGACACACACTGTACTTTTATTTTGTTTGTCTTACATTGTTACAAATTTATACCTGTAATTGAAGGTTTTGCTATTTCTTTTTCTCAATTTTCTGTATACATGTAGGCCTGCAGCAAACATGGCAAATCCTGAAATCAGCTGATTCTTTGTTTTCTTGGCTTCCCTTGTGAACCGTTAAATTTTAAAAATGTTAGAGCAATTTGGAAAGATCTTGAAAAGTCAAACCTCAAGGGAACAGGTTCAAAATTTGACTTAAAGGGAAAATACAACATTTGCAAACATTAACCCTTACTCTCTGAGGGTAGTTTACTGCATGTCAGTTGGTTATGCCAATGCCCTCCAGCTGCAGTTTATTGGAGGATACTTTGATGTAGCAGTGAAGGCTCCAATTGGCAGGAGTTGGAGGCCCTGGAGGGTGCCTGATACTGACCAGCTGGGGGCACTCACTTTGTTATCAGAGGACTCTCATTGTTCTCTGTGGCATGTATTGGAGTGCCTGTCCAGTTACCCTTGAAATGACATGGCAGATATTGGAGGGCCATGCAAAAAACATAGGAGATTTTCTTGAGGCACAATTGGCATGCGTTGGAGGGTCAAGTAGGGTAAGGGTTAAAAAATAAAACTACCAAATTATTTTGAAATACCTTGCTGGACTGTTAGTGAATGACAGTCTAAAGCATCCTGTAAAATCATGGCACCTGGTATACTTTCCTTTTCAAGAAAAGTGCTATTTTCGTATCAATTTCCAACGCTGGTCGGCCGACCAGCGTTGGAAAAAAAACTGGCTTTTTTTCAAATACTAGCCCCAGTTGACCATATTTAGTTAGTCTGGTTTTGTTTGCAATCGATTACACAAGCCATCTAGACTGGTTCCATGACCTTACAATTCCCAACGTCAATGAATTGCTCCGTTTCATCCTAAATGGAGTCAGGAACCAGACTACAGGAAAATGATTGTTTTTCTTGGTTTTTATAGCATCTACGAACCCAAAACGTAAAAACGTCAGTGTAACAATATTTGCTATATAGATTACCAACCCCCCAAATCCATGCATTTCTGAAAATTGCAGCATTTATAAGCAAATGATGTATATTCCCTTTAAGCAGAGTTTTGAGTTTTAAAAGCAGGGTTGACGGCTGTACAGTGTTATACTACTGACATGACTGAAGGCAATGGATTCTTTGTTTGACTTAACAGTTGTTTTGAGTTTATATCAGAGTTTGACTTATAATCGAGATTTTACTGTAATCCAAAAGTTTTAAGGAATTCAGGTATGAAATCAGATTTAATCCAAAGACTGCCAAGTCATAAAGGCTTATTAACATAAATGTAACATTCTATGTATTTTTTTGGTTGGTGTATATATGTACATTGTATACATTTAAATCTTCAAGTTTCAGCCAAAGTTTGCATAATTTACATACATGTATGTATACATGTACATGTGTTCTGGTCATTCATTGTTCATTTTGTCAGACCGTTCGTTGTTCCTTTATTTCGGCAGCTCAAATCCTAAACTAAAAGCCATTACAAAGACACCAAATAGTGAAACTGTATGGATGCAGACCATGGACCTACCGGTACATGTACATTAAAAACCAGAACTTGTGGGTAATGCCAAAAAAAAAAGTCTCCGGTTTCTGGTATGGAGCTTGCCCAAAAAGTGGTGCGGCGACGCGGCTTTTTTTTGTTTTTACCTGATTTTTTTGCTTCAAATGTCGGCTGATGACTGCAAATGGTGCCCGACTAAACTTAGTGCAAATATATGGGAGTCCAGAGAGGCCACATAAAGCTTATTCTCGACCATAACCCAATCTAAACACACGTTAAAATTGTGCAGCAGCAGGATTCCAGTCAAACCAGTGAGTTTGGCGGTTTTGAGACATCATCTTTCATTGAAAAAAAAACTTTTTCATTTTGCTGACGCGCATGGCTACGGCGACGCGCGCGCATACCAGAAACCGGAGACTTTTTATTTTTTGGCCTAACGGCACCTTAAACATGTATACAAATGGAAATTTCCTAATACAGCAGTGACACTATAAACACAGCCTAAGTAATTGACCTATCGTTGTTTGCGATTTAGCCACGCCCCTTAGCCCTATGGAGTTTTGTGTACACTAAATTTTGTATGTCTCAGATTTTGCGGGTTCTGCGCCCATTTGTATATAATTGGACAATATTTCACAAGCTGCCTCAAGTGAGGTTATTCTAACGCGATTCTACCGCGATAGGTCAATTAAACAGGGAAATTACACAAAGACCAGTAAGTAAGTACGTAAGCAACGCACAGTCCACAGTTTTCCTAGTAACTTACACAGTACACGTAGATTATTAATAGGAAAAGGTATTGAATTGGAGCCATTATGTTCCCGACACAATGCACTTTGGAGTTTGCGGGAAAGTAAATATAACACACACAATGGACAACCGTTCGTCTGACTGCGTTCTGTGAGGCAAAAAAATGATTGTGTCAACATCAGTCATACCATGTATTGAAATTTGGAATGGCATTGACTGTGAAGTACTGTACAAACAGAGATTTTGTAATGATCTGATGATGTGTGTAATTTATTTGAAAATATCAGTGACGCATCTACTGGTAGGAGGGGGCGGGGGTATGGGGATTTAACAGATTCAGCAAACACATCCCTTGGCATGCTTGGGCCGCAAAAAAAAAGAAGAAAATGACAAAAAAAAACATGCCTCTTAAACCCTCCTCTTGAAATCTACATGTACCCCCCCCCCCCCACATCTTGAGCCAAACCTTAAATTGATCCGCCCCTTAATATATTGCATTGTCAATGCAAATGTACATGTAACCTCATAACAATGACTCATTTGGAGGTATTTAGGTCCACTTACATACAATAAATCCACATACATGTATTGTGCAGAATATGTACAAATGTACGGTACATGTACATGTATAACATGTACACGCATACTGAAATTTGTATTCTTGTGGAGACATTTCTTTGTTCTCGTGTAGTAAAGTTTTCGAGTTTGAAAGTGAAGTTTCAAAAAGCTCTTATTTCAACCAGAATTAATTTCCTTGGCTGAAATTCGGACTTAATATTCCTTTTCTAAAACTCTTCCATTTGATCAACCTACCTTGGAAATTCCTAGTTTTTGAGTAAAATCCATATGTATCTATTTCGTGAAAATCTTGTGGAGACGTATTCATCTATAGAAATTGCTCTGTGGAGACGTATACAATCAATTTGTTCCCTATTGTGTGCATGTCTCCAGAGGGCACGGTATATCAGATCATGTATTCTGTGCAGGTGTTGAAAGTGTGTGTAAATGTACCGGTACTTTAACTTGTTCTTGTAAATTATGCTATGGACTGTATCACAGCAGACAATATAGTTGTATTTACATGTATACTGTACATGTATGTTACCATACTCATGTCATATTTCCAAAATATCTTTTTTTCTTCAGTCTGACTGTGTACTGATTTTTTCTTACTCTTCCCTTCTGCAGATGCAGCGTTGAAGATTGAACCCATCTATGCCACGTTCAACGTCCCAGAGTACGGCAGTGCCACCACCACGTGCACAAACCTGGATGTGGGAGGCAGCCAGCCGGAATGGGTGGACCCAAATGGTCAGATAGTGGGTCCGGTCGGTGGAGGTACGTACACACGTACGGTACTTGTTCTTGCAAGACCATTATCCAATAAAGGGCTCTCGCTGTCTCGAGTGACCCGGCCTACACGTATCCTGGAAATGCAGCATCGCCATCGTAGTAGGCAAAGATCGTATAGCGAATACATTTACATGTGTAGCACTACGGAGTAGGTTATAGGCAAGCTTTCAAAGCTGTGATGAATGGCGAAAACTGATATATGTAAATACATCTCGTGTTACATGTACATATAGGTCTGCACGACTATGACAACCGTACATGGCACAAGGAGTGACCATTTCAGCTTTTTTAAAGATACAGTCCATCATTTGTAATTTTTGTGCATTTTGTTCGTTTGAAGCAACAAAAGTGTTCAAAATCTAATGAAGGATACTGAACAACTAACCTGATGAAGTTTCAGCTCAGCTTCAGCTGTATATTCCGAGAAAAACATCATTCAAGGATCTCAATTTCAAATCAAAAGTTGATGTTTTGAATTGTTTTGAATTGCAGCTATACGCGATGTCGCCCACCGACGAATTATAGCAACCGCGCGCGCGTGTGCATCGTGCCAATGCTTGCGCGCGCTTCGCCGAAAAACAAAACGAACTACTAATTTAAATTTCCTACGGTGCGTCTGAAGACGCACCGTTGGAAAGACCTTCTTTCGTTGATTACTTCAAAATGAGAGCTTGCCAGAAAGAATAATTTCACAGGGAGTTTAGTCCCCTTACTATCTTTCAACCAAGTATGTTTTTCAACAATAATTATGCCAGTTACTTTTCGGATGGCTGCAAATGATAGACTATAGCTTTAAGTGAAAATAAGCCCAACTGTCTAGTTTACAATGTACGATGTGGTTGCTAACCAAACGCCTGGATAGCAGCTCAACAAATCATCATGTCTCTTTGTTAGTCCGTTAGGTAGTAGCAAACATTGACATTATCTATTGCTCTATACATGTTTTGACCGATTTCAACCAAACTTTGTCAAAAGTATCAGTAGCCTTGCCCCAACATGTCAAAGGACCTGACTGGGGTCAAATATGTCACCATGGGTTCACTGGGGTCAAAAACCTGATTTTTATTTCACTCAAAACACTACTCCTTCCAGAAATCACATGGCACAATCACGTGACTCATGCATTGTTGGCCCGCAGCTTCCGAGATATTTCCGATCGAGCTTGTTAGATTGACACGTGAATTGTAAATGTGTGTTAGGGTTTAACCCTAACTCCCTAGGCCTTTTTGCTATGAAGTAGCCTCAATCCTGCAAAATCCTCCAATTGGCCTCTTGGAAAAATAGCATATAACCTCAATCCTGCAAATTCCTCCGCTATTTCTTGAATATGGTCCATGGAGGGGTGACCACTGCCTGAATCCTGCAAAATATTCCGGCTATGACTGTCAAAAGGCTGAGGCAGAGGCAGTGACATCCTGGAGCAGTGCGGAGGATGTCAAGTATAATCAAGGACTAAATTTATGCACGGCTGAGCATAAACAACACAAGGTCGGGCCCAAGACCTTGACACAGTGCGTACTCCGAAATCAGCGACACACTTTTGCCATGTAACCTCAATCCTGCAAATTCCTCCAATTTGCAAAAAGGAATTTGGAGGATTCAGGGCGGTTAGGGTTAATAAATAAGAGTGCCTTCTTCTTTTGATAATATGTCTTCTCGTTTTGATATCAGGTGGTTCTACCGACAAGCATGTGAGTCTTCACGTAGACCCCACCACCGCGCAGAGGTTCACGCGCATGCATTTGAGCAACATCTTGAAGGCCTCGGGCGGCGGTTACGTGTGCCGAGCTGACGGCGAGACGGAGAACATCAACATCAACGTCTACAGTGAGTTGCCTTCGTAAAGCCACCTCGGAATCATTTCCAAAATAGGACAAGCTCTTTTTTTTCTGAGTTTGTGTACTTTCATTATTTACATGTGCATGCACAGTTTCATTTTGTCCCACATAACCCAATCATGCTGTAGCAAGATCCATTGGGTCGAAAATCTCAACAGTTCCAATTCGAAACCCTAACCCGATGGGGTATTTTGGCTCGAAACCCTGCCAAACCCAGCAACGTGCAACACTTGTCTAAGTGACAAGCCTGCCCAGTGTAGCAAGATCCATCAGGCCAAAAGTCTCAAAGCCAAACTGCCTCAGAGCCTATGGTCATGATGGTCACCGAATGCAGCAGGATACGTGTACAACTGTGTCATTTTCTCAAATGGGACTACAGTCGAGTCTCGTTCGTTCGGACCTAGCCAAATTGTATGTTACATCAGAATTTTGTATTAAGAGAAACATCAGTCCAGTGCGTGAAATTAGACAAAAAAAGTGGTCAGACAAAATGTCCGAGCACAATCAAAAGTGTTCTGCCATTGTCAAGTTTTGATCAGCCATTTAGCGTTCCAAATTTGATTCACGCGCTCGTTTCTGTAGTAAGCCACGTTGTGAGAATTTAGTAACAATCACGCACTTAAAGCATACCGCGCAACACAACGTACTTTGATCTTGCTAAATTCTCATTACATGTATGCGCGTCAATGTCCTTATAATACTCTATATTTCGACTCGTCACTATACAGACTCGATTCAAGTCTGCAGAACAAATAACTTAAACTGGGTGAAATTGCAGTTCTGAATGTCCAAAGAGGCTCGATCGAATCATTATAGCAAGGAATAGAGGTTGAATCAGGTCCAATTTAACACTTTTGCCCAATAGAAATTAACTGGGAATTCCACAAACGGCCACTGCTCATTTCCATAAAATGACTGGAAAAGTACAAAAAGTTGTATTAACTGATTTGTAGAAGAAACACAAAGACTGCTGATCGAAACATAATTTATCGACTTGATTTCACGTCTATTTTTTTGGCAAACGGCACGTACGTACGAATGCCAATCTATCGCTGTGCACGCCACGCTGTACTAGACTGTGTAATGATTGGGGTGTAAACGCGTTGCATCTATTGCGTGAATATAAGACAACACGTACATGTAGTTAGCAGCCGCTCAGCGTACGGTAAGCATTACAGACCTTATCATTGGAAATAAACAACAAAATACTTTTGAGTGCAAGCGTTTATTTCATACTTCTGAAAAAGACAACTCCACAAAGAATACATAAATCGCTCGGACATTTTGTCCGAGCACATTTGCATTTGGTCGGACAAACCATGAAAGTGGTCGGAAAATGTCCGATGTCCGACTGTAATTTCACGCACTGTCAGTCCCATTCATGGTGCACATACATGCACAGTCGAGACCTAGGCTTTATGTTTGTTATAACCCGAATTTTGTATTAACAGAGTTTGTACTAACGAGACTCGACTGTATCTCTCATTGGCTCAGAAGTGGCTGTTTTTGCACTGGTGTTGGTAGCTGAATGCATCAAAGTGCACCAGACTTTTCCACCTGATGCACTGTGTTGCATCTGGCAGGGTTAGGGTATTTGGGTTGATCTTCAACAATAACAATTTCCTGTTTTGTTCTCTCTCTTGCGTAGTTCCGGTGACTTTATTAGACGAAGATGGTGAGAAAAGCCAGTGGATGACGTACCACGAGTCAGGGAGCCTGAAATGCACCATGCACGGTGAAACCAACACCGTCGTGTCCTGGGACGGACCCATGGGACCCATAGCAGATGGCAAGTCTTCAACCCCTAAACCCCCCCCCCCTCCCCGGTGGCCAGTTACGATAATCGCAGTCTTAGCTGGCCAGCTTAAATCATTTTAGCCAGCTAGACAAATCTCGGGGTTGATACGGGGTTGACCGCAGGGTGGATAACATGCGGCGTTTCACACTTGAACATTTTTAACCCTGCACCAACCCTGCGTCAACCTTGAGATTGATTTCGCCCTGGGGTTGAACTCAACCCTGCTCCAGACCGGGGTTGGGATTTTCAGCCCGGGGTTCAAAACAGTAGTAACCAAGCGAAATCACCTCGGTTTGCACAAAACAAGTGTGAAACGACACAGGGTTGAATGTAAAATCAAAAAATCAAAAAATTCTTGCTTTTGATTGACTTGTGATTGACTTGTGATTGACTTGTGATTGACTTGTGATGGACTTGTGATGGACTTGTGATGGACTTGTGATGGACTTGTGATTGACTTGTGATTGACTTGTGATTTACTTGTGATGGACTTGTGATTGACCTGTGATGGACTCGTGATGGACTTGTGATGGACTCGTGATGGACTTGTGATGGACTCGTGATGGACATGTGATGGACTCGTGATGGACTTGTGATGGACTTGTGATTGACTTGTGATGGACTTGTGATTGACCTGTGATGGACTCGTGATGGACTTGTGATGGACTCGTGATGGACTTGTGATGGACTCGTGATGGACATGTGATGGACTCGTGATGGACTTGTGATGGACTTGTGATTGACTTGTGATGGACTTGTGATTGACCTGTGATGGACTCGTGATGGACTTGTGATGGACTCGTGATGGACTTGTGATGGACTCGTGATGGACTTGTGATGGACTTGTGATTGACTTGTGATGGACATGTGATGGACTTGTGATGGACTCGTGATGGACTTGTGATGGACTTGTGATGGACTCGTGATGGACTTGTGATGGACTTGTGATTGACTTGTGATGGACTTGTGATTGACCTGTGATGGACTCGTGATGGACTTGTGATGGACTCGTGATGGACTTGTGATGGACTCGTGATGGACTTGTGATTGACTTGTGATTGACTTGTGATGGACTCGTGATGGACTCGTGATGGACTTGTGATTGACTTGTGATTGACTTGTGATTGACTTGTGATTGACTTGTGATGGACTCGTGATGGACTCGTGATGGACTTGTGATGGACTCGTGATGGACTTGTGATGGACTTGTGATTGACTTGTGATGGACATGTGATGGACTTGTGATGGACTCGTGATGGACTTGTGATGGACTCGTGATGGACTTGTGATGGACTTGTGATTGACTTGTGATGGACTTGTGATTGACCTGTGATGGACTCGTGATGGACTTGTGATGGACTCGTGATGGACTTGTGATGGACTCGTGATGGACTTGTGATTGACTTGTGATTGACTTGTGATGGACTCGTGATGGACTCGTGATGGACTTGTGATTGACTTGTGATTGACTTGTGATTGACTTGTGATTGACTTGTGATGGACTCGTGATGGACTCGTGATGGACTTGTGATGGACTTGTGATTGACTTGCAATTGACTTGCAATTGACTTGTAATTGACTTGTGATTGACTTTTGATTGACTTGCAATTGACTTGTGATTGACGTGTGATGAACTTGTGATGAACTTCTGACTGACTTGTGATAGACTTGTGATTGACTTTGATGACTTGTGATTGACTTTCATATGACTTGAAGCTTTGCATGGCGGATGAGATAAAGTAGAAAGTACTTTATATTGACTTGCGATTGACTTCTGATGAACTTGTGATTGACATGTGATTAACTTGTGATTGACTTATGATTGACTTGTGATGAACTCGTGGGAACTTGCTTAAGTGCAACTCTGGATTATGATTGGTCAGTTTGTCCCAGCGACTTTTAGGTGCCGTCTGAAGTTGTTTTACATTATAAAATGCAAAGTGTTAATAGTGAACATGGTATAGAAGTTCCCATTGTTCATATCTTTTTTTGTTGTTAACCTTTGCAGGAGGCCGTTACCTAATCACAGAAATGTTTGGTCTCACCATCGACAACGTCACTTTAGATGACGAGGGAACATATAACTGCCGTGGATCCATTCCCAACGTTGGTGTGGCCACGGTCCTCCAAATCGAAGCAGCTGTGTACAGTGAGTGACTGGATTGTTTAAAATTAGAGCAATTCTTGTTGTTGCCCCATGGATGACGAAATCATCAGTGTGGCATAGCGGGCAACAGACATGATCAGTGTGCGCTCTTAGAACACGTTCAAGAGCTCTTACTGTTAAGGCTCTGTGCAGTATCCATGAACATGTTGGCGGCTACTTGTGTTTGGGACTCAAAATGTCTTTCACCTTCTGTTTCAAAAAGATATTAAAAACAAATGATTAGGCCCTACACTCCGGTGCTTTAATGTATGATTTTATCCATTAACTAGTTTTTATCGTAAACGTTTAGTCGAGCAGTCTTCCCTCACAGAACCTCTCTGCGTTTTTATACAAGTGTGGTACATTGGAGAACCCTTAGTCCACAGGGGAAGTTGCCTTACCCCTCTTAAGAGAGTTTTCAAGAAAACTCGGTGAAATACAGACTCCTTTGTTGTATTGCGCATGCCACAGTGAAGATAATAAGGACAGCTAACATGGCTAATGGTCACGTGTGAGGGTTAGAATAATTAGAAGGTAAAAGAGACCAGACTTCATAGGAGTCCAAATTTCATATGACACCGGGATGATACTTTTAGCATATTTCTCTTGATTTGAACTTTGACCCCATCCCCTTCGTGCAGTGATACCAAAGATCAGGTACCCGCCGATCAACAAGAACGCCACGGAAGGCACCAGCGCCTTCTTCAACTGCGAGGCCATCGGGGAGCCCCAGCCCACCTACACCTGGTACGACGGCAGCTTGGTGCTAAACGACCCGGACAAGTACCTGATCGAGCAGGACGGCAAGCGGCTGACCATCCTGAACCTGGTCAAGGACGACCAGAAGCGCTACACGTGCGAGGTCAGCAACCCGGCGGGGCTGGACCGGCGGGACGGGGAGCTGACGGTGGACATCCCGCCCACGCCGGTTCGGGCCGTCACCTACGAGAAGGACCAGGGGGAGAGCGTCAAGTTCTACTGCGACATCCAGCGCGGGGACCGGGAGAACCTGAAGCTGCAGTTCAAGCGCTACGAGAAGTGGCTGCCCATGGGGGTACAGGTCAGTGCAAGCTTTGTCTCTGGCTTTTTTTCTCCGGCTTTGGCTGCCACTGCAACTGTGGCTGCAACTTGTTATGGCTGTGGCTGCGGCTGCGGCTGCGGCTGTGGCTGTGGCTGTGGCTGCGGCTGTGGCTGTGGCTGCAACTTGTTATGGCTGTGGCTGTGGCTGCGGCTGCGGCTGCGGCTACGGCTACGGCTGCGGCTGCGGCTGCGGCTGTGGCTGTGGCTGTGGCTGCAACGCATTATGGCTGTGGCTGCGGCTGCAGCTGCAGCTGTGGCTGCACCTGCACCTTAAAGAATGAAAATTGGAGAGAAGAACGGAGGTATAGAAATTGAACACAAAAGAGGGTGGCAATAACATCGGTCAGATGTCAGACCCGGCGCAAAGTGGTTAAAAGAATGAAACTTTGAGAGAAGGGAGGTACAGAAATTAAACACAAAAGAGGGTGGCATAACATCGGTCAGATGTCAGCTAGTTTACACTAGCAACTTTGTCTCCTTTTTCATAAATTGAATAAGAAAACGTGTTGGCATGATGTGCTGGCTAGGCTCAGAGAACAATGGTTCAGTTTGGTCTTACTACCCTTTGTAGGTGGACTCAAGGATAGTGATTCAGGAGGAGACGGGTACCGGCCCCGATGCCGGCCAGCCAGGCAGCATATCTCTCACGATCACAGACATCCACAGGGGCGACGAAGGGGACTACACCTGCTTTGCTCGCAACAACGGCGGCTACGCCATGTCACACAACATTCTGCATGTCAGATGTAAGTTGATAAAAAACTTTCCAAAATGGCTGTTCCATTGTAGAGTTGTATTCAACCCTTGCTCTACGTGCTCTTCAAAAACATTTTTTTTTAAATCATTGTATCGGCAACTGATCACAGAAATATATGTTCCCTATCAAAAAGGTTGTGTCTGAATCTGCAATGGAGTTTTCGGTAACAAAACTCTGAAAAGTGTGACACGACACTCGCCTTTTTTGGGTCAGGTCTTTTTTGGTGTTTTGGGGTCGTTGGTTACCCTTACCTGTCTCAGCCCAACATAGGGTGAAGCAGTGCAGGGTTGAAGTACATGTTCATCCCAAGTAAACTCATGCAATACACCGATCCTCTGAGCTCCACTCTAGGATAGTTCAACCAAATCACAGCCATGATTAACCCTATTAAACCCTAACCCACCTCACTCCTCCAAAATCCTCCTGGCGGTTTTGGAGGATTCTAGAGGATTGAGGATGAATGGTGATTGATTCAAATGAGGATTCTGGAGGATTGCGGATGAATGGTGATTGAAGCACATGAGGATTTTGGAGGATTGAGGATGAATGGTGATTGAAGCACAAGAGGATTTTGGAGGATTGAGGATGAATGCATTTTGAGGCAGGACTGTCTGATGATTTTGAAAGATTTGGCGTTGGGTTATCCTTCATTTAAACACAAGTGCAAAATTTTGGGATGAGGAGGATTTTGGAGGATTGAGGATGAATGCATTTTGAGGCAGGACTGTCTGACAATTTTGAAAAATTTAGGCGGAGTTGCAAAATTTTGGAGGATTTTGGAGGATTGAGGATGGTTGTAAGCAAAAAGGGCCTAGGGGGTTAGGGTTAAACCAACTAGGCCCTTTTGGCTGGGAACCATCGATTCTCAATCCTGAAATATCCTCCATTTGGCACCATGTAAAAATACAGCCTCAATCCTCCAAAATTGTTCGTTATTATCTTGAATTTGTTCAGGTGAGGGGTGACTCAATCCGTAAAAATACTCCAACAACCACTGTTAATGGGTCGAGGCAGTGCCGATGACATTGTTTAGGCAGTGTGGATGATAACAAGCAAAATTATTGGCCTCTGTATGCCTGAACATAAGCAATGCTTGGTACAGCCCACCAGCTCAACACAATGTATCTTCCAAAATCAACTGAAACTTTTTGCCAATCAGCCTCAATCTGCCGAAATCCTCTGAAACCACCTGGAGGATTTGGGAGGATTTGGGAGGATTAGGATAAATATCCGATGTGAGTGCACAAGTACCTGACGTGCGGACTTGCATATGGCATGTATGTTTCTGGGACACACATTGTGGCATTGAAGGAGCACACTATAAGTTATCCCGCGAGCGCGAGTGGAACACGGAATAATGTAGTGCATCTGTGTCCCACATTTCGGCCTCTAGGTATGTGGGACACAGAAGCACTACATTTTCCGTGTTCCACGAGCGCGAGCCTGATAACGAATTTATCTTTCAGCAAACTTGACGCACAGTAAAGATGGAACACGCACGCTGTACACAAACTTTTCAGCGGTTATCCTATTACACGTGGGCGTTGTACGGAGTGGCGCGCACATCTTAGAAAAGCACAATACGCGGAGTGCGGTATGGAGGGAGGCCGTGCTACATGGTAATATGTAGCAAGGCTTGTTGCCATGCAGCGACCAGTCAGGATCGAGGATTCAAGTTTACTTGAAGATAAGTGTTGTAGCCCACATTTGCAGTCATGGCAGTGGGCTGGGCTTAAGAGGCGGTTGTTTTTCTCCCCATCCACAGATGAGCCGGTGATTAACAACGAGTACAGCACCAGGAAGGTCTTCTCCTGGGTCGGTCACCAGCTAAACCTAACCTGCCACTGGTTCGGCTACCCGGTACCCACTGTCCTCTGGTTCGTCAACAACCAGCCCCTGGTCGGCACGGTGGGCGAGGTCGCCGGCAACGCTACGATTTACGACTTCAACAACGGCTCCAGTTCTCTCTTTGTGAGTTGACAAATTGAAACAGTTTAAGAATGGCTCGTGGTTGACGTGAATGCAAATGCAAATGCACGTCACAAAACATTAGCGTAAAAATGTACCCAGTTGAAATGTGTTTAATAGACTGCAAGTTTGCCACGACAATACTTAGTTACGTCACAAATTTACGTTCTAAGATTTAGGGTTTGCAAGGTGTGGTATCGATATAGCTTCGGTTTGAGGTAACACCATGTAGTTGTGTCTACTTTCGCTCAGTAGATTTACTTCCGATAACAACTGTCCCACTCGTTCAAAAAAAGGAACTTGTCCTGCAAATCTACTTTCGCTAAGTACATTGGAAGTACATTACGTTTGTTGTTGCGTTCAGTTTGTGTTCGGAATCACGCTGTGTATGAAACAGCCTATTGCCTCGTTTTGACTTGCATGTAACTACCGTACGTGCAAATTTCGCAGAGCTGTTACCACTAGGTAGAAATGATGTTTGCTTCAATATAATGTGTACCCGTATGTGACAACTAGGCAGACTTGGGCAGAGCTACGAATGGAGAAACAGCTGCGAAATGACATGGGGTGATTTTGAGTGATTTTGAGATGTTTTGAAATTAGTCATGCTACTAGTGTTTAAACATTATTCATAAATACCTTCGACAGTTTATCCATTCCTATTTGCCGGATTTAAACGGATGATAAAGACATGGCTGGCTGATCTTAAACAACTTTCCAGTATCACATGAAATTTTTAACTCCTATGAAAATCCGGTGCCTGCACCGTTTTATTGGTTGAACCTTCACAGTCCTCACGTAGGCATGCGCAATACTACCAGTGAGTTGGTATTTCATAGTCCTAGATTCAGACTACACCGGTATATTTGCGTTGTAATCAAGGAGTTGTTTACCAGAGGGCCTTACCATACTACATGTATAGCTAGAGAAGTGTTTTGTTGATCGAAATCGTTGAAAATTTATAATTTTTGACTTGTTTTGACTTTTGTACCGAAAAGTTAAGATATTTTGACCGAAAAGGTATTGATGAATGGTAATAAATATGGGCTTGGTCAGTATTAAACACTCTGTTTAAGACCAGTTGGAGTCTGGATGCTGATAATTACCCTGGCCTTTGGCTCGGGTACTTATCAGCATCAAGACTCCAACTGGTCTTAAACAGAGTGTTTAACACCTCCCAAGCACACATTTATTCCCTTAGTAAAAGTGTTGTTTTACAATTAGACCTTTTCTAAATAACCTTTTTTGCACTAAAATCAAACTTTAAAGGCCTATTTCTCATTTTTGACATGCAGACAGTCCGATTTCAAAATTTAATAATTTCACTTTGGTATATCCAAGTTTCTACTTCAAATACCCTGCAGAGTAAGGGAAAAATCAGTCCAGCGATCCGTTGGATTTTCAAGCTTTGAAATGTTGCCTTGAGCAAAATATGGAAATCATCTGTCTTTTCATTCCATGATGTCTTATTTTCTCTGGCCCCCTAATAAACAGATCGACACGTCAACCAACGACTTCCTACCGTACCAGTGTGACGGAAGGAATAAATTTGGACGCAACAGACATCATATACAGTTTGAGCGTGCATGTAAGTAACACTTACTAAACATGAGGTGATTTTCCCTTTTAAAAGCCTGGGCCCTTTTTATACCAGGCTTTCGATGTTTATCTTTGACTGAGCTAGCCAAGTGTAACATTATCTGGTTAATCCCTTAAAGCTATAGTCCATCATTTGCAGCCATCCAAAAAGTAACTGGCGTAATTACTGTTGAAAAACAAACTTGGTTGAAAGATAGTAAGGGAACTAAACTCCTTGTGAAATTATTCTTTCTGGGAAGCTGTCATTTTGAAGTAATCAACGAAAGAAGGCATTTCCAACGGTGATTCTTAAGAAGCACCGTAGGAACATTTAAATTAGTAGTTTGTTTTGTTATTCATCGCAGCGCGCACAAGTATTGGAATGACGCACACGCGCGATTGTTATAATTCGTCGGATCAGTGCGCGACGCCGCGTATAGCTGCAATTCAAAACATTTCAAAACATGATTCAGTAACTTTTGATTTGAAATTGAGATGTTAGAATGCTGCTTTTCTTGGAATGTACAGCTGAAGCTTAGCTGAAACATCATCAGGTTAGTTGCTCAGTATCCTTCATTAGATTCACACTTTTGTTGCTTCAAACGAACAAAATGCACTAATTACAAATGATGGACTATAGCTTTAAGGCAATTAGTTACAACACAGGAGGCCAGTCCACGCTCTTTGGGTAGGCATTCATTATACACTCGCATTCTGCAGTTCACGCATGCGTGAACATAAGTCGTGCATGTACCGCAGCGACCACACTTACAGTCCGACAAATTCAGGATTGCTGTTGTTTGTGCATCAATTTAAACAATAATACGAAAAAAACATGGTTTCATTACTCGACAAAAAGAAATACAACGTTGGATATTAAATTTATGAAAAATCCATGTGCGTGTAGGCCTCTGAGGAATGATTCAGGCATTGTTAGTCAAGCGGTACTAATTATTCCCTGCTGCTGGTAGGCATTCATCAGGTGCTAAACTACCCTAAGGAGATAGATCTTGAGATAAGAGAGATCAGTAAGCCTGGTTCAGTCTTGGTAAAAAACCCGAATATCAGCGGCCAGTTCGGTTGTTCTGTTTAAAAGAGGATTCACGGCATGATAATGTACTTTGTATTCTGATTTTGCTTCACTTGTCGGGTGGGGGTTTAGGTTGTGAATGTAGTACCTGAAAGTGAGCAACACAAGTTTTAGATCCTTGTTCAGGATTTGAATAGCCTTTCGCCAAGGCAGTCGTGGCTTAGAGCGGCGGAGCTGCGAATGCACTAAGCGACTGGAGCAAAGATTAAGTCAGCACTCAGCGTCGTAGCCACGACGCCTTTTCGAACTTGGTTTTGCGGTTTTTGTTGTTGAACGCTGACTCCGTCGTTTCCGATTGCTTGGAATTTTGCTACCCTTTTGGGGTAGCAAAAATCGAGATTATAAAGAAAAACATAAAGAAATTCTTGACAAGTTGGAAAAGGCTCTCGTGGCTTCGCCACTCGCATGTGTGGTCTCCCCCTCCAGTCGCTTCGCGGCTTGGCCGCTTCGCTGCTTGGTCAAATGATGGCAAGTTAAGTCACGATGGCCTTGGCAAAAGGCTAGGTTTTGAATTTCCTGTGATTTGAAGTTTGTGTGGTGTAACCTTTTACGTAAGTATATATATGTACATGTATATCCCTGGTACGATTCAGGAGGAGTTTAGTTATCACTCAAGGGGGTTAGGGGTAAAGGCACAAGTTAAAAAAACAATACTTCTTGAGAGCTATTTTTCATGTGTCTTATCCAGTCTCATTTGTTTTAGTTGTCTAAAAAAAAAGTTCAGGAAAGGGGAACATGCGAAATGAAACGGGCGGTAACTCAATGTTTACCTCAAGGTCTTGTGAGGGTTTTACTGGGTTTAACGGGGTACCTCAGGGTTCTGTAAGTTCAGTAAGGTAGGCATGCAAAATTAAACGGCCAGTAACTCGAGGTTTACCTCTAGGTTTTGTGAGGGTTTTACTGGGTTCAACGGGGTACCTCAAGGTTCTGTAAGTTCAGTAAGGTAGGCATGCAAATTAAACAGCTAGTAACTAGAGGTTTACCTCTAGGTTTTGTGAGGGTTTTACTGGGTTTAACGGGGTACCTCAAGGTTCTGTAAGTTCAGTAAGGTAGGCATGCAAAATTAAACAGCCAGTAACTAGAGGTTTACCTCTAGGTTTTGTGAGGGTTTTACTGGGTTTAATGGGGTACCTCTAGGTTCTGTAAGTTCAGTAAGGTAGGCATGCAAAATTAAACAGCCAGTAACTTGAGGTTTACCTCAAGGTTTTGTGAGGGTTTTACTGGGTTTAACGGGGTACCTCAAGGTTCTGTAAGTTCAGTAAGGTAGACATTCAAAATTAAACAGGCGGTAACTCGAGGTTTACCTCAAGGTTTTGTGAGGTTTTACTGGGTTCAACGGGGTACCTCAAAGTTCAGTGATTTCAGTAAGGGGAGCATGCAAAATTAAACAGCCAGTATCTTTAGGTTTACCTCAAGGTTTTGTGAAGTTTAACAGGGTTTTACGGGTTACCTCAAAGATCAGCCTCCAGTTAGCGCCGGTTTAATTTTGCATTCTTCCCTATGCAAATTTGGCTTTAGTCATTGTTGGTGCTGCTTGGATGTCGCAACAGCAATCATTCAAATGTTTCATATTATTGGTGTATTTAAACACAGATTTACAAAGTAAAGAACCGTATCATTGTTTCATACCTGTATACCGCATTCTTGCAGCTTATAGTTTTTCATAAAACATATCGTTCAGCAATCAACAACCTCTTTAATAACGAACCTTACACAGATCCCATGAAGAGACCCACCAACGTTCAAGCCATATCGGCCTCCGCAACCACCATCGAGGTCTCCTTCGATAACCCGGTGGAGGTCGGTGCCGATTACCCAGAATACCTCAGGATCCTGGGCTACGTGATTGGGTACAGCGAGTACCAACAGCCGACGGAGATGTACGAGATTGTTCAGAACAGTAAGTGCAACTTGCTAGTCATTTTTTGTAAGTTGGTTAACTCATTAGCACCTGTACTACGTTGTATTACATTGTATTTATTTCAATCAATAAAACCAGGGAGTAAAGTAAAGTTAAGTCTGTCACGAGCCAATGTGGCCCATCAGGCTGGCGTTTATCTCCGGTTTCGGTAGCATGAAACGACTGAGAATATTTGTGTGAGATGAGTGTCCAAACACTGATAATATTTCAGGGTACTCTACACAACCTTTGAGTATTTGGGACACTAGGGGGAGTAGGACTCTCTACTGCAACGCTCTTCCTACTTCCAGCAGCTCATTTGATTGGCTTCCGTTCTTTTGGTTCTTTGCTCCGTAGAATGTCTGCCCACAGAGTTCCAGTGTGGTCGACTGTGCATCGAGAAAGATCGTCGCTGTGACAACTTCATGGATTGCCTGGACAACAGCGACGAAGAAAACTGCAGTAAGTGCTCACGATTAGTACTGTCGCAACCAATGGATGATTGGTATTATTTTTTTAACCCTAACTCCCTAGGCCTTTTTGCTAGGATGTAGCCTCAATCCTGCAGAATCCTCCAATTGGCCTCATGGAAAAATAGCATATAGCCTCAATCCTGCAAATTCCTCTGTTATTTCTTGAATATGGTCCATGGAGGGATGACCACTGCCTGAATCCTGCAAAATCCTCCGGCTATGTCTGTCAATAGGCTGAGGCAGAGGCAGTGACATCCTGGAGCAGTGCGGAGGATGTCAAGTATAATCAAGGGCTAAATTTATGCACGGCTGAGCATAAACAACACCAGGTCTGACCCAAGACCTTAATTGACACAGTGCATACTCCGAAATCAACAACGCACTTTTGCCATGTAACCTCAATCCTGCAAATTCCTCCAATTTGCAAAAAGGATTTTGGAGGATTCAGGGCGGTTAGGGTCAATTATAAATAAAACACCTCTTACGTTCAACCCAATATCAAGATTTAGCTGTAGAGCATGTACATGTACATAAGCTGACTGGGTCTGTAAATCACGGTATGCATGAAATTCAAGTTAAGCCATCATCTGGTGTATATATGGCTCGCTCAAATGACGGCCATCTCTGTAGGAGAACTGCAACTGCGTATTTACGCAATCAAGCACGCATTGCACAGTGCTGAAAATGTTCCAAACACGCGCTCGCATATTGCTTGGAAATGTATTTGAAAAACGACACAGCTGATGCGCGTTCTGCAAGATGGAAGTGGAAGTGAATTTTGACTGTCCGTGATTGCTGTATAAATAGCAGGAGGGTTAAACATCAAACCACACTTTTTTTTGTGTCACTGATTTTTTTTGCCTTCTTTCCGCAGATGCGGATGAAGATTGCACCGGAGGTTTCAAGTGTCCCGTCCGGGATGGCAACCGGAATCCTTGCCTGCCCATCTCTTATGTCTGTGATAAGGAGCCCGACTGTGTGGATGGTGCGGACGAGTCGGAAGAATCCTGCACTGCCTACTTCAGACCCATCTGTAAGTCTTTGACACTTGTGTACCTGTTGCGCTTTTCAACGTTGACAGCAGAGTAAATATGTTATTGAGTTCATTGCAATTCACATGTGTGATTGACTTTAAATATCAAATACGAAAGAACAAGTTAGTTGCTTCGTCCTTCGGATGGGACGTTAAGCCGTAGGTCCTGTGTGTTGTGTAATGCACGTTAAAGAACCCAGTAACACTTGTCGCTAAGAGAAGGGGTTTGCCCCGGTGTTTCTGGCAGTGGCAGCAACTATACGCCGCAGCATCTTGTAAACCCTTATAAGGTGCAACATAATGGGTCTCATAATGTTCATATACTTCATTTACCTGGCTTGGTTGCATTCTCCCCCAGCGCTTTGTATCCTCTGGCAAAAAGCGCTATGTAAATACAGTTATTAATATTATTATTATTATTAGTTAAGGGTGAAATCACTGACTTAGTTACAAAAGAAAGAGTTGGGGGAGACCAGTGGGTGCGCTAGCAGTGCAGGCCACTGTCAACTGGTCGGATTCGACATCATAAAAAATGCCAAGAAAACACCGATGGAGAAAAAACATTTTTGCAAGTTAATTTACAGAATTGATCTAGCTTGTCTGTGTAAGTATTTTCTGTGTTCAAGAGTTCATTTTGAGATCGCATTTCTCGTATTTATGAGTGATACACAATGCGTGTTTCCCGAAATTTTTGACCGTGAAAACAGGTCTGTCGACCCATGGTGGGCCGCTCGCCACACACGCACGCATCACACACCTCGGAGTTTTGGCCAGCTCCCCGCGTCTAGACTAGCGTTGTGCATATGGTGCGAACGGCCTGAATTTTCCATTATTTTTTTAAATTATCGAACGTAAATATATTGACAATAATTAAAGGTAGGTTTTATTCACTTTTTGTTGCCATTTCGTGTATAGCTTTCGTAGTGCAATGGAAATAGTTCAGGCTAAAACTTCGCATATAATTGAATATCCCATTCAATCTGCATAAAAAAAATTGGCAAAAAAAAAAGATTTTCCGACCGACCGACCCTATTTTTGAAGGGCATGTAATCGGAAGCAGAACTATTTTTTTTTTTGGCCTAATATACAAAATCACCGTCTAAGATGGCTGATTATCATTCATGTTTGTACCTGTCTCTCTTTCAGTTTATGACACCAGGTTGACGGGACTAGCTCCGGATCGCCTGTACCAGTTCCGAGTGGCTGTTATCAATGAGGTGGGATGGGGCGAGTGGTCCTTCAACACCAGCGAGCGCACCCTTGGTTATGGTAAGCAAACTTATGGCGTTTTTGAAAGTGAATCTGGACTTGTTAAAAAGCGTGAAAAACAATGTTTTCAGTTTACTAACCGTTTCAATTGCTCTCGGTTTAAATGGCACTGTAAATCATGTCTTTGAAGGAGATACTACAAGTAACTCATATTTTTCGTTTGTGATGTTTTAACATTTCCATCTGCTCATTATCTAGTATTAAAAATCAAACTTAACAAATTAATCTGCATGATTTCTAAAAGAAGGCCATGGCCTTGACAACTTTCAAAATTTGCAATTTCTCTTGTAAGCTGATCTTACTATCAAGTTGTTTTGTTAAATTTATTTTTTTTAAACAAAGTTTGTCCTTACATGTTGATTATTTTATGAAATTGCGCGGTCTAAATCCGACTCGATTCATTTGAGTAAGTGAAGGTTTATATCTCTTTTGGGAAGATGTGTGGTTCTGAAAAGAACTAGTTCTTTCCAGAACCACACACCTTCCCAAAAGAGATATATTCACATGGTGATACCGGATGTCTCTTTGGGAAGGTGTGTGGTTCTGAAAAGAATTGGTTCTTTTCAGAACCACACACCTTCCCAAAAGAGATATATTCACATGGTGATACCGCATGTCTCTTTGGGAAGGTGTGTGGTTCTGAAAGGAATTGGTTCTTTTCAGAACCACACAGCTTCCCAAAAGTATTCACATGGTGATACCGGATGTCTCTTTGGGAAGGTGTGTGGTTCTGAAAAGAACCGGTTCTTTCCAGAACTACACACCTTTTCAAAAGAGATATATTCACAAGGTGATACCGGATGTCTCTTTGGGAAGGTGTGTGGTTCTGCAAAAGAATTGGTTCTTTTCAGAACCACACACCTTCCCAAAAGAGATATATTCACATGGTGATACCGGTTGTCTCTTTGGGAAGGTGTGTGGTTCTGAAAAGAACCGGTTCTTTCCAGAACCACACACCTTTCGAAAACAGATATATTCACATGGTGATACCGGATGCCTCTTTTGGAAGGTGTGTGGTCCTGAAAAGAACCGGTTCTTTCCAGAACCACACACCTTTTCAAAAGAGATATATATTCACAAGGTGATACCGGATGCCTCTTTTGGAAGGTGTGTGGTTCTGAAAAGAACCGGTTCTTTCCAGAACCACACACCTTTCAAAAAAAGAGATATATTCACATGGTGATACCGAATGTCTCTTTGGGAAGGTGTGTGGTTCTGAAAAGAACCGGTTCTTTCCAGAACCACACACCTTTCGAAAACAGATATATTCACATGGTGATACCGGATGCCTCTTTTGGAAGGTGTGTGGTTCTGAAAAGAACCACACACCTTTCCAAAGGAGATATATTCACATGGTGATACCGGATGCCTCTTTTGGAAGGTGTTAGGTTCTGAAAAGAATCTGTTCTTTTCAGAACCACACATTTTGAAAAGAGATGTATTCACATGGTGATACCGGATGTCTCTTTGAGAAGGTGTGTGGTTCTGAAAAGAATCAGTTCGTTTTAGAACCGAATATCTCTTTGGGAAGGTGTGTGGTTCTGGAAAGAACCGGTTCTTTTCAGAACCACACACCTTTCAAAAAGAGATATCCATATGGTGATACTGCAAACTTTCACCTAATTATACTACCACCATGCAAAGTTTTAAATCCTACTTCGATTCATTGGCTTTGTTCAATCCATGAATGTAAGCAAAAGTGAACAAACTCAGATTCCCCTTTATGGTTCCATTTTTTGTTCATTTGAGGAAGACTTGAAAAGAACGGCTCTAGCGTGGCTCTGGCGGGATTCGAACCCACCACCTCTATATTTCTCGTGTTTCACAGGTCCCCCAAGCGAGCCCATGATATTCAACCGTGAGCCGGACCGGGACACCATCTATGAGATAGTCTGGCTGGAGCCCTACGACAGCGGCGGCTCACCGATCATCTCGTATGAACTCACCTACTCGCCGGTACGTCAAAGATAAATTTGGCTCTAAAATTAGCGTTTTAGGGCCACAGCTACGGACGTTAACCCTTTCATGCCCACATTGTTTATTGACTAGGCTCTCCCCAGGACCAAATTGTTTGCTCAGTCATGCGGAAATCACTAGAGCTTGAACAAAATGAGCACGAGTCAAAAACTCACTTTTTTCAACCCAGATTTTCATTGCCAAGGAGTGATTAAAATCATCAATGTTGTGTGTAAAGTTTGTTCCTTGGTCCTTACTCTTTTATGTGATGTAAAAATGAAGTCCATACGTGCAAATATAAGGAAGTTATGCCTTTTTGTTCATCTGGTCCCAATTATCAAACTGCAGGCCATTTCACCACATGACCAAATGGCACTCCATACCTCCAATTGTGCGTGGATACTTCTGAAGCACTTTTCTCATTTTTTTTGTATGTTAACACTATAAATAAACCACACCAATAGAAAGATCCGAAAACACTCTTTCAGCTGGTATATAGTTGATGTATGGGCAGCCAAACATAGCAACATGCCACCTTTCTGAAAAGTAGTGAATATATCTGTGTTGAGGGTGTTTCGTGTGTGGTTTCCTGGTCGACTAAAGTCGCCCATGGGAACCAGCAGGGGGCTACTTCTTGTCGACACAAGTTGCCCATGGTACGGAAAGGGTTAACCATTAACCCTGCTATGCCCAGTGCAGTTGGCAGAGAATTGTCAGACCTTTCAAAACATTTTAAATTTGCCTGACTAAAAGGGTTTTGAAAGGTGAAATAGTGCTGGAACTTTGAAACTTTTCGAAAGGTTTTGGAAGGTGAAGCAACTCTGGGGGGCAAATTCAGTAAGTTGCCTTTCAATACCTTTCGAAAGGAATTGAAAGGTGTGGTAGTGCAGTAACAATAAATTCTGGAGGATTTTAAAAGGTCCTGCGTTTTTTTGTCCTCCAATTTGCCAGAAACCAAATTTTGAGGTGTTTTGAATGGTCAAACCACAGGAGAGTTAATGTCATGCTAATGTCATTTAGCATTTGACATACACACAGGAAACTAACATACATGCATTACAATAGAAACACAATTGAATACTGAAAAGGGTAAAGCAGTAATGTTCCAGAGTCACAGGGCTGCATTAACCCTAAAGGATCTAAACGGATCTTAACCCTAAAGGGGCCGGGGGGGGGGGGGGTCGGAATCCGCCCCCCCCTCAACATTTTTCGCGATAGCCTCTAAACAATTTTTTTCGCGACCCGAGCTGTTATGACTTTTTAGCCTCGAGCTTTGCGCATCTTTTGATACCAAAAACATAAAAATCGGACCACAGGTTGGCACGTAGCGAAAACTGAATTTTCCCATATACGTCGTGTACACCGAGCAGAATTGCCATTCATACATATGAATAATTAGTTAGCCATAATTCCAAAACCCTTTGACCTATAGTCATGAAATTTCTTGGGCATGTTGAGGAAGAGTTGCTCTATGCATGTGCTGAGTTTCAAAATTTTTCGTCAATCGATGGCCGAGATCTTAGGGGGGGGGGGGGGACGGATACATTTTTTCTTGAAAATGACAGTATACCGGTACCAGGTGCCATGATTTTACAGGATGCTTTAGACTGTCATTCACTAACAGTTCAGCAAGATATTTCAAAATAATTTGGTAGTTAATATTTTTTGATGTTTGAAAATGTTGTATTTTCCCTTTAAAAGCAGTAGTAATTTGACACAGACTGGGTCACATTTCTTAACGCTCTTCGTTCACCACCTCCAGGTTGAGACGGGTGACGCCACCGAGCTGGGTCGCGATCCCGAGACAGCCTCCGCCAGTAAGGACAGCGACACGGCGCCCGTCTACCGCCACACCCTGACCAACCTGAAGCCCGGAACCTTCTACTTCCTGGAGCTGCGGGCTCAGAGTACCTGGGGGAAAAGCGAGCCGGGCACCCTCAACTTCCGCATGCCAGGCGGAGCGCCTGTTCTGCCTCCGTCCGAAGAGCCCTTGGGTAAATTTAGGTTTTTGTTTCAAGGACATTCTACTGTTTGTTCAGTCAACTTTTGAAATTATTTGCGGTCGGTTAATGATTCAGGCAGATAGTCTTATGTGTTAGAATTAGTCTGGGCCCTTGACTGAAGTTGGATTAACCTGTCATACAGCTGGTGCCAACAAGCAGGGTTAAGCCGCTGTGGTTGAAGGTTGCTATCAATAATAGAGCCTGAAGTTGACCCCTGGTTGCGCACTTCCGGACCCCTCGAATTGGAAAATTAGGTGTAAAAGTCTTTAAAAAAATTGTTTTGGTACATTGATTTCTTGAGAAAATCAGCCTCAGAAAAGGCCTTTGTAAAATTGTTACCAGCATCTCAATTTGCTGAAACGGCATAATCGCATGACACAAAAGAGAAAATTGGCTCACATGTGCACTAGTGGAACACAGAGCATTCGTACAGATGATGAACATTTATGAAACAATTTTGTGGCGGTCATTGGGTAAAAACTGAAACTGAAATGGCAGTCTAAAATGTATTTTGGGACACACAATTTCTTTTTTAATAAACTTGAAGGACTAATTCTCATTTACAAGCAAATCTAAAATGACCGTTGATAAGAACGGTATTCAAGCAAGCCCGATTCAATCTAGAGTCAATCGGATGTAGGTAGGTAAATCTTTACGTCGTTATTATTTTCGATCTCTCACAAATACGTGTTGTCAAAACAAACGTGATCTAACAAGGAGACCTAGGTACGAAAATCCGGATGTGAATAATTTCTCATCAGTTCTTTTCTTGTGGAATGCCAAGATAAAATTCCAACATAAATCTTTCTTGGGGGTGGTTACGGTTAGAAATCATCCTGTCAAGAATTATAGCGAGAGGGCAATACCGTGTAAAATGCCCATAGAAGGGTCGCGGAGGGGGCCGGAAGCATAAAGACAAAATGGCGTACTTTCAGGCTCTATTAAGATAAATCAGATCCAGTCTTGAGAACATCAGCAGCACCACCCAGAAAATTTGGAGCATACTTCACGTGCGTGCATTAGCTTGAATACAGTACCGGTGAGGTACAGGTATGCTTGGAATTTCCACTTGGATCAAGTTGCCAAAGTTCCAAAGACTGATTCATCTAGTGAAATACGACCTCTACAAGCCGCAAACATTTGGTGCTTGGAATTTCCACTTGGATCAAGTTGCCAAAGTTCCAAAGACTGATTCATCTAGTGTAATACAACCTCTACAAGCCGCAAACATTTGGCCGCGCTTGGGGAATGAAACTGTAAACCAGTCTGGGAGCAAGACTACATTGTGTGTTAGAGGTGCAAATGCAACCGCCAAAAAAGATCCTTTTTTTTTCAGGGGGTTGCAGATGACCAAAATACCGGCAAAAAAGTAGTTTTGTCATCAAAGCAAAATTTCAGATTTAAACATTTGTGAGGCGAAATAAAGAAATTTATTGGAGAGCAGGGGACAGCAGCTTTATAAATTTGTTCTGACGCTCTAACAGGTCCTGGGCTGCGCATTGGAGAGCTGCCCATCTCTGCCTTCATCGGGATCATCGTGGGTGGGTTTCTGGTCATCCTGATCCTGCTGGACTGCCTGTGCTACTGCACCAACAGCTGTGGCCTGACCATGTGCATCTGCGTGCACCTCTGCGGCAAGCAAGCGCCCGAAGACAAGGAAGAAGCGGAAGCTGTTGAGTACAGGTCAGCAGAAAGTTTTTTTTTTTCCGATACTAGATTTTAAGCTTTGCATAGTGAGGTCTAGTCTATCGGGAACAGATTTGCTGATTAATTAGGCAAGACCCCACCTCTTGACTTCCTAGATTTTGACCAATCAGCAGGCGCTTTCTATAGGTCTATCGGGTCTTCGGTTATTCACCCGTTGCACGTCATAGACATGGATAAAAAAAAAAAATTGTCACAGCGCGCGGCACTTGGTATCATGTTACGTGAATGCGCTCCCGGCTGTTGTATTACAAAATGCTGCATTCGAATTGACCAATCACAGTGTTAGTCCTGATTTTGGGATGAAATGACATCACGATTTAGTAAAGTCGACTCCAAATTGGCTGGCGCGAGGCTCGCATAAATCTGCATGCTTTGACATATCAGACGTTAGACAGGAGATGGCTCCGTGGATAACGGGTGCTACTCAGACTAAGTCAGGTCATCAATAAATGGAATTTCCATGACGTCCTAAATGCTGTGTCTTAAAGTCTCCTAGTGGCAAGTCAATATTTGGAGTAACATGTCAAGCATTTTCAAGGTAGAGTATATCATTTGTCGTTTGTGAATTTTTTTTTGTTTGACAAAACAAAAGTGCTCCAAATCTGAAGAAGGGTGCTGAACAACTAACCTGATGAAGTGTTATCTCAGTGAATGCTGTATATTCCGAAAACACAATATTCTAGGGTTGGGATTTCAATTCAAAAGTTGAAGAGTCATGTTTTGTATTGAGCCCAAAACAGCGTCGGGGACACGTTCTGCATCGTGTCAACACTTGCGCGCACCCATTCACGGCTTCACCGAATTAAAAATGAACTAAAAGACGCATCTTTGGAAATGACCTTCTTTTATTGTTTTCTTCAAAATGAGAGCATGCCAGAAAGAATAATTTCACAGGGAGTTAAGTGTCATTACTATATTTAAACCAAGTATGCTTTTCAACAATAATTTTTATAAGATGGAATTTTGCGTCGGGGTGATATAAATCAAATTAGGTTTTGCCCTTCACCGACGTTTCAAACACTGTATACTCAGTGTGATCGGCCACCCGATCCCGTTAGCTCGGTGGTCGAGTGTAAGACATCTGCACTAGAAAGCAGGAGGTCGTGGGTTCGAGTCCCACCCGAGTGATTTTTTCCAACTTTCACTCGGGAGGTAACACACTGAGTATACAGTGTTTAAAACGTCGGTGAAGGGCAAAACCTAATTTGAACAATAATTTTGTCAGTTAATTTTTGGATTGTTGCAAATGATATACTCTGCCTTTAAGATGTGCAGGTCAGTTTCAGGTGAAGGGATATGAAGTGTTGAAGTAACAGTGCCACACAGAGAGTCACTGCACAAAAACCAGCACTATGGAGAGCAGTGAAGCGCGACCGAATCTGCCTGCTTGCCCCGAGATGCACCAAACAAAAGGATTGTGCAGGGATTTGAAGTGTTTTCCGTACTCCACAGAAGATAACCTCAAAGGAATTTGAAGTGTGGGCACTAACTCATAGGCAAAAGTGGTTTTGTAAGACTTGAATGGCTGTGTTGAGTACAAAACAAACAGGCTTACAACACAATTTATTTATTTTTGTTCCCTTATTGTTGACCATAAAATAATGTGACCCGCTCTTGAAAAATGAGTCTGGCGTCGCATAATCTGCATTCAAGCTTTTGCCATTTGAAATGGAAACACTGAAAATTTGCTCAACATTTGGATTTTTGTTTTTGTTATATTGCGGTTGTTTGGCAGTTTTAGTTTAATTGTCTTGCAATTTTTTTTTAATATTGTATGCAAATGACTGACAAAATCAGGATTTTTGGTGCTTTTCTTGGTTAGTTACAGTGTAACCCTTTTTCTCTGTTAAGATGTTTCTAGCTTTGTAAAAAAAAAATGGACATGATGGACAGAATGAAACATGCACAATGAAACCAAATATCCTATAGTGGTCCATGAAATACCAAATGAAAGCTTATTTCATTCCCATTTCATTATTAGAGTAAACTCAAAACGTGAATTTTGCCACAGCAGACTCATTTTTCCAGAACGGGTCATAAATGTGCTATTATGCTAAGCCTTTCAGAGGGTGAAAGTACAGTGGAACGCCGCTATACCGAACACCGCTATACCGAACATTCGGCTATATCGAACATCATCCGTGGCTCCCGGTTTTAATGTTCAAAAGGTACCGAACATTGTTGTTGAAAAAAAGTCAACAGATTAACAAAAAATCTACCGGATGTAATAACCCTTACTCTCTGAGGGTAGTTTACTGCATGTCAGTTGGTTATGCCAATGCCCTCCAGCTGCAGTTTATTGGAGGATACTTTGATGTAGCAGTGAAGGCTCCAATTGGCAGGAGTTGGAGGCCCTGGAGGGTGCCTGATACTGACCAGCTGGGGGCACTTGATTGTTATCAGAGGACTCTCATTGTTCTCTGTGGCATGTATTGGAGTACCTGTCCAGTTACCCTTGAAATGACATGGCAGATATTGGAGGGCCATGCAAAAAACATAGGAGATTTTCTTGAGGCACATATTGGCATGCGTTGGAGGGTCTAGTAGGGTAAGGGTTAAATGCTATTTGGGTCACTTTTGATTCCTGAACATCAAACCACCTATTGTTACATCATGTTTGAATGTCGAAGAGCGATAAATGGCTGTTATTTCCCCAAGGAATAAAAGAGAAAACCAGCCGTTGCTAAAGTTTCGTGACGACTCCTCGTGTAGCCGCAGGATGTGAGAAATGCCAGTTCACTATTGGTCAAAAGGGGGTACTTGCGATTCGAAATCGCTATACCGAACGATCGTTATTACGAACGCTTTCTGTGGATCCTGCGATGTTCGTTATAGCGGCGTTCCGCTGTACCTTCAGATATCTGTCTTCCATCTCGGTGTACAATATGTGTCAAAATAAAAATAATAAAAATAGTATAAAGTGCATTCTAGGTAAGTGATAAAATTTGACCCAGATTGTTGCAGCCCAGATTTATTTGTTGACGTTGAGAATGTCGGACCAATTTTTTGTTTCTAGTTCACCTTGTGGAAGGCCATCAAGTTATGGATTGCCATTTTGTGTGTTACATGAAGCCTTTAAATTGTTCCAACTCACCATTCAAATTTGTGTATTATTGGAACGTTGTACCTCCGTTCATGCTAATGATTTGGTTTCTGTGACGTTTAGCATGGCGGCGTCCACTGCCGGCAACCGGATGGCGATGCAGCGATTGGCCGAATTTGAGACAGAGAGCAACGCCGTATCTGATGGGTGTGTTGGAGTAACGCTATTCACCTTTCAATTTTACCAAACAAAAAATCATACTTTTAGGCCAAAGAAAAAAAGTCTCCGGTTTCTGGTATGCGCGCGCGCCGCCGTAGCCATGCGCGTCGGCAAGATGAAAAAAAAAAATTTCAATGAAAGATGATGTCTCAAAACCGCCAAACTCACTGGTTTGACTGGAATCCTGCTGCTGCACAATTTAAACGTGTTTTTAGTTTGGGTTATGGTCGAGAATAAGCTTTATGTGGCCTCTCTGGACTCCCATATGTTTGCACTAAGTTTAGTCAGGCACCATTTGCAGTCATCAGCCGACATTTGAAGCAAAAAAAATCAGGTAAAAAAAAAAAAAAAAAGCCGCGTCGCCGCACCACTTTTTTGGCAAGCTCCATACCAGAAACCGGAGACTTTTTTTTTTTGCCTTATTGAAAAGTTTCACCTTTTTGATGACAGATATATACAAAAAGCTACTTGTAATATCAATATTTTTTAAGAAATCAATAACGTGTTTCACGTCAACGTTTTTATTTTCTGCCATTATATTGATTATTTCTCGTTACCGTGTCACTGTTTACAGAGTGTAGTATTTGCATATTCTGTCGTGAGTTTGTTCTTTGGTTGGAAAAAAAGGTTGATTTCATCCATTTCTGCATGCTTAATTATGGAACCAGTCATTTCATTATGAACTAACCCCCCGATTTGGCTGCAGTCATAAGAAAGAATACTATTATATCATGAAGCTTTAAAGTATGGAATGTACAGAATGCTAATTTTACCTACTCGGCAAAGCCAAATGAGACAGTTGAACAAAAAATAAAAATTACAGATGTTGGTCGGGATCGACAGGTATTGGTTTTTATAGTAATCACGTTTAATCATGGAGCTACACATTGAAAAGCTCCATGGTTTAACTTAGTAGGGGAAAATCAAACTCGAAAAGACTTCATACAAGTACCGCCCATTTCTTGAGTTTCTTGTTGAGAGTTGAAGAATGAAAACAAACTGTTGAGTGCTTCCAAAACAAACACAGGGAACAAGGTTTAAAAATAAAGTAAAGATTTCCAAAAGAAATAAATAAATCAATTCACCGCTTCTCCATCAGTGTGAATCAAATATGCAATTGTAAAGCAGCATTTGCCATATCAACAAAACAGAAAATGACAGAAAAGAAGCGTAAAATCCCAAACAATAATTTCAGAAGAATCCAATTGGGAAGCGAAAGATCACAAACCTCACGGTTTCTCACATACATCACCTATTGCCTTAACATTTCATTGCTTCCTACATCTCGATATACGTGTGTCTTAATGTTGCCTTTGCTTGGTGAGTAAAAACATGCTTTAAGAATGATACAGGTTAGAGTGCTGAGCTCTTTGATTGCAGAGATACACGTAGTACTTCAATGCTTGATATCACACACATGATTCTCATGAACACTAACACCTCTAGTACTAACATATATTTCACCTTGAGAGTTTAGAACATACATTACTAACTCCGCTGGAAAAAAAACAGCCCAAAAAAACCAAAACTAATGTTGTATTAGCATCAATGCCTCTATTAATATCCAATGTACATGTAATATTTTTTGTCTAATATTATGTTTAAGTTAGATAAAAAATAACTTGCTGGTCCCATGTGGTCGCCAAGTATGCCAGAAATGATCCTGCATGTTCTGTGCATGACAAGACAAAGCAGTCAAACAATATCGCCCTCCATCTGTGATCCCTGAATTCTCTTATTCACTCCAGGCTTGTCTAGGGAATATATACCACAGGGATCACCTTGGTTGGGAGGCTAGTCAATATATATAATTATACAGTCGTCTCTCATTAACCCTCCTATGCACGACAAGACAAAGCAGTCAAATAATATCACCCTCCATCTGTGATCCCTGAATCATCCTATTCACCTCAGGCTTGTCTAGGGAATATATACCACAGGGATCACCTTGGGAGATTAGTCAATATAATTACCGGTATACAGTCCCCTAACAGTCGACTCTCATTAATCCTCCTATGCACGACAAGACAAAGCAGTCAAACAATATCACCCTCCATCTGTGATCCCTGAATTCTCCTATTCACTCCCGGCTTGTCTAGGGAATATATACCACAGGGATCACCTTGGTTGGGAGGCTAGTCAATATAATTATACAGTCGTCTCTCATTAACCCTCCTATGCACGACAAGACAAAGCAGTCAAATAATATCACCCTCCATCTGTGATCCCTGAACTCTTCTATACTCCCAGGCATGTCTAGGGAATATATACCACAGGGATCACCTTGGGAGTCTAGTCAATATAATTACTGGGAGACAGTCTCTTAACAGTCGACTCTCATTAACCTCCTATGCACGACAAGACAAAGCAGTCAAATAATATAACTCCATCTGTGATCCCTGAACTCTTCTATTCTCTCGGGCTTGTCTAGGGAATATATACCACAGGGATCACCTTGTGATCTGAGGCTAGTCAATATAATTATAAAGTCGACTCTCATTAACCCTCCTATGCAGACGTACATTCTGTGCCAAGTAATCCTTTCAGTCAAACTCAAGCAAGTGACTGTTTTCAACAGTTAAGAATTCCCAGCCTACATAAAGCAGGATTGACTGCCTGGGACTGTTTAAGTAACTTGATACAGCTATGCTTTGACTCCGGGTGAGTGATAAAGCAGCTGTGACCACAACTTGCCTGCTTTGTCTGTTGACCCATTTTGACTAGTGATCTGACTTGCTTGAAATATGATCTGACTGCCAGTGACTAGCTTTTGTTAAAAGTTAAGCAGGGGAAGTGGAAGTGAATTTTGACTGTCTGTGACTGTTTAAATATCAGGAGGGTTAACACAAACTCAGCCGGACCTAGCCACATTGTTTGTTGTATCAGAATTTTGTATTAAGTGGAGTGCCCGTCCCATTCACGGTGCACATATAATGCACAGTCCGGACCAAGGCTTTATGTTTGCTATAACCAGAATTTGTATTAACAGAGTTTCTGTTAATGAGAGTCGACTGTTATTAGTCTTGATAAGCTACCGGTACGATAATAAAAATGCATGTTAGACAGTCACACTGAATATTGGACTAATTGGAATATGCAGATAGTTACACTCTGCATCAGTGGCCACTCCAAGATAAAAACTATAATCATCTGCAAATTTGACAAGAACGAGAATTCAAAATGCACTGATATACTGGTACATGGATGTAGTTTTTTCTTGAAACTCCTTTTGCCGACAGTGAAATGTGTTTATATCAAAATGGCATAGAAATTATATAAATCAGCTTATTAAACAACATTGTGCATTGCTTTAATGCCATTTTAATTCGGGGAAATTAATTCCCAGTCTACCAAGACTTAACTTGATATCTGGGATATAAATTCAACCTACATGTACCTCTTTTTTTTTTTTTTTTTTTGCTTTGGATTTATCTTCCCATCTGGGTATATTTCTACCAACATGTACCTCATTTTGTTTCCTCTTTTTTTTTAGCCTTGAATTTATCTCCCCATCTGGGTATATTTCTTGTACATGTATAGAATAGAGTTGTCAACTCCCTTTCCGGGTATGTTAAAAACATTTTCAACTGGTCCCCCTCTCTGGTTCCCTCCTTCGCAGAGCCAGCCAGTACCAGAGCCTGCACGCTAGTCGTATGGCCGACGATCGCTGGAAATTGCCTACACACGCAACATACGAAGCAGACAGATTATTACAGGGGTTGGTAGTACATGTATTGACTCAAACTCATAATCCAAGTTGAAAGATTAATCAGCTTATCCGCAGACAAGGCAGGATGGTTATCAGCAGCTGACAGTTTATAAAACTCATAATCCAAGTTGAAACTTCATCAGCTTAACTGCAGAAATGTGTGGCTTGGTTGTCAGCAGCTGACAGATTATCAAATGTGTCATCCAAGTTGAAAGGTTAATCAGCTTAACTGCAGAAATGGTGGTATTGTTGTCAGCAGCTGACAGATTAACCAATGAGTTTAGTAGTGACTGAAACTTATACTCCAATTTGATAGATTGATAAATGTAGTATTGGTTATCAGCACCTGGCAGATTATAGCAAGGGTTGGTACCAGTTGGTAGAGTTAACTTAAACTTGCAATCCAGGTCGAAGGGTTAATTGGCTTAACTGTAGCATTGACAAAAAGTTTGCAGCGGTTGACAGATTATTTGGAATTTTTGAAATTGACTTTAATCCAAGTTAAGATGTTAATCTGTTAATTGCAAAGGTTGATAAAATATAACCCATAAACCTCTTTAACGGGATCCAGGTTGAAATGTTTAAGTTCAGGTGGGTGGGTTACGGTACAGTGGGAGCTTAGTCATGTTAGTTGTACTTACAAGATTAACATCATGCAGTTGGTTTGAGTGGTGTTCATGACCATATCAAAGGAGTGGGATTTAAAGGGCTATTAACATGTAATTGAACAATAATCATATTCTGCTCAATAAGTGGAGCTTGGTTTGCTTTCTATGTTAAGAAACCATTTATATAGAAATGTCATAGGAAAGTTTAATATCCAAGTTGGATATGTGCACCACAGGAATTCAAGCCAGTGTTTTCCCTTTGATCCTCCATTTCATTACTCATGATCATGTCAATCCATCATATTCTGGATGCATCTCTGTCAGACATCATACATTTTAGGCATCTCCCTTTTCACATGAATCCATTCATAAAAAGGGAGAAAAGACAAAAACCAACACCTACTTCAAAATCCAAGCCACCAACATCCCCTATCACATGTAAAGTAACAATTCAAATCATTTTCTTTGGCATTTGGCCCAAATCATCCCATTTACATACATTTATTCTCTTCACACCAATGCTCTTTTCAAATTACACCACAATTTCTTGTTAAGTGTTTCTTTATTTACAAGACAATATTAATGCAGCGAGTCTCAATTACTGTCTTTCCGTCACCTTTCTTTTTTAATTTTCCTCTACTTCTGCACTTCTGAAAATCAAACAAAGAGGGTATGGGACCTTTGCTGCTGCTTTTTTGTTCGTTTATTGTCGCTGATGTTAATCTAAAATGAAATTGCAGCTTAATTCTGTACATATATACATGTACCTGCAATCTAGTTTCAATGACGGGACAATTAACTCACTATGCTTACAGAATGTAGAATTCATTTTGTTTGAATTTAATAATTTACAAAGATCCGTTTTGGAAGCACTCGGATTACTCAGTTCTCACAAGTGGTACTTTGTGTTGTTAACCCAGTTCAAGAAGTGGTAGGACTTTCTCAAACTACATTTTTGGCCATAACCTTGTGCCAGCTCAGAACATGTATTATGGGAAATTCAACCATTGTCAACAGTGTACTAACCACAGCAGAATGTTTCTATTTCAGGTTTGAAGTACTTTATACTTGGTTGTTGGCAGTTGAAGTAATTGCAGCAAGGGTGCTAGACTACATCGGCTAGCTTCTTGTATCATTTATGTCAAAACTGTCTTGTTGCAGGAGTTAACGTTGATTAGTTGACAAAGAAGAAACGTTGCATTGTCTTGGGCCCAACTATGGCCAAGTTCGCGCAAGGACTATAGTTGACCAAAGGTTACCCATAGTTCGACTAACGCTTGCCCGAACTCTGTCTAGTCGACGGTGGTTGACTACGCTAGTCGGCTATTTGGAACCAACATGGGACTGGTTGCATCGCTGGTAACCAATAGCAGCGCGCATTCATAACGCTAGCAGAGAGCCAGGATCCAGAAGTTTTGCGATGACATTTTGACCAGCGTTTGACTAGAGACGTACGCACGTTGCTATAAGTGCGCAGGCGTAAGGTACGTCACAAATCAACCACTAGTCGACTAATAGTCCTTGCCCGAACTTGGCCATTACTGACCTGAGGCAGAGATTAGGGCATTAAGTTGTGGATACATATGTACATGCACCATAGTGCTTGCAACGGTTGCTGCTCACACAAAATGCACTCAAATTGACTGGAGCAAGACATTGGATTTTACTGCACTTATAATTCAGTCCACACAAAAATACCTAAGCATTAAACTCTTACTACTCCCATTCAGGCATTAATTTTGTCAGGAACCTTTCTAAAGCTTCTAAATCCAACAAGCATGCAGAAATCGGGTGAAACTGCCTTTGTATTCTTTATATACATACATGTAAATGTATACTTTGAATTTTAAGGGATCTGTACCCCCCATACAGTAATAGTGGTTGGGCCCTCCAAGTACCTTCCTCAGTCCCGTAAAAGCCTTTAAACGGCCTCGTGAATTTTGAAGGGTCTTGGAGGTTTTGCCTTAAGTAGCCCTCATTTCATCAGGCCCTGTTTTGTTCCCCATCTAGCATCAATTACCCACTGACAGACCTGACGTCAGTGGCCCAACACCCCATCTACGGTGAGCTCGGCCCGCCCTCCATCCCCTCGGTCTACAGCGGGATGGGCTCCGTGGCCAAACCCCCCTTCAACCGGGGTTACATGTACCCCTCCAGCGAGCCCACCTACGCCAACTCGGACCTGTTTGACAACACAGACCCCAGCTACCGCCAAGAAAAGATGGCCCTGGAAAGAGACCTAAAGAATATTTTCTCGTAACAATTTTTATAGGTTTGTGGCTGTGCATCAGTGTTGCTTTGGGGTTGTGTTTTTTCTTATTTTACTGGTGTAGGTTTGTCTAAATCATGGATAAAATCCAAATTGGAATGTTTGAGTTATGCGCTTCACTCGCCAAACTCCATACTCCCTAACACCCATCAGGTTTTATTCAGGTACATGGACCATGCTAAATACAACAGTATCCAACACAGTAAAAATGAGAACCCTGCTTAATGCAACAAATCAAACTGCAACAGTGGCCTCTGTTGGCGTTGCATTGTGCAGTGAGCTCGGTGTTCATGTATACAAACCAGCCTTTTGGCACAAAGCAGTAACCCTGCTAAATGCAACAAATTGCAACAGTGGATTCCGTTGTAGTAGCCTCAACACTATGAGCAGTTTATACCCTGATAATCGCAACAAGATGCAACAAAGTATGGGACTTGAGTTGACTGCCACATGCAACATTGTGCAACATTAATGCAACATTGTGCAACAACTTTTTACCAATGTTGCTTTACTCTTGCATTTAGCAGGGTAAACAAAAGAACCGGTTCGCTTAATATGCCAGACATGGTGCCTTTTTTGAAGCGTGTTTATGTAGAACGCTGAAAGTGCCTAATAAACAAACCAACCGCCAACACAACAAATCTGTTGCCATTGCTTCCTCCATGTTGAGATGCCATGGCTGTGACAACAGAGGGCGGTGTCAAACCATGACAAGTGCAAAGGATCCTCTTCCTTTGTATTTCACTTTGATTTCAGTCCAGATTTCAGTCCACCGAATTTCATTCCAATTACTGTTTTATGCCATGATTTAGACAAAACTGAATGGTCAACCCTATTGTTCCTGTGACTTCCTCTCTTCAGATCTGCACGTTGTTCTATCTGCACTTTTGAACTGAGACTTGGTGTAATATACTGTATAGATCTTGCCCCTACTTTGTTTTCACGAAGTGCCTGTGTATTGTTGTGTTGCTCATGCGTACTCGCTTGCACTTTAACGATAACTGTGTGCAGGACTTCCTAAACTGTTACATTTTCCCTCAGCCTGGTTGTGGTGTGCATTAACCCTTATTTCTTTACTTATCTCTTTACTTTGCAGAATATCACACTTAAATCAGACCACAGTGTGAGATTCAAACTGTTAACCAGTACTTTGTTTCATTTTCTTTCCGTTTGAGCTATAGCAGTGCTTAGTATTTTCTAAACGGCTGGTGTATTTTTCAAATGATTGTAGCCAAAATTAAAGAGCCTGTAGAACTTCGTGACAAACAAAATTACTTTGCATTCGTCTGATGAATAAGTGGAGCAGCCTTTAGTTTTTTTATTTTATATGTTTTACTCCCATCCCTCACTTCCATAAGTGGTTTTCTAATTAGCAATTTCTTTTTTTTGTTTTTTTTTGTTAGTGGAAATAGCTCCAATTTTGTCCTTGAGAGTCAATTATTATTATTATTTTTTTGCGGGCAGGGGAGAAGTGTAAAACCAAAGAGTTTGAAGCAGTGTTAGTTTTCTGTCCCGCTTTAAAAAAAAATTGTCAAAACCCGTCACTTTTGGCCTGTCAAACAAAATGACCAGTGAAGGGTTTGGAAAACAGTCTTTCCAAAACTGAAATTGTGCCTTAACTCCCTTTAGCATTACTGCCCATGTCTTCCTGAATAATCAAAAGTGCAGAACCAAAAAAGGCAAGTTCTTCAGGCTTTGGGCATCAAGGCACAAGATGAAAGCAAAAGAGGCTGGGCCCAACCTCCATCAGTCTTGAAATCTTTCCAAACCTTGGGTATTTAGAGGTATCACAGAGGGTGAGGGTAACCAAGAATAAAAGGCAAAAGAATACCTAAGCTTAAACAAAAAAGTATTGAAGGTGTTTGGTGTGTGGAATGGTCTTTTCTGGGCAACCTTAACTAGCCTACTGCTCCACGTTTCTCTATCTTGACAACTAGCCTCTTCTGCAGCACCTGGTGGTTTGGTTTATATTACTCTTAGCTTTCCTGAATTCTGTTAACAGTTTTCATTGTGTTTAATTAACCCTTTTCCCTCTGTCTGTTGTGGTTGTGAAGTGGTGACACTGAGGGACAGCGAGTTCCAGCCACGTGGTACCCGCCTCCCTATACTTTGTACGTTGCCTTGATTTTGTTTTCTCTCACTTCATTTTGCCGTTTCATCAGTGTGTCGACACCATCAGATATTGTACCAAGTAATGGGAAAATCATGCATCCGCATGTAAACATACTGTACAGTGTCCCCAACGTGCATGTTCATGTAGAGTGCTACATGTAGTTGTATTGTCCATTTGTGATCACAAAGACTGCACAATGTCACCATACCATTCATCAATTTACGAACATTCGCCATATCGGTACAGTCCTAAAAAAAACATTCAATGCAGATTGTGAGAATTCTTGCAATTCATTTTTAAAAAAAGACAATTTATTCGTAAGAAAAGAGAATTCATTAAATCAAATATGTGACCGGCTCTACAAAGAAGGGTATTAAGTCGCGCTGAGCATTATTGTGTAATGGCCCGCTCATCATTGAGGGTGAAAATTTCGTCAAAATGTGATTTTCATTTTTTGTCATGAATGACGTCTTTAAAACATACAGTTTCAGATTTCATTCACAGAAATGTTGATTTTGATGAACAACGTGGTAAAAACAATCATTTTGTGTGCATCATTCTGTTGTTCTACAACAAAGCCAGCTATTTCAAAGCCTGTTTTCTCAGTTGTGTAATTTTAACTCCAAGGTAGTAATATGCAAATACATCATATCTCCAGAACAGGAGGGGCAAGGGAGTTCAGTTATTTATCAAATGAAAGCTAACATTGGGGGCTTTCCAACCATGTATATAACTCAATTTAAATGTTTTGCTACAAAATACCCTTTTTTGTGGAGCCGGTCACATATTGCATATACATGTATGTATATTTGCATATCAAATTTTCACAAAGAGACAAGTTTTCTGTGTTCACATATTCATTTTATTTTAATGAAATCAGCAAAGATATCCACTCCCAGTTTGTAACCTTCATGGCATCTGCATCCCCCTTACATCCAAATTGTTCCATTCCTTCCTCATTACCTACCCTGAGTTCAGAGACAGATATTTAAAGTTTTCCCCTCATAAATGTGACATGAATGCATCTTTAGAGAGGTGTGGTGCTGTGAAGACTGGCACATTCAATCTTCACATTTCCTGTGTGTGTTTCTTTTGAAGTTCCTCTTTTTTCAACTATCCACTTTTCAATTGTCAGCTACCTTCAAATTCCACATTTTCCCTGCTTTTTTGTGTACATGTATGTTTTCTATCTTTCATTTAAAAAAACTGCTGAAAAAAAAACACTGGCTTTATATCCGTACTTGTTTAGAACTTAGATTAGATTTACAAAGAACAAAAAGATGACATTTAATTAGTAGGTAGAACTTTAGTTAGTTTTTAGGCTTAACTAGGATATGGCTCATTCTATCAGTTTGGGGGTCCTCTTTTGTACCTGTGAGTGTTAAATCTGACATGTACGATTTTGTAAATTCTGGAGGCTCCTTAATGCCTTCTATCGTCGCCCAAGAATGATTATGTAAAGCTGGCTTCTTACCCAGAACTAATTTGTAATGATTCTTGAGCAGCAGATTTGAAAGTTCAGAGGTACCATAACAGAGACTGGAACATTTTCACACTTTGGACGCCAAGTTTATAGAATGGCCCATTTTTTTTTTAAGTAGTGTTTAATTCAAACTCCGAAGCATTTTAGGTTGGGATCCTTCTTGATGACTAACAGAATCCAATCAGATTGAACACTGTGGACTAATTTTGCGACAGCCATTTCCTGAGGTGGCATCAGGCTCGCGCGAGTCGCGCTCAAGTAAAACGCACGCACTCTGGGCTCCCTCGACCAATAGGGTTACCAAAATGCGCGCCCGCCTTGTCTTTAAAGAGGTTGTGGAATGCTCAAAAACATTTCCGTCATTGTTTGGGTATATGTAGCCTAAGGTGTGATGAAATAAAAACGACTATTGTTTCTGTCATGAAATGATTACAAAGGGTACTTTTGAGAGCTATTTTTCAGGTCCTGTTTCGACCCGAGCGTGCAATTTGTGTAAAAGTCGTTGTTGCGGGCAGCAAACAAAACACAGTAAATCGTGACGTAATAAACAGGACTCGTTTATGCTTCTCTGCATCGGGAGTCCTGTTTATTACGTCACGATTTGCTGTGTTTTGTTTGCTGCCCGCAACGACGACTTTTACACAAATTGCACGTTCGGGTCGAAACAGGCATGACAGGACTTGAAAAACAGCTCTCAAAAGTACCTTTTGTACTCATTTTATGACAGAAAGAAACAATAGTCGTTTATATTTCATCACACCTTAGGCTACATATACCCGAAAAATGACGGAAATGTCTTCGAGCATTCCACAACCTCTTTAAGAATGCGTGCGGCATGCGCGCGCGGACAGGGTGCCGCCTCAAACATTGCTTCTAGTTTTGTTCCCTGGATTATTCTATACATGTAGTAATGGCTCTTTTGTCAAGCATTGTCAGATTGTCAAGTGATACCAGCTGAAGTATGATGGACTTGGGCCTGGGGGCCTAAAGCAAAGCATGCATTGGAAGCAGTGTGGTTGATGGATTTTGGCGGACTTGGTCCATTACTTAGTAAAAGACAGTAGGGAGTTAGGGTTAAGTATGGATTGGGAAGTAGGGGATCTGTACAGGCTACTTGAAAATAAAAATTAAATATACATGTAGGTAGACATTTTAATACCAGAGTATTGCCTAGCTGGAAAAAAATAATAGCCTCACATTGCATTTACTTCTCGATGAATCCAGAAAAAAAACGTAGGGTGCTTAGGCAGTTTAGGATCATATTAGGGAATAACAGGCAGACCGTATAAGGAGTAACAGGCAGGGCGGGTTGGGACGGTACAGGGACTAATCAGTTAATATGGTTTTGTACTATTATTGCACATTTCCACGGCTCACGACTAACTTTGCTCTCGTTATGTTTGTTCGTCATTCCTCTCCTCCAGCCAACTCGAGCAGCACTCAGACTCTCCCTCCCAGACGCCCTCTGAGATACGTCTACAGGAGCTTCAGATGCGCAAGCTTGGCCACTACGATTACGATTACGATCTGGACAGGAGCACGGTGTCGGGAAGCCGATGCTGAGGGCGTTTCGCAATTCTTACTACTGTCTGTTTTTTTTTTGGGAACGGCAAAAGACCATTCTCCGCATAAGAGTCGCTGTAGTTGAGATACTTGTGATGGATCAGATTCAGAAGTGTGTCGCAAGTCACTAACAAGTCAGCCAGTCCTAAGTCAACTCAGAAGCTATTCAAATGAACTCTGACAAAGGCATTCCTTTGTTATTGTTCATCCCCTGTTACTTGTGACTGGACACTTGGGATTTACTTGTGAGAGGACATTTGAGTTCACTTGGAATTTACTTGTGACTGGGCTTGAGATCATCAGTAGTACCTCAACTACACTGTCGTACACTCATGGATGCTCTCGTTAATGGAACATGCATCGTGACAGCTTATTTTTCAGAGTAACCGTCATGAAACGGTTATTTTGTACACTAGCTGGTGCACTGCTTTCTGCTATGACCGGAGACCACCGTTAAGTGCACTGCGACTCTGTGTTTGATTTGGTTTATAGTCTTAGCGTTATCCCTAGCAGTGCCTCCATGGGGCTTGGACCACCTCAACTTATTTTCAGATTTTTTTTCCTGAAAGCAGGTTTGATCTCCGCTAGTAATGAAATTACTACAGGGCACTGCTAAGGTTAACATGGTGAAGCGTAGCAGCACTTTTATAGGGACCTTTGTAGGATCAACATAAAATGTTCAGTAGTATAGTGGCCTGGTGGTTTTAGTCGTCAAGCATCTAGTGGAAGGTTAAATGTCAATTGCAATTTTTCGTTTGAGCAGTTTTCTTCTTCTTTTTTTTCTTAATAAAAACACATGCCTTCCATTGTTAACTCGTCCCGGGCTTCCCCTAATGTGTTTCTGAAGGGAGACCTGTTGTATATATAAAAGATCATTCATGGGGCCCAATTTCGGCATGTTCTAGGGAACTGCCAGGCAGAACTTCTGATCATGTAGCAACAAATTAAGCTGTCAAGTTCAGATATCAGCCTCAGCGTGGTGTCTTGGCCTGATGAACTGGGGAATAATTGTAAAGCGCTTTGAGATTGTTGATATGATGGAAAGTGAGCATTACAATTTATATTTTTAGTATTCGATTATTGCAACTTACAATTGATCGAATGTTCAAGTTTGCAATGCACATGATCAAGTTATAAAACATGCCTTAACTAGCCACCAGTCGGGATTTGCGTGCACTTGCGATTTTCGAAAAGTGATAAAGAGCTTATTAAAACCTTAGAAAGAACAGCTAACACAATGGCTAACAGTTGACTGATTTTAATGAAGACATTTGAGGGAAGCTCGAAATCATGCAAAATGCGGCATTTCAACAAAAGTGGCATTGGACAAAAAACATGCAAACTCATGATTGAAATAGCATCGTGGACGATTTTAATCATCACCTCGAGATTGCACAAAGTTTTCGAATATATATTAATCGAAACGATGCTATATGGGTTTTGGGTTGATGATCGAATATTCAAATTTTTGGTATATGTGGCACAGCCCTACAAATTTCTATGGCCCAGTACTTGTTTTGGGCCATTCTTATCCCATTCGTTAGTGTAACATCATCTTAATTCAACCATTTGTGCTTCACACAGTGTAGCAAAGCGCGAATGGAACCGGAAGCGCGAATGAAACCAGAAGTTAATGCCATTCAAGTGTGTATTCAATGGGTGCTGGTTATTAGTGGTGTGCTCGTGTGAATGACGTGTTTACTAAACGAACCGGATATACCATGCACTTGGATGCAGGTACTGCTTCGATATTTTTTTATAAAATTGTTGTTTTTGTTTTTATGGGGGGGGGGGGGGGGGGTTCTGACACTATCAAATGAAGCTTGATGAAACTGCACAATTTAGAACAATTCATTCCGTATCAGTACTGTCTGCCAAGAAAACTGAAGTACTATTTCAGAACCAATTTGTAGGTACAACGTTTTTCAGACTATCAAAAGTAAACAAGAATTTGAGCCTGCTCCCACCAGAAGGTCGTGGGTTCAAACGTACTAATTACTGCCTCCGTCAATTTCTTTATTCATGCTTATTTTGCAGTATATATCTTGGCATTTTGTATCAAGTCTTTGCCTACTTTTTAACAAAGTTTTCTTTTGTTAGTACTCGTATTATCCAGTTATGTACATGCGTGCCAGCAATTTTTATGTATATATTTTGAAATGTGTTGATTACAACAGGAATAATTTAATACCTTACTAAATTTTACGAAGTGAGTAGTTTTGTAGAAGAAATTATGAAGATCAGTTTATGAAAAGCTTTTTGGTACTTTGGACTAAAGGTATTCACAGTGGTTTTTAGAATTTGTATTTTTTTTTCAGTGATGTATTCAGAATTCCTTTCACAATTATTTAATGAAATGTGAGGCATTGTTTTGGACACAATGTTTCATGACTATTCATAAGGTGAAATTTTTACGTCGGGGTGATGTAAATCAATAATTAGGTTTTGCCCTTCACCGACGTATAAGCCTTTTATACACAGTGTGTTACATCCCGAGTGAAAGTTGAAAAAAAAATCACTCGGGTGGGATTCGAACCCACGACCTGCTTTCTAGTGCAGACGTTTTATACCACTCGACCACCGAGCTTGCGGGATCGGTTTGCTGGTTCGCCAATCTGACCTACATGTAGCAGCGGGTGCCACAATTTTGTTTTATTGTTTCATGAGTTGGGGACAGTGACTTAAACACTGATTAAGAAGATCTCATTTATTGAAGACCAAATGTCCTGTACAAATCAATTTCAGTATGTAAATTTGAGCAAAAAAACCTTCCTGATTTTCTTTTCTTCTAATGATGTATTTGATCCAGATGAAAGTTCTCATTCTCGGTCTAGAATCATGTCTCAGGAACCATCGTTGAAATTTCGTGTTATTAAACTGTCAATTGCCTTTTTATCATTTTTAATTCATGAACAAAGTCGGATACTTGCTCTGTACATAATTGATCTTAGAATCCGAATATTTTTTAGACATTTCAAAATAAATAATTCCACTGCTTAGTGTGTTGTCAGTCGTAGACAATGTGTACATAAAGCTTGTAAATAATAACAATTTGATTTTAATGGTGTTGAGGTTTGGATAAAGGAAGCATTTTTGATATTTTTAGTGGAAATATTAATATTAGCGTGAAATGCCAAAGACATTCATTAAATTCAGTGTTGGCATTTCGTATGAAATGATTTTGGCACAAAATTTTGAACTTTTAAATTGAAGTAGAAGTATTTACGTTGCAGGCACTATGTTTTCACACCACCACAGCTTTGTTCATCTGAAGTGTTGAACAAAAACTTAAAGTGTTCAGGAACACAATGTATGTCATGAACATTAAAGTTTGATCATGTGAAAACAGTTGTGATCGATGCTTTTGGAAAGAAATTGCGATGTCGCCATAAAAGAAAATTGTCCTGTCATTGGGGCTGATATTTTATGAGTTGAGAACTATTGCATTCTAGTTATGTAGGGTATTCCATGATAAATCATTTTTCACACCGCACCAGCTGTGAGAAACGCGTACAATTTTGGCATTAATGATATTTTTTGGAGGTTTGGTTCTATCAGTAAAACTGATATGATGGATGTTTTTGTAAATGAATTAACAATTTTGTTTTCTTCTTTTGAGCTGCTGCAGTACTGCTTCACGTTGCCGTTTAGTTATTGTTGCTTTAAATAGTATTCAGAGATAAGACTTTGATGCCAAAATGTAGATGATTCCAGTTAGTTGTTCAGCAAAGTTAGAAATGTTGTAAGATCTGCTAGTATTCCTAGATTTCTTGACCGGTCACAATTTGTTTTGTGAACCTTTTGGAAATCAAGTACAAATCGTGTAGGCCCTACATGTAGTTTTTATAATGATTGCATTTTGATGAATAAAAAGGCCTACGCGGTCGACTGAAGGAATCGGTGTCATTCATTTTGACTTGATTGTATACCCTCCCCACCACTTCCAACTGTTTTGATTTGACAAAATTGTAGGTACATGTACATGTAGTATAGACTGATTTTCTTAAATGAGCATTTTTAAGGGGCTGTGTTGTCCGAGCTGAAGGGAGACTAGTTCTACCTTCTCGTTTTCAGCAAGTATGAGAGTGAACGAATAGAGACAATGGTTGTGTTGCAAGGCGTTCAAGTTCAGGCTACTCATGTTGTTTCCAATCCCAAAAATGTTGAAACGGCGCTAGCCTTTGAATACAGGTCAACTCGTACGCGAACCAACTCGTACGCGACCAACTCGTACGCGGGTCACTTCGTACGCGAACCGACTCGTACGCGGACCGACTCGTACGCGGACCGACTCGTACGCGGACCGACTCGTACGCGGACCAACTCGTACGCTGACCAACTCGTAGTTGCTACTTACATTCGCGATTTTTTAGAGAATTCTGCGTTTGTTTGTTTTTTTACAAGTTCGCTTGATTGATTGGGAAGTTGTCTTCGCGATAACCAGTATGATTGGTTCCCACCGCACCAGAATGCATGATTGAATCGCTGTAACCTCTGTATGCCGCGGTACAATTGCTGGTTGGTTAGACAAGTAAAATGACAAGAAAACACCGATATTTGCGAGGTCTATTGTATAAAAAGGAGCTACTATAAAAAAAGGAATATAACATCACGCATGCTTATACAGTTGTACGGACAGTGTCCGCCAGTTTTTTGCTTGGGTCAGATAGTTTTTTAGTCCTAATTATTATATATCCAAATAATATTTTGTAAAAAAAGAAAAATTGGGGAGTTGATTTTTATTTATTTTTTAAATCAGAATTTTATATAATTTCACCGGAAATGCGAGGTTTCTTGGGTCAAATGCGATTTTCTTGGGTCAGAAAATTAATTTTTTGCTTGGGTCCGATAATTTTTTAGTCCTAATTATTATGTATCCAAATTATATTTTGTAAATTAAAACAATGGGGAGGTGAATTTCATTGATTTTTAAAAATTAGAATTTTATTTAATTTCACCGGAAATTCGAGGTTGCCCTGAAAATAATTTTCAGGGAAAGCACTGAAGTTAGATGACAGTTTGACATTTTTGAAATCAAGGGAAAAATAATGATAGACACAATGTTTTTTTTCATTTTATCCCGGACCATTGCACCAAATTAATACTGGCCATCATATATTTTGTTATGCTGCAAACAGATTTAAAATGGCTCAAAGGATAGAATTAAAAAGGAGAGGAAATGAACTACGAAAATGAAATGAAAATTGAACTACGGACTACCCGTCACACTATTCCCAAATTCTTCCCAACCCAATCCTCGAAACCACTCCTAAAACGGCCCGCGTACGAGTTGGTTCGCGTACGAGTTGGCTCGCGTACGAGTTGGCTCGCGTACGAGTTGGCACGCGTACGAGTTGGTTCGCGTACGAGTTGTCTCGCGTACGAGTTGACCAATCCGCGTACGAGTTGACTCGCGTACGAGTTGGTTCGCGTACGAGTTGACCTGTTTCCTAGCCTTTGAGTACCCGTTTATAAATAAATGCATTGGAACTTTTGGTAAAATTCAATGTAGTTGAATTGCTGGATCGGAAATAGCCAAATATATGCTTTAGAAACTGAGGGCCTGTGTTCGCGATGGAATTTGCGTAGGGAGATGTAATTTTCTTGATTTTGAGGGTGTTTTTTTTTTGGGGGGGTATGTCTGCTCTATAAACAGGATATTCATGAGTTCGAGTCCCATCCGATCTGAGCCTGCTTTTTTCACAAGCCCTTGGACAACATAGTGTTGATAAATAACGTTGGCGAATGGCAAAAATCATTCAAACGCTCAAAATAATATGTTGCTAATGAGGGGGGAGAGGGGGGGGGGGGCAAAACCGACGGCAGTTAAGACAATTAACGCATCCCCTGCCGCAAAACACATACAAATGTACATGTACGTACACCCACATGGGATTGTAAAAGCACGTGGTTCGTGCGCACACGTACACGTACGTACGCCCGCAAATTACCCATTGGTCATGTTGGTACATTGTATACAGTGTACATTTCATCATGCATACGATGCGTAGACTTGGTGCCGTACAGTACACGTATGTACATGTACATGTACATGTATAATGTACAGTTTGCTGTCAAAGTGTACATGTATGTAGACGTCAGTTGCAAATTGTTGGTTTTAAGTGAAGCCATTTCGCATAAAGAACAAGGTTTTGGAGGTTAACATTCGGAATGGAATTCAAAGTCGCAGACGGAAACAACTGTGAAGGTATGTCATCAATCTAGCCATTATCGTTTTTTAAACAATGGGACGGTGGTCGTGATACAAAGCTTGGCAAAATGCCACCGCTACAGCTGTTCTGTACGCCGTGTAAACTCGGTCGATTTAGCGTGATTGACGGGGAATGGTGGGCGGGCTGGGGCGCGCTTTGCACGGTACACGTGGGTGTCGACACGGTGCCATGCATTCCGCGTGGACGTGCATGGCGCCCAGCAATGCTAGTGGCCATGTTTCCCGTCCGTTTCTCATTAATTGTTGAACTTTCCAGACTCAGAAAAAATGTAGTATCCTAACGCCACTTGTTTGGTTCTGTACAAAGTCAGTAGTACATGTACGAGAGCTGAGTGCATTTTTTAAGTATTTGGAAATGTTTCCCAGACAAATGCCAAATTCTAGCCCCATAAATGTGGCCAATTTACTGGACTACCTCCATAAATAAAGGCCACACTACCACCATGTACAAAAACATGTCGAACTTTGTCAAATTTGTATTTTCACATTTAGGCTTAGTTTGTCATGTTTGTAGTTTATTTTTGCTTTAGAATCATACTCACCCCCCTTAAGTTATAGGCTAATCAGAGAGTGCTGCCTTTGGAAAGATTTCCATATATGAAGTTCACTAATTTTCCTCTGTATTGACTAACAAGCTCCAAGATAGCAATTTCATGTCATCAAAGTCAATTTGAGCAGTGAGAAAATACAAGCATTTTCTTAGAAAACACTTAGAATATTTCAGTCCAATCTCATAGGGTTTGTACACAGGGTGTTGAATGAACTTCGTATATAGGCCCCTATGGAAATATTTCCCTGCCTTTTTCAGATTTCAACTTTTCGTGAAATTTCATGTTGAAATTTTGATACGCAAACGTGTGCAAACGAATCTGGAAATTTCACTAAAAATAGACACCTTCAGTGCTTGTCCTGTACACATTTAATGAGGAAATCAGAATTTTTCGGTTGAAACGTTTCTTACAAAATATAAAATATTAACTCATGGCCATTCCCAAAGTCATTCATACTTTTATAGCTAATTATTTTTTCAATTAATTTCCAATGGAGATAGCAGAATGGTGCAAACTGTGAGAGGGAATAGGCATCAAACGGAACCTGTTATTCTGTCATTGAAGTTAGTATCAGTACCAACAAATTCCTCTTTACTTTTTCCCCTGTAGCATGCCCAGTTAAAAAGAGAAAACTTGACGCTTGCGACAATCTCAGTGACGACATGGCACCTTCCCTGTCCAACAAGCAGTCAGTGAGAGAAATAGCTGCATCGTCCAGTCCACCAGGTTCTCAAGATCAGTTGTCACCATCGCTGAGACATGGATCCAGTCAACCATCATCTCAGCCCAGCCAGTTACCCTTGAAAAACTGTCAAAAGTGCTCACCAGTCAATAAAACTAAAAAGCACAAATCTCAGGGAAGTTTGCCATCGTTGTCACAACTAAAGCAGTTACCGTCAGAAGAGACTCAGTCAGGATCTTCCCCAAGAAAGCTACGTCCGGTCAAGACTCGGCCGTCGGCTCCACGAAGTTGGAAGTCGACGTCACCACCAAAAGCTTCAGCCTGCAGGCAGTCCCGACCGTCGCCCCAATCGAGCCGGTCGCTTCCCTCCGAAGACCCCGAGCCAACTCCGCGCGTGCCGTACGCTTCAGTGGCATTGCCGGACTTCCCTGGGTTGACCCGCCCTTCCCCGCACACGTCGGGGATGGTCAGCTCGGTCCGGGAGCAGTCGCAGAGAATCACGGAAGACATCAAGACCATCGAAGAACACTGCAGGTACTTGTATTCGGAAGACCCTCAATCCGAGAACAAACCCGTCCTTCCGGTCCGGTTTGCGTATCTGGGTGATCAGGCCAGCGAAACGTCCCTCATCGTTGCCATGATCGAGTCCATCTTAAAGAAGATGCGGCGCGTGATGAGGAGCGTGATCCTACTCAGGGAGCATCTGGTCCGCTCCGACGTCAGCGGCGCAGATATGATGGATGAAGTCCACACAGAGTACAAAAAGAACGCCCGGGGGATGAAGATGATACAGGAATGTGTACTAGGTACCCGGAGGTCCTTGGATGATTTCTTCGACTTCTACTCTAACAAAGACTCCAAGTGTACCTAGCCCCTTCAGGTTCTCTGGGCGCTCTGTTGGATGCATAACAATGTAACATCAAACTATGAAGCCTGTTGCATCCATCAGAATCCTGGTCATTTTGGCTGTACACTGAATGATACAGCTGAGAAACTCCAAGCCTGGGATTTTCCATGTTCCAACTGAAAGCTGTACAGTGGACTCATGTTAATACAAACTCAGCTGGAGCTAGCTTAAAGGTAGAGTCCATCATTTGCAGCCATCCGAAAAGTAACTGGCTTAATTATTGTTGAAAAACTAACTTGGTTGAAAGATAGTAAGGGGACTAAACTCCCTGTGAAATTATTCTTTCTGGGAAGCTGTCATTTTGAAGTAATCAACGAAAGAAGGCATTTCCAACGGTGATTCTTAAGAAGCACCGTAGGAAAATTTAAATTAGTAGTTCGTTTTGTTATTCAGCGAAGCGCGCACAAGTATTCGAACGACGCACACGCGTGCGCGGTTGTTGTAATTCGTCGGATCAGTGCGCGACGTCGGCACGTCGCATATAGTTGCAATTCAAAACAATTCAAAACATGATTCAGCAACTTTTGATTTGAAATTGAGATCTTAGAATGCTGTTTTTCTCGGAATGTACAGCTGACGCGTTGGCTGAAACTTCATCAGGTTAGTTGCTCAGTATCCTTCATTAGATTTTGAACTCTTTTGTTGCTTCAAACGAACAAAATGCACAAATTACAAATGATGGACTGTAGCTTTAAATCCATGTTCAAATTTTGTACTCGAGTGCAGTTCCGTTCATTGTGCACACAAATGCAGTTACGAGTGAGGTTTAATGCTCTCACACATGCGCGCAGTATTGAGAGTCCCACATTTTCGGACTAGGTTTAATGTTATTGAGTTTGTATAATTAACAAAAGTCAAACGTATCTAACTCGAAATATACACGTGAAAATGTACATGTACTTGTATGTACTCAGTCTTCTGATCAATGACCGGGGTGCTTCCATGCTGTTACCCCCAACTAGATGATAGTCCTGGGACAGTCCCAACTTTTTTAAGTGTTCCAGTTTGAATACTAGTTACGACGGTTCCAGCTTAAAGGGAAAATACAACATTTGCAAACATCAAAAAATAAAACTACCAAATCATTTTGAAATACCTTGCTGGACTGTTAGTGAATGACAGTGTAAAGCATCCTGTAAAATCATGGCACCTGGTATACTGTCATTTTCAAGAAAAGTGGTATTTTTGTATCAATTTCCAACGCTGATCGGCCGATCAGCGTTGGAAACAACTGGCTTTTTTTTCAAATACTGGCCCCAATTGACCATCGCACTTGTTTGCAATCGATTACAAACCTATGAACGGGTACGAGCGAGCCAGCTAGACTGGTTCCCTGACCTTACAATTCCCCAATGTATGTAAACTGCTCTGTTTCTTCTTATATGGAGTCAGGGAACCAGACTACAGGAAAATGATTGTTTTTCTTGGTTTTTATAGCATTTTCGAACCCAAAACCTCAAAAAAGTCCGTGTAACTATATTTGCTATATACTTCCAAACCCCCCAATTCCATCCATATCTGAAAATTACAGCAAAAGCAAATGATGTATATTCCCTTTAAGATAGGACCAATTTAGTTGGGGGTAACAACTTAACCCTATACATGTACCTTTCATCAACCAGTTGTGGATGATTTTTGCAGGATTTAGGCACGTGTCCCTTGTATGGTGTGCCATTGGGTTCATGCATGATGGCGAGTTTTGGAGGATGCATGAAGATTCATTTGAAAAAAACGAAGTTGCAAGTTGGGCCAAACGTGGCCTAACATTTAGGGTTCAGCCGTGCTTCAAACCCATCTGCCTAGGCCCAACAACCATTCGGAATTTGGAGAAAAATAAAAAATGTAATAATTTCTATCATTAATGTAATGTAAGTAGATTCTTCCATTTTAATGCCTCCCCTTCGAAACAATTTCTTCATGTTCAATTACAGTAGGTTTTTGCGAAGTAATTGTTTCAATTTTTTTTTCATAAAAATTGTATATTTACATGTTTAGATTATTTCAATATCCTACTGAATTTTTGAAGTTCTAAATTCAACTTTTTGAAACAATCCATAGCTGAATCAATCATAGTCTGCTTTTTTATTATTAAAGCTTAGGGCCTACAAGACATTCTTTAAAGACAAAAAGAAATACAAACATCTAAAAAATTTTCCAAGTAATTTATTTCAAAATTAATGAAACCAATAAAGTTGGAACACAGTCATTTTTAAAAGGTCATGGTGTTATAATTGTTCCAAGTTAATCGCGTTCAGCTTTATAACTTCTTTATTCATCATGTTGTTCATGTATTCAATAAACGAAACAAGTTTAACCCATTTGAGACAAATTTCATCCTTCAATCTGTGTATTTGAACCAATTTGAACAAAATACAAATTAAAAAAGCCTAAGAATAGTTTGATTCTTTTCTTGTTGTTTGGTTGTTGACTGTTGGCAATTTCCACCCCCCCCCAAAAAAAAACCCCACAAAACAAATTAGCAGTGCTCCATCACCTTCCAGTTTGAAACAAAAGTAACATTTGGAAAAAAATGTTGCAACCAGACGCCACTTTTTTCTTCATATATCATCTCAATGGAGGTCATTCATTGCAAAACTGATGATAAGACATGAATCTGGGACTGAGAAACATTTCCAATTTTGTTGGGAAATACCACAGACTTGGCACACAATCGCGGAAGTGGCGTGTTACAACTGATAATGTATAGCAACCAACAGATCATGTATCACGAACCAATAATGTCACAAAAATTGACCGATACTGTAGTATTAAAATGTACTACACTATCAGTCAATTGTTGTTACAGTGTACCATTATCGACCCTAACCGATAATGTAGCAAAAATGTACCGATAGTGCTACACTATCAGTCAATTTCTGTTACACTACTGGTTAGTGAAACAGTATTGGTCAATTTGTGGGACATTATCTGTTGGTGATATGTTATCCGTTGGTTACTATGGTACATTATCAGTTGTAACATGGCATCAGGTTGTAACATTTGTTCCCATTGACCATTCCATGTTAAAGGATTTCTTTTTTGGGCTTTCCTTTTATACATGTAATAGACTCATTTTATTGTATCCTTTATGAGGACACTTGTCGGTGTATAAAATGTGAACAATTCGGGCGATTCACAATGCAGTGCGCCACCAAGAGTTTGCCACGGAGAGTTTGTTTTTCAAGGTCACGGTCGACAAAACATGACCCATTTGAATGAGTGTCAGTAGAAAACTTGAGCTAATTTGTTATAGATTGGGGCAAAGCAATCTGCCACCTTACAAAAAACTCCATATTGATAAAACGAAAAGAAAAGGGCAAAGAGATACTCGAAACAACCGCTTACGAACTTTCTCGCCGGAAAAACTGACAATTTCAAATGTCCCGCGCTGCGAATTTGTCGACCATCTCCCACAATGCACTAGGAAAAAATGAACTCTCCATGGCAAACTCTTGGTGGCGCACTGCATTGTGAATCGCCCGAATTCCATTTTCTTTCCTTGCAACTATCTTTAAATCAAAATCAGCCCTTTCATTTTAGGCTTACTACAGTGTGAATACATCTGCACATGCTAATCTAGAAATTAAATTTGTGTTTAAGGTTTGGCCAACTTGATAAAGTGATAAATCATTAAACCTTCAGTTGAAAAGTTCACAAATTTCACAATTTTACAATTCAAATATTAATTAAACAAAAATTTAAAATCAAAAAAATCAAAAACATGTAAAAGAGGTGTGGGTATTATTTTACTCCATTTTAAAGATGTTAGTGTGACGAAGTTCATATGCAAGTACATGTATGTTGATTAAAACATTCTACACTTTAAACGCATGAAAGTTTGCTTCGATATATCAATATATATCGATAAAAAAAAAAAAGGAAAAATGTGCCGCTTCTGCTTGTGTTGGTTCAAATCGTCATTTACCCCCAAAAAGTGACGAATCTCACATGTCAAGAGCATAGTAGTGATGAATGTCCTGAATTAAACAAATAAACAAATATGAGATGCATTACGCATGTACCAGGCTTAGATATAGGGGGTGCCACTTTCATAGCATGCAACACTTTGTAAATTGTTTTTCAATTGACCTACGACCTAGTGACGTCACGCATTGTTAATGTGTGTGCTTTCTAGGAAAGCGCACAAAGCGTGACGTCAATAACTCCTAGGACTATTTATCATGGCATTCACAAGAAGCAAAAAATGAGGAAATCAGCGAATTCAAGGAAAGTTGCATGCCTGTGATTTCCCAGTGTAGCCGACATCATAGCGCAGTGAAACCTTTCGAGAGGTGAACGCTGTTTAACGACGGCCGACGTTTGTGTTCACCTCGCATGGACCTGAGGTCACGCAAATTAAGCTGTGTCCGCCTATTGGGGGAAATCCCAAATTTCTAGGGTCCATGCGTAAAACCTTTGGTCTCCATAATATATATTGACTTAAGTACCGCATTTCCCCCCATCCCCCACTCACAAGAAAAATATAGGATATATCACTTATTAGTTGTTCAGATTACACAGAGATGCATCAGTTTAATGGTGTGATGACTTAATGTATAACTTGCACTAAATAAAAATGTTCACTTATGGGTGGGCTTTAGTCTGGAGGACCTTCGCAGATTGGGGGTGGTCTTGGGACTCCGCCTCTTCTTGGAGCTAGATTTAACCCCGGCCTCCTTGATTATCTTGGGGCTGGGGGTCTTAAAAGTGGGCGTGGCGGTTTTCTTCTTGGTGGGGGGTCGGGGCTTTGGGCTGGGTGTCTTCAGGACGGACTGGGTGGGTTTCTTGGAGCCGTCGAAGGGGATGCCGGGGCTGGACTCCAGCTGCTTCTTGTAGTCCTTGGAAGCTGATGGGGAAAAAAAAGAGGAAGAGCACAAAACATTCACACAGGTGTCATTCTTCCTTCTCATTCATGTTACTTGAAACAATCGTAATCAAACCTCAAGTTATTTGCAAGTTATGCGGCATCATATCAAGTGCAGCCAATTCAAATGAATTCCAAAGGCAGTCCAGAGTTGTGCCAAAATCTCATTATTCCTAAATGTCCCAAACACATGGCTTTTACCCATAAGGGAACCTGTACCACCCCAAAACCAGGGCCCAATTTCACGGCGCTGCTAAGCACACGATTTTCTGCTAACAGAGCCTCCGTCTATTTCATGGAGACCGTTAGCATAAGCACAACAAAAGGCACGCTTACCTCGGAGGAAAAATTTGCTTAACTTAGTGACGTAACAATAGAAATCTCTATGCACGCTCGACCGTTAGCACGTCCACACCGTGAAATAGTGCTTACGGTTAACACATTTTTCTGCTATGCTAAACACAACTTTTCTGCTAACTGTTAAGCAGCGCCGTGAAATTGGGCCCAGCTAAGTGTGCTATAAATTTATCAAGGACTAAAAACATTGTGGTACACTACAATACAAGTGCTAGAGGCTTCATTGTTAAATCGTATATAATGTGACATTCAAAACCTTTTCAGTGTGAGTAAAAATCCCTTGGTAATACATGTAGTCTTTTTTCCCCCCGACATCAAATAAACCAAACTTTGACTTACCATGTGCTTTGTTCAAGCCTAGGGCTATCTTGACTCGTTTTCTGGGTGTAGGCTGGTCAGAGTCAGTGTCATCACTAAGACCAGAAAGTCGCGACTGCAGGCAAAAATAAAAATGGTATTTTTCGTTGTTGAATGTTAATATTACGAAAATGTGTACCCAGGCTATCCCAAGTAAGCGTACATGTAGCTTGGATGTACATGTACATGTGTATAAATACATATAAAAAGTCTATCTGATCAGAATATGGTAGTGAAAGGGTTAACATTAAAATCTCTGAATATAATTCCTTTTTTAGTTAAAAAAAAATGAAGAAATAAACTTCTGAGAGAAAATTTCTTTAAAAAGTGCGTTGCAACATCTGAAATCTCAATCTTTAGAAAACACTAAACATTGGCTGCGCTTACTGCTTTTGGCTATGATTGACCAACATTTTGTAGAAAGAAAATAGCACGTGACTTTTTTTCTAATTTTTGCCTTCTTAATGTACCTTTGTCTTTCTTGGTGGTTCCGTCTTTGGCTCGCCTGCTTTCCTGACAACCTTCCGCCTCACAAGAGCAGGGGGTGTGCTCACTGTCTGGAAGGCTGCAAACGGCTGTTCCGTCTTTTGCTTGCCGCCCGCTGACAGCTTCTGCGAACTGCCTGTACTGAGCTGCAAGGAAGTGTCTTTGGTGGTGGCTGAATCTTTGCTAAGTTCACTGACAGGGAAAAGATTAATCTGGACTTCATCCTTGGGAGGGATGATTTCCTCCTTACTTTGCACTGCGTCACTTTTGTGAGCTGCATCGACTGAATCTCCTAAATTCGAAGCTTCCCCTCTTTCCACGCCACCCACGTTCGACTTCCGTTTGCCTTGTTTTCCTTTCTGCTTTCTATTGCTCTTTGTTTCAGATCCTGCACTCGGTGAAGCAGTTTCAGTCGCAACAGCTGTTTCCATTGCCGTGGCGTCCGTTTTGGTTTCTTCATTGTCGGCAGTTTCACTTTCCTTCAGAGCATCACCGTGGTCAAGAACAGGCACTGCCACTTCATTTTGGCTGGCTTCGGACTTCCGTTTCCTTCCTCGTTTCTTCTTGGTTCCGCCATCGGGTTCGTCTGTTCCTGGGCTAGGCTTAGCTGCGGTTACGATAATTTCTTCCACAGCCTTCTTTTCTTCGACAATCGGCTCCTTTTCCACAATTTCCTCTTGTTTGGAAGATTCGTCCCCCTCCTCGGGCTCCTTCTTTCCATCTTCTGTCTCGGAAGACTTCTCCTTCTCTCCAGCAGCACCAGTCGTTGTTGCTTCCTCCGTCTCCCCGTCAACTTTCTTCAACTTCTTCTTCCTCCTGCGTCGCTTCTTTTTCTTTTGGTCCTCCTCCTTTTCCTCCGCTTCCTCATCCATCAATTCCTCCTCGTCTGAGTCATCGGCAAAACGCTTGCCAGTCTGCCGGGCCTCTCTGGCAGTTTCTATCTGGGCCTTGGCGAGTCTCCGTTCCCGGACCTGCTTTCCGCCTCGGCGACGTGGCTTCTTCTGCTTTTCCGGCGGGGGCCGGTCGCCGTATTTTTGCTCAGTTTCATCGTCGTCATCCTGGTAGTCCATGAGGGAGCCCACATTGTAGTCTGGGAACACGCCTTCTTTTAGATCTCGGAACCTACGATTCAAGACAAGTTCTATTTCCATTAACATTCGATTTGCCTCTTTTGTTGCCTGATCCTGACTGCCGACACAGGTTGGGTCCAAACATTTCATGAAAGTGTAGTTGGGAAAAGTTCCAGTATAAAACGTATTTTACAATGTATGTCGAATGAGGAGCACCTTCGTATTGGATTTTATTTTAATCAATCTGATATCTGTAAAAGTTAAGTAGAATCTGTGCACGGGGCATTTCAATTCAAATACTGACTGCTTAAAGCTACAGTCCATCATTTGCAGCTATCTGAAAAGTAACTGGCGTAATTATTGTTGAAAAACATACTGGTTGAAAGATAGTAAGGGAACTAAACTCCCTGTGAAATCATTCTTTCTGGCAGCCTGTCATTTTGGAGCAATCAACGAAAGAAAACCTTTCCAACGATGCTTCTTAAGACGCACCGTAGGAAAGTTAAATTAGTAGTTGGTTTTGTTATTCGGCGAAGCGCGCGCAAGCATTGGCACGACGCACACGCAGTTGCTATAATTTGTCGGATCAGTGCGCGACATCGCGTATAGCTGCAATCGGCTCAGTGAGAACGCGTCTCGGACGCTGAATTCAGGCCCAATTCAAAACATGATTCAGCAACTTTTGATTTGAAATTGAGATCCTAGAATGCTGTTTTTCTCGGAATATACAGCTGAAGCTGAGCTGAAGCTGAGCTGTTCAGTACCCTTCTTTAGATTTTGTGCTCTTTTGTTGCTTCCAATGAACAAAATGCACAAATTACAAATGAAGGACTATTATACTCACGAAACAGAATGCTCCATGGATCATCTCATGTGGCTAGTTTTACCACACCACTTGAAGCAGTCAATATTTGTATAGTGTAACACATGGAAGCTGACAACAATGCAGATTGTCTGACAAAACATTTTAAGGCTATGTGTAAAAAAAACATGTCCTACATTTGATCTTGAATAACTCTGTTGTTTACCAATGAAAGATAACTCTGTTGTTTACCAATGAAATTAAACCAAAATTTCAGATCATGTAAACAAGGCATGACAAATTTTATGGAGCCAGTTGTATCAGCTTAGTGCAAGAGGGTGAGATTTAAACGTGCAAGAGGGTGAGATTTAAACAATGAAAACAGTGAAAAAATAAAAATTTCACTTTCAGAATCTGCCACTTTCGACTTGGCGTCCTACAATGCCGATACAGCCTTGGAGATGGTGGAAGGTGTGTGCTGCACCCGAAAGCTTCTGAAAGAATGCAGTGATCACCCCTAATGCTATTGCAAACCTCCTCGATTGTTTGGCGCAATGACATCAGGGGTGATCCTCATTCCTTCAGAAGCTTTTGGCAGCAGCACGCGCCTTCCGCCACCATCTCCAGCATTGCATCGACATTCTGAAAGTGAGTACTTTTTTCGTATGGCGTTCAAATCTCACCCATTTGCGCACAGATGATGAAACTCACTCCACACAATTTGTCATGCCTTGTGTACATGTTCTGAAATTTTGGTTGAATTTCATTGGTAAACAAGAGAGTTATTCAGGACCGGCAGTAGAACTTCTTTTGTTTTTTTGATACGTATTAGCTGATGTGCACTTACTTTTTCACCATCGTATATACTTTTCTCCGGACAAAACCTGGCGTAGACTGTTGGCTGGCCAGAGTGAAAAGACGCTCTGCAATGGCTTCGTAGTCATACTAAAAAGAGACAGAGTAAAAAAAAAAATTACTCGAACTACTGCTGCAAACAGACTAGAATGCTGTAAGAATGGTGCAGTCATTTAATGGTGGTCACATTATTTGTAAATTGTACACAATCTTGTGAACATTGTTATTAAAATGGTACATTTTCTTGTGAACATTGTCATGTACGAAGAAAAGTCAAAGTACACACTTTCTGAACTTGTACTTACACCATGCATTTTTTAGAGTATAGATGTATTTGGATTATGAGCGTGGAGAATCAAATTTAAGATTTTAGGCTTTGCATGGTGGAGTATCGGTATCGTTTCGGTTTGCGGTGACACCATGTGGTAATAACTACTGCTTAGAAGATAGTTAGTTCTGAAAAGAACTTGTCCTGCTAATTATCAACTTTGCTTAGTAGTTTTTGTTCTGATAAGAACAGTCCTGCTTTAAGTTCTAAAAGAACTTGTCTTTTAGAAATCAAATTAGTGTGGTCTTAATCCTAATGATCCCCAACCAGCCAAACTCCAACACAAGGGTTTGTTGGAATTTGCTAAGATGAGTACTGCACTAGTAAACTGACTGCGATTTACGTGGGATTAGGCATACCACAAATAAACAGAGTCCAACTGTTAATGTGCACAGTTTACCATATGGTGTTGGGATTTGCAAGGATGAGGAAGGTTCCTAGTAAATCACCCTAGGGAGTAAGGGTTAATGCAATCAGAAAGGATTAAGTCCAGTTTGTACTAGGGCTGTTCCGAATATACTGTATATTCGAATATTCGATCAGCCACCTAATGTTGGAATAACTTTTTGCCAGTTTGAATGTTCCAAAAGAAAACAATTATGTATGTGCACACACGACTGTGGTGTCATTTTAATTGTATACTTGCGTTTTTATTGTCAGATACCACTTTTTAGGCCAAAAAAAAAAAGTCTCCGGTTTCTGGTATGGAGCTTGCCCAAAAAGTGGTGCGGCGACGCGGCTTTTTTTTTTTTTTACCTGATTTTTTTGCTTCAAATGTCGGCTGATGACTGCAAATGGTGCCCGCCTAACTTAGTGCAAATATATGGGAGTCCAGAGAGGCCACATAAAGCTTATTCTCGACCATAACCCAATCTAAAAACACATTAAAATTGTGCAGCAGCAGGATTCCAGTCAAACCAGTGAGTTTGGCGGTTTTGAGACATCATCTTTCATTGAAAAAAAACCTTTTTCATTTTGCCGACGCGCATGGCTACGGCGACGCGCACTTTCTTGTCGATACCTATGTACTGGTCCCTTTCTTTTAGCAGGGTAAGTGCCTGTACAGTACTTTAAGCAAAACACCCCAGCTTCCCACAATATCAATCGCCGCATGCAAATTTTAACCAGCGCGCTTTGTATGCAGCTGGCATGTGTAAAACTTGATCGGCAAATTTCAAATATTTGAATATTTGGTCAAGTGCACTTTTCAAATAAGCGAATACTTAATTATTCAAATATGGAAAGGCGATAGTTTGTACTTGACATTCAAGCAAATGCAAAGGCAAAATGGCGACAAACCAGTAGGCATACATGTTGCAAATTTGCATATTTGAACACATTTGAACTGTGGTTGAATTTTGCTACAAAATATTTTGCAAAGTCCAATTTGATTGAACTCCCATTGGCGTGAAGCATGCACCAGGCTCAAGGGTTGCAAAGCGCAGCTCAGGATGCTACAAACCTTTAATTTGGGTCGCTCCTTCCGCACATACTTCTTCTTCTTTTCTTCTTCTTCGTTGTCTTCCTCCTCCAAGTTTTCCTCATTTTCCTCCTGTTCCTTGTCACCCTCGTCCTTGTCACCCTCTTCCTTTTCCTCTTCCCCGGAGTCGATCCCTTCGTCCTCCGACTCGTCTCGGAACCCGACGTCTGACTCGTCGATGATTTCTTGGAAGAAGCCACGCAAGATGACTTTAAGAAGAGTCTTGCTGCATTTGGAAATAGCAACAAATATCCATTATACATTCCAATCTGAGGGTTTACATGACGAAGAATACAATTAAGGAAATGCTTCTAGATATATATGGGAAGTGGTTTACTCTAAAGGGATGTGGTTCTGAAAAGAGCAAGAGAAGTTACCTCAACATTTTTTTGTATAACGGTCAAAGCATAATGACCTTGAATACTGTTAGGATCATTATAAGGTCATGAATATACCAAATATTCAAACATTTGATCATCGAATAGCTGTTTGCCAGTTTGAATATTGAAAAAAAACACTAAAAATAAAACTATGCACACATATGACTGTGATTTTATTTTAATCATAAAGTTGAGACGCTTTATTGTCAGATGCAACTTTTTAATCGACGGCACGTTTTTTTGGTTGACGGCGGCTCATTGTTCCCATCCTTTCAGCAGGTTATTAAAGAGGTTGTGGAATGCTGGAAGACAATTCCGTCATTTTTCGGGTATATGTAGCCTAAGGTGTGATGAAACAAAAATGACTATTGTTTCTGTCATAAAATGAGTACAAAAGCTACTTTTGAGAGCTGTTTTTCAAGTCCTGTCATGCCTGTTTCGACCCGAACGTGCAATTTGTGTAAAAGTCGTCTTTGCGGGCAACAAGCAAAACACAGTATATCGTGACGTAATAAACAGGACTCCCGAAGCAGAGTAGCACAAACGAGTCCTGTTTATTACGTCACGATTTACTGTGTTTTGTTTGCTGCCCGCAACGACGACTTGTACACAAATTGCACGTTCGGGTCGAAACAGGACCTGAAAAATAGCTCTCAAAAGTACCCTTTGCACTCATTTCATGACAGAAACAATAGTCGTTTTTATTTCATCACACCTTAGGCTACATATACCCAGAAAATGACGGAAATGTCTTTGAGCATTCCACAACCTCTTTAAAGCCCTTGATAGTTATAAAATACCGGTACTTACTGCTAAACACTCCAGCGGACCATAATATCAATCGCGGCACGCAACGTTTAACTGGCGCGCTTTGCGTGCAACTTTGGACCGGCGCGGCACGCGGTTGCAGCTGGCACGTGTAACACCATGATTGGCGGGTTTCGAATATCCGAATATTCGGTCAAACGCAGTTTCGAATAATCGAACACTACATTATTCCAAAATGGACAGCTCTAGTTAGGATATATAAAATGAACACTCACTTGCGAGTTGTAGTCACCAATACACAGAATGGATCTATCAGCTTCATGACTTGAACACTTGGTGTAAGCTGGAATAAAAAAAATAGAGCACCACAAATGAGAGGACTTCAATTTCAAACTTGCAAAGTCACTTCAGCTTTAAAAGGCCCATGCATTGTAATTTGTTTTAGTGCAAACCTTGACAATGCTCCTTTGTGTCCCATTTAAGCTTATTTTCAATTTTCGTTTTGCCATTTTCAAGGGTACTTTGGTGTCTTTTTGATTTTTATGCTAATGCAAATCGCCATATTAATGAGCAAATGTGTGATGTCATTCCAGGCAGAAACCTCAATGTTACAGATATTTTCAGCACCAAAAGGTGCCAGAATTTTTAAGAATTTGCTGTTGTGGATTTTCTGTTCTTTGGTGATTCGTTGTTGAGTCAGTACATGGCAGTAAGCCAATGAGCAACCTTTTCTCACAAAACGTTTACAATGAACACATTTTGGGTTCTTAATTTGAACAGAAAAACCCTAAACTAAACAGTGTCTTCCTGGAATGACATCACACCAACAGCGCCCTCAGTTGTGCGGAAAAAGAATGGCAAATTTCAATTGTTTAAAGAAGTGCACTTTTTGATACAATTAACCCCAAAAAGAATGTCAAATAGTTTTCATACATTTAAGAGGAGCAAAAAGTTGCACAAAATGAGTTCCTAAGAAAAATTCATCTCACGGACACTTTAATAAGGTTTGGTATGGGGTTGAGTATCCCTGCTCTCTGCACATGGAGGCTGATTTTTCTCCTCGCTTAATCTTTAAATTTGCAACTTTTCAAACTGCATCATTTTTCATGAAACCGTTGTCAATCTTGGACGATTTACAGTCTTTGGTAGCTGCAAACAGGGCATCAAAATGTAGCTAACAACATTCCCCACAGGTCTATATAAATGACGCCATCATATGAGATTCAAAATAATGACCCCTCAAACAAGTTTAGACTTTCTTTTTTGGTGGTGTTTACTAGGACGCAACTGTGTCTATTTTTTCATCAGCTTACATGTATATTTCAGAACATTTATTTGTTGGAGTCGAAAAAAGAGTTGAGTACATGAACAGGTACATCCCTGTAAAGAAGAAAAGCAAACCTGTAAAGCCTAGAAGACCTTGAAAAACACCCTAAAAAAAACGTACGTGTGGCAGCCGTACTTTTCCGTTAATACTGTGTTATTATAGTCAACACAGTACAGTGTACTGAGGATAAGCAAAAACTTACGAGCTTAAAAACCCACACCTCACTGCAAAAAACCCTCAAAGTTTGTGGCAGGCCTACCTCTTGACCAGCACACCGTGCCAGCTCCTCCTTGTAGATATCAATGAAGTGGTAGCGGAGACCGTCCGGTGAGGCTTCTGGATCGGCGCTCAGTGGCGTCTTGCACAGCACTGCCAAGAACTGCTCCACAATGCTGCAAATAATATTACAATCACTAGAGGTTATCCCTAGCCCCCGTCTGATTGTTCCTATTGAATCTAGCGTAATAAGCATTTGCGAGTGACCTATACCCTTTGAGATTTAAATTTGAAAGAAAATCTGGTACACTGACTTGCTCAGAATGCTTGGCACATTTTAACTTTGAATTCTCCAGACCAATGACACTGTTGCTAATCACATGATTTGGGGCAAGCTCTTGCATAGTTACGTAAGAGGCGCTCAGCACCAATACATCGTTCACAATGGGTGAGAATGGCACAAAGACACCAGACCATGCCGGAGCTGGGGGTTGCTAGCGTAAGGCTTGCCCCGATATAGTAATATTCTCTTTGGTCGGGAGAATGCAAAGTTAAAACGTGCAAAGCATTGGATTAAGTCAGTGTTCAACATTTTATTCAAATTTAACTTGCAAATGGCTTATTCAACAACAGCAAAGTGTATATTTTTAATGAACCTTAACTCCCTAGGCATTTTTGCTAGGAGGTAACCTCAATCCTGCAAAATCCTCCAACTGCCTCCATGTAAAAATAGCACATACGTACAGCCTCAATCCCCCAAAATCATCCATTATTTCTTGAATGTGGTCCTTGGAGGGGTGACCACTGCCTCAATCCTGCAAAATCCTCCAGCAGTCGCTGTTGATATGTTGAGGCAGGGCCAGTGACATCCTGGAGCAGTGTGGAGGATTTCAAGTATAATCTAGGCCTAAGGCTATGCATCGTACAGCTGAGCATTTAAACAACACTAGGTCCGTTACTTTTTTTACCATTATATAGCCTCAATCCTGCAAAATCCTCCATTTTGCAAAGAGGATTTTGGAGGATTTGGGAAGGTTAGGCTTATTTAATTTTTTTTTTAGCCCCCCCCCCTTGATCCATATGAGCTTACACTGTTCTTCCTGGAGTAAGGGTCAATATTCCATCAGGGCTTTAGGGCCCGTGACCATTCAGCCCCGGTATGAAAAGGGCCCCCCGGTAAGCTCGTCCCCTCCCAAGAAGTCCTCTCGTACCGTCCCAGCTACTGGCCCAGGAGCTGGTCCGGTTGCTAATCAGGAACTCCTCTATCCTGGGGTCTATTGTTTGCAAGTATTGACACATGTAATATATCCCAGAAGAAACCCGCTTGTGGTTTTCATCTCTCAGCGCGAAACAATAGAACGTTCGTTGGCACAGATCAAAACCCCTGCCATGCGGTTTCGCGCACAATGGGACCGTAAATTACCTAGGCGTTATGGAAGGATGTTGACTTTAATCCAAAAAGTCTGCTATTGTTCTGCTCTGGACATTCTTTGAAGGACAATAAATTGATTCGCCTGACTGACTTCAAAACTTCTGGTCAGACAGGACCATGTACCGGACGAGACTGGGCTGAAGACCGGACTGGCTTTGGACCGGACGAGGTACCGGGGGGCCCTTTTCATACCAGGGCTGAATGGTCACGGTCCCTTAGTGTAGGGAAAAGGGATGGAAAATCAATTCTGTCTGTGGTCTTACTCGAAACAACAACATACCTGTCTTCCCAGTTATTGTTCCTAAGCACCACCAGGACCTGACGCAAGCATCGTCTAACAAACTGACAAAAGACAAACAAAACAAATTCTGATTATTGTACAATATATATTAAAGCAAGATTACTTTGTTAATGTACCTAAATACATACTTTGTTTCCGCTAAACAGACTTACATTTCATAGCCTAGGAGCAACAAATGTGATTACATTTTTTTTTGGGGGGGGGGGATAGGGTAGTCTGAGTATCAACCGTTATCCACGGAGCCAAGTCCTGTATAACGTCTGATATGTCTAGACATGCAGATATATGCAAGCCGCGCACCAGCCAATCGGAATCGACTTTACTAAATCGTGACATCATTTCATTCCTAAATCAGGACTAAATGGTTTGACTGGTCAATTCGAATGCAGCGTTTTGTAATACAACAACAGCCGGGCATGATATCACGTAACATGATACAGAGCGCGTGACAATTTTTTTTTTTTTAAATCCATTGTCTATGATGCGCAACGGGTGAATGACCGAAGACCTGATATAGAAAGCGCCCGCTGATTGGTCAAAATCTAGGAGGTCAAGAGGCAGGGTCTTGCCTAATTAACCCTTACCCTACTTGACCCTCCAACGCATGCCAATTGTGCCTCAAGAAAATCTCCTATGTTTTTTGCATGGCCCTCCAATATCTGCCATGTCATTTCAAGGGTAACTGGACAGGCACTCCAATACATGCCACAGAGAACAATGAGAGTCCTCTGATAACAAAGTGAGTGCCCCCAGCTGGTCAGTATCAGGCACCCTCCAGGGCCTCCAACTCCTGCCAATTGGAGCCTTCACTGTTAAGACTTGTTATCTGCCAAATAACTGCAGCTGGAGGGCATTGGCATAACCAACTGACATGCAGTAAACTACCCTCAGAGAGTAAGGGTTAAAGAGGTTGTGGAATGCTCGAAGACATTTCCGTCATTTTTGGGGTATAGGTAGCCTAAGGTGTGATGAAATAAAAACGACTATCGTGTCTGTCATGAAATGAGTACAAAAGGTACTTTTGAGAGCTGTTTTTCAGGTCCTGTTTCGACCCGAACGTGCAATTTGTGTAAAAGTCGTCGTTGGGGGCAGCAAACAAAACATAGTAAATCGTGACGTAATAAACAGGACTCGTTTATACCACACTGCATCGGGAGTCCTGTTTATTACGTCACGATTTAAACAGGACTCGTTTATACTACACTGCATCGGGAGTCTCGTTTATTACGTCACGATTTACTATGTTTTGTTTGCTGCCCCCAACAACGACTTTTACACAAATTGCACGTTTGGGTCGAAACAGGACCTGAAACACAGCTCTCAAAAGTACCTTTTGTACTCATTTCATGACAGACACATTAGTCGTTTTTATTTCATCACACCTTAGGCTACATATACCCGAAAAATGACGGAGATGTCTTTGAGCATTCCACAACCTCTTTAATCAGCGAATCTGTTCACGCATAATTTCGCCACGGTCTATTACATAGACTAAGGGTGGGGGGGGGGGGGGGTTGATGGTGGAGTCTAAGAGAATACACTGGTATTCACTGTCCTACACCTTGAACATAAAGGCGCACTTTGGAATAGAAAAACTTACCATGAAGAATTTGTCCATTCGCAACCTGTCAATGCCAATCCACTCCCGTTTCATCGTCAGAAGAAATGCATCAAAGAATGCCATTGCTGAAATGGAAAAAAATACCAAAATTGTAGTTTATTTTGATGGTAGATTAGATTCAGCCAAATAAATATGAATGGACACCTAACATGCAAAATCTGTGTTTATGTCTATGGTAACGACCAAATATACCTCAACAGACTGAAAACAATCCGTTGTAACAAAAGATACCACTTGGTTTCAGGATAAACCCTAAACCCCAGGCCTTTTTGGCTAAGAACCATCCTCAATCCTTCAAAATCCTCCAAAATGTTTCAAATAAAGGATATCCACTGCCTCCATCCTTCAAAAAAAAATCATCCAACAGTCCTGCTTCTCAAAATGCATTCACCCTCAATCCTCCAAAATCCTCCTCTTTGTCAAACACCATTCGGCCTCAGTCCTCCAAAAATCGACTGATACTGAATGTCCATGTGCCATTGATCCTTATAAATCCTCCAAAATTGAACGTTGCATTCATCTCCAATCCTCCAAAATCCTCCTTTTCTTCCAACACAGTTTAGCCTCAATCCTCGAAAATCCCCCACATCTTCAAATACCATTCAGACTCTATCCCCTAAGATCAACCCATACTGAATGTCCATGTTCCCTCAATCCTTCACAATCCTCCAAAATTGTATGCTGCATACAGTCAGCCTCAATCCTCCAAAATCCTCCAAAATCCTCCAAAACAGCACCCTGGAGGACTTTGGAGGACTGAGGAAGGTTAGGGTTAAACCTCCTCTGGGTCAACCTAAGCCAAAGCACCCAACGGGTATGCATTTCCTCCAGGGCAGAGAGCAACATATCGCAAACCAGTTCGCGCCGGAGGCCGTGATAACACCCACTAGCTGTTTTTGTGCACAGGCATGGCTGATGGATTAAGTCTGTTAAAGGGAATGTGCATCATTGGTTTTTGATGTAATTTTCAGAAATGAACTATTTGAGGGGTTAGTATAGATCAAATATTGTTACACTGACATTTTAGAAGTTTTGTGTTCGAAAAGGTTGGAAAAACCAAGAAAAACAAAAATGTTTAAGTAGTCTGGTTCCCTGACTCCACAAAAGATAAAATGGATCAATTTATAGATGATGGAAAATTGTAAGGCACGGGAACCAGTCTAGCTGGCCTGCACCCGTTCATGAAACATGTAACCAATAGCAAACAAAATTTGGACTGAAAAAATGGTTAATTTGGAGCAGTAGTTGAAAAATAGTTAGGTTTTTTCCAACGCTGGTCGGCCGACCACCGTTGGAAATGTATACAAAATACCATTTTCTTGAAAATGACTTCACACCAGGTGCCATAATTTTACAAGATGCTTGAGACTGTCATTTACCAATATCCTAGTAAGGTATTTCGTAAAAACTTGGTAGTTTTATTTTTCGATGTTTGCAAATGTTGTATATTCCCTTTAAGACGACAAGATTGCTTCAACTCGCCTCCGGGTGACATCTAAACATGCTAATCCCTTGTGCCTTTTGTACACACAAAGTCCGTACAGTTGGTGGCTGTTGTGTGTGGGCTGTTGTGCACAGCCTGTACACAATTTACACTCCAGTGCACACCCCAGAGGATTGAAACACACTATGTTTCGGCAAGAAATATCGTACAAATACTGATGAAATCCCGGTTGCGAATCAATATTTGTGGCGCTTGGCTGTATGTCAGAAGTTGCCTGGGAAATTTTGCCTTTTGAAAATTCAGAGTTGTAACGAGTCACTGATTTTTGTGACTCGAGTCGAGTCGAGTCATTTTAAAGAAGTGACTCGAGTCGAGTCGAGTCATTAGGTCCTAAGGTCGAGTCGAGTCGAGTCGAGTCAAAAATTTTGCTCGAGTCACAAATATTTGAACACTATATACCAAAATTTATAAAAGGAGGCCATAAGTTTAGCCAGCGTTCGAATCCAGGAGCTTTATAAGAAATCGCCTAAAGCCAATGATGAAACAGCGAATTAGAAAATGTGTTTAAAAATCTGGTTCCTGGATAGTATTTTGTGTGTTCTAGAACCATGAGGTGGGAGTCTGTGACACGTTGTATACTTATATATGACTAATTTGCAAAGCGAAGTGAGCATAAATTTTGCACCGTAAGTCATTGCAAATACTTTTCGCAAAGTTGTGTTTTTATTTTTGGGACTCGAGTCTTATTAGCCTTTGCTCGAGTCGAGTCGAGTCTTCTGATGAGGGACTCGAGTCGAGTCGAGTCATTTGCTCGCAGTGACTCGAGTTGAGTCGAGTCATTTACCTTCAGGGACTCGAGTCGAGTCGAGTCACCAAAAATTGTGACTCAAGTTGGACTCGAGTCGAGTCATTGACTCGAGTCATTACAACTCTGTGAAAATTTCAAAATTTTGGGCACAAATAGACCCGGCGCAAAGTGGTTGAAAACACAATCATCTTGATCCATCTGTGTACCTACCTCCCTTTGGTGTTGTGAAGCTGTGAACGAGTTCGGCAATCTTATCAGCCATCTCTTCCTGAATGACTGGCTTATCACACATCCACATGCAGTAGAATAGGCCCTTCCACAGACGCATAAGTTCTGACTCCATGCCTACGTCTGAAAAGATAGTTTATGACAAAACTGATGAGTTAAACTTCACTGTGGCGTAGTCCGAGTAACTAGGACTCTACAGATCGCTTTTTTAACATTTGGACATGGTCGAGCGATACACATGTAGTAGAGTCCGAGATTGATGGCCCTATTGCGGCTACTACTAGTTTTTTTTACCATTTTCACTCGTACCCCCAATCAAAATGTTAAAAAAAGCGATCTGTAGAGTCCTAGTTACTCGGACTAACTGTGACGATTGTTAGGGCAGCCGTAACGCAGTTTTCTAAGGCATTGCAAAAACACCATTTCAAATATATCACAATCACATGTATAACTCAGTCCTATACAACCAGACTGCTTAGGCATGTTTGGTAGCTCAATTGCTTAATTACCATTGAGAGAAGTCTGCTTTAGCATGTTTAGGTTGACAATCATGACAATGTCATTTTTTTTAGTAATAAAAAATTATTGATTCTTCTTATTTGATCAAAACAAAACAAGGGCCCTACTCCTAGAACTATGAGTAGGCATAGCACACAAAAAATTATTTATTGTGCAATATGTAAACAGACAGTGCCAATTGAAAGAGCTATGTGAAAGATGAATACTTATTTTTGTTTTTTGAAAATCGGTCAATGCATTCCAGAGTTATGGTAAATTAAAGTTCACCAAAATTAGCGAAATCCTGCCAAAAATGGAATAAAAGCCCAAAAAAGGAGTTTTTAAAAATTTTAACCAGCACTTTCAATATGTAGATTACTTCAAATAGTATTTCAAACACAGTATTTAGCAAAATGGCCACCTGGAAATGTACTACATCAAAAACCGAATGTATATAATTTTGTATGGCTGAGTCTCAGACCGTCAAAAGTGCCCGTTTTCCCAATTTCAAGAATGGAAACACTGGAAATGGTGCAAAAACGACTAAGTCCACCTCATTAATATGCGTAAACACTATAACTTTAGTTCTAAGTGGTCTATTGTGATGAAATTTGGTATGTAGGCTTTCTCTATCATGACGGGTCTACAAGCCCAATATGAAGTAAATACCTCCATAATTATGCAAATTAGCTTTGTGCAGCTAATTAATATGCGTAAAAGTTATATCTTCATTTCCGAGTACCCTATTCTGATGAAAAATATATGCAAGCTATGTGCTTGAATATTGGAATAATTATTTATAGAAAAGAAGTGATTTACATCATTAAGCAAATTGTTTAATATATTTAATGATGCCTTCGTTAGGTAATTATGTATGTAGTAATTAAAATCAGTCCGGCTCATTAAAATTACAAACCTAATCCAAAACAGAACCTTGCTTGTTTTATCTTTTGTATTGCCTCTTTACATTTTGTTATATAAATCACAGTTTCAAGAAATAAAAATAACACAAATATTTGTTTACATGATTTCTCAACCGTGGGTAAATTGTTTATTTCACAATACATTACAAAAAATTACTGTCAGTGTCATAAAATCCATTCAGTTAGTCCAAGGAGTAAGTGCGCAAATAACAACAGCCACAGTTTAGCCAAAATGCATGCGCTGTTTGCTGCGCAGATTTCACGAAACTGAATCAATCCAACACAACCGCATACCACACAAACAGAACGCCCCTCGCATGAAACAGTCGTAGATAAGAGGGCCCACACACAACGCGGTGCGCGCACGTGCAATGCTCAACCAAGGCTGCTACATTCATGCTTCATGCCTCCCTTCACACGGCTCAACTCTGACCGTGTTTTTCAAGGATTTGTTTGGCCTTTTTCAGTCACCTAAAATGTATCGTTTTAAGAATAAATAGAATTCAATCTTCTCCACGAAAGTCACCAAGCACTTCTTTTTCTTACCAGGGCATTTGTAATCATAAACTAGTTCAGAAACTTGGCCAGCAATCGCTCAAGTAGATGCGAGAATCTCGCCGCGACATCGACAGCGTCATCCGTATACACACCGTTTGGTCACGCTTCTTGTCATTTTCAAAACTGACGCAAGGAAAAACTCGCTGTATTTTTCCTCAAATGGACAGGACTTCCACTCAAGTATTTGATGATCTGTAAGGCTGAGGCAACTTCTCCACAATAGTGCGGTGCTTCTTTCTTCTCGAAATTGTGGAAACTTCAATTTTTACGGGAGGGTTTTCTTTGCACAAAATCTACGCTTCAAACTTTCGAAACTGACGGGTAAGCTACAAGAAAGAAGTGTGATGATAATGTCAAAGGTCATATCTACCATATTTGGAAGTTTCATGCTCAAACAAGGAGCGGAAGACCTGTCCAAGACCATTTCAAAATAGGGGGTTTTGCGCTTCGTTTCTGAGCTGCGCGCGAAGGGAATAAAAGATCCTGCGTGACTGTAGCGCGTAATGATGGTGTATTTTATAAGTTTGATTATTGTCGCTGCATTTTATTTATTATGTACTTTAAAAATATACAAATATAAAAGAAATGACACACTATTCACACAAGAAAAATAATCTGGATTGGTTTATTGACTCTAAAATGAGACGATCTTGAAAAGTGCACTACATCATATGTCGCGGTCACTACGTGCGTACGGCAGACTGTATGTTGGGCCAGAGTGCTATGCCTACTATGAGGCTCACGCGGAGCTAGCCCGACTGAGTCTGGCCGTACAGTACTATCGCAAGCTCTGTAGTACGGCCAGACGCCCGATGCTTCCACAGAGACTGAATTTTGTTGGCTGCCGATGTAGCAATTTTGCTACATCTTTCGATCGCGATTATCTTTTCATCCAGGACACAAATTTCCAAAGTTAAGGTTTGTAGTCGTAGAGCAACTCATACCTTTTCGAAAAAACGTTCTTTGGTCTCAATATTTTCATCCATCTGGCCACAAAACGAATTTCAGTCATCAGATTCCACAAATATCGTCCCCCATGTGATCCCCCATACGATTTCAAAATGGCGGCCGCGCTGTAATGTACCAATATGCAGGCGCGCCCGGGCAAACTCATGAATATGCATAAACAATCTGTGACGTATGACCGTACGGCCCCGCTGCACGCACGTCCAAAAACACGAGGTCATACGTCACAGACTAATTATGCATATTCATGAGTTTGCGCGGGCGCGCCTGCATATTGCATACATTACAGCGCGGCCGCCATTTTGAAATCGCATGGGGGATCGCATGGGGGACGATATTTGTGGAATCTGATGACTGAAATTCGTCTTGTGGCCAGATGGATGAAAATATTGAGACCAAAGAACGTTTTTTCGAGAAGGTATGAGTTGCTCTACGACTACGTACCTTAACTTTGGAAATTTGTGTCCTGGATGAAAAGATAATCGCGATCGAAAGATGTAGCGAAATCGCTACATCGGCAGCCAACAAAATTCAGTCTCTGTGGAAGCATCGGGCGTCTGGCCGTACTACAGAGCTTGCGATAGTACTGTACGGCCAGACGCAGTCGGGCTAACGCGGAGCCTCATAGTTCTAGGACTCAGGACTCAGGAGTACAAGGGCCCCACACTACACGATCACCCTTGACAATGCTTAAGTTAAGCATGTATTACTTTTTTTTCTTATGTCATTATGTATCCTCGACCCTCCATTATCTGCGCAGGTAACGCTTGCATACGCCCGCGCGTAGTCACACACAAATTGAAGCCAGGTAAATGCGTAGAAAAAGGACCGCGTAGCTTTACATGCTTTAGCATAGGGGGTCTGACGATTAAGTTAACCAGTTAACGTTAAAACCAACAATTTCTTACCTCCCTGTTTTAAGGATCGAGCAGCGATCCATCTCTTCAGCTTTTTCACGGTCCTCTCTCGGATTTTAGTCACGTTTCCAGCCAATCTTTGGGCGAAATGAATATCCAAGCCGAACTTGAAATTCTCTTCCATGGTCGTCGCCATCTTGCTTGTCGCGTGGGTCCCACGTGTTGCTCTTTTCGGATACTTCGTGCCGCAACATTAAAGGTGAACACCTGAATTATTGTGCACATTTTTTTTATTTCTATTTTGTATTACGACGAAGAGGCGGAACAGCTCCGAACAAAAAAATCCAATTTAAATACAAAAACTTATTACCAAAAAGCTTTGCTGTTTCGAAAAGTGTTTGTAATATAAAATACAAAGCAAAATCTGGTGCATTTCAAAAAAATGTTTGTAAAACTAAAAGAACAAGATTTTAAGCTGGAAAATAAAAGGGCCCTAAAAGAAAATTGAATACGAATCGTATCATTTGATTTTGGATATTTCTGTATTCCTCTGAAAAGAGCCAAGCTTCGTACACGGGTGATTAAAATCCACCAACTTAATTTCCATAGATATTATTAAAGTTTCACTTTAAAGTTTCACTTTAAAGTTACATGCGCGCCTTCGGATCTTTGATAAGGACATTATTGCTCTTACTCTAGAGGGCGCAGTTTTAGTTAAAGAAACAGCGAAAAGGCGAAAAGGGGCGGCGGTGATCGGTGATGTCTTCGTTTAAAAATGGCATTTCTCGACATTCGGCTCAAGAAAGTCAACAAAATATATCACGAAGGGGTAAATATTTTTTCTATGTATTCTCGACGAAGCAAATAACCAGATATATTAATTATATCGGAAAGAATGTGGGAAAAAATGTTGCAAACCTGACGCCACTTCGACTTCCGCGATTGTGTACAAAGTCTATGGAGACTGGAGTGGAGAGTCAAGAACATTTTCCAAGTATTTCAACAAAATTGGAAATGTTTCTTTTAATTGAAGCTAATTGAATTGCCCTTTTTATTATCTTTGTTCATTAATTTATTCCATTATTTGTTAATTTATTTCTCCGTGTACTCGTGTTTTGAACGTTTGTTTTTTCTTCATCAACAATGAAAATCATGAAAATCCCGCCTGCAACTGAGTGCAAGGTTCTCAAATTGCGATCGCCTTTGCACAAGTTGTAACGTGTGCACGTAAATTAAAAGCGTAATTTGCGTGCTCCGGGAGTCCCTCGCGCAAGTTTAAACTTGCGCGGAGGACTCAAATTGCACTGGACACTACTACATATGTTGTGTACTACTACTAGGCCTACTACTAGTACTACTAGGTCGGACTCCCCATGCTCCCTACATTGTATATCACGGCATCGGAAATTTCTTGTTTTTCGTTGCCAAAACTCCTTCAGTTGGCGATATTTATCCAGTTCACCAGGCATTACGGACTTTCTGCTGAATTGTATAAGGCGAAATAAATGTTAAGCGTCCCCATCCAATTTCTTTTTGGAGGCCGCCTCCTTTTTTTTCTTTTCTTTTTTATTAAAAACCGAAAAAAATGAGAAATTTTCAACAGTGACATCGTTTTTGCCTCTTTATTTGTTGCATCTACAGTGTAGCCCATATAAAGCTGTTAATAATGTATGTCATTTCCTGAGTCCAATGACAGCCATTACAAAAAAAAATTGTTTGTAGTTTATTTATGCTTTAAAAGCACACTCGCCTCCTACTAGCGATGAAAAAGAAGTGTCACCTTATTTCTCGGACGTCTATTTTTCTTGTAATTTCCAGATTCGTTTGCACACGTTTGCATATATATCTAAATTCCCACATCAAAAAGATCACGCACAATGCTGATGCATGCTGAATACGCGCAATGCATGATGGATTGTTTAGCTGCCGTCAGTCACCTAGCCTTTAGTCAAGGTGGCTTGGCAACCCCAACACGAAAAAGTTGCGGAGCTCGTGGCTCCGTGTGCCAACACTGCACTCGCGTGGTCTTTTTTTCGTGCCCGGGTTGCCACGCATGCCTTGACCAAAGGCTAGATAACAGCGGCTCAATCCATTATGCGTTGCGCGTATTCAGCATGCATTATTATTTGCGCGTGATCTTTTCGATGTGGGAAGTTAGATACGCAAACGTGTCCAAACGAAGGTGATGTATGACCAACTCTAGCCACATAAATGTGGCCACACATCCACATGTACAAAATCGTGTCGCACTTTGCCAAATTTTGATTTTCGCATTTAGGCTTAGTTTGTAGTTTTTTTTTGCTTTAGAAGCATACTCACCCTCTTTATAGGCTAATCAGAAAGTGCTGCCTTGTTCAGATGTATATTTTTTGTGAAATTTCCAGATTCATTTTTACACGTTTGCGTATCAAAATTTCAACATGAAATTTCAGGATGTGCTGGCCGGCCTGGTGGTTGTGCAGAGTAAATCGGACGTTCAGCACCAGGGCATCACGCTGGTCGTAGACGGCTCAGTCAACCTACAGCTGAGCTCCAAGAACGTTGGACTGTTTGAGGCATTCTACAACTCCATCAAGGTAGAGAGAGATACATACTATGTAGGACCAAAGAAGGCTGTATCCTGATGCCACATTTTTCTTCATGAATGTTTAATCTCAATAGTGAACAGTCATGACTTTGGGACCTAGAAATTTGGTTAAAAAATACTTTGCAATATCCAAGACGTCCAGACCAAACACTTGGACAGACTGGGACAAGAGTTTTTCTTTTCTTCTTTTTTTGGGGGGGGAGGGGGGGGGGGGAGAGGTTGGCCTAAGTACCGGTATGTCGGGACACTGGGCTAGCCTCCGCAGCCGAGATCAGGATTTGTACTCATTTGGAAATGAACTACACTTCTCAGCAATTCTCTTTTAATATTTAGTCGCTTCACATGTTTCAACCAGTGGGCTTCGTGCGCCAACGAAAGAGGGCACCCTTTTACCTAGCAACAACATCCCATGGGCGGGACATTTCACTGGTTGACGCGCACCCTTTCTTGTGTGTGATGCACATATACCAGGGGATTCAGTTGTACGATGTACACGCAGTGCTATTGGTGGCCGCGCGTCCCGACAAAATTGCAGTCGGGCAAGATGGCGTCGGTCGGTCACCCCCAACTGTACTTTCTTTGCCGGTGAAGGGGTACTTGTGAACAGAGCAGATGAGGCCTATATCTTCCCATTTGCACTCTCCACCATTCAAAGCCTTAAATCACTCTTTTAAAATAGGCTCCAAACTGTGAATAAATCCCTCAAACTTTGCAGGTGAACTTACTTCCCAAGAACCCATGTTAGCTTTATTTGAAATTCTTCCATGAATTTTAAGGCCGGAAAGTGAATAAGGTGTTTTTTTTTCATCAGGTGTTATTCTGCACTGGAGGCGTCAGTCAGTTTATTGTTTCGTTTATCGTTTAAATAATTCATGTCTTGGGGTTTCTCCGATACTTTCAGCCGATACAGCTCCTGAATTACGTGGTCAATGTTGCCAAACCGGGGAAGATTCCTGCGGGAAAGACAGAAATTCCATTTGAGCTCCCGCTGAAACCCAAGGCGAATAAGAACCTGTATGAGACGTACCATGGAGTCTTCGTCAATATTCAGGTATGTTAATCAGTGTTCTCCAACTTCGAAATTTGAAGGTCGGTGCGCCGTCAAAAAGTGGAAGGGGGGGGGCGCTATAATTATATTAGGGGCGCTATTTGCAGTCGTACATTTCTTTATGCTAGGGGGCGCTATTTGCAGATGAACATGTAATTTATGTACAGATAACAGCTTTTAGGCCATTTCTAACACAGTAACACTAACAATTAAGTACATACTGGCTTAGCATCATCTTTTTTTTAACACATCAGTGACCAGGGACTCTGAGGCAGTTTGGCCTTGAGACTTTTGACCTGATTGATTGCTACAATGGGCAGGCTTGTCATTTTGACAAGTGTTGCATGTTACTGCTTTTGGCAGAGTTTCTGGCCAAAATATACCCTGGAGGCCAATGGTAGTGGCACTTGTTTGTTTTTTTTAATTATTTTTTCCTTTTTTTTTTGGAAGCATGGCGGGCAACTTTTTAAGCTTGGCGGCAGCTTGTGAAGCTTGGCGGGTGCCTCAGAAAGCTTGGCGGGGCACCAGGTTATTTTTACAGGTTGAAGAACACTGGTTAATACAAGAGTCTCAGAACAACTTTTAACAGAAACTTGTTTGCGTGACCAGTGACCTTCAAGTCATTGCGGCCATGGCATGACCCTGCAAGGTTTGAAACGGCCATTAAGACTGAGTCATCACTCTTTTATTCCCATTCATAATTTTTTTTTTTCCCCAAAAGCGTTATAATGTAGGAAAATCTGTATTTTCAATTCCCGTCACTTGCTCAGGCCCCGTTTCAGATTCATGAAGGGTCAAATTGCATTATGGTCCGCAATGAAAAAGAAATCACATCCGGTATGGAATGTATGCATTTCTATGAGAAAGTTTTCGGATAGCATTTGCGCGCATTGGCTTACCGCGGTCTTAAACAGCTGCAGCCAGGGGTGCGTTTTGGCGGTCATAACCAAGAATTGGTTCGGTGGTTTCTTGTCGGTGAATTTCTCCGGCAATTTTAATTGGGTTAGAATTACGCATGATCATGTAGTACTCAAATCTCCAAAACAATTAACCAAAGAGAAACCAACGAACCAATTCTTGGTTATGACCGCCAAAACGCGCCCCAGATGTCTTTTACATACCGGTAGGTCGTGATAAATTACCCAGAATGCCACCCCCACTTCCTTCACAAGATTCTGTGAAGCTCATCAGCCTGTCCCAGCTGCAGTTTATTGGCAGATAGTTTGTCTTAACAGTGAAGGCTCCAATTGGCAGGAGTTGGAGGCCCTGGAGGGTGCCTGATACTGACCAGCTGGGGGCACTCACTTTGTTACCAGAGGACTCTCATTGTTCTCTGTGGCATGTATTGGAGTGCCTGTCCAGTTACCCTTGAAATGACATGGCACATATTGGAGGGCCATGCAAAAAACATAGGAGATTTTCTTGAGGCACATATTGGCATGCGTTGGAGGGTCTAGTAGGGTAAGGGATAAAGTATCTCTCTCAGCCAAATAATATGTCCTCACTAATTCTGTCCCTTGACACCACAGTACACAATCAAGGGGGAGATGAAGCGCCCTCTACTGGCCAAAGACCTGACCAAGTCCATCGAGTTCATCGTCGAGTACAAGGATCAGAAGGAGAAGGCGCAGCCCAAGCCGGTGTCCTTTGCCATCACGCCCGAATCCTTACAAAACATCAAAGATGTAAGTAGTGTATGAATTGTGTGCAGGAACAGTAGATGGCATTGTTTGACCACATGTCTGATCTGATCCAGTGTGTGGGACATTCCCCTTGTGCACACTTGTGTGCATGCATAAAGTCTAGTCTAGGGGCGATTACCAGTCGCCGCAATAACCCGCCGTTGTGAGAGGGCGTTATCACGATCAACCAATATCACCCACGAACCGTCTAGGGTATTTGTATCAGTTGTGTTATGCGCGCGCACCTGTTTGGCCTAATAATGCAACGCGCATTCAAAACATTTCATTGTAGTTCCGAACCAAACTCTTAAATTTCTTTCAGTAGTATAAAAGATGCAGCAAGACTTCAGTGCAGCTTCACTGGTCAGCTCTTTTGTGCTATGTAGTGTGCGTGGGACTGAAAATGGACCGTAATTGCCTGCAGAAGTATTGCATGCGCGCACTAGTTTCCCCAATTTTTCGGGGGAGATTTTAAGCATTTCCCTAGTCGTTGTTCCTGACAGATTCGCGGGTGATATTTGTTGGTCATGATAATGCCCTCTCGCAGTGGCGGGTTATTGACTAATTGCTTTCAGGACATGCAATTCTGCTAATAATATTTCCATTTCCATATACACTGTATACTGCATAATCAATATGGCGCTTTGTGAATCGGGCGATTCACAATGCAGTGCGCTACCAAGAGTTTTTATTTATTATCCACATCCAACAGCAGAAAATGCCATGGAGAGTCCATTTTTAAAGTTTACAGTCAACAAAACATGGCCCATTTGAATGAGTGTCAGTAGACAACTTGAGCTAATTCGTTATAGATTGGGGCATATACGTTCTGAACTTACAAAAAACACCATATTGATAACAAGAAAAGGAAAGGGCAAATAGATCCTTGAATCATACCCTTACGAAAGTACTAAACGGAAAAACGAACACTTTCAAATGTCCCGCTCTGTGAATTTGTCGACCATCTCCCACAATTAATGCACTGGGAAAATTCAACTCTCCGTGGCAAACTCTTGGTGGCGCACTGCATTGTGAATCGCCTGAATTACCGAACCACCATAGTTTAACTACTTTCTCATGAAGTTGTGGATTTCCACGGAAGTGAATTTTTTTTTAACAAAGGAAGTATCAAGTGACTTAGTCAGTTTCCGTTGTGGTTGTGGATTGGACATTTTGTTTTTACAGAAAGGAGGACTGCCACGTTTCAGCATCAAGGGCAAGCTAGACTCGGCCATTTGCTGCATCAAGAACCCCCTGACCGGCACAGTGGTCATTGAGTATTGCGACGCGCCCATCAAATCGGTGGAGATACAGCTGGTGCGAGTTGAGACGTGCGGCTGTGCTGAGGGCTACGCAAGAGATGGTTAGTGTCAGGTTTACTGTGTGTTACCGATTTCTGAATCACAGCCAGTGCAAAGCTATGTTTGCAAGCATTTGTTCACACTGGTTATCACATTTATGGTGCGGAGTGTACACAACATACTTTCTTCTGAATGTGTACAATGCGTAGCATCTTGGCAGGAAAATATGTCTCTCTTTCCTTTTTTGTCACTTTTTTTTTGGAGTACTGTATTATGGGCTCCGTGCACAAGTACCCCTTCAACATCCAGGAAAGGAGAGTTGGGGGAGACCTAGACTGGTTCCCGGTCCATCCACTGCGTATTTCGATTGATCCACAGTTATTGGGGTGCTGATTAGTCTGGGAGACCATCGCAAGTTAAATTTGAACGTAGTCGCGTGCTCATGCGCGAAGACGCTAGGGCTTAGCTTTGTGCACAACGTTCAGAAAAAAATAAGTCTTGCTTACTTCGTGCGCGAATCAGTACAGTACGCACACGCATTGTCCCGACCATGGGGCTCTAAAAAGTGATAAAAAACAGGCATGCAACTTTTCCTCGGTTCAGCTGATTTCCTCTTTTTTTACTTCCATGTGTGCCATTGAAAATAGAAAAACACTGTACAAAGTTTGGGAAAAATTTGAATTTCCTCTTTTCTTGTGATTTACCAGTTGCATGCCTGAAAAACACGCCGTCTTTTGTTGGCACACAGAGCCTATACTCCATAGTAGAGCTCCTCTAGTTCATGAGAAAGTTCATTGTTTTCTTTTACAACTTGTATTTCAGCGACGGAGATCCAGAATATTCAGATCGGTGAGGGTGATGTGTGCAGAGGGATCACCATCCCAATGTACATGGTCTTCCCTCGACTCTTCACTTGCCCTACGCTAGCTACTAGTAACTTCAAAGTCGGTAAGGCCACACTTTCTACTGCCTCAGGTGTATACTAAATGGAAGTGTTTGACTCTGTGTTTGTAATCCTTCTTCGTTCCACTCCAGTTTCTTTGTTTGATGTATTCTGAATATTACATTTTGGTGGTAAAATGAGAGTTAATAGTTTGAAATACTTTTTTTTGTTGCCATATCTGTGTTTTTTGGGTCCTGCCCCCCCCAAAAAATTCAATTTGAATTGACGCTTTTCCAGCCTTACACAAGTAATGCTGTACGTGTTCTACATAACCCCCGAGGACCGACACACAAAGGGAGAACAACGGATCCTATCAGTCCTCGGGCGTTGGGTCTTTTGTTCAAAACGGTCCTCTGTAGTAGGTTCGTGTGCTTAGGCTATGGGAGAGTGTTATATTACAGGGACAAAGGGAAACACAAAGCATTGTCCTCGGGAGTATAGTAAAACAAGAGTGTATATACTCACACTGTTAACCGCAATATATCTGAAATTTCTAAATGTATTCACACAACGATTGTCTAATTTGTGAATCAGTGAAAGTGCACATCAGGTTTTTCATCCCAAACATAAAGATATCAGGCATATTTTAGGGTTCATGATTGGGTTCATATTTTCGTTACATAGGACTATTTGGCCATTTTAATTGTTTACTGTCAGTTACCTTTTCTCCTGTTTTCTGTTTCAGAATTTGAAATCAACCTTGTCGTCGTCCTTCAAGATGATCACCTGATCACAGAGAACTTTCCTGTCAAGTTAACACGCTTCTAGACAAATGACAACCACAAGCCTAAATAATGATTCATTTTATTAAACTGGTCGTCATGAAGCGCCTTCCAAAGGATACAGAGCGCTCAAGGGCGGATCCAGGGGGTGGGGGGGGGGGGGGGGCCAAAGGGGGCCATGGGCCCCCCCCCCCCCCCCAAAAAAGGAACCCATATTTTTTTTTTTAAGTGACATCGCAATAAAGGCAGGCAATGAGTACACCACCATCTTTTCCTCAAAAAAACATTGGTTAAAGTGGTCAGAAATTGCCTCAGATCGCACCACAGAGCATCTAGAATCCAAAAATGTTTCGGGGCCCTAAAGCGGCCCCGAACCCCACGCCGTAATGTTTTTGACCCACTTTTTTGGGGGACCAACATTTTTTTGGCCCCCCCCCCCAAAAAAATTGTGTTCTGGATCCGCCCTTGAGAGCGCTAAATAGTATAATTACTCCCGTTCACCAAAATCAGTTTTCGCAGCAGCACTAGATCAGTTCAATCGGGTCTCTACCCTCACAGGTACCCATTTATACTCCTGGGTGGAGAGAGGCAATTGATGTAAAGTGTCTTGCCCAAGGACTCCCAAACTGCATTCACTTTGAACCAACGTACCATGGCACATGGGTCGAACACCATAAGGGAGCGTCTCATAAGTCGGAACGCTTCCGTTCCATATGGAACGTTCCTTTTAGGAACACTACTGCGTTCCCATTGGGAACGCGCTGTTTTCTCAGCGTGTTCCCAACTGGAACAGGCCGTTCCCAGGTAAGTGAGCACGCGCATAGACCAACGTTCCCACGCTGGATCGCCTGGTGTTCCTGGGCAGTGGGAACAATCATGCATGTTCCCCGATGTTCCTTGGTTGAATGTTTCAAGCGTTCCAACTTTTGAGACGTTCCCTAACTGTTTGGCCACAGTGCCCCATGCTGATTGGCCAGTGTTAGGCCATCAGCCTGGGGGTTTGGTCAGTATCGAATCAGGGCATAAATGATTATAGTGCGCATGCGCAAGGTAAACCGCCCCTAGAGTGGTAACCAGCATTTTGATGGACATTTTGAAAAAAAAGGGTGATAACACCCAAAAAGCTGCCACCGCTGCAATGCTATCACATATTTTCCAACTCTGGAGGTGTATACCTTGCCAAAAATCACTATGACGATTATTCCCCCCATTTGATACCGGTTGCCAAAATTTTGGACCGAGGCTGATGGCCTATGTACCTTGAAGCAGCTAATCCGTCATATTGCATCAACTAAACGTCATGCCAGGACGTACAAAGTACGTGTACATGTTGTGCATTTTTTTTCCCATTGAACACATCATGGCACCGGTAATCAGTTACTATTCTTTATATGTTGGCCAGTCCTAGGAATACAATCATTTTAATTTCAAAATCCAATCTGAAAATACAATTCTTATTTCCGCCGCCTTAACTGTGAAGACGAAATCCAAGACCAACTACTCATAAAGTCACTTGTCACTTGATGCGAGTCCGAGTCACTCATGAGTCACTCATGAGTCACTTGTTTAAATTTGAATGCATACCCAGCAGGCACCGACCGTCAGACTGACGTTGTATAATGGTTGTTTTATGGTCGCAACGTCGGATCAACCATACATAACCGAAAATCAACGTTGTTTTAGTCGACCAAAAGCCGACGTTGTCATTATAACGTCTGCCAGACGTTGCTTTAGTGTCGACAATTTAACGTCAGAATTTAACGTAACAACAACGTCGAAATATAGTTGGAATTTGGTCGGGAATATTACCAAACGTAATTTCAACCATGGTATGACGTTGTTTTGTCAACGTCTATACAACTGACTGAAAAACAACGTTGTATTTTTGTTATTTTTGCGTTTCCCTTCGCGACGTCGCAATTATGTCATGTTTTCAACCAAGATATGACGTTTGCTTTCTAACGTCGTTTCAACAACTCAAAAAACGACGTTGAATTATGGTTGGCCGTCGGTTGTAATATCCGACGTCGTACTTATGTCATGCTTTTGACTAAAATGCAACGTCCGTTTTTGACGTTTTTTCAACGACTCAAAAAGTGACGTTGAATTATGGTCGGCTGTTGGTTATAATATATGACGTCGTTATTTGGTCATGTTTTTAACCATTATTTTACGTCCGTTTTCTAACGTCGTGTCAACGAATCAAATAATGACGTTGTTTTCCGGTCGTTTGATGGTTATAATATTTAACGTCATTATTAAGTCACGGTTTTACCCAAACTATAACGTCAGTTCTCTGACGTCTTTTCAGCGACTCAAAAATGACGTTGGATTATGGTCAGCCGCTGGTTATAATATTTGACGTCATTATTAAGTCATGTTTTCAACCATGATATTACGTTCGTTTTCTAACGTCGTTCCAATGACTCAAAGTCGACGTTGTATTGTGGTTGGCTGTTGGTTATAATATCTGACGTCGTATGCTTTCAACCAAACACAACGTCCATTATCTGACGTCATTTCAACATCTTACAAAGCGACGTTGAATTGTGGTCGGCTGCTGGTTATAATATATGACGTCGTTATTAGGTCATGTTTTCAACCATGATATTACGTCCGTTTTCTAACGTCATTTCAACGAATCAATTAATTACGTTGATTTTTGGTCAGTGGATGGTTACAATATTTAACGTCATTGTTATGTCATGGTTTTACCTAAAATATAACGTCCGTTTTCTGACGTCTTTTCAGCAACTCAACGTTGAATTGTGGTCGGCTGTTGGTAATTTACATTACGTCGACAGTGTCATGGTTTCGACCAAAATATAACGTCTATTTTTCACTTAATTTATTCAGCAAATAAAAAAGTCATTAAACCGGAATGCATGTGCAACGTAGTAATTCCCAAACGAAATTATCGGACGCCTTTTTAATTTGAACGACTAAAAAAAAGACGTTGAATTATGGTCACCTAGCTGATGGTTATAAATTTGATGTCCAATCGTTATCATCATTGTTTTAACCGAAATATATCGTCCATTTTGAAGATTTTTCCACTTAGCCGCAGCGCGCGCCTATTATAACTACTTGGCCCAGAGCCAAGTGCCGCGCGCGAAAAAACCATATAGCCAAAACGTATTAGGCCTACACGTAAGCATATGTATGCCCTGTGCGTGACCTTGCATTCCAACGAACTCCACTGCTGTACGAGTCTGGCCAGTTTGAATCATCCGTTAAACCAACAGTCACAACTGAAGCAGCTTTGGGAAGAGACATGTTGGCCCAAAATGAACAAGGTTTTTGGCACCTTTTGTGCACAATATTGTCAAGATTCGGTTCTGCGATGGAGTGCAGTTAACATTGGAGATGTTCCCACCCCTGATCTATAAATCCAAGTCAAGATACGACATCAAGATATAGGACAAGCACAAGTCAAGATTTCGATTGAACCGCAAGCAAGATGATCTGATTTTGCCATGTCTGAAAATGGTAAGTTTCAAACGCGAATGTTTCCGAGTTAGTGATTTGCAATTTCTTTGAAGGTCAATAGTTTGGAAATTGTATCTTTATTATTATTATGTACCCTACTAGTCATGTCAGTTGTAACTTTAAAATTCCATCAAAATACCTTAACTTCATTGTAGAAAGTTATTAATGTTAGACTAGATGTTGGATGCTATTGTCATTCCTTATCTTAAAAAGAAAGTTACACTAACGATGCCCTTTGTTTAAACATTGAAGATGTAGAAAATCCAAACTAATCAGCAGTCATGCTAGTTCTACCTGCTTTCTATCATCACGTCCAATCTTAATTAGGCCTAGGAAAAATGAGGTCATTCTAAAGCATATCTCATTATGAGACGACTTCCCACACGTACTGTGTTGATTGAAGATTTAGAATATTAAATTTATTGTGAATTTAACCGACCCGCAACATATTCCGCATCCATCACTAACTCAAACGATCGAAACGTCTCTTTCATTTTGATGCTGATATTTTGAGACAAATACGTTTTCAATCTAGTTTACGGTGTTCAGAGTTTGGGAATCACGTATAACGATACATTATGCCACTTTTCTTTTGTCGTGTACTCTATTTCATGTTTTATTAATACCAGTATTTACTATAAAATTGGTTTGTTGTAGTCTTTGCAAAGCGCTTAGAAACACGGCGTACGAAGCGCTATTAATGTTATTTTTTATCCTTGTAAAGAAAGTTACGGTGCTTGCAATTTTAAATTCTTCATTAATTAATTTCAGTAAAATTCGTTTCTTGGAATCGCATGAAATCGCCCATTAGAATTAAAATAGGCCTATGCTTCGACTTGTCTTCTTCATACATGTAAGAATTATTTTTAATACTTTTTTTGGATTTCTAAAAATTAAACTGCTGCTGTAAGTTCAAAGAATCTGTTTTGTTTTAATTATTTACGAGTCACCATTATTTGAAAAATGTGTTGGTATTCAAGAAAATTAACAATGTTGTTCATTTTTCCCCTTTTCCAGCTCTCTGCTTTGGTCAGTTGAGGGAGACGAATACACTACCCAAGCCCTACTTTACGTGGCCCCATGCACCATCAGGATCAACATCAACCGCCTGATGTCTTCTATACCTGCACAGATATTCACAAAAGAGATTAGAGATCATGTCTGTGTTGGTTGTGATTCCGCGTGGTAATGAAATCTGATGCCAGAATTGATCGGCCTATTAACATTGAACATTTGAAGCGTCTAATTGACATTATTTAAGCCTGTCAGACGCCACTATTTTGAATATTGACTAACGTTAGAAAACTTACTTTTTGCACTGTTATTTCGGTTGTGTACTATAAGAACCTAGCCAACCAGTTTATTAAAAAATGAACAAGTTGTGTAATATTATACACAAGTTGTGTAAACAACGGTTTACACAACAGGTTGCTAGCTTCATATATTACACAACCGTTTGATTTTTACACAACCGAAATAACAGTATTCAATGTCTACAAAAATAACATTTGCAACCATGTACTGGCCTAACTTCAATCATGGAATTCAAACATTGAAAGGACGTTATTACGACGGTCAGATAGACGTCAATTTTGACCTCACACAGACGTTATAATTTGGTCATTTTTCGACGTCTAAATAACTTCAACCGCGACGTCCTGTCGACGTCCATTCAACCAGACAAATCATGGTCAGACTGACGTCATAATTTGACTATATATGGACGTTAGATTTCGGTCAGGTTTTCGACGTCTAAATAACCTACTTTTTCAACCATATTCTGACCTAAATTCAACCAACAATCTGACGTCCTGTAGACGTCCATGTAACCAGTAAATCATGGTCAGACTGACGTCATAATTTGACTATAATCGGACGTTAGTTTTCGGTCATGATTAGCAGTTAATCATGGTCAGACCGACGTCACAATTTTGACCACATATCGACGTTAGAATTTGGTCAGGTTTTCAACGTCTAAAAAACTTACACTTACAACCACTACGGCAACCAAAAACAACGTCGGAGTTGGTCGGAATCTGACGTCAGATAGACGTTAAATCGACCAAAAATGCCTGCTGGGTACATGAATAATTTATGTGTAGTATAAACTACTCATGAAGTCAATTGTCACTTGATGCAAGTCCGAGTCACTCATGAGTGACTTGTTTAAATTTGTATGCATACATGAATAATTTATGTGTAGTATAAACTACTCATCAAGTCAATTGTCACTGGATGCGAGTCCGAGTCACTCATGAGTGACTTGTTTAAATTTGTATGCATACATGAATAATTTATGTGTAGTATAAACTACTCATAAAGTCACTTGTCACTTGATGCAAGTCCGAGTCACTCATGAGTGACTTGTTTATATTTGTATGCATACATGAATAATTTATGCGTAGTATAAACTACTCATAAAGCCACTTGTCACTTGATGCGAGTCCGAGTCACTCATGAGTCACTTGTTTAAATTTGAATGCATACATGAATAATTTATGTGTAGTATGATGACCGGGACAGCAAAGTTAGGGGAGTCAGGTTGGCGAAGTGGTACTTTCCTCGCCTTCCACCGCTGTGACCAGGGTTCGAATTCCGCCGGGCCTTGGTCAATTTTTGGATTGGGTTTAATTCAGTCCCTGCCTGATTCCGTGGGTTTCCCCCAGAATATTCTTCTGGGCTTTTCCTCCCACCTCTAAAACTGTAATTTCTTCTAATTGTCTTCTCTCTATAAGTTGGTGTGATGTTTCCCCCGGGATGCTTTACCGACTAAAAATTTTACAGATACAGAAGTAATTAGAAACTCTATTCTTGACAACACCACAGTAGAACATTACATGTACGTAAAGGTCACAGGTTCAAATCTGGCTCCTGTCAATTCCTTTGTTCAGTTGTATATATATATTAACTGTAAATGTATTTTTCATTAACATGAATGTGAAACCAAAATAATTTTTTTGCAGAGATTGTTGGCAATATTTTTGGGACATGCCATTATAATGGCTAAAACATTAATATATTGTGTAGCCAAAACTAGTGTATGATAATCACTGATATGGGAACATCCGGTGATTTTTTTTTCCGCCATAATTGTTTATAAAGTGAAATTGTGTAATTCCATTTCTTTGGTTCATTTAAACTTTGGCCGAGGATCCGGAGGGACTTTGGGGGTTTTTTTTGGGTGGGGGGGGGGGGGGGGGGGGGGGGGGAGAAGGGTGACTTTTTCAGTCTGTGGTTTTAACTTCATAGAGATTTATCAAATCCTGAGTAAAAGTTGTCACCTTGATGTCTATTGAACGCCAACTAAAGCCGACTTAAAGGGAATATACAACATTTGCAAACATCGAAAAATAAAACTACCAAGTTTTTGCGAAGTACCTTAATAGGATGTTGGTAAATGACAGTCTAAAGCATCCTGTAAAATTATGGCACCTGGTACACTGTCATTTTCAAGAAAAGTGGTATTTTTGTATCAATTTCCAACGCTGATCGGCCGATCAGCGTTGGAAACAACTGGCTTTTTTTTCAAATACAGGCCCCAATTGACCATTGCACTTGTTTGCAATCGATTACAAACCTATGAACGGGTACGGGCCAGCTAGACTGGTTCCCTGACCTTACAATTCCCCAATGTATGTAAACTGCTCTGTTTCTTCCTATATGGAGTCAGGGAACCAGACTACAGGAAAATGATCGTTTTTCTTGGTTTTATAGCATTTTCGAACCCAAAACCTCCAAAAGTCAGTGAAACTATATTTGCTTTATATTTCCAACCCCCAATTCCATCCATTTCTGAAAATTACAGCAAAAGCAAATGATGTATATTCCCTTTAAATTCATTCCATTTGGCAAATTCATCAGTCCAGTGTGCAAATTCTTCATTCTGTTTGGCAAAGTCATCATTGCATTCGGCAAGGTAATCAATTCGTTCTGCGAATTCATTGCCTTCGTCAGATTTATCATTCCATTCGGAAAATTCACTATTTCAGTCGGCGAAGTTATTACTCAATTCGGTATAAAATTCCGCTTAATTCACTATAACATTCCTCCTATTCGGCAAAGAAGCAAAAGTGAGCCGAATGGAGCGATGAGTTTGCCGAATTGACTAATGTTGAATTGGCCGAATGGAATGACAAACTGGCCGAACGGACGACGAATTTTGCCGAATGCAATGATGACTTTGCCGAACGGCATGACGAGTCTGACGAAGAAAAAGATATGAATTATTGAAGGCAGCTCTGGCGTTCCGTAAATAAACGCCCGTTGTCAACCAAGCTATCTAAAACGGTGTTAGTGCAAAGTATAGCTGAGAACATTTCCAGCATTGCTAACTAATTTGTACTCGGAATAAACCCGCCTTCATTAGTTGAGAGGCAAAGTTGAAATCATGTTCTTCCCTAAAGCATTCACAAATATAATATATGATTCATCAACTTCATGGCGTTTTCAAATTAGTCAAATTTAGCTGACAAACAGAACATATTAAAACAGATCCGAAGTAAAGATTTTATAGTTGCTATACATATCTCCGTGTTATTTTCGAGTTTCACCCCGAATAAAAAAAATATAATTTTAATGTGTTTCCGTGGGAATACAAACGTTATTCACTCTCTATTAAGACGTGGAATAAAAAAGAAAAGAAAAAGATGCGGCCCATCAATAATTCAGTCGAGTTTTGTGTGTTTTAGGCGCAAAAGCAACCCAAAACCGTATCAAGTTCAGAGCGGGTCGAAAATTATTCAAAATCGAAAAAAAATGTATACAGCTTTAATTCCGTTCTAATAATGTTTTTTTTGGTTTCAAGTTGAAAATGCGTTATAGGAAAAGTCGAATACTTGTTTATTGAAGAGCATATGTCTGGAGCAACTCTATAATATAAAGGTAATATATTGGAGATGAGATTTTCTCAAACGGTAACATATGGCATATTTTTGATATTACTATTTCGATAATAATAAAAACGTCTGCCTATCATGTCAATATATTATTGCAGTTCGCATATCTACATTCTCGGGTTTTAACCTTCGTCTGTTGTCAGCATATGTTTCCCGACGGAGGTTGTCAATTGGCAAAGAGAATATTACCAGCCCGAAATAATGACGCAATCAAGATTTTTTTCGCGTTGCGGCCATAATGCATACCGTATATCCGTCCCCCCCCCCCCCACTGTATCAGAAACGTTATTATTAACGAGGCGTCCCCCCCCCCCCCAAAAATGTCCCGGCCGAATGGTACGTTAACTTGACCTGCACGAAGCAATGTCACAGGAACATGTGTCTGCATGCCCATTATGGTCTGCCAGAGTGGTTCAGGCGGATCGATGGTGAAAGGTCAAAAGCAATCACGAGGCATGGACCCCGGCCGCAGTGAACACGTACATTATGCGTGTCTACGTGACACATGTACATGTACATGTACATTGTATATGTACATGTACAAACATGTACAGTACGTAGCCCTACGTGTACGTGTGGAACGTGCATCGTGCATACTGTTGGTATTCGAATGACAGGCGTGATAGGACAAGCTACACACAGAAATCAGTAGTCGATCTGTCTGAAGGTAGGTGCTTAATTTAACCATGTAAGTAGGAAATTTAACTGAAGATAATGTCATTAATTACCGTATGCCTTATTGTTTTAGTACGTCTAATGTTCACACGTGTATATGAAGTAGAAAGACGGCCCGGCCCGCGGGCATGAACATTTTTGAAACTCGGCCCTTTGTATACGAGCTATCTTTGGTGCGCTTTGAGAATGCGCATATATAGCGCATGCTGATGGGTTTCACCCTAGGGTTCACCGCGAATTACTGAGTGGTGAAAATGAAAGGGGCGGCTATTGCTCCCCTCGTGACCTACTCGAGCGCAGCTGCATTGCTGCTGTCAAGTGATGAGCTCTAAATGACAGATTTTCAAGTTTGTGTTTAATTAATGAGTATAACTTGTTATGACGTCACAGTCTCTATAAAGACCACTCAGATTGGCTGGCGCGCGGGGTCGCATAACATTTATTCATGCTACGATGGTATATCAGACGTTCAACCGTGGTTCTGCCCACATGAAGTCTGATCCTCGAGACTGACCTTTACTCTTTAGGTGTGTGCATGCGCTGGAATAAAGCGTGTGTGGGGTGTGTGGTCGGAATTTCCTGGATAGCGGTGCCGATGTTCCCAAGACTGGATATGTTTTGATAACGACCCTCTACTGCAGCGGTATGTGGCTTTACCGCTTGTCAGCGACCGGCAGCATTAATGAGGATTTAAATCCAAATCCAGTCTTGAACTAAGATGAAAATTCGAAAATGCTGGCCGGGGAAAATAAACGGTCTGTATATCCGATTCATAGGTGACTAGCTGCGTCATACACGCGAACGCACCCCAGTGACTGGTAACTAGCGTCCATTGGGTTTAAACACGCCACTTCGCACTACTTCCGGTTCCATTACATTGTGTGCAGTACGCATGATGGTTAAATTGCAATGACGTCACACTTACGAACCGGAGACCTAATTTGTGTCCAGATAACCATGTTATGAATAAATTATCATGACAGACCGAGGGCAAATTTGATCAGAGATCTTTCCCCATTTTTGTGTTTTGTTTTTTGGTTTTGTTGGGGGTGTTTGTTGGGGAGTTTGTTTGTTTGTTTGGGGGTGTTTTTTTTTTGGGGGGGGGGATATTCTCCTATCACAATGATTGAACGAACCAATTTCAGCAAGGTTTGGTGAACACCGTCCTTCTCCAGGTTTGAGTTGCTGAACCTCCGGTATGGCGTCTACGCAGAGCGGCTGGGTTGCTCCCAATCAACCGTCCAAATGCACATGGCACCTTGGCGTCGATCCCAAGACAAGTCCACATCACCACGAGTCCAATGCGTAAGTCACCTTTGCTAACAACAAGTCAAATCTTGTCCTCTTGACAACATTTACAACACAGTCAAAAACACCGATTGGTTTCTAATTCTTGTGGCTTGAATAATTTAGTCCTTAGAACTAACTGGAAACCACCTGCTCTCCATTTGCTTTTGACTCGATTCCAATAAGCCATTTGTGAGTTAAATTTGAATAAAATCTGGAACGCTGACTTAATACAATGCTTTGCACGTTTTAACCTAGCATTCTCCTGACCAAAGAGACTGTTACTATATCACGTGATTCGGGGCAAGCCTTATGCTAAGCAACCCCCAGCTCCGGCATGGTCTGGTGTCTTTGTACCGTTCTCACCCATTGTCAACAATGTATTGGTGCTGAGCGTCTCTTACGTAACTATGCAAGAGCTTGCCCGAATCATGTGATTAGCAACAGTGTCTTTGGTCTGGAGAATTCAAAGTTAAAATGTTCCAAGCATTCTGAGCAAGTCAGTGTAGATGTTTTTCAAATGGAAATCCCAAAGGGTATAGGTTACTCGCAAATGGCTTATTTACTGTAGGCCTAAATTATTTCGAGCCATTGGTTTAAATCCGACCAAAATGTTGAATGACATTCAGGCGCACCCATGACTCTAAATGCCGATGGCACCAAGAAGGAATTTGTTGTTTCATGAGTTAAAAAAGATATATCTGCGTGACGACCTCGCCCTGTATGGTGACTTTCTGAATGTCATATTTACATAACCATTTTACCTTTGTGTTTTTGTCTTATCATTTTTCAATCAAAAGTAGATTATTACATCTTCAATATTATGATTTAATTACGGCTTGTCTTCGTCCATAGCAACATTCTGCTCAGGTTGAGAGTCGCCCGATTTTGTCTTTAAAACATTGTCAAAAGCCTCACGATCGATTCAGGTAAAATGCGTATCCCAGTATGAAAATCGGAAGTCTTCTTCGTCTCCACAGGCAACTCCTTGAAGATCGCAAGACGATCTTGCCAGATATCCTAAAGGTGATCGGTCACACACCGCTAGTCAGACTCAACAAGATTGGGAAAAGTGCCGGGCTGAAATGTGAACTCTGTACGTATCCTTACACTTCTAAAAGCTCCTATTATTCGCAAGCTCTCTTGACTCAAATATCCCAAACTTGGGATTGAAACATCCACAATGAATTTGTTAACATTTCATGAAAGTTCTTCGCGTGGAAGGAGTACCTCTTAAGTCTTGTGAATGAAATAGGTTAACAGTCATCCTTGGATTTTTGCAGAACAAAATTTGCAGGCAGATCCAAAATACGGGTTCCACTTTAAAATGTTAGGGACAATTTGTCAACCGATTTTTTTTTTTACATTTGAACATAAAACGTATGAGCCGGTCAAAGTGACTGATTCTTGGTTGAGCAAATATATTGAGGTGATAACAAGAGGCGTAACTACCGCGGGGGGGGGGGGGGGGGCACGTGGCAGCGGATATATGTTCCCCGTGCGGCCCCACCCCGTTTAAAATATTGAATTTAACAGAAATATATATCATTTGCTTTCAGTGCAACCCCGCTTGAAATATGTATATGCACCTCAGCTGCCCATCACCCCCCCCCAAGTTGACCCAATAGTTACCCCACTGGTGATTACAAAAAAAAAAAATTGAAATCAAGTTGGACAAGTCATCAGAAGTTTAATCACGACTCAATCGCAAGGCTATGCCAAGTCAATCGCTTGTCAATCACAAGTCAATCACAAGTCAATCACAAATCAATCACAAGTCAATCACAAGTCAATCACAAGCCAATCACATGTCAATCACAAGACAGTCAAACAAGTCAATCACAAGTCAATCACAAGTCAACCATAAGTCCATCACAATTAGTCAATCACAAGTCATGTCAATCACAAATCAATCACAAATCAATCACAAGTCAATCACAAGTCAATCACAAGTCAATCACAAGTCATCACAAGTCAATCACAAGTCAACACAAGCCATCTAGTCTCAAGTCAAGTGATGGCTTATTGTGACCCGACTTGATTGTTGACCTAATTACAACTCTGCACTATAGGCCCTAGCTGTCATTATACTAACTAGTGTAGTATTCATAATAGCTGAATCAGGTTTTAAGTTGATTTTTCCTCCTCACGTACACGCAGTGGCAAAATGCGAGTATTTCAACGCAGGTGGCAGCGTCAAGGACCGGATCGGAACTCGGATGGTGGAAGAGGCAGAGAGGAAAGGCGTCTTGAAGCAGGGAATGACTCTGATTGAGCCCACCTCGGGAAACACAGGTATAATTGGCCATGTTTTTGAGTAACGACGCCATTTTGTTGTTTAAAAATTTAATAGAAGTTCAAGTTTCTTCTGGCTTTCGAGGTACATTGCCTGTGCACCTTTATGGAACCTTTATTTTTGGTTTCATTATCAGAGAGAATTATTTGCCTAATCAATTCAATAATTGCTTTTCTCCACCCCAAGAGCAAATGGGTACATGTGAAGGCAGAAATGGTTAGTGTGATCGATTTTAGCTCAGCCTAGCACCGATATTGCAGCATATTGAGCTGTATATACCCCAGGGAGCTGGGAATATATTTGGAATGTTGCATGGGCCCAATGAGCAGGGTAATAGTGATTATGAATGAATATTTAACAATGGGACATATATTTCCGGAAAATAAGTATTGTCCCACTCCCTTGGTTAGGTATCGGCCTGGCCCTAGCAGCCGCCGTCAAGGGCTACCGTTGCATCATCGTCATGCCGGAGAAGATGAGCAACGAGAAGGTGTACGTCCTGCGGGCCCTGGGCGCCGAGATCGTACGCACGCCCACCTCGGCAAGGTTTGACTCGCCAGAGTCTCACATCAGCGTGGCCCAGAGACTGAACAGGGAGATACCAAACTCGGTCATATTGGATCAGTACAGGAACGAGGGCAACCCGCTGGCCCATTACGACACCACGGGCCAGGAGATCTGGGACCAGTGTGAAGGTTGGCACAATAAATCCTCTCAGCTGGTACTGCAATTTCAGCAATATTTTTTTTTTCATTTGAAAACTTGCTCTCGACGTAACGTTTTTGTTCTTCTGGAATATCAATCATTATGATTCCTAATTTACTTTAAGAATCACATGTGAATTTAAATCCAGCCCTGTTGTTCGACATATCACAGGAAAGATTGACATGGTCGTCTTGGGAGCTGGAACTGGTGGTACCCTGACCGGAGTCGGCCGGAAACTCAAGGAGAAAAACTCTAACGTCAAGGTGAAGAATTTGGGGAACCAGACTCCCATTTTATATATTCAGGTACCACGTTTTCAGATGCAGACGAGTTTTCGAAACGATTTCAGGCCTACAACAAGGACACGAAAAATAGTAAATCAATACGTTGATTAATAATTCTTTTGCCGCCTGATTAGTTTTGTTTGTTTGTTTGTTTGTTTGCTGGGGTGCTTGCTTGTTTGTTTATGCCATTGGCTGTCGAATTCTATAACCGTCATACCATTAACTGCAAGTCAATAGTCTGTTTTATTTGAGAACATTGAAACATTTTTTACGGTGTAGCAGGCGAAAAGAGAACATTTTTATGTCAAAATGCCGGGGTTTTTTTACACCAAAACGATGACAAGTTCAACAGTCGCTTAAGTGTTTTCAGTACCAGCCATTTTGGAATTTAATTTGATGCGAAATTAAATTCAGCATAAATTCACATTTTTCAACGAGGCTCAAACCTTTTCACAGATTGTCTCATTCGATCCTCACGGCTCCGTGATGGAAGCGCCCTCTTTCGACAAGGAGACGGACCAAACAGTCTGCTTCGAGGTGGAAGGCATCGGCTACGACTTTGTCCCCACTGTCCTGGACCACGACGTGGCAGACGTCTGGGACAAATGCGATGACAAGGAGTCGTTTCTGATGGCCAGGAGACTGATCAGGGAGGAAGGATTACTCTGTGGTAAAAACACAAAAAAACAAAAAACGAATGAACAATGCTTCAACTAGTTTAAGGCTAAACGTGGAGTGCCGTGGCCTCGTGGTCTAGTCTGGAGCATTAAATTCGTGGTCTGCGGGTAATTCTGCTGGTTGTGGGTTGAGTACAACATCTGAATTATGGGCAAGACCCTTTGTCACTCATTGCTTCTCCCCACCCAGGAGTAAACCTGTGAGGGCAGAGATGGTTATTGTGAACGATTTGAGCTGCTTTGCGCCGAAATGGCAGCATCGAGCTGTATATACTCACAGAGAGCCGAAATGGTATTGGGAATGTTTTATTGGCCCAAAGAGCAGGGTAATATTGATGTAGCGCCTTGAGCACCAATACTGGTGGATACGTGCGCTTTGTAAATGCACATTATTACTATTATTATTATTATACAAGATTTGAGGCTTTGCATGGTGGGGTATCGGTATCGTTTCGGTTTGCGTACACCATGTGGTAATAACTACTGCTTAGAAGATATTAGTTCTGAAAAGAACTTGTCCTGCTTATTATCAACTTTGCTAAGTAGTTTGTTGTGCTGTTAAGAACAGTCCTGCTGTAAGTTCTAAACGAACTTGTCTTTGGTCTCAACGTTTCGACTAGCCTGCTCTAGTCATCGTCAGTCTTCAGAACTAATATGTTCTAAGCAGTAGTTATTACCACATGGTGTTACCGCAAACCGAAACGATTATTATTATTATTAAAAGAAACCTCGGAAATAGAGGCGTTAGCATCAAACAAAATAAATGTGATTTTTGAATCTAGAACAAAGACACTTATCACGAATGCAATCGAATTGGTATCCGCCAGCAAGGTCTGGATAGCTCAGTTAGTAGAACACCCAATCGGCAATCCGAAGGCCACAGGTTCAAACCCCACTCCAGTCAATTGTTTCTGTGTTAAAACTTGAAAACCAAATGCATTTATGTTTAATGCTAAGTTCTTGCACCTAGTGAGGTTTCCCTTGTGGTTTATTTTAAAAACAAATGCATGTGGTCTATCCAAGAAAGGTGTTTTTGCTAATCCCTTACACAAAATCCTGTAGAGTAAACGGAGTCTTCGGGTTTGAAAATATAGGTGTGTGAAAAGTTATTAAACTTGTGAGGGTTTGCGGTAACATGGATGTGAAAGAATCTCTTTTGAGAAGATGTGTGGTTCTGAAAAGTGAAACTCGACGTTCCGATCATTGTGCTCTGATCGCTCGGTGTGCTCTGATCGTCTTCAGGGCTACGTTTTTATCGGAGGACTGGATGTCAAAAAAAATTCTTCCACATGGTGTCACCGCAAACCCTCAGTAGTGTACAGTATAACGCCATGCAAAGTTACAAATCTTATATATTAAACTTGGCGGATCCAGGACTGTTAGGGATAACCGGGAAGTCTTGGTCAAGTTAACACTTAGCATCAATCGTTGATAGGAGGGAGTTCTGGAGCCGCAGTGTCGGTAGCACTGAGGGCAGCCAAGACACTGACAGATGACCAGCGATGTGTGGTCATCCTACCGGACTCGGTCAGAAACTACATGTGAGTAGACAAAAAATAATACTCCATTGTTGCAAAATGGGTCGCTGTAGACAATTCGTCACCGACACCACGAAGTAGCACTATACCGTGTTAAACCATATTTTTTTCGATTTTCAGTTTTTTTGGATTTTTAAACATTATTCATCAAGGCCTACCATTGCACGAAGTTTCAAAGCTTCAAGAGCTTTACTTTAATAATTACGCTAAGTATCCATGGCAACTTTTGCGCAAAAGTGACAATTTTCGTTTTCACAAAGTTACACTCAAGTTCCATTTACCATTGCAATGCATGGCGCGCACTCTGCTCATTAGTGAGCAAAAAATGTTTTCACGATTTAACACTCTTCTTGTAATAAGTTGTATGAGCGCGCGCGCGCTGACCTAAAGTTGCACTTTCCTCGTGTTGAATACATTGAATAGTGTTACTTCGTGAAAACGAAAATTTACAGTTTCGCAGCCTTTTCGGTTTCACGAACTAACCTCATCTTTTTTTCTCTTGTTTCTTATTTATTAAATACACAAACGGGTGAAAAATAGCAGATTTAATAAATTCAATTCATCAAGTGTCCACAACGAGAAACCCAACTGAAAATACTCTGTTGTTTTGACGCAAAGTGTTGTTTTAGAAGGCGTTCAACTTTAGTAGCCGTTTTCTCCGATTGCTAGTTTTTACTGGTATGTAGATGGGTGTTACTTCGTGGTGTCGGTGACGAATTCCAACATTACATGATTGTTCGAGTTGATCGGCTTGGAATTTGATCTTTTGCATCAGATCCTAAACACGACATTTCCTGTTAATTGTTTTAAAGGACCAAGTTTTTATCGGACGACTGGATGTCCGAGAAGGGATTCCTGGAGAAGGTCTACGAGTTAGGTCACAATCCCGAAAAAGGATGGTAGGTTGTACATCGACAATGCTCAAATGGAAGTGAAAGTTCCTCCCTTTTAAAGTTAGTAACCCCGTGATTTTTTGAAGTTTCCGATTTTTTTCGGAACACATTTTAAACAATATTTCTTTCTTTGTTTCTTTCTTATTTTGGTATTTTAACTTGGTAGCCTCTTGAATCCAATGGTCTCCCATGGGGCCCAGTAGGGAGAAGACAGTGTGAAGAAATTACAGTTTTATAGGTGTGGGAAGAAAAATCCAGAATATTTTGACGAAAACAGATCAAATAGGGACTGAAAATCCAATCTACACACATTGGCCCAGGCAAGAATCGAACCTCGGTCACAGCGGTGGAAGACAAGGGAAGTACCGCTACGCCAACCTGACTCCACATTGATGTCCTTGAACGCTGTGGTTCTTTTTGATTTCGAGGCAACGATTCCTTAAAAGAGAGCTTTGTATGTCGCACTTGTTTCACGCTCAAGTTGAATTTAGACTTGGCCCGAGTCGGGTGTTTCGCTTAGCCTGTGCAGTATGCGTACACGTACTACGCGTGTTAATATGGAAATTTGAGCACAACGTTGATGGTGGAATTTAGGGCTTGGTTGCGATGGCAGTGTGTGCTGTGGATATCAACTTAAGTCCGACTTGAGTTAAGTTAAAGCTGAATTAGGAGTACGGTACGCCCGCTCCTAATTCGAAAACTGAATTGAAAAATATTGATAAGTTATATAGCGTTGATACATTTTTCGTTAAATTCTCATATGAAAGTTCAATACTTTTGCAATGCTGACAAACGCTCAGTTCAATTTAAACTTAACATGTTTTATTTAGGATGCCACACCCCAAAAAAAGCACAGAGACCCTCCCTTTAAAGGTAATATAGAACATTTGCTATTGATGTAATATACAGAAATGAGGGTTAGTATTTTATAGCAAATACTGTTACACTGACCTGTTACAAGTTTTGTGTTCATAGATGTTGGAAAAACCAAGAAGAAACAAATGTTGTTCTTGTAGTCTGGTTCACTGACCTACTTCAGACGAAACGGAGCAATTTATAGACGTGGGGGAATTGACAGGCCAGGGAACCAGACTAGCTGGCTTGCACACGTTCAGGGATGTGTATTGTGTAACCGATTGCAAACAAAGTGTGGACCTACTATCTTTGTTAAATTGTGGGCAGTATTTGAAAAAAAAATCCGTTTTCCAACGATGGTCGGCTGACCATCATTGGAAATTGATACAAAAATTCCACTGTTCTGTAAACTAAGTGTCATCATTTCATAGGATGCTTGAGACTATTATTCACTTACGGTCAAGTAATTACGTGTTTCAAAATAATTTGGTAGTTTCTCTTTGTTTGTAAATGTTGTATGTTACCTTAAAATACTGACGGCATCAATGTGCATTTACCAACCATGGTTTAAATATTTTGTGAACTTTGGCCGCACATACAACAGAGCGCTGGATGTAGGATCCATTGCTTTTATTCCTCAGGTGGTGGAATTTATCGGTATCTGCCCTGAAGTTTCACCCACCGATGACGGTCCTGCCGACAGTATCATGCCAAGACGCAATCAAAATTATGAAGAGGGAAGGCTTCCATCAGCTTCCGGTGGTCGGCGAAGCAGGGTGAGTTTTGCTTTATATTTCACGTGCAGCTTTGACTTCTAATCCCCAATAGACCATTAGGCCTATCATGGTGCGGCCATTTGGATTTTTCCTATTCAAATCAACTTACCAAAGGGAGCCTGGAAGAAAAATAGTCTGATTCCCTTTTGCACAAGAAACATTATCATTCAGCACTTTGATTGGATACAGGGAACAGGACATAAACGGTGGCAGCATGATAAAGGTCTAGTGTCGTGGTTTAACCAATTCAGTGGCGTAATTAACTTAAAGGGTGGGGCATGGAGGCTGTCTTCCCCCTTGAGATACGTGCCTCCCCTTTTTGCCCCCTTGCTCATAATTTGGGAGGTTAAAATGAGTTTTATAGTTAAAATTCACATTAATGCAACTTTTTTTTCGTTGAACCAACAAAATTGCTAAAAATCTTAAGAAGTGTGCACTTCAACTTACTTGTTTGACGCTTCATTTAGAGAAACAGAGGAAAAACCGTATGCACAATTCTCGTAACTGGATTGCGTTGCTAACGCACGTAAAAACTGTGTTTTTCTTAAACCAGCTTCAATGACTTTCTCCCGAATGATAACCAATTTAGGCGGAATAATTTCACAGGTACTTGAGTACCAGTGCTATCTTGGCACTTTGAGCAAGGATTTTCCCGTTAGATCGGTAGGTACGTTTACGGGGAATCGCAAATGTTCCTATGTGCCTTTAAAAACCGACTTTGTGTTCCCGCTAGAAAATAAGACCCTTTGTTATAATTATCAGTGCCCCGCCAATTCGGTCGATTCGCAATGCAGTGCGCCACCAAGAGTTCACCATTGAGAGTACAGTGTTATTTTTCAAGTTAACGATCGACAAAACATGGCCCATTTGAATGGGTGTCAGTAGATAACTTGAGTTAATTTGTTATAGCTTGGAGCATGGCGTTCTGCCGCCTTATAAAAAAAAACACCATATTGATAAAAAGAAAAGAAAAGGGCAAACAGATACTCGAATCATACGCTTGCGAAACTACTGACCGGAAAAAACTTAAACAATTTCAAGTGTCCCGCGCTGCGAATTTGTCTACTATCTCCCACAATGCACTGGGAATAAATGAACTCTCCGTAGCAAACTCTTGGTGGCGCACTGCATTGTGAGTCCCCCGAATTGGGCACCGTCATTTAAGCCACTGAACCAATGCAGAATAAATTCAAATAATAAAAGCCTATACATGTATATTGCTATGTAGACATGTACATTCTGTGGCATAACACGTTGGCAGGCTTTTTTGTTAAATGAAACTGTGACAAATGCTGGTCAAATACACCAGTTTGTGAGAAGTGTATGAGAGGAATATTGCGCGTTCTTGTCAAAACATAGTGGCAAACTGTACTCTGAGTTGATCAGCAAAGTGCACATCTTTTCTTTTAGAACGCCGGGCATGTCACTGCTTCACAACGTTCAATGCAAGAGAGGTTTGTAACTTACTGTCACCACGAACTATAGTGTCCGATAAAGCTCCATTCGTACCACGTAATTTGGCCACAACGACCTGTTTTTTTTTTAAGCCGCCATTCACTGCTAGGAGTTTCTTGCCAATAACCACACCTTAAATTTAATGGTCCCTTTTGCAGAGAGGTTTTGGGCGTGGTCACCCTTGGCAGTCTGATGTCCAGTATGGTGGCTGGTCGCATCAACTCAGCCACACTGGTACAGGAAGTGTTGTACAAAACATTCAAAAAGGTAAAAGGCTTACCAATTATTTATTAATTCCTGTATGATCAAAATAAAACTTTGGGCAACACTAAATGATGCTCGGTAATTGCAAGAATTGATTTTTTTTTTCTGAAAAAAAATTCCACTGGACACTTTGAAAATTTGTTTATTCGATCAATTCCAGCGTTTCAAATACGAAGAAGAAGAGGAGTTTTTAAAGGTATAGCTTGGATACAATGTACTTGACCTTTTAACCTTTTAGGTGACCCTTGACCTCACGCTCGGCCAGTTGTCGCGCATCTTGGATCTTGACCACTTTGTGCTGGTCACTCAAAAACAGAAAGTCTGTAAGTATATAATTGTGTGCTCAGTGCAACATAAATTGATGTTACGCTGAATGTTACACTAGCTGTCAGGAAAGAAAACAAAATCACGTTTGTTTTCGTTACTATTACTGCACCCCGTCAAGATATTCGGTTGGTGACAACCATAATGGATGCTTGAGGGCGCTGTAGGCCCAATAATAATAAGAGTTCTGTACATGTACATGTATGCCGTACCGTACGCGCTCCAGGCTGACACAAAACTCAAGTCTTTATCTTTTTGTTGGGTGGGAGGGCCGGAAAGGGGCGATATTGATTAAATGGGGTTGGTGGTAATAAAAAAAAATGAAGACTCAAATTTCCTAATTAGGCCTAATTGCAAAGCCTTTCTAGGTTTACGCCCTACTATAAATTTTAATAATTTAGAATTCGGGCGATTCACAATGCAGTGCGCCACCACGAGTTTGCCACAGAGAGTTCATTTTCCCAGTGCATTGTGGGACATTTGTTTCGTAAGCGTATATGATTCGAGTATCTGTTTGCCCTAGTTATCAATATGGTGTATTTTGTAAGGCGGCAGAACGCTATGCCCCAATCATTAACAAATTAGCTCAAGTTGTCTACTGACACTCATTCAAATGGTCCATGTTTTGTCGACTGGTAAACTTGCAAAATGGACTCTCCATGGCAAACTCTTGGTGGCGCACTGCATTGTGAATTGCCCGAATTTGGTATTTCAGAGCCCGTATGCAAGGCTATACTTAAAGGTGATTTAGTATGATAAAGCGTAGTTGGACCTGATTTGTTTGCCCCGAACAAAACGTATATTCAAACAGACATGAATGAACAATCGTATGGCTCGCGTTTGATACAACTGACGTTTGCGAGTGCAACAGACGCATCATTGTGCGTTTCGTATTTTGTAGGTTCACAAGATGCAAGAGTAACCACCAAGGAGGTCATCGTGGGGATTTCAACACGCATTGATCTGCTCCACTACATCTCAAGCAACCAACCACCCGCTTAAGGCATGTGTTCTCTAGCTTTGGGAAAAAAATTTGGGCAGGATTTAAATCGGCTTTCATATAGACCGTGGGCCAGAAATCCTATCTCGCCTACAAAATGAAGTCCGTTCAAGATTTCTGGTGGCAACAAAAACATGCTTGTTCTCTGTCAACTCGAGGGTGCTGTCAATTCTTTCTGTTGCCAAGCTCTCAGGTGGCACGTTTAAGCACAATCTTCGTCCGAAGTGTTATCTCCAAACATCCATTTTGGGGGCCTCTGACAACCGATGGCGCAATGCATTCCCTTAAGGATCTCATGAATGCCCCCCTCCGATTTTAATACAGATTGTCACCCACTTGGAATAAATAATGAAAAATAACTGTGCAAGATTGTAGGCTCATAGCCAAAGGGATTCCATAATAACGGTAATAATAAAAAAAAACAATGCTTTGACTGTATACTTATGTGCAATGTTTTATTATGTGGACCACCCGGTTTTGAGGCATAACTGATTTAAATCCGGAAGGCATACCAGAAATTTTCTATAAATGTAAATATGACTGCGTTACATTTCATTAAATAGTCTTTGATGCAAACAAAATAACAAATCATAATTAAAGTTTGTTATTGTTTTGGTGATGAAGTAGGAAATTATGCAACAAATAACGCTGTATCATATTCAGTGTTGTATGCTAACACAGTATTTTTTCCAAAATATCAATGAAATTGTCCATGTGATGCTGAAAGATTACTGATTATGTCGTTTATCCAAATTAAACAAACTGTCTAAAACTTGAATTCCAAAGTTTTTATAATTATGGGAAATAATTACAAATGTATGTAATAATACAACATTTTTTTTCAAGGCATTATTATTCTCAAATGTAGAGCTCTTTGTAGATGACTGGATTACTTTATTAACCTATAACGTAGAGTATTTTGATAGCAAAAGTTTCAAAATTTTAAGGGTTTCATGGTATATAAAGTATAAAATTAGGCAAAACTTATGTATAAAGACAAATCGGTTTTTCAAGGCATCACTGAGCTTCCTATATATCAGCACCAATTCCTGATTGAGGTTTTGCCTGTAGCACTTTTAAAATCTAGAATATGAAAGCCCAATCCATAAGCTTTCTTTTAGTACAAGAATCATTCCAATCACTTATGTACTTTTCAAGTTAGGAAATTTTGAGCACAAACACCGTTGTAAAGTTTGGTCCACGGATCACAAAAAAGGTAAGCGTTCTTTCAATTAAGACGAAAACAATTCACAAAGGGATGTGTGTGAATCGTTTTCGTTCAACTGAAATAACATTATATTTTTGGTGATCCGTGGACAGAACTTTAAAACGGCGTTTGTGTTGAAAAGATGTTTGTGTTGAAACTTGTAAGGTACATGAGTGATTTGAATGATTCGTGTACTGAAAGAGAGCTTATTGATTGGGCTTTTATATCCTAGATATTAAAAGTGCTACAGGCAAAACTTTATTCGAAAATAGTCTTGCCATTTGGGTTTCAAATTTTTTTGTTTACTCACCCTGTATTGAGAAGAGAAAAATCACTACACGTTCGAGTGCATATCTATTTTTCGTGTTATCGAAATTGATGGCAGTTTAAAGAAATTATTATTCAAACGACAATATGCACTATCAAGTCAAAAGATAAACCTATGGCATAGTTTAGATAGTAATTTTGTAGTTGAATAAAATGTTGCATGAGAAATAGTGTGGGAAAAGGTTTCCTTTCCTTTATTGTGTCCCTAGTTTTCACCGAAGAGTATTAGCTTTCTGTTGCAGGTTAGAACAAAAACAACTTCACGCGAAGTATTCATCCCCCTTCCTTGGTTACAATGCAGATGGTGTTGTATTGTTCAAAAATGGGTAGAATGCCACCGGGAACCCGCGTTGTGCTTCTATGTACATGTAGTTGCTTATCCACTGGCACATACAAGATACCTGCGAGAAAAGTATGAAAGAATTTGTCTGGAAGAGAAAAATTGAAGTGGGCTTAAAATATACAATTTGTTTCATCCTCTATTGCTGACCGATTTAATAATCAAACCTAAGGGCACATATCACAGCCCAGCTAACAATATAACGTTGTGACAACGTTGCCATAAGGTCAACGTTATGAAAGCATCTACATACAACCGTCAACGGCGTCACAACGTCATGTTTATGACTTCATTACAACGTTGTGAAACGACCACCATACAACGTCACCCTTGCGAAAATGTCCTGTGCTAATCCTGTGGTACTTCTGTGGTACATTATGTTTACCACAGAAATTACAATAGGAAAAATATCACGAGAGTACCACACACATTTATGTGGTAATGCCAACGCTGGATATCCTGGTCCTGTGGTATTCTTGTGGAACATGTTGGTACCACACGAAGTACTACAGAACAGTAGGATTTGAGAAGAGTACCACATACACATGTGTGTGGTATTTGCCACCAATCATCGATAGTACTTCTGTTGTACTGTACCACAGGTCAGTGGAATTGGAGGAGAGTACCACATAAAGGTGTGTGGTACCTTCGATATCCTGTGGTACGTCTGTTGTTCTGTGCTAAATACCACACAAGCGCTCAAATTTGTATCCTTGTGGAGACATTTCTTTTTCTCGTGTAGTAAAGTTTTCAATTTTGAAAGTGAAGTTTCAAAATGCTCTTATTTTAACCAGAATTAATTTCCTTGGCTTAAATTCTGACTTAATATCCCTTTTCTAAAACTCTTCCATTTGCGACAAATCAACCTACCTTGGAAATTCCTTGTTTTTGAGTAAAATCCATATATCTATTTCGTGAAAACCTTGTTGAGACCTATTCATCTATAGAAATTGCCTTGTGGAGACCTTTACAATGTTTTGTTCCCTATTGTGTGCGTGTCTCCACAAGGATACAAATTTGAGCACACAAACTACCACAGGTCAGTGGAATTGGAGGAGAGTACCACATAAATGTGTGTGGTACCTCCGATATCCTGTGGTACTTCCGGTTGTACTGTACTAAATACCACACAAACTACCACAGGTCAGTGGAATTGGAGGAGAGTACTACATAAATGTCTGCGGTACCTTCGATATATCCTGTGGTACTTCTGTTGTACCGTGCTTAATACCACACACACACACAGATGAGGACAGTGAGGTTCAAGGAGAGCATCTGACAAATGTTTGTTGTAATTGGCACAGACCGTCTTTGTATAATACGAGCCCCCTATTGATTTTACGGCGCCAAGTGTCCGGACAGAATTTCAGCATTGATTTGCTGATGAACCCCCCCCCCCCCCGCACAAATTCCTGGATCCGCCCCTGATATTCATCGCCGTTAAAATTCCCTTCAGCAGAATGACATTTGTAGGCTTTTTCACCGATGTCATGGCCGATTTACATTAAAGCTGAGTCCCTCGATGCCAACCTTGCTCCCCGGGTACCCAAGCAGGCTATTCATGGCGATGATGTAACGCGGTGCTAAACTGACCTGACAGAAGAAGTGTTTCCGGCTGCAGCGAGGGACTCATCAGAGGCCGAGGTGTGCATAGTCTTCTGCATGAGCCAGGCCACTCAGCTTGGCTATGACAACCTGTATCACGCCGAGTTGGTACAAGATAGAAATGCAAGCGCTGAAGTACATCATCATAGGAATAACCTGTCACGTAAAACAAGTGATAAATCACGAACGATGTCGTTTGTCAGCTGACGAATCTTTGAACCAGTTACGTTCCTTCTATTAAAATCTGGAAAGTTAACACAAATTTGCTGCACTGAAAAAAAAAAAACATTTTACTTCACCTTACTCCCTCAGTGACTTTTTACTTCCCGAATACCAAACCAAACCCAACATAGTACAGGAAACTTGTTAAACGACACAATGGGAGCGCTGGGTGTGTACAGTCTAAAATCAAAATCTGGCAAAATCAGTTGTGGGATTTTGGCAAATTTTTGCAGTTTACCTAGTAAACCTAGAAACCGGATTAATATTCAGTGCAAGCAAGCTGTGCAATGATTCGAACCTAAAAAGAGTCTTCCTCATGAGGCAAATTATCAAACCGTTAAAAGAATTGGGCAGGATTTGGCAAAGAATGTACAGGCTATAGGTGGAAACTTAAGTAAACTTGCCTGGAATGCTAAGAAGTGTTCAGTGAAGTCTATGCCAAACACGAAAGAAGATCCGGTACGTATTACTGTACTCAAGAAAAGTCTGCACGGCCTTGCCCAAGACATCGAAGATCTGGAAACCAATTGCTGTGCGCAAAATGAACATGCCCAGGATGAACTGCAGGGAGAATATTCGGAGGAAAACCAACGTAATGAGGCAGGGACAGAAAACCCAATCCACATATTGGCCCATGAAGGAATCGAACCGGGTTCAGCAGCGCTTGAAGGCGAGGAAAGTACCCTACGCCAACCAGACTCCCCGTAATCTGATTTGTTAGTGTGACTTCACTTCAATTTCAAACACGCCCTCTGCCCATTGAGTAGCATTGGAACTGGAAGTTAACGCAACTTAATTGTGTATATATCCAATGGGCGTTATGATGCGCGCGCGTGTATGACGTTTTTACTCACGAACCGCATTGTACACCTTTGCATTCTAAGGCCTACTGGCTGCCGCCTAAGCCATATGAGGAGGTCCGAGCTTCGTCCATTCGCGCTCTCCAAGGTTGCTGATGACCTCTGATGTCTGTGAGCTCTTATTAGATACATTTTGTCACGATAGTGACCCGAGGTCATCACCTTCGTGTGCGCGCTAGCCGGGCGCATGGAATGTACGTGCATTTGGTTATGATGGTGAGGTACCCACAATGCTTTGCGATGCCATACATTTCTTCCACAAATTTATGTTAAGATATTAGTGATCACCAGCGCCATTTTAGACGGCAGTGGGTACCAGTGAGACCGATTGTCAACACTTACGTGCCTCAGATGCTTGGAGAAAACAGAAGAGGATGAATGCGACGAGGCCTCCAGCAGATATGAGTTGGATTGGATTATCGTTGGTAAGGAAGGCTAGGGCCGCAGCTACCCCAGCCAAAACAAGAAGATATAACGGCCTGTGATTGAGAGAGAGAAAACAATCAGTTTATCGCAATTTCTGACCTGTTCCTTTTTGCACAAATTCTGTCCACAATTTATCAGTCACGTAGGCCTACATGTTTTCTCTAGTCTCTTTTAATAGTGAATAGCTTTTCTATTGCTAGACAAATAGCAATTCAGAACAGTTTTTTTTATGGATGAAACTCGAAAATAAAACGAGGATCAAAACTTAAAAAATTTGCGGAATGTGAAATTTGACTTGAAAAAGCTGGGTTTTTTTTTTATGAGAAATCGTGCGTTTTATGAGCAGGGGAGGCATGTGTTTGTCAAGCGTCGGGTTTTTTTCCCGCATTCTCATGATCAGAGTTGTAATTAAGTCATCAAAATCAACAACAAGTTAATCACAATTCATTTAGTTCGTATCAAGTCAAGTGACAAGTTATTCTTTGTTATTGTTCATCACATTAACTTGACATGTGATGTTGTGAATGACTTGTGATTGACTGGAATGCACATGCCCAGCCCCCCCCCTTTTTGGCCGCCCCTCCATTGTAACCTCAAGCCTCCCCCCCACACGCCCCTTAGGATGCAAACCCTGGCTACGCCGCCGCCTGCTCTTTAATAATCCACCTGTCACTGTCTTTCATCCCTACGAATAAACGTGCGTCCGGAAGTCTCGTAAATAACAATTATCCTGGTCATTCACCCCAAAAACTCCAAACATATCGTTGGATAAATCTTGCTTGTGAGGTTTACCTTTAACAGTTGAAATCAGAAATTTGTCTTCAAGTCAGCTGCTCTGTGGAATGGAGCTCGGATTGTATCACTATCATAACACCATAACACCATGAACATTTGACATTTCTAAGAGGCCATTCGGAGATTTGTCTGTGTCTTTTGAGTTTCTTTTCATTGCATGATCAACTCATGTTACCCTATTCACACGTATATCTAACGACCTCTCGTATGCTGTTGACGTCAAAATGTCATAGCTTAAAATGGTTGGAATTCATGTTGAGTTGACGTCTGTAGAAGTCTCACTTCACGAACCATACTTGGTCAAGGAATGCCCCGAGAATTCTTCCACCGTAGCAGTATTGCTGTATAAAAGCACCGCCCGATCGTCCAGGCGTAGAAGCTCCGGCACACCTCAGCGGCACTGCGAAACACAGTTGAATTGAATGAAGCGAACAATCTTGCCTAACACCGTCCTCCAACTAAAACGAGCAGAGTTTTGTTAAGGAACAACCGAGCGCCTCTATCGAAACCTATGTTGAAAAGCTGATGCCAAGTTCTGGGAGCAACCCTGCCTAAAAAAAAAGATGTCCAGGATGACGTTAATGGTAAGATAGCCTTTTCGTCGGTTTAATTCTGTCTTTCTTTCATAGTCCTAAATTCACAACGCACCACCACAGCTTCATTGCATTTTGGGCGACATCGCGCAGTACCCGCGACGCGCGCGCCAATCTCCACAAAAGGAGTTGTTTACGACTTATTCGCGAGCTGGACACTCCATTATATATAGCTAGAGGGGTGTTTCAAAAACATGAAATGAATTTGTTGAACACGATCGTTGGACATTTGTACTTTTTGAATTTTTGGACCGGAAAGTTTCAATTTTTGGACCGAAAAGGTATTTACAAATGGGAATAAATATGTGCTTGGTCGGTATTAAACACTACGTTTAAGACAAGTTGGAGTCTGGCTGCTGATAGTCTCCAACACAAAGTGTTTTAAACATTCCAAGCACATAGTTATTCCAGTATTAAACTGTCCACTTATACTGACCTGCTGAGACCGTCCAGCGGACAGGCTGTCAGACCTAGTGGTCCAGTTTGACTAGACAAGCTCCGGCTTATTTCTTCTGGATAACTCGATACATTGAGACCATTAGAAGTGATGCACCTATGTATGTGATGTGTCTGGGGCTCGGAAAAACTGCCAATAACATCACAATCATCTATCATAATCTCCCCAGGCCTGCATATCTTTGCTCAAACTGTTGATGTGACATGCACATTGCCCCATTACTGCACCCGATAAAAAAAACCTCGGCAAGCCGTGATTGTACACCCGCTTTTTTCCCAAGCCGCAAACGTCTCCCTTGCGCGCATCACTTCTAATTGGTCACCTTTCTGTCCATTTGTTACGCATGAGAACGGGACAAAATGTTGGCACTTAAATTGAAATTGCCAAATGTACATGTTTTTAATATTATACAAACGGAATAGTAAAGTGTTGTGATATCACACGTTACAGTCGGTGGAAATAAGTAGTTGCAGTTGAGTTGAATTTTTTGATAGCAGCATAAACTGCAGTATTATTTTTTGTTCATAGATAGGACAGTTTACAGATTCCTATTGGCCCGTCGCGTGGGGGATTTTAAATCACCGTTTGAACACCATTGACAAGTTTTAAAACCGACCAGCAAAATGCTTGGCCTTTACATTATTACAGCAATTTTCTTCTTTTGTCCTTGTATTTTACTGTGAACACAAGGGCATAATATTGTACCATTCATATTCGGGAAATTCGGTAAATTTTAAAGGCATTAAATCTCCATCGTTTTTATTTTAAACAGTATTTTTTTTTCAATGGCATCTCATGCACAAGTACCCCAGCCAGCGCTGTATGCAGCCACCGAGCCGAGGAATCACCCTTAATCAAAACTTGATTTATTTGATTTTGACAATTATAAATTGAAATATATACATATACATATTCCCTTTAGATGTTGTTAATTATAATAGTACAGGATATTTGCTCAGTGTTTTTAGGGAGCTTGTGTAAAAGATAACATCAACAAAGGTTTCTACCTTACTTTGGTTGGACTCGAGCCCCACGAAACCTTGCTGCAACTGCTAACAACTTAAGAATTATATGAATCAAAACGAAATCTTTCATTATCTAATTCATTTGTGTAATTTGATGTATTAGACCGTTTAATATTATGTTTCCACAGGTGAGTGGAAGACTCGCCGGGATGTTGCTTTTGGTTCTGTTGTGGTCCTCTAGTGGACATTGTGTCGCCCTGGAGGAACAAACAGGTACATCAAGTTGCTGCGATGCTTACTTCCAAGGCCCAGCAGGAACACCAGGTGTTCCTGGAATACCAGGCAATCCAGGGGTTCAAGGATCTATTGGTGTCAAAGGTGAGCCTGGGTTTGGCCTCCCTGGACCCAAGGGAGAAACCGGCGACCAGGGACGGCAGGGAGATCAAGGCAAGCCCGGAGAGGTCGGACCTCCGGGAAAGATGGGACCTGCTGGTCGCACGGGAGACAAGGGTGAGGGGCAGAAAGGTGACCAGGGGGAGCCAGGGCTCGAAGGACCGCAAGGTCCGCCTGGTGAAAGGGGGCAAAAGGGCCAGCCAGGAGAAGCTACCCTCGTGACACCAACACCGCCCTCTGTGTTTGCATTCAGCGCTTACCGCACGACAGGTCTCACAGGTAGTGAAGGCGATGTCATCATCTTTGACAATATCATGACGAATGTCGGCGACGGGTACGATTCGCAATCGGGCGTATTTACGTGCTCCGTGCCAGGTGTGTACTCCTTCACCATAAGCGTAAATAATAATGCAAATCGAGCTTATGTGCGGCTGGTAAAGAACGTGGAATTGATCTTTTCGCTCTATAATTCCCAAACTGGAGCTTTCCATCAGTCAAGCAATTCAGCAGCTGTTTCTTTGGCAACGGGAGATAGGGTCTGGCTTCAGTTTGGCGATGACAGTAACAGGGGAATTTACAGCAATAACAACAGGTATTGTTATTTTACCGGCTTTCTGATCCATGCAATGTAACTGTGTAGCATCCCTATGCGAGTGTTTGCTGAAACTGAAACTAAAACAGCTAGGCTTTGTACCACTGGAAAGGAATTGTTGCAGAGGACATATCAGAATACGAGAGGTCCGATGTACACCAAATAAGACTTTTCACCTCGTTACATAGCGTTGCCTAACTTCTTTGACGAACATTGTACTCATGAATGCTTGATGAAGCAAACTGAAAACTTTGGTTTTGTCCCACCTGAGAGGTGGCTATCACCTTCACAGGCCTGTTCACACCCATACCCCGAAACTAATTACACTGCAAAAACTGCAGTGTTAAATTTACGACGTTGGTATCTATATAGGACCATCTGGTGTTAAATTTTACTGGTGTTGTCCTATATAGATACCGAATAGTGTTACATTAACACTACAGTTTTTGCAGTGTAAAAGCTTGCATTTCATTTGTAAGCATTTTTTTCAATTAACAAATCTTTTTTGCTATAAAGTTTAGCTCAAATTTATTGCTTTTTAATGTAATTTTCACCGTAGGTACTGTAGTAATGTTTTTTTTTTTGGTAACGCGGGTGTATCTTTATACAGCCCAGTCAGGACACAAAATACATGCAAACAATAGGCCGTTTCACGCTTTGTGGATCCCGTACGTAGTGGGGATGTACTGTATTCCCGTAAAATCTCGCAAACTTGAGGTCAAACTTGACGCTCTATAATTTAATTAATAGGGACCATTAACAACAGAGCAGGTACGAGAGACGTGGGATGCGGCTTGGAATAACTAGCTGGTTAAATCTCCACTTTTATGTGGTTATTTTCAGTACAACTACATAATACATCTTAATTAACCTTTTTATGTGAAATTCACATTACCCATAGTGCGCCGGATGAAGTAACCACTACAAAATTAACCAGTACCTTTCCCCCTGAGCACCACACCTTAACATGCTGTTTGCCAGTAGCAAAATATCATTCTCGTCCCGTTTAACGCATTTTCAGCGTCCTGTTTTTGCTTCTTTCAGCGTCCAAGTGTTGCCTTTAAAATCTCCATTACATTGTAAACTGCCACTCTGCAACCCGGCTACGCCATTGTACAATGTACCTATCGTGTAATCCTACCATTTTGTATGGCCCCTACAGGATTGGAAGCACCTGTTGTTATTCAATGTGATGTAAAATAGGCCCATATATACCCGTACATGTACTTAGCTCATATATCTCTATTTACATTATTTCAAGCACTATAAGAGGAAATGGTTAAATAATTCATTAAAAGATGATTCAATCATGGAGGTTTTAAGGAGCTTGAAGGCGCTGACAGAAGCTTCTACTTACAAACAAGTCTTGGGATCACACTGGCTATTTCAATATTGAACATATTGCTAACCGTAAAAAAAAACAAGGTTACGAGCCAAAAAATAAGACATTGTGTTACAGGTTCTCAGTGGGTTTTGCTGAGCACTTAGCAAACAGTTTTGCCATCTTACTATTTTCTGCTAAATACCTCTGTATAATCGGGGTCTTGATTTGAAAATTAGAGAACAGACATCCAGTCGGAAAATCGGCAGTTGTCTTATTCAGTAAAAAGAAAATGTTGGCAATGAGTTGTTTTGAATGCAAAACGTGTTATTTATTTTTTAAACAGCGTTGTTTTCAACAATACATGTAACAGTTACAACGATAAATTCAAGTATCCAATTTATATATATTAGCATGATTTTGTAGGTTAGTCGATATTTAGATACTTCAATCGAAGCCCCCTTCTGCCGAGTTCTTTGTCACGTGGTTCAGCCTATAAACACCGCTTGGCCACGCCTACCACCAGGTGTTAACGTTACGCTATGATGCATTGCCGGTAAGGCAGGATTCGCACCACCTACATCAGCTTTTGGCTGGCCCAAGGGGTCCAGTCTAGTGACTTCTTGGTACCTGACTGACTGACTCAGAGACTGACTTACTGACGGACTCACTCCCCGACTCACTGACCGACTCGCTGACCGACTCGCTGACCGACTCGCTGACCGACTCGCTGACCGACTCGCTGCCCGACTCGCTGCCCGACTCGCCGACCGACTCGCCGACCGACTCGCCGACCGACTCGCCGACCGACTCGCCGACCGACTCGCCGACCGACTCGCCGACCGACTCGCCGACCGACTCGCCGACCGACTCGCCGACCGACTCGCCGACCGACTCGCCGACCGACTCACTCCCCGACTCACTGACCGACTCGCTGGTGTTACTTGTCACTGCTTAGAACGGTTGTTGTCCTCACTGACTGACTCACTTGTGAGTTACAAAGATCTGGGACCAGCTCTTCGAGTCTTGCTTCTTCATGTAATGTGATCTAAGGCCAAAAAAAAAAGTCTCCGGTTTCTGGTATGCGCGCGCCATGCGCGTCGGCAAAATGAAAAGGTTTTTTTTCAATGAAAGATGATGTCTCAAAACCGCCAAACTCACTGGTTTGACTGGAATCCTGCTGCTGCACCGACTCGCTGGTGTTACTTGTCACTGCTTAGAACGGTTGTTGTCCTCACTGACTGACTCACTTGTGAGTTACAAAGATCTGGGACCAGCTCTTCGAGTCTTGCTTCTTCATGTAATGTGATCTAAGGCCAAAAAAAAAAGTCTCCGGTTTCTGGTATGCGCGCGCCATGCGCGTCGGCAAAATGAAAAGGTTTTTTTTCAATGAAAGATGATGTCTCAAAACCGCCAAACTCACTGGTTTGACTGGAATCCTGCTGCTGCACCGACTCGCTGGTGTTACTTGTCACTGCTTAGAACGGTTGTTGTCCTCACTGACTGACTCACTTGTGAGTTACAAAGATCTGGGACCAGCTCTTCGAGTCTTGCTTCTTCATGTAATGTGATCTAAGGCCAAAAAAAAAAGTCTCCGGTTTCTGGTATGCGCGCGCCATGCGCGTCGGCAAAATGAAAAGTTTTTTTTTCAATGAAAGATGATGTCTCAAAACCGCCAAACTCACTGGTTTGACTGGAATCCTGCTGCTGCACAATTTTAACGTGTTTTTAGATTGGGTTATGGTCGAGAATAAGCTTTATGTGGCCTCTCTGGACTCCCATATATTTGCACTAAGTTTAGTCGGGCACCATTTGCAGTCATCAGCCGACTTTTGAAGCAAAAAAATCAGGAAAAAACTTTTTTGGGCCTAATGGATCTTTTTTTTGTTTGTAAACATTGGTGCCATTTTATATGGGCTGCCGCAAGCGCATAAAGTGAAGCCGTGGTTGGCAACATATTTTTTTCCAAAAAAGTCCCCATAAGTCCCCGAGTGAAAGTTGGAAAGGTAACACACTGAGTATACAGTGATTAAAACGTCGGTGAAGGACAAAACCTAATTTGATTTATATCACCCCGGCGCAAAAATTCTATCTTATAATAGTTTATGCGGTATCCGCTGCTATGTACATCAGATTCGAACCGGCCAACCAATCCCGTTAGCTCGGTGGTCGAGTGGTAAGACATATCTGCACTAGAAAGCAGGAGGTCGTGGGTTCGAGTCCCACCCGAGTGATTTTTTTCCAACTTTCACTCGGGAGGTAACACACTGATTATACAGTGTTTAAAACGTCGGTGAAGGGCAAAATTTAATTTGATTTATATCACCCCGGCGCAAAAAAAAATCCATCTTATAATACTTGTCTTTGGTTGCATCCCCCCAGCGCTTTGTATCCTTTGGAAAAGGCGCTATATAAATACGGTTGTTATTATTATTATTATTATTATTATTATTATGAAACAGTCCATAAATCGGCCTTATTCACGAGTCTGCCATATTGGATTGGGAGTGAGGTTAACTCTTCATTATTGGAACTTGTGTAGAGAAATTAAAGCAATGACGTCACAAATTAATACCGGTCTGCTCTGATGACTAGTACAAATTGTGTTATTAAACATATTCTGATGTTTTAAGCCACGTGTAAAAAAAAGGAAAGTGAGGCTAAAAATAATAAGTAGTTGGGCACAATCCCATTCAACAGTTCACAATTCATGAAGTACATTCAGGGAACACGACAAAAATGGCCAACTTGTGCAAATAAGGCCCGGTTGTCAGAACCCAAACTCACCTGCAGCCCAATTCGTAGTGATTTAAGCCTTGATCCACGATCGTGAGATTTTTGGTTCGAACCCGTTCCTTGGCCATGCGTGTTGTGTCCTTGAATAAGGCGCTTTACCCCAATTACTCTCTCAACCCAGGTGTTAAATGGGTACCAGCATTATTCAATGCTAAGAAGGTAACAGACTCGCTGTGGAGAAGGTGTGGCGATCCCCCCACGGCAGCATTTCATGGACTCGAGTCTGGCCCAATCGCTCTGAAAGAGAGATGTGCACTCTGTTCCCGTGAACACAGGTTCGTCCCCCTTTACCTTTACCCTTAACATTTTGCTTTATAATATTGATAAATGCGAAGGTGTCACATTACAATTTGACCATTGTTTTAACAATAACCTGTTTAAGGTGAAAAAATGATGTAAAACTGAGCTGCAATTTACATATCTGCTGAAAAAGCACAGACCTGGTAGGTGTGCATGCATGCATGACGAAACCACCAGCCCACAAACCCGAAAGCTGTCATTTTTCGATATAATGCCCTTTTCAGTTCTGAAAGAATATGCCTTACCCTGAAAAAGCAGGGCAAGTTCTAGGGCAAGTCAACACTGATCTCCCAGGGTTGCAGCTGTTCCAGAAAAGAAAAAAAAATACTTGTCTCAGTACCTGAGGCGGCAAAAGTTGGCCTCGCAAAAAGTGGGTCAAATTGTCCAGGATACCAGGGCATGGTCATTTCTAACAGAAGAGAAATAATACAAGTCAACACAAGTTGGGGCAGCAAGAATAGAGGGGGAATTGTGCAAAAAGAAACTGTGAAAACATCAGGTGCGCACTCTGATCGAGTCAGGACAGTTATCAGGTGTATCCGCGCCGGATTGTTTGGATTATGCTGGATTGAGATTTTAAAGTACAATCTCGGAGAACAAAAACGAAAGCCACAGTCTGATCGAGCATCTAATTTTGGGAAATTATCTTAGTCAAGCGACGCATGCGTCGGCTTGCAAAATTCTTGGAGAATTGGTGTGGAGAACGCCACAAGAGTTAGAGCCTCGGCAAGGAAGAGGAAATGGCTGCCATCGGTTTGATGACGCGCTGTCTGATGTTAGCATTGCCGTTCTTTGTGCAAGGTAAGCAAACGTTGACAATTACCCTGATAAGCTTTGAAAACTAGATGGTACCATTTAAAAAAAAAATCAGTTATACCACGGCATACCCAACAGCATATTCAAACTATCGAAAGAAAAAAATTGAAAATTCTTCTTTTCAGTATCAGCGAATATTATATTCTATTCTTGTGTCTATGAAA